TTTTGGAAATCACACCACGAACAGAGTTGAGAGTCAGCATGCCAAGTTAAAAAAATACTTGGAGTCATCGCAGTCAGATTTGGAGACATCATTGGTTTATATCGACAGAGTCATTCAGTCACAGGACACATCCATCAAAGCAAGTCTTGAACAAAGCAAAATTTTGATTCGACATCGGTTCAACACGTCACATTTTCAAGAATTGCGAGGATTTGTGTCTATTCATGCACTGAATCTCATTTTTAATGAGTTTGAGAGGTCACGGGCTGGCGGGATTACTTTTGAAAATTGTGGATGTCGATTGCGAACAAGTTGTGGGCTTCCATGTGCACACGAGCAGGTAACATATTTTAACTGTGGTAAGCCTATCCCACTTGATTCGATTGATATCTTTTGGAGGAAGCTCGACTTATCATCTTCCATCTCTCTAACCAATGAAGATTTTGGTGTTGAGCATGAGCTTCATATGTTTAAGGATCAGTTCAAGAAACAATCAAGAACCGGTAAATTCAACATATTGAGAAAGTTGAGGGAGTTGATCGCGCCATCTACAACTTCGATCCGTGAGCCACCCGTGCAAATAAATGTTCGTGGGCGTCCCACTTCAAAAAACAAATCTCTCATAAGAACTCTATCTCTCAGAAAAACTAAAGCCGAGCCAAATAATATTCAATTTCAAGAACAAGCTCGGAATAGTTGTTCAGCTGCACCAACTTCAGGTGATAGACACTTTTACCATCCATATATGCTTCAACTTCCGGTTATATTCCATCCTTTTATCATGCAAGTGCAAGATGTGAAATCTGACGGAAACTGTGGATTTCGAGCCGTAGCTCTCTGTCTCGGTTTTAAGAAGGACGAATGGTTCAAAATTCGATCCAATTTAATCGAAGAACTAGAGTCTCACACAATGGAATATACCGATATGTTTGGAACTCAAGGATGGTATAATGCCTATAACATGTTGATTTTTTTGCACAAGATCGGTGTGCACCAGTTGAGCACTGGATGACTATGCCGGAGATGGGTGTACTAATTGCTTCCCGATACAATGTGATACTACATGTTTTGAGTATGGCCGGCAGTACAACATATTTACCACTTCGATCTAGCCCACCACCTTGGTACGAGCATGTAGCAATAACCCTTGGTTATGTTAATAATAACCATTATGTCAAGGTAAGATTGACAGGAGGGTACCCAATGCCTACAATTGCTCCACAATGGGCTTATTTTAGATATGATTGTGCAAATGCATGGATGACTCCATATATGAATAGGATTGAAAGTTACAATGAGCATGTACGCTCTAATTGTACTCGGGAAAATGTTATATTAGATTGAAATTGAATGAATTTATTTTTTATTTTATTTTTATTGTGAAGTTAATATATTTTTACAATTTTTAGCGATTCAAATTTTATTTATTATATCTCTATAAAAAAAGATAAAATAATGAATACAACAAATTTAAGTTATAAAAAATATTAAAATAACAAAATTAATCATTATTTTGAATTTAAAAATTAAACCATAAACAAAAACAAGTATTGAAAATAGAAAGTTAAAAAAATTATATTGAACAAAAAAAACAAGTATTGAAAATAAAATTTAAAAACATATGTATTGAAAATAAAAATTTTAAAAATAATTACACAAATAATTAAAAAAAAAAAAGGCGATCATTTTTTTTTTAATGTTTATTGTTAAAAAATAATAAATAATAAATGTTACCACCTACTTTGACTACATTTATTTGCACCACCTACTTTGGTATTTGCACCATCTATTTGACCTATTAAATAGGTGGGTGCAAATAGTAAATAGGGTGGTGCAAATAGAACTTCCCCTAAGATATTCTAGCAAGTGGATCTTTAGTCATGATTGAATACCCCCTAAGATATTCTAGCAAGTGGATCTTTAGTCATGATTGAATACCCCTAAGATATTCTAGCAACTGGATCTTATAATGAGAGCACAATTACTTTTGATAAAAAAAAAAAAAGTTTTAATTTCGACGTAGCCAATACAATATATTTGCTGCCTTTTAAATCAAATATTGAAATCATTTTAAAATTTTACATATTCCAAAAAGACAGGAAAAAAATAAATAAATAAATATTGTATGAAGCTTAAAGGAAAGCAGCACTATATTTTGTCTCAAAAAAAAAACTGTGTCTTGGGTCATTTAATTGCCTGACCAAGAGTTGAATTGAAGTCGAATTTACTGAAATCAAAATCATCGGAGAAACACCCGTCGGCAGTGACGACGACTTTGGACTCCAATGGCGATGTAAGAAGGAGCAGCTGAGCGGACGACAAGTCCCAGAGGTCGAAAATTGACTTTGGTCAAGCATCACTTTCCCAATTCGGAATTAACATGAAATACGATTTTGCCTATTCTATGTAAGATTAATTTAGGATTTAAAATTTTCTGGTCATTTAGTCAGCATGACTAAAATTGATAAAAATTACATAATTAAGGTATTAAATTAACACTTTTAAAAGTCAGGGATTATAATTAACACAACTTCAATAATCAATGGACCAAACTTGATTTTTTTTTTTTTTGTTAAATCATCAAAATTTTAAAATCTTCATATTTTTAACTACAACCATTCAAACATTTCCATTTCAGTTAAAAACATTGACACATTGACACTGGAAAACAATAGAAAGTAAACAACTTTTTTGTTTTCTTCCCGAGATTTTTGCACTTTTAATCCCACGACTATAGTGACACTATTAGGATTGATATGTGACTTTCAAATATTGTCATTTCGGCCCACGACTATTGTTTTTGTTGTAAAAATGGTCTTTCCGGCCAATTTTCTATCAATTTTTCATCGGAAAACAAATTTCTCATTTCAAGCAGGGATAAAATAGACATTTACATTGCCCTTGCGATCGTAAAGTATGAATCTTTCGGCTCCAACTCTAGAATGGTACATAACCCATTCTTTTAAGTTTTTGGCGACATTATAGACCATGGTGGTAGCTTAGAGCTTGGACTTCCGGTTCCCCCGGTTCGACTAGGTGGAGCGGTGGGTTGTAAAACGCCACGATCTTGACGATGATCATATTGTGTCCCACGATTTCTAGGGAGACTTTGATAAGCTGTTTTTCGGCAGGAAATTCTGGGCGGTTGCAGCGAAAGACCGCTTGTATTGAGCTGGTGACGTTCGTTTTGAGATCATTGATTGTTTCATTTTTGGGGATGAAAGCGCAACGGAATTCCATTGGGTTCCGGTTGATACCTTGATGGTTGTTGATGCCCTCCATGAACAAAACGACGTTGTCCTTTGTCGTGATATAGTCGTACAACAGAAAATTCCACTGGAGCAGAGGCGATTGCGAATTTTCCAGGATAGAAGTGAAATTGATCAGAGAATACGAGAGAGTCAAAATCAGTTGCTTCATCAACTTTCTCTGCGCGAGAGCTTCTCGGATATTCGCACTTGAACAGTGACCGATCAGGAAACGGCAACACTTCGACGGGAGATCGCCGGCGAGGTTTCTCCATGCTCGAAGAGGTAGACGTAGGGGTCATCTTCAACCCAAGAGAGCGGATCATAATAAGAGGTCAATAGCGGTCCGAGATTGCAAGGACAATGTAAATGTCTATTTTATCCCTGTTTGAAATGATGGATTTTTTTCTCCGATGAAAAATTGACAAAACATTGGTCGGAATGACCATTTTTGCAACAAAAACAGTAGTCGTGGATTGAAATTACAAAGTTTGAAAGTCACGGATCAATCTTTATAGTGTCACTGTAGTCGTTGGACTAAAAGTGCAAAAAAAAACTCTTTTCTTCCCTATTTTTGATAATCTAATCTAAAAAAGTTTCAATCCAGGTTATACCCCTGGTTTATGTCTGTTTTTTCTATTAAATTTTTTTGTACCTTATGCTATAAAAGTTGTACTACATAATTTTTTGGACAAAAATATCTCTGCCGTTATAACTTCTGTTATCTTTTTACCTTATTATTACCATGTACATGCATACACAATATTTTTTCTTACATCCTTCAATGGTAAGTTTGAACTCATTTAGGTTTTAATTAAAATGTTACATAGTTATATTTAGTAATTTATCATTTCTATAATTTTTATCTAAAAAAAGATTTATGTGAATTATATATATACACACACACACACACACACACACACACAAAAACATAATATGTGTCAATACAAGTTATGTCCTTGATTTTTGTTCCTTTTTAATATGCTAATAAATATATACATTTTACTTTAAATGTTGTACATTTCATTTTTATTGGACAAAATTATCCTTACACCGTTAGTACTTAATAAATCATCAATCTTACCATACACTTACATTTATCATATCTTTTTGGGACCTATTTTTAATTATCTACAAAATGCTAAAATATATATCTTCAACGTCCAAAATTAATCCACAATCCTCATGGGGAGAAGTATCCTCATTTGATCCTTAATATATATATATATATATATATATATATATATATATATATATATATATATATATATATATATATATGCCAAGCACCTTGTGCTCAAATGACATATAGTGACTTCTCCCATGTGTGAAAGAGATCAATAAAATTTTAATATTGAGTATATATTTATTGCGCATGCATATAAAATACTAGTAATAATGGCCCTGTTTGGTAAAATGGCTGTTAGCTGATAGCTGTTTGCTGTTAGCTGATTGTGTTAATTAAAAGGTATAAATAGTTGATAACATTAGATGATTGTAGAAAAGTGTTTGATAAATTAACTATTAGCTGATAGCTGTTTGATATAATTTCTTTTCTCAAAAAGTTAATTGAAAAAGTTGCTTTGAGTAGTTTTTTGAATTTTAATCTTTTAGAGTTGCAAAAAGCTAATTAACCAAACATTTCTATTGATATTTTAACTAAATCAAACAATTAATAGTGGTCAAATAAGTCAAAATGACCTATAGGCCAATTTTTTACCAAACAGGCCAATATACGGAGCGATACAATAATAATTCTCTAAATATTCACCGGCAAATCTATCGATCCCTAATATAACTCGATTTCAGATGCTCATTCCCCATTTTGGATTCTATTTTTACAAGTAACAGTAGATCCTAATCAAAGAGATCCCACTTTTAGTTTTAGCTCATTGTTGATCAATGGGGTCTTCGCAGTCCATTGAAGTAGCCTCTGACGACGAAGAGCAAGTGGAAGAGGGCGTCGGGCAGGATGAGCGGCGAGATTTGGGTCACGACTCTTTGGTCAAGAAGGTCCTTGAACAAGAGCCTGAGATTTTACCCTGCCACGCCTCTGCTTCCCCCCTCTCCCCACAGCTCTCATCTTTCGGCACCCCGCGTCTCCTCGGCCCCTCCATCAAGGTTTGGGACCCTTACAATGTTCTCGCTCCTCCTCTTCCTCCTCATTTCCACCACACTTTCTCCACTCAGGACGACGACACTGTCACGGAGGTGTTCTTAATTTGCAACGGGGAGTGCCATATGAAATTGAGGCCCGATTTGATCGCCGGACGCTGCCCCGAGGCTTCACTCACCCCCAATGGCAAGCGACAAGCCAGAGCCTTGGCCGTGTTCCTCAAGTCCCAGGGCGTTCGCTTCAACGCCGTTTATACTTCACCCCTCGATCGGGCACGCGCTACTGCACTCTCCGTCTGCCAGGTATCTTATCTTTGTTAGCACTAACTAATTGTCAATCTGCCATCTTCCCATTTCTCTTTCTGAGTTAAAATATGGATATGGTATTGATCTCCAATCACAAGTGTTCATTCATATATTGAAAGATTTGTGACATTGATGCCGCACTTGAGGTACATGCACACTGATGAGCTAGCTGCTGTATTCTGTTTGCATCTAATAATTCCAAAACAATATTGCTTCACTGCCTATACTTTACTGCCCTCAATTTGCAAACAGTGTGCTATACTCCGAATTGATAATTAAGCCTCATAGTGGCTTGTAGCATGCTAGATTCATTCTTATGATATAACTCCATAATGAATGTGAACTTTAATTGGATTGGAAGCATACATCCTTAGTTGTTCAATAAATAAAAACAGTCCTTAACCGAAAGATTATAAATAAACAACTTAGACATGAAAAATAATTGGCCGAGACATGGTTTCAGTCTCACAAAGCATTTATCAATCTCTATGTATATACATGTCTGCGTATGTATAATAAAAAACTTGTAACACTTGAAGGAACAACAAAAGTAACAATTTTTGAATAGTGTGGTGGTGTGTAGAAATGCACGACAAGTTGGCACCACTTAACTTAAGGGCTTTTAGGTTGTGACCATGGAAAAATTCTTGCATTCATATAGAGAGAGCTAAGAATTTCTTACTTTAGGCACAACTAATGAGAAACAAGAGACTGTATTCCATTGGAAATACAACCTGAGGTCCACTGAGACAAAATTTGTGCATTGTATATGCCTAAGAGTAGGTGGTCTGAGTGTGCCTAAGGAGTTGTGCGCTTGCAAGAATCTATCATAACCCGCCATCAACAAACTTGATCATCTATTTTCTTATTTCTGTTTCTTGATTTCTCTCCCCTTTTTCCATTTTCTATTTTAAATCTATTTCTCCTTTCTGCCCTTGCAATTAATTGTGGCTATATAGGATGTTAACATGACATTGGTTGTGTATGCTCTTTCTTCAAGTTTGATGGCGAAATATACGCTCTTTCTTCAAATTTGTTGTCACCATGGAATATTAAGGGTGATAAAGCAATTTTCTATGCGTAGTATACTTGCCTGGCATTTGCAAGCTTGGTGTAGTTTCATGGTGCTTATTGTCTTCAAAAGACATGGACACAATTTCTAAAACAAAATGTCAACTTTTGTTTGATAAAAAATGCATGCTGATATACGGAATGCAATGTTAGAAGGGTGGCAATGGACGACATCACTATATAATTATTCTGTTATGTATAGATTATCCTTTTTTTCTTTATATGCTCACTTTTCCCACAGTTCCCCTGATTAAACATTTTTTAAGATGTGGATGTAGATTAAACCATTGTCCTTGTAAATTGCTATCTTCAATTGATTTACCAAGAGAGACATGCATCAAACTATGCAGGAATTAAATTTTTTGGAGGAACAGATACAGTCTTCTGATGCACTTGTTGAAATGAGTCTAGGGCACTGGGAGGGATGTAATCAGTCTGAAATATTTACTTCAGAAACAATGAGGTTAATTGAAAGATTTCAGCCCGACTTTACTGCTCCATCTGGAGAATCACTGAGGCAGGTGGAATTCCGGATGGTACAGTTCCTAAACAGGACTGTCATGGCATCCCATGAAAAATTCAGACCTGATTTTTCTATGTCTGATCAGATTGAGAGTTTTCCAAATCGTGGTTCTCATGCTCTTACAAACTCAGTTCATGACTCACGTGATGGGCCTTCCTTTTCATCACCACAGTGGGATTTGGTTTACAGGCATCGGCAGGGTCTTCCGAGGAAGAAGTCTGGCAAAAGTAGGCTCCAGATTGTTACAAAAACTGGAGATCAGGAGGCCGATGATGAGATGTCTCCTCGAGAAGCAGTTAATCCCAACTCCATTGGTGACATAAGTATGAGAAGTGCCCTTTGTTGTGTTTCTTCACGTGTGGCAGTGATTTCCCACTCAATCCCAATCAAGTGTCTTCTTACTGGTGTCCTTGGATGCAGTGCAGAAATGTCAAGTAAATTGTGTATAGAAGATTCTTCAGTAAGCGTGTTACAGCATTCGTGGAAAATGGGATGGCAGATAAAGAGATTAAATGATACTACACACCTTAGGCTTCTTTAATTTAGGAGTAAATCGTACAGGTTGCTTGAGGGTGAGGGAATCACCAAGAAATGATTATTTGAGAAAAATGTATTCCACAATTCCACATGGATTTGGTGTTGGGAATGGGAGGGTAGGATACTCTATGCTTCTTGTAAGTTGTGATGTAATGGGTTTGCTAAATTCACTTCCAGGTTTCTGTTCTGGACTGGGAATTGCGATTGCTTTCATTTGTAACATTAACAAATGTTGTAATTGTAGCATGTATACACACACATGTCTGTGACTTTCTCTTAAATCAGAAAAATATCAAATTGCATTTTTGCTGCCAGTTATCAGCAGTTGAAGAAGCAAAACAGAAAGAAAAATATTGAGAGGAATTTGACACTTAATATCCAAATTAAATGTTAGTGAAACTTAAATACTTGATATTCTAAATGTATTTGATGATTATAAATAGTTGGCGTGCAATAATGATAATAATAAATAATAATACTCTTTTTTTTTTTTTAGTACTAATTAAACAATATTGTAACTGCTAACGACTTTGTGGTTCAACGGCACCAAACTAATCCCTTAAGTGGGAGGTTGTGAGATCGAGCTAGACGATATTGACTCTTTGTGCTTCATTTGATTGAGAAAGTAGTTATGAACAAATACACATGATAATAGAAAATAATATTGTAATTCTCTTGATAATAATAATACTTGAAAATTTTATTTTTAACCCTTATATTAAACAACATCAAAATAAATGGAACTATGGATGTAACCGTAACTCTCATGATAACAAAAAAAAAAAGGTGTTAAAATATCGAAATAAATATGTGATCCAACCACTTCAAGTAATGGGCCATTGTAATTTAGATGAAATTGTTTGGTATTTAACGTCGACTCTTGGCTTAGTTGGTGGAATAGATGGTGGTGATAATGATAATTCCTATTCCTAAAAATAATAATACGAGTAGTAGTTAAAAAAAAAAAAAAAAAAAAAAAAGTAAAATCCACCTTAAAGAAAAATGAAAAAAGAGATGTGATAATCTGGAGAGTAGGAAATGATTACAGTGGCGAGTGTGTGGAGAAGGGTATGTGGGTGGCACTAAGCCGCCCCCACACAGCGAGTAGGCTGTACTTACTAGTAAGTACAAACAAACTTCACCTTATCAACAAGTGTGGCATTCTTTGTAATTTTTGTTATTATGGGATGTCAATACGGTAACATTGAGAGGGGGAGACATCGAGAGCAGAGAAAGAGACACATGCATGTTGCGTACCTCAACGGTCAAGATTCCTTTCTGCCCATACACCCACCGTCAGATTTCCTTTATCTCAACCATAGTTAAGCTCTGTGTTTAATCACGGTGAACACTCCACTTTACTCTGCTGAGTGCTGACCAGAGGGCACAGAGAGAGAGAGAGGCCTCTTTCTTTCACTACAGCTACTTTTTCTTCTGAAGATGATGAGATGAGATGGGAGAGAGAAAGAAGAGAAGAGACTTTAATTTATGTCTCTGATGATGAGTGACGATTGTTTAACACGGTCGTCATCTTCTGATAATTTGGCCTCTCTTTCTTCCTTTGCTGTATGTTGATATTCATTAGTTTTATCTTTTTTAGATTAGATTTTAGTTTCCTTTCCTCAGATCTGTGATTTTCTTTTTCTCCGTATTTTCCTCTACTTTGTAATCATCACTTCTTTGTTATTTTCCGGATGTTGATGATGATGATGATGATAACTCTTCACCACAATAGTTTCCTCCTTTAGAAATTGAAAGTCTTATCCCAACAATAATTTCCTTTCTCCTCCCTTCTCTACCCTAGACTCGAAGAATTCCCAGATCTCTTATCTCTTTCTGCTATCCCAAATCTGTGTATCTTTTAGTTTGATTTATACATAATTTTCTGGATCTACTGTTTTTTTTTTTCCCTACTTTCCAACTCAGATCTAGCTCTTCTCTAGTTTATGTTTTTATTTTTACAGTCCCAAACAAAAATCCCTAGCTAGTTGGGAGTGTCTTGAATTCAATCAAGAATTTGTTTCTAGTACTACTACTTTTTATTGCTCTTCCGGAGCTTTTGCATAAAGGGTATAAGCTGTGCATCTCCTGGGGGATTTGGAGAGATTTCTGTGTGAATTTGGTGACATGTGTTTGTATCATCAGTGTATGATGAATTACTTCCCGGAGGAAGTTCTAGAGCACGTCTTTGATTTCTTGACGTCGTATAAGGACCGAAATGCAGTGTCCCTGGTGTGCCGGTCTTGGTATAAGGTCGAGAAGTTTAGCAGAGAGAAGGTATTCATAGGGAATTGCTATGCAATCAGTCCGGAGAGGATGATTGACAGATTTTCTAGGCTTAGGTCGCTGACCCTCAAGGGAAAGCCCCATTTTGCGGATTTCAATTTGGTCCCGCATGAATGGGGCGGCTACGTGTACCCATGGATTGAGGCGCTATCCAATGCGTCTGTCAATCTGGAAGAGCTTCGGTTAAAGAGAATGGTGGTTTCAGACGAGGGCCTCGAGCTCCTGTCTCGATCCTTCCCTAATTTCAAGTCTTTGGTTCTGGTTAGCTGCGAAGGTTTCACTACAGATGGTCTTGCTGCTATTGCCTCCTATTGCAAGTATGTATATATGTACTTGCGGTTGAACTCTACTTACTTTTTGCATCTACTTTATTCTCTTCATGTTTAACTACTAGACTAGATTTATTATTCCTCTTTTATTGTGCTTTTTGTACAGTTATTTCTGGTTCACTATTCTTTATTTTAATCTGTGTTTATTGAAATTGGCTTCTTCATATTGTAAACTTTGTTTTAGATCTTTTGAGTAGACTTGTAGTTGTTTGGCATTTGGTGAAACTAATTGGCCTCTCGCTACAACATAATGTAATGTAACCAACTAAAAGTTTTGTGGTTCATTTTTAGAAACACTTGCAACTCAACACTCTGCTGTTGGTTGAGTTGTGTTGGTTGCTTTTTGAAGTATGGCTATTCCATATAGTGTATCTGATGCTTCTTAAATGAGCAATCATCCACACTAAACTGCACCAGACAGGAGGGAACTATCATGCATGTGGTTCAAATCTTCTATTCACTATTTAAGCTGGAGGAGGATGAGCTTTGTTGAATTTGTAACTGAGTGATAGTTTTGATGAGAAACTTCTGTTTATTTTGTGTTTTCATTTTGATTATTGGCTACTGATGCAGGTATCTGAGGGAGCTGGATTTGCAGGAAAATGAAGTTGAAGATCATAGAGGGCAATGGCTTAGTTGTTTTCCTGACAGCTGCACCTCACTAGTCTCACTAAATTTTGCATGTCTCAAGGGGGAAGTTAATCTGGCAGCTCTTGAGAGACTAGTGGCAAGATGTAAAAACCTAAAAAGTCTGAGGGTAAACCATGCAGTGCCTCTTGATGCTCTTCAGAGGATTCTCGTACAGGCACCCCAGTTAACGGACTTAGGGACAGGTTCTTTTGTCAGTGACCCAGATACAGAGGCTTATAAGAAACTAAAAAATGCTTTGCTGAAGTGCTCCTCAATCAGGAGTTTGTCAGGATTCTTGGAGGTTGCTTCTCGCTGCTTGGCGTCTATACACCCAATATGCTCGAATTTGACATCTTTGAACTTGAGCTATGCTCCAGGAATCTACGGTAGTGAGCTGATAAAGCTGATTCGGCATTGCAGGAAACTGGAGCGCTTATGGGTCTGATTTATTTTCCCTCCCTTTTCAATTAATTTGTTACTGTCTTACCTATATTTTCTTAACCATTGCCTTAAATAATTGCCTGATCTGCTAAATACTGATTTCTCAGATTCTAGATACTATTGGAGACAAAGGCCTTTTTGTTGTGGCTTCTACATGTAAAGAGCTGCAGGAATTAAGGGTGTTCCCATCTGACCTCAATGGGGCAGGTTATAGTGTAACAGAGGAAGGTTTGGTTGCAATATCGGCTGGTTGTCCCAAGCTCAATTCTTTGCTCTACTTCTGCCAGCAGATGACTAATGCAGCACTGATAGCTGTTGCCAAGAATTGCCCTAATTTCATTCGCTTTAGGTTGTGCACCCTTAACCCAACTGTGCCAGATGCAGTGACAATGCAGCCATTGGATGAGGGTTTTGGGGCAATTGTTCAATCATGCAAAGGGCTTAAGAGGTTATCCGTCTCTGGCCTTCTAACTGATCAGGTTTTCCTATACATTGGTATGTATGCAGAGCAGCTTGAAATGCTCTCCATAGCCTTTGCTGGTAAGAGTGACAAGGGAATGCTTTATGTTCTAAATGGATGCAAGAAACTAAAGAAGCTTGAGATCAGAGATAGCCCGTTTGGTAATGCAGCACTTCTAGCGGACGTGGGGAAGTATGAAACAATGCGATCCCTTTGGATGTCGTCCTGTGAAGTGACCCTCGGTGCATGCAAGATTCTGGCCAAGAAGATGCCAAGACTGAATGTGGAAATCATCAATGAGAGTGAGCAGGCAGAGACTAGCCATGATGATGGGCAGAAGGTAGAGAAAATGTACTTGTACCGGACATTGGCTGGGCACAGGAAAGATGCACCAGGCTTTGTGTGGACACTATAGATGTGCACCTTGTCTTCATTGCTCCCAGCTGTTAATTGTCAGGGTAGTTTGATTAAGACTGGAACTATTTTTTTTTTTTCTGATGGTGAATTATTTGTGCTTTGGTACTGGTATTTTATTTGGGGAAAAAAACTAATTTTATCAGAGCCAGTTTATGCACTTAATTTGAGTCTTCGGGTCGCCATAAATCTATGCATACCCTTGCATCGCTGCCTTTCTTCTATCAAGAAGCTATTGACAGTCGCGCCGTTTACTGATTACATGGATTGAAATCCAATGCATACATTTGTATGTTTTTTTCATCATAAAATAGGGGGTGGAAAAACTCAAATATTTATGCTTCCCTGCCTTTTTATGTAGAATGGTTGTCGTTGAAGTTAATATCTAAATATTTTTTTAAAAAAAAAGGTTTGGGTATTATTGTTATGCGTTAATATTTGATTGATTCTTGTATAAGTGACATGTAAAATGACGAAAATATGGGATTCTATCATGTGCAATAATAATAAATAAATAAAGGAACGCAGGGAACATATTTGTGGGAATTGTAATCTGGATTGATTAAAGATTTTAGATGACATCCATCCATTTCACCAAATCCACAAACAAAACTCCTGCCTGATCCTGATCCTGATCCCCCAACCAAATACATGCTCGCCAGACACAGAAATGGGTTGGGTAACTGAATTTGCGAGCCATTGGATACAGGGTCCATATTTTACCAACTGGAGCAGATTAGAGTTGCATCAGACAGAGTATGATCACACACACACCCCTTTGATGCTCAATTCTTTTTAAACTACACCAACGGTCAAAACTGTTTGTTGCAAGGATAATACTTGGTGGAAATCATTGCGGAAAAATTCCAACAATTACATCAATCAATTATTCTATTTACAGGTCTTTACCAATATAACCTCAGTGTAAACAGACTCTAGCCTGTGAAGAACCGCAGGAGGTCTGAACCCTTCAGGGGGACCCAGGACGTACGCTGACTGCCAGAATCACCTCCCACCTGCATCCACTGAAGTTCAGATGTTGAATCAGAAAGTACACACATAGGAAAGACAAGTGAGGAGATCAACCTAGTTTAACATAAACCCTAAAATTGTTAGCCTGATTTTCACAAAAGCCCCCACTTGGCTCCACCCTTGAGATGCCCCAACTCTGAGATTTCAGATGATACTTGCTAAAAATCATATAAAAACTCACCCACTGTACACCCAAAAAAAATGGGGTAAAAAACCTCAAACTCCCCTTCCTTGTCTCTTTCATTTCACCCTGGGATCCACTTACCCCCATGAGTCCCAACAATATATACTTTCTAGCTTGCTTTAGGTTCAACATATGAGTACCCCTATCCACTACTGCATTCCCGTCCCAAAACAAGGCAGGAGAAATGAAGCACAAGCCAAAATGATGTAACACATTTTAATAACTAGTTTTTTTCTTTGATAATAGATGTTTTAAGCATATTATTGAAGAATTAAAACCAGGTTATGAAAAATACCTCTAATCTGTCCAGAACTGGAAGCTACTCCTGAAAGAGTTGATAGGTTTGATAGAGAAAGAGGTGATAGTGGAGGAGATGATACAATTTCAGCATTGTCTTTCATTTGAGGAGATTCCAACAGTTTGGACACATGTAATGCCATTGCCCTCTGATTGCTGGAGGGTATGGAGAAACTACGAGGAACCGTTAGTGGTGGAGGTGGGAGTGCAGAACCTGAATTTGATACCTGCAAAGGGCTACGATTTGATGGAGACACTTCTTGATTCCGATCAACCAAGGGGACAGAGTGTCCAATCAGAGCAGTAGTTCCTGGCTTGGAAGCTAAAGAGCCAGGGGGGCGAGGGAGCTCATGAAGCTCACTTATTTTGGGTGAAGATATGAGGGGTGGTGAGGCACTGTGGGAGACATCTATAGTTGAAGGTGGTTGGACCATTGGTCCTCCATAGATAGATCCAGATTCTGGTTGCATCTTTTCAGCAGAGCCAATAGGACCACTGGCAGACAACAAAGGCTTGCTAGATGATGGTTTACTTGCTAATGGACCAGAAAAAGAATGTCTCTTTGTCTTCTTAACATCAAATGCATTTTGTGTCTCACATTGTGGAAGAGAAGTTCCCTCTATCGAAGGAGGGGGTAGAGGCATGGAGAGATTGTTACTGTTGCTGTCTTTGAATATGGATTGAGCTTTTGAAGAAACACCACGTATTGACAAATTACTATTGAATTTGCCATAATCATCAGTGTCAAGCGGGGATGAATGCCACAAGGTGTTGGTACTCGCAGTAAGGTTTGTAACACTTGAATGGAGGAAGGAGCCACTTATCCTTGCAGTTAAGCTTTTTGCATCGGTTGGAGTTGGTAGCACATATGTATGAAATTTTTGTGCAGATGCCTGAGCTTCTTTAATCCTATCAGTTATATCCATCTTCTCGGGAAAAATTGGAGCAGAATGGCTGGTAACCCGAGGTTGTCGACTAAAAATATGATCTGGGTTTTTGCCAATGTTTATCTGCAACCCAGATATAATATGAATTGTTAAATTCACAAACCAGAGCAATGAATGATTAATTTACTTGAAACCCAAAGCCTTTAAAAATTGTAATCCAGGAAATCACCTCAATATCTTCCATTCCTGAAGTTTGTGTACTCGGAGCAGCATGATCCAACTGCAGAATCCACCATATCAGAGCAAACTAATCAAATGATAATCTAAGGATCAAGTAAACTTACACTGGAGTCAGACAAATCCTAATCATTTTCAAGAATAAATATGAAAATTTACACCCAAGAAAACAGTATAAAATTGCAAATCTAACAATTCAAAGATTTAGCAAGATTTCTCTAAAATGATCCCTGAATGATGGATACAAAGCAAAGGTACCTCTGTTGAGTTCCTCAAGCTGCAAGCATCATTTAGGTCCTGCTTATGTTTTCGATAGTCAAAGCTTAGTTCTCCTTCATCATTGGCATCATATCTCTTCCTTGCATTATCATCCGCATCATCTAGTCCACTGACTTGGTAATCTATGTGTTGCTTATCAGCAACCATCTTTACTTGCGGATCAACAGCTTCAAGAAATTTGAGTCCCTTCTGGAAGAAGTTTAACTAGTCCAAGAGAAACAAAGCATAGTGGAATATACATAATTAACATATTTGCTAAAGATGAGTTATAATGTATGAACCTATAAAGAGAAAAATGGCACCTGTGCTGCATGATGACGGGCTGCTTGGGTTAAAAGACTGCGGCATTGCCCTTGTTTCAGAGATTCCACACGAAAGATGCAGAGTCTTGCCATTTCATCATATTCTTCACGAGCAGCCTGCAATTTCTGTGAAGTAAAATTCTCTCCCTTTCCACTTTTACCCCTTGTTATCAGGTACTCATACACCTCCCTTCAGATTATACAAAATGCCTATAAGTTTGACAAAATCTAGGAAACACTCAACACCTATACGCTATAGCTAAATGGAAATGAATTACCTTTTCTCATCACATTGTAGTTTCATCTCCTGTACCAACCAGAAGAAATGTAAATCACTAAGGATTGTAGAACTAAGAACGAGCTAGGAAATTTCAAGGATATATGAGATGAACTTCAATATAACTTTTACCTTAGCTCATTCTGCTCAATTATTACTCAACACACTAACATATTGCATCTACCTCATAAATTAGAATAAAGAACAGACGAGGAAATCTCAAGGATAGGTAAGTTTCAAAATGACTTTTAGTTCATTCTGCTGATAGTATCCTTAACAACATTAACACAAACTCATCACTGCAATTTTCAAAGATCATCTTTACTAGCACCGGACATGCTTTATGGTCCAAATACCAGCCTTCAACTGTGCCTATGGCTATTTAAAATACCATGCACATGTTTATCAAGTAAAATCAGAAATTATCAGCTACTAAGGTTGTGCCTGGTAGACTTAAATGAAATCATGAGAATGGAATGGCATGAGGAATGACAATAGATCAGGAATGGAAAGATTTTTATTTTATTTTTTAATTCTTATTACTGTGCTTTGTATATGTTGGAATGGAACACCAGAATGGAATGAAAATTATTATAAAGGTAAAATGTATGCTAATAAAAACAATTCAATAATCAAATTAATTTTTAGATATGATATAGATACCCATGATTTTAAAAAATGTACAAGGAAATTCTTGTATAATACATACTTCATATTTCATAAAAGTTAGCAGTATAATCTTTTTAAGAGAATAAATAGAATTTGACAAATTGACTTAGCTTTATAAATAATATAAGAATTTGAAGAATTAGGGTAGAAATAATCGAGGGTCATTTCCGTTCATTCCAACATATAAAGCAATGGAAATTCATCAAAATCTAGAATCTCAATTCAATTCCATAGTCATTCCTGCATACCACACTCTACATTAATGTGCTTAGGTTCTCCCGATCAGTACCCTATTTAAAATACATTGAGGGCAACAAAAGGAAGAGGAAGGAAGAGAATTTAACAAGATGAGATGAAGGAAGTAGTTGTTAATCACAGAGTCAAAAAATGTACCTCCACTTTCCGAAGCTCACTTAGAAGGGACTCTGATGGATTAGTGATGGTTAGTATAATATGTGAACGCTGCAACATAAAGATTAGCAAGTCATGAACTTCTTTCTGTTCAAACCATGATACTCATGATAAACACAGCGATATGCACTAACATAGCCATCAACAAGTTTCTGCAGTTCCAGCTGCGCTCTTCCAAGCACTGAGAATGCTCTACCTGCATATGTATAACAATTAAAACCACACTCCATACAACTAGTCTAAGTGACCAACTAATAGGAACAGTACCAGGTCGCATCCAATCAATAAATAAGTAGCATGCAGAAAAAGGACCAAGTGTGAAAAGGTAATTTCACTTACGACTTTCTAAATCACCATGTAATGCAATCTTCTCCAGTAGGCAGTTCCCCATTTCCATTAATGACTCAGAAAACTCTGAAAAGCAGAAGCTTAATATTTGACAATTGATTTACAACATCAATGGCAAGTTGATGGGACTGAAGACCATCCTAAATTTCTAATGTAACTGGGTTCTATTAAATAATACTCTCGTATCATATATTCTCCAAAATGATACAGGACTGATTTTAGAAACTGATTAAACCCAAACTGTAAGATCACCCTGGTCTTCAAAGTACTAATTGACATCAAAAACAAAATCCATTTTGAGAAAGATAAAGTGTAAAGGTATTCCCCTTCCGAAATTATCATAATTAGTTTCTCAAAACAAACAGTAAGGTTTAACGTCTAATACCATAGGCACTATTTGCTGCTGCAGCTGCTGCAGAAAGTAAGCTATCATAGCAGTTCCTCATGTCTTTCATATCCTGAAAGACATTCAAATTAGATAAACTTATATCATTAAAGAAACTAAGAAAGGAGATGTAAGAAGAATCAAAGATGCCTTATAATGAAAACAAAAAGTACTGTAGCCCTTAAGGACAGAATACAAATAGAAGCAGTAAATCTTTACAGAACTTGCAAGTAAGAGAAGCATGCCAGGAACCAGAAATACACCAAATCACATTTTATAATTAGGTAATTAAAGATCAGAACTTTTGGAATATTGCAACCCATCAGATTCTTTTTCGTATACTAAGGAACATCAAAAGGGTAGTTAGACTTGGTCCCACTGCCATGTTGTGATTTCGGGAACATATAAAAATTGATTGTATTTGTAATTATACTTTGCATTATAAAGAATCAGTTGCAACTTGAAATAACAAATGAAAATATGCTTTCATTTTATAAATTAACACCAAATCTATTACGAATGTTAAATCAGTGTGGGCATCTATAACAGTTCAATACAACATATGTACATGGGGCGTGAAGGTAATTCTTCTGACACTGGAATAAGATTGACAAAGGAGGTCAAGTTTAAATTTTGAAAACATGTGAATTCATAGTTTGCATGATTCTAACTCACACGGTCCAACTGTTGTTGAAAGGCAGCTAAGAATTAGAAGCTGTGACCAGTGACCCTATTATCTAGCGCTAGAAGCTTCGCCAGAAGCAAGCAAGATGAGGTCACTCTACTTCATAGACAAGGCTAGTTCCGTACTTGACTTAAAAGCTCGTGTAGTAGTCACCCCAATCTCGGTCAAAGTACCTACGAGGTTCCTATACTATAGCGTTTTGTTCAATTTAGTCCTTATACCTTTATTTTGTTCAATTTAGTCCTTGTACTTTCAAAAGTGGTGCAATTAAGGGCAATAGTTAACGGTGTTAATATTACTGTTAACTTAGGTTACGTGGCGTTGACGATATTTATATTCCTACTTATATATTACTTTATAAATATTTAAAATTAATTATTTTTACCACCAATATATTAAATTAGTATGTCCAAAATAAATAATTACAACCATGTTCCTAATGATATTTGGACAATTGTCCTTAGTTTCACCATTTTTTAAAGTATAGGGACTAAACTAAACAAAATAAAGGTATAAGGACTAAATTGAACAAAACACTGTAATACAGGGATTTCATAGGTACTTTGACCCCCCAATCTCTAAAGGGGCTTATGCACTCCACTCATTGTCTACTAAACGAGCGTTAGAGCGAGCGAAGCCCTCAATTTAACAAGAAAATGGATGCGTGTTAGCTAAACGAACAAGGAAGATGCGTAGCATCACTTACTCAGGCACAATGGCTTCTTATTAACATTTAACCTATAGCGTCTTCCGCATTAGAATCTGTTGCTTGTTCCCTCATCATAGTCTTTCATTTCCGCTTAACTTCCCCGGTTTGTGGGATTAATTGATTGAATACCCGAGAACCATAAGCTTTCCTAGAAAGAGCTTCTAGGGCATAAAGCATTTAAAGTGAGATTAAGTAGTTCATTCAACATGAGAATAGCTAAGCAGCTACATTGCAGCGGAAGTACACACAGACCAAGACCTTTCCACGAATTCCAGCATACTAGGCTCTCGGAGACACCAAAAGAAACAAACTTTCTGATAAGTCAAAACGGTTAACAGTGCAATTCGGACACCGGAACTAGATCGATTAAAGGGGTCGAGTTTAAATTTTGAAAACACGTAACTTCATGGTTTTCATGATTCTAACTCACACAGTCCAACAATTGTCGAGAGGCAGCTAAGAATTAGAAGCTGTGACGGCATTTAAAGTGAGATTAAGTAGTTCATCCAACTCGAGCATAAGCTAAGCAGCTACATTGCAGTGAAAGTACACAGAGACCGAGACCTTTCCAGAATACTAGCCTCTCGGAAACACCCACCCAAAAGAAACAAACTTTCTGATAAGTCGATACATTTAACAGTGGAATTAAATTAAAACAAGAGAAGAGGAGTCCAAGAAACAGAAATTCACCTAGGGAAATTGGCCTCTAGAACCCTAATTGCAAATTATATTCGAGAAACGCATGAGAAATAATAATATAGCGAAGAAAAAGAATGAGAGCAGAAATAGAAAGAAAGACGGGGGACCTGGGAAGCTTGGGCGAGGCCATCAGAGTGAGACAGAATCTGAAGATCTTTTTTGTCCTTGGGATCGTTCTTGTGCAATGCGAATTTCTTCAGCTTGCCCAAGGATGACTTCATTTCAATGAATTCTGGAGAGAGAAAGAACAAAGGTTGAAATGTTTCTCTATCTGTCAGTGAGTGTGGTGAGTTTATTCTGTTTTCGCCGGAAGATCGAGCGGAGTCATGAAGCGAAAATCGCGAAATTTTAAAGGAAAAATTAAATAAAGTGAAAGGTGGAAAATTCTAACGTTATATGCTAAGCCAAACTTATAATGCGGCAACACTGTGCCGTGGGATGACCAATTCCGTGAGTCAAAACGAATAATTTGAACCAGCTAGCTCCTTGTAAAATATAATAGGGTTTTAGCAATTAAGTATTAGTTGATAATTAATACGGAGTATCTGTTTTATTCTTTCAAAAGGCTGAATCCCAATCCTAAGTACATGTTTTATTAACAAGTAGTACTTGTGGTTTATATAGAGTTATTTAGTAAATTAATTGGTTCATGAATATACATGTGGTAAATTAGTTAGTTTAACGGTGTTTATTTATTCTGTCGTGACTAATAGACAAGTTTATTGATCATATTCAGTAATCTTAATTATAACAAAGTGTTTTGTTTTCAAATTACTAATGACCCGTTTAATTGGTGAAAAATATTTTATATGCTCATAACGTGTCCAACTTATTGAAAAATAAAGTGAAACATTAAATTTCTTTGTAAAATTTAATAATTTACGAATTATTTATATTTATTTTAATTACACTTTATTAGAGTTATATTTTTATCCTATTGTTGACCATTTGGCCTTCATGAGAGTTAATTATATTTGTTTAAGGGTTACTTAATTATATAATTATTGATCCTATTGAGATTTTTGGAAAAATTATAAACTACTAAAATATATAGATAATAAAGAAGAAGATGATTTAACAAACTTAGTAAATATTAGATAGATTTTACAAGTTTTCTTTATATATATTTAAAAAAAAAATAGATTTTACATACAAACTCAATATTTTAGTGATGTAGCAAAATGTAAAGATAAATATATTTTATGTTTTCGAGTAAGATGTTTATGGTTTATTAGCTAGTAAAAATGTTAAAATGTATGAAGGTGATGAGAAATTATTAAAAAAAAAAAAAAAACATTTTGTTTAGAGTAGGTAGTTATTATTATTATTGGGGTGTGAGAGTGAGTGTATATATATCATATAAGAATATGAATATGAATATCAATTTATAATTCAAAGAGTCAATATCTCACTATCGGAGTTCGATCATGTAACATTTCCTAAAAAGAGTCACAAAAGTGCTTGACATATTAACAAGATATTAACTTATGCAGGTGTGCGACATGTGTGATGGTGAGAGTTGACGCCAAACTGTGATATGTATGTAGTACTCCATAATTGAATGCAAAAATAGGAAATGAATCTTAGTTGGTATTGTGGTGTGTCGACGCGATATGATATAGGAGTATAATATAATAGTCAGTACAAGCTAATTAAGGTTAAAATTTAAATGATGAGTTTGAGAGTTACTACAGTATCCTTCCTGGAATTGCAGAATGTACGTAGTTGGTTAACATCGAAAGTCCCAAAAGCAGAAAGGCGGATGCCATAGGCTTCCATCCTGCGGATATCCCGTGAAATGGGTGACTGCCATATGCCATCCCACCAAGCAGGAGGAAGAAGTGGTGTGTAGGCACACTGGTTGGATTGAGTGTGGCAACTCAATGGCCCTGCAAATCTGTTCCACGCATGTCCCCAACCTATCTGATTCCTCCCCAACCCATCAGAAACCAAGTTCCTTTGGAAGCTACTTAGGAAACTCAAACTTTTTGAAGAATTATCTACTTCTTCTGATGATCAATCAATTCAAACACAATTAGCTAGCTAGCTAGATAGGAACTAACACAACCCCATTATCTCAGATCATCTCATTCATAGATAAGTACTGATAATCGAATTAGGATAGGATGGAAATTAAATTACCTGCAAGATGGTAAGCTGCCCCCAATGCTGCAATCAACTGTGCATATGTAGTCCCCACACGCCTGTGAGCCCCAGAAATAACAGCATGTTTTGCCCGCGAAGCAAGAAAAAAATCAACAAAGGCAACCCATCTTGGTGCTGGACCCCAATCCTTGCTTCTAAACTTATTTAATTTTCCTGTTGTTTTTTGAGCTCCTTCAAAATGTTTGTAATCAAAGTGCAGAACCTGACAAAACCCAACCCGATAAATGCTTCACAAATATAATATAATGGAACCATGCACAATTAAGTACGTACGTACTAATCAGATGTTAAATTAATTAGTTGTCTAAAAATAAAAATACGAGGCCATCACCTACATACCTACCTCTGCAAACTCATTTAAGTATGGAGCAATGTCTTTCACCAAAGAAGGTGTATCTGAAACAACAACAACTCTGGGTTTTGAACTTAGTTTAAGATTGGCTGCAGCTTTTTTTATGCAACCCAATGCTGCCCGAACTGCTCTCACTGACCTGATAGATAAAACACAATACATATATCATACAGCAAGCACTAGCTAGCTAGCTTGTACATATATACATACCTGTTTGTAAGCATCCGCATGTGCAGAGCTATATCGGGGTCAGCATCACCTTTAAGGACTGATTGCACACCACGTTCTACAACTTGCGAAGGAGATATTAGAACTCTCATTAACTCCCCAAATACATTTGGCCTATTATGAAGGTCTTCAGATCTCCCAAATAAAGCAGTGGCAGCTATCCTCATGTCATCATGTATATTCTTCAAAAAAAATTGAGCAGCCAAAGCGTCTGTTGTGTTTTGTAACCTAATAATAATGCAAAGGAATTGAAGTCAGCTCGATCAGCTGGCATTGCATTGTCTTTATATATAATTTGGATTTGGATGCATTAATTAATTAGGTACCATATGATAGGCTGTTTCCATCTCCTGAAATTGCTGCACAGAACATTAGTTCGCCTTGGCTTTAGGAAGTCATCAATTCTGATGACTAGATGCCTTCCATATTTTGTCAAACAACCATTCTGTCGCCAAAGATGCTTGATTTCATTCATGGTGAAGGCAACATCAGAGTAAGAAATGAATTCCCCAAAGGGAAACCTGCCCCTGATCGAATTATTAAGTTTAATTTGTTTATTTATAATGATCTCCGGCCTCCTCAATCTTTAATCACAACTGCATGCATGCGCTGGTAGCCTAGTCATATGAGAAAAGTATGTAGTACGTATGAAGTATATAACGCACAGGAATAAAAGGCTTTATCAGAGACCGACCTGGTTTGCCCAATAATCAGAGACCGGTTCAACATCACACTCAGTGCCGCCCCACTTAAAATCTTGTACATTTCGTTCCCAAAACCTGCTTCTGATGCCTTGCCCAACACAAACCCATGTCTGCAGAACTCCTTAGGCGAAAGTTTTCTCACTCTCGGGGCACCTAATAATAATAATAATAACTAAGAGCATGCCAACATTATTTGCACTTTATATATATGCAACTCGATCTCTTTCTTTCTTTACTTTTGCTTTCCCTTTTCCAGCTACTTAATTATAGTTAATAGTTCCCTCAAATAATTAATTATTATTATATTATAACTTCACTTCATTTGAATGTTCATCTTCCATTTTGGGAATAGGCAACACTTAGTCTAGTCAAAGGGAAAATGTTTCGTGAAAACAAATTTAGTCAAGCCCAACATTGTAAATTGTAATTAATTCCCACCACAATCTAATCTAGTATTACTGCGCGCAATTTAATTTAATTTAATCTAGATTTACTCAACTAACTATTCGTACTATACCATTTATGGCAAAGTGATTTTGGATGATTTTTCTGACCCTGAGAGCTTCCTCCAGAGACCCTCCGCGAAAGACCTCGCCCATCTCTTCAACTGTTGCGCATGTTTTGTTTCCTCCAACATCGGACCTGGTACTAGTATCAGCTACCTTGGCTACAACGGCTGCTTTGAGTGGGAGGTCGTCGGATCTTGATGAGGTGAGAAGTAATAAGCCAACGAGTGTGGAGAACGCACTGCTCAGCAGCAAGCAGCGCAGGGCAAGGCGCCTCCGTCGCCATCTAACTCCGACCACCACCCTCATATCTATATGTTAGCTACTAAGGGCCAATCACTTGAGCTGATACCGAGGAAACAACGCTGTTTAGGTCGTGATTTGTTAAACCGCACGTGCTACTCTACAGCTGTGCTGGCCTTAAAAGATTATTTTGTCCTTAATTTTTAAGGCACAACAATAGACATGGTAGAAATTTGAAATTCGAAGCATCACAAATGACTAGTTTGAAAGTTTTTTTTTTTTAATAATTAATTTTAATAATAAATTTTATAAAAAATTGAAAAAAATTAAATAAAAAATAAAATAAAATCGTTTTTATTTTTAAAAAAAAAATTTAAATAAAAATTTATTATTAAAATTTATTAAAAATGATTTAAAATTTATTAAAAATGCCAACTCAGCTGCCACGTAAGCAGATAACCTGGTAAAATTGAGGGTAACCTGCTATCAGGTAAAATTGCACATTTTTAGAGTGTTCAGTGGCCTAATTGTACTTTTTTTCGTTCAGTGGCTTAATTGCATTTTCAAGTTACGTTCAGTGGCCAATTTGAACCTTATTCCAAGATTATTTTGTCCTTAATTTTTAAGCACAACAATAGACATGATAGAAATTTGAAATTCGAAGCATTACAAATGACTAATTTGAAAGTTTTTTTTTGTTTTTTCTTTTTGAAACCAATATACAGAATATTATTAATAGCTCACAAGAGGAGTAATACAAGAGGATGGATTAGAAAATCACGACCCCAAAACAGACGAGGAATCAGTTGTCCGTGTAAGAACATGAGCCACGTGATTTGCTGACCTCTTGACATGACGAACCTTCACGTTCCCAATGTCACTAGCAATTTGATAACATTGCTTCACAATCAAACCAATATAAGAAAAATCTAACAAACGGGAATTAGGAAATTACCAGCGTATATCGTGGCCTCTTTCTAGGTAGTGCTTAGAGAGTTTCTCCCTAGGTGTCTAGGGTTTTCCTATCTCACTATGGCGGTTTTCATCAATCTGCGACGTGCATCCTATCTCCACGACGTCTGTCTGGGTATTTATCTGTGCATGTTGTATCTGCATGTTTTCATGTTCAATCCGTGTGATAGCCTTTGCGATCTGAGTGTTGTTCCTTACGATCTACCACCGGCGAGTCCCATCTTCATCCATCTTGCATGCAACGTTACCTCTGATTCATCCGTTCATATCGTCCTATACATCCTAGCTGCGAGTGTTTTTCTTATCGACCATCTTGTACGCGATCTCTGTTCCGACCAATTTGAAAGTTAAAAGACTAAACATGGTGAAACAACCAAACTTGGAGTACCTATGATGACATTAACTCTTTTTATTTTTTATTTTTTTAAAGAGAAATTTTCAATTTTGATCCTTTAACTATTATACTTGAATGTGAATCACATTTGGTAAGTCACATTGACCTATATGCATCCAAAATGCTTCATTGGACTCTAATTCCAAAATGCATGAAAATACTCAAACAAAGCAATTAAGTAAGAGATCTTTCACAATGATATCTACATTTTGGGGCTTGAAAATGAGATTAAATATGGAGTAAAGTGCAAGTAAAATGAGTTCAAACATACACTCATCATGGACCCTAGTTGGTCCCGCCAATGGTAACGTCTCTTTTGACGATTATAATGCCTATCATATCTCTCGTGTCTTCCTGGTGAGGACCTAATCCTCGCGAACTAGTCCGACTCTCGCCTTGCCAATTAAGACGTTCTTGCGAGTTCGAAGAACGCTCACTTTGTAACTCGGCTATTTTGACATATCTCGAGTTTGATTGCATCAAAAGATATGGGTAATACTGGTAGAAACTAGGAACACGTGCTTTTCGTAGCGTTCCTCATAGAGGAGCATGGTTTTATCGAGGTCATGTCCACCGTAAACTGGGTATGGAAATACAAAACGGGGGTTAAAAAGTAGTAGTATTACTGCTCGTTGCGCTATACCTAAAATGGTATGTATAAAGCCCAAAGAAGCATTGTTTTATCGAGGCCATGTCCACCATAAACTGGATACGGAAGTACATAACGGGGGGTTACTTTGCCATGTCCACCATAAACTGGATATGGAAGTACAGAACGGAGGGTTAAAAAAGTAATAGTATTATTGCTCGTGGCGCTAGTACTAAAATGGTATGTAATTAGGAATAATATTGTAGTTAGTGAGAGTCAAACCCTAGTGTTCTTATTAGAAGGAAGGACTAGTGAATACCAAACTAGGATGTATTGTAAAGAGTAAAGACCAAGAGATGCCTTTTAAGAGAAAACCATGGTGCCTTATAATGTTGAAGACTTTCCAGATGTTTGACAAGTGTACAATATCAGCTAGTTTTCATTCGTGGTTACACATGTATCCCCCACTACTTTTCTTCTAGCGCACTTCTTATGCATAAATGGAAGTTAGTACTTAGTAGAGAGTAGAGACCTCTTGAGTCATTTTAGAAGTGCTGTATCAAAGACATTTTTAAAGGGGTAAAGAGAAAATTTCAATTTTGGTCATATTACTATAGGGGCTTTGTTAATTTCAACACCTAACTTTCAAAAGTGTCAATTTAGTACCTTGAGTATGTAATTTTTGTCACTCTGGTCAAATTGCCGGCCAAATTTCGCCGGAAAATTTTAATAGTTGAAATAATGAGGTATTTTAGTCATTTCACATCTCTTTTCTTCTTCTCCGGCAAGTATACCATGTTTCAGTTGTTTCCGGCGAGTTCTCCCGACTTCGAAAGTACAGGCGAAGCGGTTCAAGGCCACTTTTAAAACCAAAACAAATCTAAACGCCACTTTTGCGAGCTTAACGGAATCAATGACCAAAGCATTTTGACTGGTAGCCTCCTTAGACCAGGCATCGCCGACGTTGGGGAACCATCGTGGAGGACCAAATCGAAGGTTCTGCAGCCATTCTAGCATTTTCTTCCGCCCAATGGAGGTGTCGGCGAAGAAAGAAAAAATGGTAAAATGATTAAATATTCTCATTATTTTACCTATTAAAATTTTTTGACGAAATTTGGCCGATAATTTGACAGAGCGATCAAAATTAACAAAAATTACATACTCAAAGATATTAAATTGACACTTTTAAAAGTTAGGTACTGAAATTAACAAAACTCTATAATCATATAACTAAAATTGAAATTTTCTCAAGGGGTAAATGTTGCAAGGAGATTTCGAGGGCATTTTCAAAATTCAAAAATAAGAACATGGACCATTAAATGGGCTTTCAACACGAGGCCATATGGGCCCAACCCGACATTCAAAATGAAGAAGAAAGTACAGGGCAGTGTAATTAAAATTCTGTAAATGATATGATTATTAAGAAGAAAGTTCCCCAACGGGTGCAGAAACGTAATGAAATTCAAATAGAGCAAATTTTCGCACAGAGATTGGGGCTGAGTGAGAGAGATCGCGTGTTACAGAATCGGGGAGTGTACTCACGTCACGGCTATGGCGATGGAGCTAGAAAGGGCTGTGCGGCTGGAGTTTCCTTTTTGGAGTCCGGCTCGTAGACGGTACGGTCCAGATGATCCCTTTTTTGCTGCTGGCAACATCGAAAGACAACTTCTCGCCAAACAGGTTGAGGCCTATTCTTCTGACTTATTAGTGCTATTTCTGTACTACAGTACTTTTTCTTATGTTAGGCTTTGGCATTTCGTAACATCAGGTAGCACTGGATTTGACTGAAGCAGAGAAGCAGGTGGTTCGAAATATGGATTACGGAGAAAGCAGGTGCATTATCTTAAAACTTGAGTAGATATTTCCATTTCTCGGCTATATTTCGGATTTTGTGGGAGAGAACCTCAAGTCATCATAAGAGACAATGACTTCATGAATTTTTATTTGTGGCTATTTAATAATATGATTATGAATCGCGGCCGATAATAAGTAAAATCTTATGAGAAACAAATCATTTCAAGGTCCAAGGGGAATATATTTCACAGTTAAGTTGCACAGGTTGCTGAATTTGGTATCAGAAATTTACCTTAACATATAGAGAACTTGAATTATGCATCTCCCTTGGGAAGTAATTTCTTGAAAGACTTGGTGTATTTTTGCTGCAGATATAAACAATATCAAGTATAATTAGTTGATATACAATTGATAAGTTGGTATTTGCCACTGATTTTTCCAGTTAAACATGACCTGGTCCCACGCATTTTTTATACTGCCACTTTTTAATACTCCATATCTTGTTTCTCTCTGCAAAGTTGTTATCAATAAATCTCTCTAAATGGATTTCATGTTGTTTAGCTGCTTGACTAGTCTACTTCACAGACTGCAAAAAAATGACTTGAGATGTTCAAAGTGTTATGTTCAAATAGTTGGGGTGGTTTGGCCTCACTTCATGTAATTTTGTTGTTTTGTTCCGTTGCATCCTTTGTGTGGAATCTATATACATAGTTAAAGGACTCAGTAGTCACTAGTCAGGAATACAACACTGAATCCAATTGCAACCTACCTCTGATCAGTGATGTCTTCTGTCCAATCATTGGGTGTTGTGCATGGTTGCGGTCTTTGGATGACTTTGAAGATCACTACAATGCACGGCATTCTGCATCTTGCTCCGTCTGCTCGAGAGTTTACCCCACATCACGCCTGCTGAGCATACATATATCTGAAGCTCATGATTCATTCTTTAAGGCAAAAGTTGCCCGTGGGTTTGCCATGGTAAGGTCTTTCTTCATCCTATTCTACTGCTGCATTTTAAAATACATTTTTTCCGGAGTTTGTCTTCTAAAAATGAATGCCTTCCTTGATTTTATATTTGTTGATAGAGTTTACCGAGTATTTTTATATTATTATTTTAATAAATAAGTTACTTTTCCTATTTAATGCTCTTTGGTGTTTGTGACATGTTTCAAGTATGTTCCACTAGTGATCCTGCTGCATTTGTTGTCTGTTTAGCAAAGTTGAAAAAATCGCTAGGCGCCTGGGGACCGCCTAGAGCGCCTAGGAGGCTGGGCGCGATTTTTGCAACAGTGCTCTTTAGTAAACAAACAGGCAATTCAAGGCACATACTCTTCCCCTCTTTCCTCACTTTTTTCATAGTTGATATGTAAGTTTTTCAGAAATTTTCATACTTCCCCAAATTTTAATAGAACATAAGTGGAAGTTTTATCTTGAGGAATCCTGCAATGATCTGGAATTTGTGCTTATCTTCACATGCTGATGCAGAAAATTAAGAACATATCTTGGGTGCATCATATTAAATGTGGTTATTTACTTATTAGTTTGGTGCTGTGCAGTATGAATGCCTTGTGGAAGGCTGTGGTGCTAAACTGAATAGCTACAAAATCCGGCTACAGCACCTGGTTGACAAGCATAAATTTCCAGCTTCCTATGAGTTCTTCAGAAAAGCCCATCCATCAAAGAAAAGAAGACAGAAAAACCAACTGCGGCAAGCATCATTTAAGACAGAGCAAGACTCGAATGCAATGCAAGTGGAGGATATGGACAAACTTGTTTCAGCAGTCTCAAAATTAAGCACTTCAGACTCTCCTTCGACCATCAGTTTTGGTCGTAATAGAAATCGTGGCTTGGCTTTCATGCCTCGAGCAGTTCAGTGTGAGAGAAGACCAAGACCAGACTCCTCCCAGTCCTCCTCAGTTGGTGGTGCATTAAATCGGAGAAAGTAACAGGAGGTTAGGGGTGCATCTGATTTGAGTTGTTTTATTGTATGGAGTCAAATTTTAGACTTTGTTTGACCAATACGCTTCATTTCGTTTTGTTGATTATGAATTATGAGAGTAGCCTGAGACGATTGTCTATTTTGCAAAGGAGGTATGAAAAAGAAGTAAAGGAGCAGGATTTTCATACATTATATTGAAGCTCTTAAATGGAGGTGGTAGTTGTAGGAAAAAAAAAAGGAAGAAACATTATGGCCTGGCTACACACACAAGTACCACAGGATAATGATAATATTTGAATATTTCACTTCTTGCACCATTCGGATTTAGCATCGTTATTTTACATCAAAATCCTCTTCACCTGCTACCATCCAAGGTTGTTTCGCACCCTGAAAATAAATAAATATATCGTTAAAAAAAACAAAGCCAGAATTCAAAACATCATATCCAAATTTCCTAACACAATGCCAGCCTAAAGAATATCAGACAATACTACTCTGGGCCTAACTTCTATATTTCCTAACACAAAAGCCAGCCTGGAGAACCTGGTTTTTCTCTCTCATACTCTCATCTCCTCTCTCCTCCAACAAAGCATAAAAACCCACCAAAAACCTACATTCAGGTTGCTCTAACTTACAAGCAGCATATAGTCAGTCATATACAAATGAAGTTTAGATGAAAAATGGACAGCAACCCCCACCAAAACATAGAATAAGGTTGTTGGTTTTTACCTTGCCTTGCCGTATGATTTTAGGATAACTTCCAGTCATATCAACAACAGTTGATGGATCAGCAACTCTAACACCAGCATCGACGACAAAATCTAAGCCCTAAAATGTTATAGACACAGCAAATCATATTACTGAACCCTAATGCAAACTTAAAAACCACTCAGGCCCAAAACAAAAGACTGTACCTCTGGACCATATACATCAGCTATAACAACAGGATCCAGAATCCACTCATTCTCTTTAGGCGACTTGACACTGAGGTAAAAGACAAGTTATATGATCAGGCAGTAATATCCTTACAATTGCCAAACCCATATCATATTCTGTGCAGTGAAATGCTCCAAAATATATAACTTTAACAAAATGCATTCCTAAATAGATAAATTTACTTAATTTTCATTGCAAGTATCCACAGTTACCTTGTGGATATTAAAGGTCCGTCCATCTTGTCCAGGATAGCTTGACACACTGGGTCATCAGGTATGCGAACACCAACATTTTTCCTTGATGCATATTTGGACGTAGTAGTTCCATACCTTGTGCATTGTTTAGGCAGCTCTTTGCTTGCAGTTAAGATGAAAGTATACTGTCACATGAAGCAGGCCTGTTAAAGAAGATGTACAGTGTTCAAAAGCTCTAAGAAACCAATTGTTGCCCCTATATCAGTACCCATCGCAACTTAACATAAAAGGGGACTAATAAGACATTATGAGCATCAAACAATTTCCCACTGCAGATGGTTTTACAACCATCAAAGGAAAAAGAAAAAAAAAAAACACAACTTACTCTCTATGTTTTCATGCTTCACTGTCATATCCTGTATATTTGACCATATGAACTTAAGATGAGAACAACAAAGCAAAGATACAGCATAAAGTCTAACGGTCCACTGCAGCGAACCCATCATAACCCCACAATGTACAAATGCCGGAGTTTTGGAGTAATGAAAATGAATCAAATTGTCTTTAACAAGATCAATATGTTAAACAATCACACTTACAGGGCCAGGCAGGCAATGTTTAACAGCTCGAAAAATGTTGGTAAAACCATGGTCATCGCCACGAGGAAATCCTGTTGTATATTTATCTATGTCCCGTAAGGAATGGCATAAGATACTAAGGGGCTGCAATATAACACAGCAATAAAATAATATTATTGGAATTGACAAATACTCATCAGGACAACAGACTGGTTCATTATTCCAGGGGGCAGGAAAGCTAGCTCAAATTCATAACACATGCTTAGAGCAGGAACTTGCCTTTGTAGCTTCTATGTTTTTAATTCTGCAAAACAGAAGCAAGATTCCAGTCACCAATTCACCACAAGAGTTGACAGCAGAATCTAATGAAAGAAACAAAAGTCACTTACCTACGCAAACGTTCAATTGCAGTGTGGCTCCTCAGATCACAAGCTATTGCATACCTAGTATCATGGCTTACTAGATTAGTTAAGCAACAAAAGCATGAGATAAAACCAAAATGAAATGGCATTGGTGCACTGCAATCATGAAATGTGTTGAAAAACATTTATCCTATTATGATGAATTATCAATAGGGGGGAGAATAACAAACAGCATGGAAGGAATATAACATACACAGTGTCTGTGGGGATCACTCCTACAGCTCCCTCTTTAAGAAGTTGAATAACAGGATCCAATTTCCAAGAGTCTGATCCTGAAGGATCAACTTCAAGGTAGAGTAAACCATCCTCCTGGCACATTCCCAATTATAGAATCAATAAGGCAATCTGCCCATCTATTACTGTAGTGCCAAATTACAAAAAAGGTCTAGGAAATCAAGTGCCTGTGATTGGGAATGTTAAGCCTTATAAAAGACTAATAAGATTGTCACGTGCCATGAGATGTTCTTCCCCCTGTCATAAGTTGCCTTTTACACAAAATGCTCGTAATTCGTCACATGGATACCTCTGCATGGGCACCTGATCATGTGGCTTTCAAGCTACTTAAGTTATCTCCGAGGAAAGGGGAAGTGTGTCATTGGATCACTCAAATGGATCTTATTTGGATTGGTTATGACTAGACAAAGGGATATTTATGATGACTAGATTTTATGTAAGCTCCATGAATAAATCTAGTGTTTGATTATGAAGAAAACTCATCTAGTGTTTGATTATGAAGAAAACTCTTGTGTGCTTGTGGTTTATCAATGTCTTATCAATTCAAGAACAAACTCACCGCTCTAGGAAAGTAAGTAATATGGTAACGGATAACAAAGACGTTTGCAAAATACTAAGATTAGACAATTTAGTTACTTTCCCAAGGCGTTGAGTATCCCCGTGGTTTTTTTTTTTAATACTAAAATAATAATTGATAAACCACAAACACACGAGAGTTTTTTTTTAATACTAAAATAATATTGAAAATTCTTGAATTGATAAACCACAAACACACAAGAGTTCCACAAACAGAGAAGTTCTTCCTAATTAAACATAGATTTATTCATGGAGCTTAAATAAAATCTAGTCATCATAGCCCGCCCAAAGATCCTTTGTCTAGTCCTAACCAATCCAAATAGCAATAGAATGAGAAATAATGTAAAACTTGGAAACTTTATATGACTAGTCTTATCATAAAGAAAAGTCAGTATTTATAGGCTTAAGATAACAACTAAATCTAAGAATCGCAACAAACTCAATCCTATCTCGTAAGAATCTCTACACGTAGAAAATTGAACACATCACGACGCATATGATTAAGCCTCTAGCGTAAAATTTAAGGTTGATCGGTGAAATTATATAGAGAAAATAAGAGGAGAAAACTTAATGAAACCTTAGTGAAACGAGGAGTAGAGTACTTGAGACGTTTAGGGCTCCTCTTAACAACTGCCAAAATTTCGAATTTACGGCTTTGATGTAAAGGAGAAAGTACGACATTCAAATTCGGGAGAGACACGCGTCTCGGTAATAGGCACGGAGAGTGGGAGAGAGAAGAGGGCAGTGTTGCTGCAGCGACGCCACCGCATCGGCATGGCTGCACTATCAACGCCATTCTTTCCGGCCAAACGAGTACATACGACGTCGCCTGCTCTTTTAGAGAGTATGTAATGTAGCCAGCCGAGTGTTCAAACTCCCGGAGAAAACTCTCTATCCGCAGAACGCCCGACTCACTGGACTCTACTACTCCCCAATATTTTTTCTTTATTATTATTATTAAAGAAAGAAAATTGTATTTTTTTTTTCCATTCAATTATATTCGTATATTCGTGGAACAGACGTGAGGTATAAAGTTAGGATTTTAATTCTCTAGAAACTATTTTTGCTACTAATATCTTACTTAATAAGGTGACAAATTTAGTGAAAACTAAACAGGCCATATTACACCCAACTTATTAAAAATGAGGAACTAAATCTTTAGCACGAATATATAAATGTAATTTTTCTTTATTATTTTAAATTTTTATTTTTATTACTATTATTGAATCAACCGTCAACTCCAACAGACAGCGAAGTGGCGGTAAATTGTAACCATGGGTACGCACGGCACGGCTGTTGGTTGGAAACAATAAATCCCAATTCCAAACACTGGACTCTAAGATTCTATCCATCTTTCCATGGCTTCCGTTGCCCTTTATTCTACCACTTTCCCGCCGCCCAAAGCATCGCCGCCTCTCGCTGTTTACTTTGGCGCCAAAGCCAGCAACTCCGCTGTCCCTTCGCTTTCCTTTGGAATCGCGCGGCCAAAGTCTCATCCGTTAAGAAGGGCTTTTGTTTGCCGAGCAGCCTCAGTCGTGTTTCGCGATCTAGACGCCGATGATTTTAGGCATCCTCTTGATAGACAGGTTATCGACTTCCATGATTTGATTTTGACTTCAATTTTTGTGCAGTAATGTATTGTTTTTATTTCGATTTTGTTTAGTACGTGATTGTTGATGATTTCGCTTAGTTCCTTTGCTAATCTTTTTTCTTTTAATAATTTGAGCCGCCATAGAATACACTGCTTTTGAGAGCAATTCCAGGTTTGAATGAGGTCGGCAAAGCTTTATTGGGTACGTCATACATTACTTTTATCGATTAGCAGAACATATGAAAATGCATGATTTGTAGTAAATTTTTCTTTTTAGCTTCATCCCTAAGTCATCAGATTTTTGCTGCAGGAACTGTGTCAGAGCAGGTCATGTTTCTGGAGAACATAGGAACATCACTTCTTGTTTCTGAAAATCAGGTCACACCCTTTAAATTCAGTTTGACCAGTGAAACTTTGTTCTGTGATCATATGATTGTGCTACATTCCTTTTATATCTTTTGCCAGTATCAGTCCCAGTCCCCCAGAAAGACAGAAATGATGTGAATTTTGTTTCTGCTATTTACTACTGTATTTTAGAGCTCATTTAAATAAACTTGAATTGAAGGAAAATTCTGTCTTCATTTCCTTTCAGCTCCCTGAACTTCATCAATTAATGGTTGAGGCTGCTAAAATACTAAGCATTGAGACTCCTGACTTGTATGTGCGTCAAAGTCCTGTACCAAATGCATATACTCTGGCCATCAGTGGCAAAAAGCCTTTTGTCGTTGTCCACACAAGTCTAGTGGAGCTCCTCACACGGAAGGAGTTACAGGTTATGTAGTTTACTTGCAATCTTCTCTTTGCTCTGCACAACAGCAATGAAACAGTACATTCCTGGTTAAATGGTGTTGGTTTAGACACACTTTTGATATGGTTGGTTATTCTTCTGTAATCCCTTAAAAGTTTTATAGACTTAATTTCTGGCATAGATGCTCCATTAGAACCTCAAAATTTATCAAGGAAAAGAAATGGCGTAGAAAAATGAAATCAAGTTTTAGAATAAAAAATTCTTTCCTTCTTTCTTCTGTGCTTGAAAAGTATCCTACTATCCTATTTCAATTACTGAAAAATCAATATACATTTTTCAGTCCTAAATGTAAAGGGATGTCATGGTGATCTTGTAAACCCATCATCCATCACTATTTTCTGTGACCCCTTATCAAAGGTAGTGGTAATCTTTGCTGATTATGGTAGCCACATGCTATTGCTACTCAAAGGCCAGAAGAATGCCTGAAATTGCAAGTCCAAACAAGTTTCCTCCTTGCCCTCTTTTCCTCATCTTTTTCAGTTGTGTTTACTATACTCACTTCTGGTTATTGTTTTTACCTACAATTTTCGCTTATTTCATTCAATCCAAACACAAGGAACTTCCTTTAATATATGCACATTCTAAACAGAGCATGAAAGTCTTTTAGTCTTGCTAAATGCAGGCTGTCTTGGCTCATGAGTTAGGTCATTTGAAGTGCGATCATGGTGTGTGGCTGACAGTTGCAAATATTCTCACTCTTGGGGCATATTCTTTACCTGGCACGTCTTGCTCTGCCTATGCTTTTACTTTCAGATAATTTGAAGTTTAGAGTGGTTATCTGCACCTCAAACAGATATGATGAACTTTGAGATAAATTACTGCTTGATCAGAAATTCAAAATTCAATCAGCTAATTATTAAGGGAGGGGGAATTGATTAGTTGAGAGAGATACCAGTAAAAAGTGAAGACCGCATGTTTGTGCTCAATTATGAATTGACTTTAAAATGTTTATTTATAGGTCTTGGTGGTTTGATCGCTCAACGATTGGAAGAACAGCTTTTTCGCTGGCTTCGTGCAGCGGAACTCACTTGTGATCGTGCAGCACTTCTTGTTGCACAAGACCCAAAGGTATTGGATCACAATATATTTCTAGTTTCAAACAGGGAATTAATGTTACGGGATATCCTCACTTCATGGATCTCCTTCCTTTTCATTCTTCCAAAAGGTTGAACCCCAACCCTAAATCTCCTTCCTTTTCATGTACCTACAAGAGGTGGTTGTCTCTGTTCTAATGAAACTTGCTGGTGGCTCCCCATCTTTGGCTGATCAACTGAATGTGGATGCCTTCTTGGAACAAGCTCGCTCTTACGATCAGGCTTCTTCAACCCCAGTGGGATGGTATATAAGGTAGTGTAGAGCAGCAGGTTTTATGGTACAAGGTACTTTGCTATTGGTTGTGTTCCAGTTTGTTAAATACAGTAAACCTAATTAAAATGTTTTATTTTTTTCTTTCAGAAACGCTCAAACAAGGCAACTTTCACACCCTCTCCCTGTTTTACGTGCACGCGAGATAGATGAATGGTCAAGGAGTCAAGAGTACCAGTATCTTGTGAAACGCGCAATGCGGGTCAATTCTGTGTAACAAATTCAATTATGAATTCAAGATTGAAATCTAATGAGCTGCGAGATTTTCAGGTTAGTAGTATAGTGTTTTTATTATAATTTCCTGCATTTTTTGTGAGTAGAAGGCTTAAATTTCAAGTGCATATATTACTCCTTGACCTGGTTTGGAATTGGAGGTCTCACTTTTGGAAGCGTGTTCCTCTTTCTTTGGTTCTCTTTTCAGGCCTAGGCCTGGGTTGCTAGTTAATGGATTGAAGCAGCATAGGAAAAAGTCAGTGGAAGCAGTATGTATACTGTATAGGAGGGTATAGGATTGAAAATTCATCTGCTTATGGCAGAGTATTACTTGTATGTATGTAGAAATAAATTGTTAAAGCACAAATGTAAGGTGGCGAGTAACATTCTTCAACAACTTGATGGTCAGCTTCGAATCTGCAACCTTTCCACCACAAATGAATACATACCACAAAAAGATAAAATTCAAAGCATCCAGAACAGATCTAATGTGATTATATTCGAAGTTTGAAGTCAATACTACGTTAAAGTACACTCCTATTGAGTCCAACAGCCATGCAGCATCAACCACAGCAAATGCTTGAACATCACCCCATACATACATGATTTCCTCAATTGATTCTGAAAGCAATGTGCAAAGATCAACCACATCCTTGCTTTTCCAAACTCTTGAACGTGTAGAATCTAGCAAAACAATTCCATCCTTCTCCAAAGGACATCTTGTAATCCTCAACATTCATGAGCTCCCAGGGGCATCTGTAGTTGGTTTGCGATTCAGATAGCGAATAACAGCATCTTCAACCCTGTTATTGAAATAAAGTGCAATAATGAATACACATCCAAATATATAATACCCAAATGTACTTCACTAAAAAAAAGTCCACTAATACAATATCTATGTGGTATCAACTACCAAAACAATTAGACAACACTACTAATGAGTAATGAAGCATGTATACTTCTAACAAACTGGAACTATCACTTTAGAGGTCTCGAAGGGTTTCAGTAATCAGGTGATAAATTAATATGAAATAGATGAATTAGCAATGTGATTACACCTATCATGCATCACTGTCATAGATCCTATGGCCAAATGCCGGGCTTGAAAACAAATTCTCTCTCACACACACACAGGCGCTGTATATATTATAGGGCGGTTATCTTATTTCTTATCTATTAGGATAAGGAATTGTTTATATCTCACATCCAATTTGAAGTTTCACAATAAAGCTTTCAAGTGCAGAAAATGCAATTAAGTACTCTGAGCATTAACACAACTTAAATGCAAGGCAAAGAATCTAAGAATAACAGCAAAGAGTAAGTACCAGGGTTGGCTGTAAAAATCTGACCGACGCTCTTTCTCGGCATTGTGACTAGCTTCTGCAGTAACAAGCTTGAGATCCTTACCCTGGGAATCAATTAAAGCATTAATGAACTCAACAGGTGATTGGCTAAAACCAAGAAAGAATGCCCGTCTCCTTCTGTGTTCATGGATTTTCCTAATAGCAGCACAAATTGCTTCATCACAGGCATCTATCTCTTTACTTTTTTCTGTGCTTGCCAGCAATGCACTCAATTCTCTCTGTATCGGGAAGGGCACATCAACCAACACGTCATAGCATGCACTTCCAGCAGGGCTATTACCAGAAAGTTTAATCCTGTGTTCTAAATGAATGGGCTGTGGAGGAGACAAATGATGCGTGATCTTTTGTGTCACTGCTGTGAATTTAACCTTACTTTCCCCAAACACTTTTTGAAGAAGTGGGTCGCAATTGAAATATGAAGGATCATCAGCACTCTGCAACTTTCTAGCTTTAACATAGTGCCAGATTGCAGCTATAATCCTTGCACGAGTATCAACCTCAATACCTAAAACTTCTGTCAAAGGTTGTGAAAGTTTATACTTCTCGGGCGAGTAATTCAACTCTAATCTAATATTCACAGTGAATTCTTGATCTCCCTTCCTTTTTACCTCGAAGCCCTCATGAAGAGCAGGAGATCTAGCACTGTCCCATATTATAATATGGTTATCAGGATAGAGTTTCTGGTCCAGGGAAATGGTGACTCTTTTGAAGAAAGAAGAAAACTTTGGGTACATAGAGCTTGATTTCTGTAACATAGCAGCTTGATCAGGATCCATTCCTTCCTCTAAAATCCTCCCTACTATTTTGAGAGTCCATGTAGGAGGCTCAGCGTTGGGTTTTTTAGGAATAGTCCGGATCTGGTTAGCAAAAGTGTTGAATACATAAATCCTAAGGGTCTTCTGAACAGATGGAGGGGTCTTTAATGCATCCTGTATATCAACTTTCTTTCTTGCAAGTGCAGAATCCACACGAGACTCAAACTCAAGTAGCTGAGTGTAGAGAGCAGATTCAGGCAAAATTGCTGCCACTCTTTCCTGTAATTGCTTTTCAGGAAGCTTCTGCTTTTTCTTACGAGCAGCAGCAGAAAGGTCCATGGTTCTCATCGGAGAAATTGTGTTGGTAGTTGACAAGCCAGGTGGACGGACGGGTGGTTTTTGTGGAAACCTTTTGACACTGGCATTTCCAATCCCTGGAAGAGAAGGGGATGAGCCTAAATTTGCAATCCCAGCAGTATGGGCCTGGCTAAGGGGAGCAAGGGCCAGACCCTGAGCTTGTAACTGTGCCTGAAACTGAGCATGTGCAGCCGCTTGAGCATGAGCATGAGCCTTAGACTGAGCTTGTGCCTGAGCAATGGCTTGGGCATGAGCTGCAGAGAGCTGGGACAACTGAAACTGATTCGGAAAACCAGATGGCATTCGCTGTTGAGGTTGGGGCTGAGACTGAAGGTGAGCAGCAGGATTGACAGACATGGAATTTCCAAAGGGAGAGGAAACCCCAATGCTCTTTGGCGGGTTATTGTTGTTGCCGGACATCGAAAATGTACAAACTATTCTAGGTCCCAAAGATAACTCACATAGGCAGCCAAGCTGCCCTTTTTAAAACACAAGCTAAAAATCTACAAGACACAGAAAAATAAAAATAAGAGGGTGAGATCAAGCTCTATGAGCCACAAAACAAACCCTAAATTTTGTTGAAAGAAACAGAAATAGAGCGAAGTAAAAAGCGTGAGGAAATAATACAATGCTAACAAAGCTAATTGCGGGAAAAGAGAACCCTAAACCTAATTCAGTGGACTCCAATTACGACCTTAAATTGAAAATAGGTGAGGAAACCAAGCAAGGAAGTAGTAAGAAGTGATTGGAAGAAGAAGATGAGCTTTCTTCAAAATCCAAAAAAAAAATAATAATAATAATAAAGAAATGCAGAAATTAAAGCTCAGAAGTGGAAGGTGGGAACAGCACGAAAACGAGGAAAGGGTTTAGATCGAAGGTTGTAATACCTTACAGCGTGTGCGTGTTCTTCGTCGATGACTTCTTCCTAATCGTCGTCGTCGTCAGCGACTCCGGGAGGAAACGGGTAGCGAGCCTTCTTCCTAATCGTCGTCGTCAGCGACTCCAGGGGGAAAGGGGTAGCGAGCACTGACTTGGGGTTTACTCCCACGGCGTCTAGTTCGGTTTTGTGTCAGTCCATTCGCCGAGGAAAATCAGGAAATTATTAAAATTTCATGATTTTTTTCCTAAACATAACAGAGTAAACATGCTTATAGTAATTTTGGTTTAAGCTTACGGCTCAATTTGGAAATTAGCTGAAAAGTTATAAGCTAGGAGCTGAAAGTTGAAAATGAGCTGAAAGCTGAAAAGTTATGAGTTCAGAGCTGAAAACTGAACTGTTATAATAGAAAGTATTTGGTAAAATTAACTTTTTGATAAGCTGATAAATATAAAAAGACTAAAAAGGGCATCTTCATAAAATTTAAATTAGTTTGTTTGCGTATTAAAATTTAACATTTTGTCTTTAAAAAAAATTAACATTTTGAAATAAAATTATTAACATCTAGCATCTCATAATGAAGTAGCAATATTGTTACAAATCTCATAATAATAATAATAATAACAATAATAATAATAATAATAATAATAATAATAATAATAATAATAATAAGGGAAAATGACACATTTTTCCCATGTGTTGTTTACTTATAGCATATTTCCTCCCTGTGTTGTTTATGTAACCACTTTATCCCCTCACTTGTTGTTGAAGTGGCTATTTTCCCCCCTCTCCCTTAAATAAGTGTTAGGGCGGTTAAATATGAGGATAAAAATGACATTTCACTTCTTCTTCTTCTTCTTATTATTATTATTATCATTATATTATCATTATCATTATCATTATACCCATATTTGTTTGCTTCTTTTTAATTATTGTGTTTGATGTGCATATATACATTTGTGCTCAGAAAACAAATGGATGTTGTGCGTACATATGTTGAAGCAACAGAGAATGATGCTAGACTGGAACAAGATTATATTGTATAGTAGTATAGATTCATGAAGCCAATTAAGCCGGACAGTTTATTTAATTTGCTTCATTCAAGAACTTTACAATTGCCACAGATTGTAAGTAGTTTATCTGTACGTTATCTGTATTGATGATATGATTGATTATACATAAGAAGTTTATTTGTGGATCGATGAAGTTCAGAATTCTCCAAATTTTATTTTGTTCTGATAAATCTTCATTTTTGTACTGCTTGCTTGCTTGCTTGGGCTGAGGATATTATGGCATGTTTGTTTGTTTAATGCTGCAAGTGATCTACTTCGCCATTTTCCCTAATAATAATAAGAAGAATAAGAATAAGTGAAATGTCATTTTTACCCTCATATTTAACATTTAACAGTCTTAACACTTATTTAACGGAGAAGGGGAAAAATAGCTACTTCAAAAACAATTGAGGGGGATAAAGTGGTTACATAAATAACATAGGAGGAAAATATGCTATAAGTAAACAAAACAGGGGAAAAAAGTGCCATTTTCCCTAATAATAATAATAATAATAATTGCGGTGAAAGTTGCGGATAAAGGAGAAAAGAAAAGGGTTTTAATTGGGAAGGATAAATTATGTCATTTCTTTAAAGTAATAAGGATAAAGATGAAAAAATAAGTTAGGAAACTATGAGCTTATTTTGAAACTCTACCTAAAGTAGTGTTCCAAAATAAGCTCTTATTTTAAGCTAGGAGCTTATTTTGGGAACATTACCAAAAGAGCTTATAACTTATTAGTAGCTTAAAATAAGCTATAAAACAGAGCTTATGTACTAACCACGACGATTTATCTGTCACTATGAATTAAAATATGATCAATTTAAGTTATTATATTCTTAAGAAAAATTTCAATTTTGATCCACTGACTATTGGAGTTGTGTTAATTGTAACACTTGACTATCAAAAATGTTAATTTAGTACCTTGACTATACAATTTCTATCAATTTTGGTCACGCCGGTCAAATTATCGACAAATTTTCACAGAAAAATTTAAGTCAACAAATATATTGGATTGCAAGGGGCAAAATAGTCTTTTCTGATCCACTACCGGCGAAGGGGTTTACTCTCATGGCGTCTAGTTCGGTTTTGTGTCAGTCCTTTCGTTAAGGAAAATCAGGAAATTATTAAAATTTCATGATTTTTTTCCTAAACATAACAGAGTAAACATAGGTTTATAGTAATTTTGGTTTAAGCCTATGTACTAACCATGATGATTTATCCGGCATTATGAATTAAAATATGATCAATTTAAATTATTATATTCTCAATTATTTTTCATCTATAATTTTTAATCTGTTTCTTCTTACGTGGAAATTTATTTACTAAGGTCTTAACTTCTTTTTTTTTTAATACTACTGACTCTATTACTAAGGTCTTAACTTTTACGTAAAAATTTGTTTACTAAGGTGAACGTCTGCCCAACCACGATTGATGCTTGCCAATGCTAGATGGATGTGTCATTAATTGGGGAGTCTCCCCATTAAAATGCTTGATAAAATATGATTTGCTAAAATGCTTGATAAAATGTTAACCAAAGTCCTCAATTTCTATAAAGTATCTAATAAAATGTGCAAGTGGATTTCTTCGTCTGTAATCAAAAAACATTTTTATTTGTTATCTAAATCTAAAAACAAAATAAGTGTTAATACTGATTATATCCTTGGATTTTTGTCCGTGTTATTATTGCTGATCTGTTTGTACATTGTGTTATTAATATTGTACATGATTTTTTAAAGACAAAAATACCCCAGAATATTCTGTTACTGTTAAATACCATTTGCAATCATGTTTCCTCCTTCATCTTCCCCTTTATCGCGTAAGAATCTGAGATTTCCTCCTTCATCGCCTAATAATTTGAGACGTTTCTTCCTCCGTCATCGCCTTAAGAATATGAGTCTCAATCTACTATTACAATCAACGGGATAAGTTTCTCCTTCACTTCCTTCATTTTCACCCTAATAGTAAGCACAAATTCCGATCAAGGATTTAAGCAATCAAAGGTAAAAACAAGATATTCGAAGCAGAGATTGGGTAGGATTGAAGCAATTAAAGGGATTCAATGGGTTTGATCGTTGATCGAGGCTATGATTTTTCTAATTTTATTTATCAAAGGTAAATTTATTGATTAAAGCCTAATTTTTAAGTGGACGTTCTGAATCATTGTTATTGGTTGAAAATTAGATGCATTTGTTTTTTTGGTAGAGTAGATGCATTTGTTATATACTACTGGTTATGATTATCGGTCGGACACCGCTGCATGTGTCTTTCTGGTGGTGACTGAGAAACATGAGAAATACAATAATCTTTGCATTCTGTTTGGAAGTGTATAACCAGCCATGAAATCCTACCTGTTTGTTTCTCAACCGATCAACTATTGTCTTTCTTATGAGTGCAAAGTTTCATTTTTATCTGTATGTCTGATGTATTATAATATATTTATGTTCATGGTTAAGTGATCTCTGCTTTTAGAGATAAATCATGAAAGACCAAATGTATGACTTTATTCTTATTAGTTACTCGTCAAAACCCAACTTGTTGAGCAAGGTTGCTTATGGTCTGCTATGCTTTTACATCCATTTTGTAAAGAGTTTCATTCTTTTTTCTTGATGTTTTGCTGTTTGGTTGATAGGTACATTTACCTCCCACATTGGCCGGTAATATAATTCTTCTCCATCTGTAATTGTAATTGGTGGGAGGTATTTCAGGCTTAGCGGTTGCACGTGTCCTCCAGAATGCATCTTTCAAGGTAGATTGAATTTATTTATCTTATCCTCATTGGCTGAAAACTTACTTTTATGGACCAATTTCACAACAAAGGCTATATGGTATTGTACTAGGTGATATTGTTGGAATCAAGAGATAGAATTGGTGGACATATTCAAACAGACTACTCGTTTGGTTGCCCTGTTGACATGGAAGTATTATGGTTAGTGTTTCTATTTCAGAAGTTTTATCTAGAATGCACTTTTGTGCATTTTTACATGTAGGTTCAATGAGCGTAGTTATATAACTACTATTTCATTTAGTTTTTACATGTAGGTTCAATCAGCTTGGTTATATAACTACTATTTCATTTAGTTAGAAACAATAAATACTGAATATTTTGTGTTCTGGTGTGCTCCTTTCAGAAGTTTTATCCAGTGCTCCTTTTTATATGCGTCCATAGTTGTTGAGATGTTACCCTGTTTTGTCAAATAGTCCTGGCTATCATGACCACCTTTAAGTGGAACACTTGAGATAAGGGATGATGGAATTTTGTTAGGAATCAATTTGGGAGCTTGCTTATTTTCTTCTACAATGCTGTTGTTATTTTGAGTTTTGTTTTGCTTCTTTTCCTTTTTTCCTTTTACCATTTTTTTTTACACTTTTTTTCCTTTCAGTAAAGTTTATATAACCTTATCAATAAAAAAAAATCTAGAAGTTAGTGAATATTAATCTAGATTTCAGAATATTCATAATTCATACATGTATGTCTATCAAGTATAAAGTATGTCTTCTATTGCCAATGTTTATGCTAGCTTTTGATTAAGTGTAAAGTATGTCTTCTATTGCCAATGTTTATGCTAGCTTTTGATTAAGTGCTTTCAAATTCCATGTGCAGAAAAGAGTATGAGATACACAATATATTTTTAATAAATATGATTAGTACTGCATGAGTGCTTATATGATAAATGGTTCATTATGTGCAGGAGATTGTACTTTCTGGTGGCCATGGACTAATGGTTCAAGGTTACGTTATTACCCTGTAACACAGGCTTTGGCTAAAATTACTCTAATTCAAAGGTCAACATTTCCTTTATTGTTTTTTAGTTCAAACGCGTACATTTTAAGAGGATATTTTCGTAATTTAAACGTGAAGTGTATATGTGTTTTTTTTTCAATTTAATTGACTGCCAACAATGAGTGTATAGCGTGTTGTTCTTTCGCATCCATAATTTGGTCTCCTCCATTACTCATTACGAAGTACGCATTTCTCTTTTCTTATCGACTTTAACTTAAATTTACGCAATTCTCTTTTATTCTCCTGTGTGTTCATATATTTGCCCCCATCACTCTGTATACGCACGTGTCACTGTATAAGTGCAGGACATGTTTATTCTTTGCTTTCTTCATTGCCCTTTTTTTTTTTCACAGTAATACTGTAAATGTCAATATGTGCATACTTGAGTAATTGCATGTGTTTTTTTTGCCCATGATCTAACTTGCACGTACGGCAGCCCATAAAGTAGGAAGTAAATTTAATAGCATTATGGATTCTGCAACATTAACCATCCATGGAGCACACTTTTGTAAAGGCTATTTTACTCTTCTACTTGAAAACATTTTCTCAATTATGTCAAAAATTACTTTAATTACCTTCGCATCCCATTATTGTCTATTTACATTGCGAATTAATTGATCGTGGTTTTGGTGCTGAAAATTAATAGTGAAAGATAAGAAGACCATGCCTAGAAATTATAAAGGGACTGTAATTCAAAGTGTCTAAGTTTCAATACTCTAGGATTCCATCTATCAATTTTCATAATCTAGAACTAAGAATAGCAAAGTTACTAAAGACAACAGGCTATGGGTGAAATTAGTTCAATGTGAATGTTATAAAATCACACATCTCATTGTGTGATTCAATAAAATATGACATCACTATGAATTGGTGAATCTGTCATGATACGTAGTGTGGACATTGTCCTCCTAAAATATGATATAAAATGATTGAATTGAACATATGTGTTTATGGTAAGTTGAAAAGACAAAAGGAATTTTGAAAATGAATTGATATTCTTTCATTATATATGTTAAGTTAATTTGATGAAATATATTGTGAATTTGTTAATTAATTGGCCAAAAAATATTCATTCCATATACTATAGAAAAAAAAAAAGAGTGAAATGTGGATACCAATTAACACATTCTTAATTTAAATTTTATTAATGGAAAATACATGATAACTAAATATACAAGCAGAATATAATTGTAATAGAACGTTCAATACTTTACTTAAAATTACAAATTTATATATTCATCACAATGAATTTGTATTTCTTGTGTAAATTTCAATTACATCAACAAAATAAACTTTTTGTGAATATTTATAGAACTTCGCCAACTCAAAAAACTTTACAAATGCATTTTATCTATTTCAAAATAATTTACTAATTGAGTTTAACTATTGGGCACAAGTTTTCGCCCAAAGCGCGTAGAAAAAACTAGTTATATTATATATATGTTAAAATTTGTTATTAACATTACTTATATGTTGTTAGACTATAGTTTATTATTATTATTATTAATATTTGTTATGTTATGATGTATTCTAGATTAGTCCTAGTCTAGTGGCTATTAGTTAGTTCTCTCTCCTGAGAGTATTAATTGTAATCTATTTCAGTTATTGATTATCTCTTTCCACATTCATCTGGTATTAGTTAGCCAGGCAAATCTCACGCAAATTTTTTTTTTCCTTTCCTCTATCGACAATGTCGAGTAGCTCTAAGCGTACCGTGACCACCATCTCCTCCCCAAATAATTCCCCCAACACCCTAACGAGCGCACATCACTTCGTGTCGCTCAAGCTCACGCATCGGAACTACCTATACTGGCGGACTCAAGTGATCCCGTTTCTCCGGGGTCAAGGCCTGCTAAGCTTCGTCGATGGAACTCGGTCACAGCCATCACCATTCCTGGAGGGACAACATCTCCACCACGGAGAATCCGGCCTATGCGGCCTGGGTGCAACAGGATGCATCCATCCTCTCTCTTCTGATCTCCTCATTGTCTGAAGAGGTAATGTATTTAGCTCTTGGACAAACCACCGCACGTGGTGTATGTTAAAATTTATACACCCCGATCTAGTTACTATCAAACTACACGTTCTAAAAGAACTCAGTATGACCTAAAATGTTCTACCTCTATAAAAAATCTCTTACAATATTTTTTTATATAATAAAATGATTTAATTGTTTACATATTTCAATGATCAATGGTGAAACAATTTATTTAAATAATTTTAATGCAGTACGAAGTATTTACATGCCATCTCCAATAAACTAGTAAAGTAATAATTCTAGCTTAGTCAATAATTAAGCAAAGTCGTCAATGATCCAATAATAATAATGATGTACAATCATTTTGTAATGAAATAGGGTAGAAATCATCCAAAACAACCATACAAATAACATGTCAGCATTTTGTTTTTATTTTATTTTTTCATGTCAGTAAATTAGATGAAAAATAATTGGGTGTATAATAGTCTAGATGAACCTTTTTTTTTTTTTTTTGGATTGAAGATGTACCATATTTTAATGCAGGGTGCTAGATGAATAATCAATTTTAGTACATGGACCTATTTGATCCTTTTGTCATTTTATTGGTACTATTGACCCTGTTACAATGTAATACTTGTTGAAGCACAAAAATTTTCCATTTGAAAGAGGCATTTCATACCACTTTAAGATAAGAAATCCAGTCTTTCGCTAATCTTTCCAATAAAATAGGATCAGCCAATTTCCAATCATGGTCCTTGTGGGTCGAATCATCATCCATATAATATACAAAAAGAAACTCCAGAGATTTGCTATCTTTCTCTTTGAATAAGATCTCAATTTCGGCGACGGTTTCATTAGATATCTTACAACTAGAATTCCTCTTTGTTATTGAGAGAACCCCAGTACTCTCTTTCCGATTCAGGAAAGAACTCTTGGCGTTTCCCCACAATGTCATTGGCGTCTTGTTTTAACTGTTAGTCAATATTTTTTATATTTATAGGAATTTTATTCATGGTAGGAATGTAACAAAATTGGTGATTTGGTGTATGTAGTGGAGGAGCCACATTAAAGTTACAGGGGGCTTGCCCCACCCCCCCCCCCCCCCCCCCCGACAAATTATATCGTGCACCGCGGTGCATAATCGATTATGCATCGCACATCAAAACGACATCGTTTTATTTAATGAAAAGAAACGGAATCTGTTTTGACCCGTTCCGCAAAAAATAACTATGTTCTTCAGTTTTATTTTGTATACACTGCAGTTTCAGTTCAACACAACTACAGTTTCATTTCGATATAACTAAAGTTTCATTCAATATTTATACACTCAAATATGTGAAAATGTTATTTTATTTTATTTTATATACACTATAGTTTTATTAAAACACAACTACATGATCATTTTGATATAATTACAGCTTCATTGTACAATATACACTCAAATATGTGAAATGTTATTTAATTTCATTTTATATATACTGCAATTTCATTTCACCACAACTACAGTATCATTTTGATATAAATGTAGTTTCATTTGATAATATAAAAATAATACGTGAGACAGTGTCGGTTTAGATACACTGTAGTGTCACTCCGTTAACACTAACAACGCGCCATTTCTTTACTTAAAGAAACGATATAACGACTCCCCCCGCACCCCCAACAACCAATTCTTTCTTTTTTTTTTTTATTTTTTTATTTTTGGTGGATATAACGACTCCCCCCCGCACCCCCAACAACCAATTCTTTCTTTTTTTTTTTATTTTTTTATTTTTGGTGGATATAACGACTCCCCCCCGCACCCCCAACAACCAATTCTTTCTCTTTTTTTTTATTTTTGGTTTTTAAGCTTACTGGCTCTGTTCATATACTTTCTCAACATACTGAAACACAAAGAACCAATAACACCTCCACGGCTCGAACTTACAACCTTCCAAATGAAAGTCCAACCCGGGTACCATTAGACCACATAGTCCTGGTAACTTAGTGAATTGCTAATTTGCTAGCTAGTTAGTTTTTTAATTTGCAAATGAAATACATTGCAATTGTGTTTATTATAATAATAAATTGTCATTTTGTTACCAAAATCTTTAAATTTATGCTACTTTAATCTTTATCTTTTTTAATTTGCAAATGAAATACATTGCAATTGTGTTTATTATAGTAATAAATTGTCATTTTGCTATCAAAATCTTTAAATTTCTACTACTTTAATCTTTGTCTTTTTTAATTTACAAATAAAATACATTACAATTATGTTTATTATAACAATAAATTGTCATTTTGCTACCAAAATCTTTAAATTTTTACTACTTTAATCTCTGTCTTTTTATTCTTTTTTTTTTCAATTTTAGTTAATTCAATTGATTTGTCAAAAAAATTAACACTGTGAACATTAGAAGTTTGAGTTGAAATGAAAAAGACACAAAGAATTGATGGGGTGTTTGGTTGGATGGAAAACATTTTCCATGGAAAATGTTTTCCTAAAAGTGAAGGAAAATGATGTTTTATGTTGTTTGGTTGGATGGAAAACATTTTCCATTGGAAAAGGTTTTCCTTGAGGTTGAGGAAAACAAATTCCTAACTCATTCTATGTATTTTGTTTTCCATAGAAAACTAATATGACAATTTTACCCTCATCATTCTTTATTAATTACTCTTATTATTATTATTATTATTATTATTATTATTATTGTTGTTGTTGTTGTTGTTGTTGTTGTGTAGGGTTATATTTGTCATTATACACATTATTCCTTACCATTCCAAACTCAACCAAACAATGGAATTCATATTTCCAGTAATTTCTTTTCTACCAACCAAACAATAGAGTTTATTTTTTTGGAATTTATTTTCCATGGAATTTCAATTCCATTTTCCTTCAAATATTTTCCAGTGAACCAAACGAACTTTAGAAGAAAGAATTATGAAAATTCAACATCTCAAGTAAATTCATTTACAAGTATTGAGACATTGAATTCTGGAAGACGTTCCAAATTTTAGTAGATTTGTAATATAATGTATTTTGAATATGTTAAATAAATATTAATATGTTTTATTATTCTCTCTCAAATTGTTGGCCCCCGCACTAACAAATTCTGGCTCCGCCCCTGGGTGTATGTGAACGTATGCTTACGCATGGGACTCGGGAAGTCGCATCAATGGAGTTTGAATTTTTTGGTGAGTGTTGGTTTCCTCACTTTTTGCACAAAAACGTTATGGTGAGTACAAGGTTTCGATGGTGTGCATTGCGGCAACCTGCTGTGTGCATAACCGTGCCGCACTGGGATGTATAGGACCATGCAAGAGAGCGTCACTCGTGTGGATCAGGTGTGAACGGTGGTCCAAAATTGGTAGAGTTTTGTGGTAAGTTGGGGATGGAGTACGTGATAGCGTATACACCCTCCTTTTTAGCATAGACTGTGTGTATAATAGTTTGATTATATGGACAGCTTGTTTTCCAATAATATGTTGCACACACTGTACTTCATGTGCGACTAGCAATGTGTGCGTTCACAGTAACTCACGTGTACAATGACGGTAATAGTTGCTTACACAATGTGCAACTGCTGTGGCATGTGGATTCAATAGAAAAAATGTCCACATCTCCCGTGCAAAATCAAAGATTATTCACAGGCACAACACAAGGAGATTGTGAGGGAGGGGGGGGGGGTGTTTTACCAGTATTAGGGAGGTCAGAAGTTTGGGGGATGGCATGGTATGCAAAATATAGATAGGGGGTGTGTGTGAGTAAGGGGTGGAGTGTGCGAGCTGAATTATCTGAGACAATATCAAATCCAAACATGCAAATCATGAACGCAACAATATACCAAAAAATACGGTACATACTTAGTTGGAAAAACGCCAAAAGTGTATAGCCTTAAAAATCCATAAAAGACCATAAAACCAAAGATCAATGTGTGTTTCATAATGAGGTAACTGCGCACCCACTAAGAAAACACCACACCCAAATAATCTATCTACCTAACACGTATAAAAAAAGAAATTGTGTCCAAATAACGAAGTTTGTTATCCAACATTGTTCGCATAGTCAGCTTCACATTTAATGGCGACAACCAACTGCTTGGGTGCAGCGCGAGCCTTCATACTATGGAACAAATCAACCTCCTATTGTGTCAGTCCATAATCCGGCGCTTGCTACGCCGGGTCAACCTGCAAGCCCCTCAATAATGCGAGTGGAGGAGAGACAAATTAATATAATATTAATCAATTTAAAATAATTAACTTGTAATGATACATGATAAGGAGATTGAATGAATTATGACTTATGGAGTTTAGTATTTTTTGAAGCGAAAATTCTAGTTAAAATGGAATCAAGCCGTAATAATAATCCATCAAAGTCTTCCACATGCAAAATTAAGCTTGTAGAATTCCATATATCTAATCATTGAACTACACCAAGAAAGACAAAAATGATAGGCCCCCTGATATGAGCGATGGTTCAAAGTATACATTCATTATTATCATATTACATGTTACGAACGAAATAAGATGCCTCTTCGCTTACTTGAAAGGTTATTTTCGTTTGCAGCCACACGATATGGGCAATCTTACCATCTTGATGCGTACACGTTTCAGTTCAAGGATTGGGGGCTCCCTCGTATCTGTCAAGACATGAAGACGGCATCCTTGTGGACTAGTCCACATGGTTGAAGACAATATGTGAACAAAACCATACTACGTAGTACATTTTACTACTCCAATTATATAGTCTAATAATACGTTTTTTATTTTTATTTTTTGAAAATTTCAACCAAGTTAATCAATTAACTTTGATAATCACAATGTTTTACATTTATACGAGTTATGAACAATTTAGACTGATTTTTTCTTCACTGACTAGGTCACAAAGCGAGTTTCACACATAACAATTGAGAGCTCAATTTATTTATTTTTTTTAATAATAATTACAAAGTTTCAAATTTAATTGACTATGAGAGCTGTCTATTAGTATTTAGTTTGAGCCGATTAACTATAAAACCAAATTAGGATTACAATGTGAACTTTGCTTCTAGGATACATTGAGATAGTGAGTGTGGGCTTTTCCATAAATGAAAAGGTTTAATTATTGAGTAATAGTACATGTATTCCCATTTTTTACTGCATTTTGTACTTCCTGCTGAAGTGTCATTATTTGATTGGTTTAAATAACAAAGTGGGCCACTATTTTTCTTCATTCACTTAAATTTTAAAGAGTAAATACTCAAAATGGTCTCTTGACTATAGCTAAATTCACAAATTGGTCCTTAACTTTCAATTTCAACCAATTAAGTCCTTAACTTTATAATTTTAACACAATTTGGTCCTTTGTCTATTTGACCGTTTGTTGACTGTGATTTTTGAGGATATATATGTAATTTCATGGTCCATCGTCGGTTTTTTAAGGTTCTGGTTGCATTTCCAGACCGCACTGTTACATTTGAATCCACTGTCGAAAGCAATCTACCAAATCCGGTTGCCTTTCTTCATCCTCCCTTTGGATGCAATGTAGTTGAGTTCGTACCAGAGCGAAGAAGATGACGTGTTTCCGAACCAATGCAACGTCATCCTGGAGGCCTCCACGTGCTCCGACGAGAGCTGAAGGTTCTTCTGGAGATCGTCAATCACGGTCAACAAACAGTCAAATAGATGGAGGACCAAATCGTGTCAAAATTACAAAGTTAAGAATTTAATTGGTTAAAATTGAAAGTCGATGACCAATTTGTGAATTTAGCTATAGTCGAGGGACCATTTTCGGTATTTACTCAATTTTAAATTTATTGGTACACGTGATATCATTTTCCTTAATTATTGGACGTTGTGTGGGGCATGGTAAAGAATTGAAGGAAGAGCAGGACAATGTAGTGTGTCTCTGTCTAGTGACTCAACAAGATGGATGATGTTCGGTGCATTGCATTATCTAATCTAGCGTTTCCAATCATTTATTTCCCAGAAGTTATCATCCCTGCCTGCCTGCATTTTTTATTTTTTTTATTCTGGGCGAGATTTATGTTTTCCCCAGCATTCTATTCTTCCAATTACTTGTCTACATATATTGATTCTTCCTCCATTCCCAACACATGGATGTGGACCCTTAACACTCGATCATATCAAGCTAATCGATCTTAGCTAGCTAGCTAGCTTGGCTTCTGTATGAGCATGGAATTTGCAGGAGCAGGAAGCACTAACGAGATGGAGGGGCAGGCAGATGACGACCCAGAGAGCAACTCGCTGCATCGACCTCTCCTCAAGAGAAACCGCACACTTTCCTCCACTCCGGTAGCCATGATTGGAGCTAAGGTTTCTCCCATAGAGAGTCTGGATTACGAGTAAGGCAGGCAGACAGCAATGATATTAGTTAGTTAGTTAGATAATACTCTTTCTTAATACCTAACATTACATATATACATATTATGATGATGATGACAAGTGTGATTTAATTAATTAATTAGGATCAATGAGAATGATCTGTTCAAACACGACTGGAGAAGTAGATCAAAATCTCATGTTTTGCAATATGTTTTCCTAAAATGGACACTGGCGTTCTTGATTGGGCTTCTAACTGGATTAATAGCCACCCTCATAAATCTCGCAATCGAAAACATTGCAGGCTACAAACTTCTTGCAGTGCTCAACTACATCGACAACAACAGGTTATCTCATCGATCTATACTCCTTTTTATCTTAAACTAACTAGTAACTAGGTATATGAGTCATGGGATCTAGTACTTACTTGCTACTGCTAACCCTAAAGTTTACCACAAGGCACAATTAAGATCCAAGCTAAAGAGATGCATATATATAATTATGGTTGATGCTGCTGCAGGTACCTTATGGGTTTTGCATATTTTGTTGGGACCAATTTTCTTCTCACAATGAGTGCTTCTGTTCTGTGTGTCTTTTTTGCACCTACCGCCGCAGGCCCCGGAATACCTGAAATCAAAGCATATCTCAATGGAATAGACACTCCCAATATGTTTGGTGCCACAACACTGATTGTCAAGGTTCGTTTGTGAAATAAATTCTGTAGTCCTCTAGCTAAGCTCCAACTACTTCTTGGAGCTTATTGAGTTTGTCTCATATAGAGATTAAGATATGGATTAGATGCCTATAAATATATTAGTTTTATTATCCCTGTATCACAACATACATACATTGCAGATTTTCGTTCAGTGGCCTAATTGCATTTTCAGGTTACGTTCAGTGGCCAATTTGAATCTTATTCCTTATTTTAACTAAATAAGTAGTTACTTTAATGAATTAAATTTGCAGATCATTGGAAGCATTGGAGCTGTATCAGCAGGCTTAGATTTAGGAAAAGAAGGGCCATTGGTACACATTGGAACTTGCATTGCTTCTTTATTAGGTCAAGGTGGGCCGGACGATTACCGCATCAACTGGCGTTGGTTCCGTTACTTCAACAATGACAGGGACCGCAGAGATCTCATCACCTGTGGCTCATCCTCAGGTGTATGTGCTGCTTTCCGATCCCCGGTTGGTGGCGTCCTCTTTGCTTTAGAGGAGGTGGCAACATGGTGGAGGAGTGCTCTTCTCTGGAGGACCTTCTTCAGCACAGCAGTTGTTGTGGTAGTACTCAGGGCTTTCATTGAGTACTGCAAATCTGGTAACTGTGGGCTCTTTGGAAGAGGAGGAGGCCTTATCATGTTTGATGTGGGTGGAGAAACTGTGAGGTACCATGCTGTAGATATCATCCCTATTACACTCATTGGAGTCATTGGTGGACTTTTAGGAAGCCTCTACAACCATGTTCTTCACAAGATCCTCCGCCTTTATAATCTCATCAATGAGTATGTATGATCAACTTCACCATGCCTAATTATTCATCAAGATTGTTCACTCTATGGGCAAAACCACACTAAAGATTAAATCCAATCAATTAGCTAGTCTAACCCATGATCTTATAAACTCATATGTTCTCTCTTATTTTATCTCTTAACCAATAGATTGTGCTGCTGCAGGAAAGGGAAATTACATAAGCTTGTTCTCAGTCTGAGCGTATCACTTTTCACCTCTGTCTGCCTATATGCACTTCCTTTCCTTGGCGGATGTAAGCCCTGTGATTCTTCTACTTCTACTGCAGAAGGGACTGGAAACTTGAAACAATTCAACTGCCCAAAGGGATACTATAATGATCTTGCCACTCTTCTCCTTACCACCAATGACGATGCTGTCCGCAATATTTTCTCTGTAAATACTCCCTCAAGATTTAATATCTCATCGCTTGCTATCTTCTTCATGCTGTATTGTATCTTGGGACTGATCACATTTGGAATTGCTGTGCCTTCTGGTCTCTTCCTTCCTATTATCCTCATGGGTTCGTCTTATGGTCGTTTGCTTGGCATTGCGATGGGAAAATATACGCATATTGACCGGGGGTTATATGCTGTTCTTGGTGCAGCTTCCCTAATGGCTGGTTCAATGAGGATGACTGTTTCCCTGTGTGTCATATTCCTTGAGCTCACAAACAATCTCCTTCTCCTCCCAATAACCATGCTTGTGCTTCTGATTGCAAAAAGCGTAGGAGACTGCTTCAACCCGAGTATCTATGACATAATATTGGAACTGAAAGGCCTGCCTTTCCTGGATGCAAACCCTGAGCCATGGATGAGAAACATAACAGTGGGTGAGCTTGCAGATGTGAAGGCACCAGTAGTTACGCTCTGTGGAATAGAGAAGGTGGGTCGTATTGTGGAGGTGCTTAAGAACACGACGTACAATGGTTTCCCTGTGGTGGATGAAGAAAGAGTGGCAACAGAACTTCATGGAGTGGTGCTAAGAACTCACCTTCTGCTGGTACTGAAGAAGAAGTATTTCATGCATGAAAGGAGGAGGACAGAGGAGTGGGAAGTGAGGGAGAAATTCAGCTGGGTGGATTTGGCTGAAAGATGGGGTAAGATTGAAGATGTGGCAGTGACAAATGATGAAATGGAGATGTATGTTGACCTGCATCCCCTTACCAATACAACCCCCTTTACAGTATCAGAAAGCATATCAGTTGCAAAGGCAATGGTGCTGTTTAGGCAGGTCGGACTTCGTCACATGCTCATTGTACCCAAATATCAGGCAGCGGGGGTAAGTTTTTTGTTTTTTGTTTTTTTTTTGAGTACTACTGACTCTATTACAATGTAGTATCTGTTCATACTTTAATTTAATTTGCCAGGTATCTCCAGTGGTAGGAATCTTGACCAGGCAAGACCTCAGGGCACACAACATCTTGGCTGTCTTCCCTCATCTAGCCAAATCAAAGGGCAGTAATAAGGGGCACTGAGAATAAAAATGGCTGCTAGGCTATCTTTCTTGCAACATTCTTTATATATTCCTTTTAATTTGCACTTGTATTCCCAATTCACATTCTTTCTCAGAGATTCCAACATAAGAAGAAAAGACAACATTCTTTTTATCATCAATTATTTATATATATATATATAATAACAAAGAATTGATATGTACTGTAAACAAAACAGTTAAACCAACCATTTTATTAGTATATCCCACCCACAACTAGCAAAGAAATAAATTCCTTACTTTCACACAGTTTAACCAACCAGCTCCCAAAAAAACACATGAATTTAGCATTTTAACTGGAAAAAAAAAAAAAAAAAAAAAAAGATAGGAAAAATGATAAGCATAATAAGCGGATCAGAGAATCGGACCAATGATCATAGGATGAGGCGAGGAATGCTGAGAGTGAGAGTGAAGACCAGTGACCTTAATATCAGCTCCATTGACTACAGTGGGCACAAGCTTCCTATTTTTGGACCCGATTACTAGGCGTTAGTTGCTTCATGCTTGATTCTGGGTCTCTGTGCGCTGAAACGCACGAACCCATTCCCAAAAGCTGTGAGCTTTTTTAGTTTTAGAACAGGAGGAAAAGGTGAAAAGAAGAGGATCTACTCTACTGTAGTGTAGCTATGAGATTACTTTGTTTATGTTTTGTTATTAATTGTTAAATGTTGATAGTTACGAGATTATTTTGTTTATGTTTTGGTATTGATTGTTAAATGTTGATAGTTAATATTATTTTGAGATTATTTTGTTTATGTTTTACTATTGATAGTAGGATACTTGTGTTGGAGGGATAAAATATCTAGAAGGGTAGAATTGTAATCTTCTCATTGTTTCCTTGGTTTATAACCATCCTGCAAAGCTCTGCAACAGAGAACTTCACATAATCAATAATATCATCTTTCTTCTTCATCTTCTCTGCACCCCTCGTTCCTCCGATCTTCTCATTACTCGTGTAGCAAATTCCAACATGGTATCAGAGCAGCGAGACAGCCACGCCGCCGCTGTCACCGTCGCCGGAAAATTGAGTCAAAGCACGGCTCATCCGGTGATGTCGATTGTTAAATCCCCAATTCCGCAGAGGAAGCCAAACAATCCGATTGCTACGCAGAGTAGTCGATCAATTCCGCAGAGGAATCTAGAAGACAAGGAGAATCCGATTGCTAGAACCTCCCCAGCCGCAGAGGAAGGAGTTTGTAGCTCACACCGGTTGAAGCAGATGGAGCAGTTCTCCGATTCAGCCATAGCCGTAGCCGTAGCCGATCCGCAGCGGAAGGCGATCCAGGAAGTTTATCCATCGTGTCCGCAGATGGAGCAGTTCTCCGATTCAGCCATAGCCGTAGCCGATCCGCAACGGAAGGCGATCCAGGAAGTTTATCCGTCGTTTCCGGTCATTCAATCACTAGTTCAGGTTCAAATGACCTCCACTGGCCGGCAAAAATCATACTGGCCGGAGAACATGCGGTGGTGCATGGATCCACTGCTGTGGCAGCCGCCATCGATCTTTATACCTATGTCTCTCTAAGCTTCCCTATTCCCTCTGAAAATAATGAAACACTGATACTCCAACTTAAGGATGTGTCCTTAGAATTTTCTTGGCCAGTTGCAAAAATTAAATATGCTTTTCCAAATCTTGATAGTAGTGTTGCTTCCTCTCCTTCATCATGCTCATTGGAGACACTTAAATCAATTGCTTCTTTGGTGGAAGAACAGAAAATTCCTGAGGCCAATATTGGACTTGTGTCTGGTGTCTCAGCTTTCCTCTGGTTGTATACCTCTATTCATGGATGCAAACCAGCAAAAGCAGTTGTCCATTCTGAGCTCCCAATGGGAGCAGGTCTGGGATCATCTGCTGCCCTCTGTGTTGCATTCTCAGCTGCCATGCTGTCTTTGTCAGATTCTGTTAGTATGGATTTCAGCCACCCAGCTTGGCAAGTATTTGGAGACTTTGAAGTCTAAATTGGAAGAGTTGAATCTTGAATCAAGACTGAAAGGAGATGAGTTGAGAAATTTGAGCAACATTTCACAGAATTTAGAGAAGTGTGAACTTATATCTAGCAACAAAGATGTTGCTGACAGATTAGAAATGGCACTTCAGGAAGTAAAGAACCTTCGTGATTTTGTCAATTTTCTGGCTATGAAACTCACTGAATTGGATAATCAAAGTCAAATCTTTTCAGAGAAGGTCATTCATCTTAATGCTTTATTTGACAATTGGTTTAAGATGATCCATGAAGAGAAAGAACTTGCTGCTCAACATGCTGGAAACAAATTTGACCTGCTCCACAATCAGTATACATGTATTGTTTCAGAGAGAAATTCTCTACAATTGGCTAGCATCAAATTTCAAGAAGGATGAAGAGTTGCCATGGCAAGTATGGCTTGAAGTAGGTGGAAGAGTTGCTATATTTTTTTTTTACTGTTTGTCTCTCAATCTGGAGATGTTTCTACACTAAAAGCTCTGTTTTGCTTCGCTATATGTTTACAGTAGCAACCCTCACTACCCTTTGTGTTTAAACTGGGCATGTAGGATCTACACGCTCCAGCTTACGGGGGGTGTTGGAGGATAAGATATCTAGAAGGGTAGAATTGTAATCTTCTCATTGTTTCCTTGGTTTATAACCATCCTGTTGCTCTGCAACAGAGAACTTCACATAATCAATAATATCATCTTTCTTCTTCTTCTTCTCTGCACCTCTCTTTCCTTCGATCTTCTCATTACTCATGTAGCAAATTCCAACAATACTTATGAGTTTATATAGGATAACAAATAAGAGGATATGCTGAAACCATGATTTGTTTCATTTTATATTTTATGCTATTATGTTTGGATTTTGGTTATTAATGAGTTTTGATATTCTATTAAATTTGTGTTAGATTTTTGTGTTATAGACTTTTAATTTTGTATTATGAACTTGTGGTTGTGTGGTTATTAAATTTGTGTTGTTGGATGTTGTATTATGAACTTGATTTTGTAATTAATAATTGTCATGTAATTGATAATCATATTAAACCACCATAAATAATAAATAATGTTTATAATAAATAATTTTGTAATAAATTTCTTGACTTTAAAAACTGTGAACAATTGTAAATAATATTAATTTTAAAAGTTTTGCTTGAACAATCAAAAAATAATAAATTTTTTGTAATAATTGTTGTTATGCCTTTTATTTATTTACTAGTATTTTCACCCGTGCGATGCACGGAATGGAATTGTTGTAATATATGAAGAATATTTAAATTGATATATAATTATTTAAGAATTAATTTCACCCGAGGTCGTTTATCTTTCCTGACAATTCCAAATTTAATCATAGACTATAGTTATTAATTATTACAATTTATTCTATGTTACAACTCTTACGTTAATATTCTTACTATTATTATTAACACTTAATTACTTTTAGATATTATTATTACCACTTATATTATTATTATTATATTATTATTATTATTAATTTATTTTCAAGTACTGTTAGTATGTAATGGTCGTGAGGCACAATAATAATACAACCATAATTAAATATTCTTGTATTGTATTCCGGAGTTAATGACATTTTTTGTCCTAGACTTATTGAGGCATTGACACTTTTCATCCTCCATAATAAAAATTGTCACTTAGTAGACACTGTTATTGGTCGTTGGACAGTTTTGATCCTCCGTCAATGAAGCCGTTTGTTGACCGTGAATTAGAAGGGCTTTTCTATCTTTTTATGTCTTATTCTTATAATCTTGTTTAGACCAGCGCTGCTGTGACTCCTGTGAGGCGAGATGGCGAGACTTGGCGGCTAAGTAGTAACCGTCGGTAGTGCGTAGTAGCGAGGTTCTTCTCCGGCGAGTTGTGAGTACGGCGGCGAGCATACGAGGCAGTAACTCCTTCCGGCGACGGACCAGTAAGGCAGATATGGCGGTGCAGCAACAGATCCGGCGAGGTTGGGGCCTTCACCGGTGGTTTTTGGTTCCGGCGAAGTAGAGAGGGCAGCAGGTCGGCGAACCCTCCTATGGTAAATAACAGTTGTAGTTGTAGATGGCGTGATGTAGAATTTGCACATGTAAGTCCTCCCTTCTATATTGACCACAAATATCCTTCCCATCTCTCTCTCTCTCTCTCTCTCTCTCTCTCTCTCTCTCTCTCTCTGACCACAACTACTTGGTGCACAACCTCAAAAACTATGTAATTCTACCTGAAATTCATTGAAGTTTCAAGCTGAAAATGTGGAATCCGCCGCTCCCCAAAAATTGCATTGTCTGAGTTGTTGGAATGGCCGGTGTTGACTTCCTGGCTGTTGTAGCTTCATTTCCCAACCCGGATGATAAAATTTGGAGCACCAGCTTTGAGGTTCAAGGAGGTGGTAACATTGGCAATGCTTTGATAAAACCCGGATGATAAAATTCGCCTTGGTCTTAATCCAAGGATCATATCGAAGGTTGCTGATAACTCCCATGGCGAAAGAATACTTGATGAGCTTGAAAGGGATGGTGTTGATACATCTTTTATGGTGGTGTCCAAAGGAGGAAACTCACCATTCACATATGTCATTGTTGACAACCAAAAAAAAAAACTCGCACGTGTATTTTCACTCCAGGATATCCACCCATGATATCTGAGGGTCTACATACCCAAATCAAAATTGTCTTCAGCGCTTGGAGTAAATATTGTCTACTTAGATGGAAGGCTGCATGAGACTGCTTTGATTGTAGTGCAGGAGGCAAATAGTAGGGGCATACCTATTATAGTTGATGCAGAAAGGTTAAGGGAGGGGTTGGATATTCCTGACTTTGCTAGTTATGTTGTATGCTCGACAAAATTTCCACAGGCATGGACTAACGCCCTTTCTATTCCAACTGCACTTGTTTCCATTATCTTGAGATTGATGTCAAATGTAAAATTCGTGATTGTTAGTTGGGTGAAGATCATTTCTTAATGTTAGAAAGGACTGAAGCGGATAACCTCATTTTGAAGAAATGGATGTAGCAGTGACCAATGGATGGAGAAATACAAGGATTAGAACATAAAAAGACAGAAAAACCCTTCTAATTCACGGTCAACAAACGGCGTCATTGACAGAGGATCAAAACTGTCCAACGATCAATAACAGTGGCTACTAAGTGGCAATTTTTATTATGGAGGATGAAAAGTGTCAATACCCCAATAAGTCTAGGACCAAAAGTGGCATTAACTCTTGTATTCCGTGAGTCACAATAATAATATAACAATAATTAAATATTGTTCAATTATATATTTTTCTAGGATTTCTATTACCATCATTAATTATTTCCAAATTTACCATAATTAAATAATTTGACAAATTATAAAGAAAGATTATTAAATAATGCACGGGACAATTGTTTAATTAAAAATTTTAAAAATTCATTAATAAAACATAAGGTTCTCATAGTTTTTTCTTAGAAACTCTTTAATAAAGTATTTTTTTTTTTAAGAAATTGGAGGGCCAAACCGCCTAAGGCAGTTTGCAGTGGATAGATCTCGAAAAAATACGCGATTTCAAAAAAACATTTGTCCAAAACGGACAACGGAGTCAAAAGTAATGCATTGCCGAACTTTTGACACTTTACAACTTTAACCCAGAATTATTGTACGAATTGGAAAGTAGAAATCAATATATTTTATTGGGAAGAGAGATTTTTTAGGAATTGAGCGGGAAGTTAAAATTTCAGGATTTTGATTTTATATATAGTATAGATTGTATTACACTATTTTATAATATTAGAGTAGAATTTTAACGCAGAATTATTGTACAAATGGGAAAGTAGAAATCAATATATTTTATTGGAAAGATAGATTTTTTAGGAATTGGGCAGGAAGTTAAAATTTCAGGATTTTGATTTTATATATAGTATAGATTGTATTACACTATTTTATAATATTAGAATAGAATTTTAACGCATAATTATTGTACGAATGGGAAAGTAGAAATCAATATATTTTATTAGGAATAGAGATTTTTTAGGAATTGGACGGGAAGTTAAAATTTCAGGATTTTGTTTTTATATATAGTATAGATTGTATTACACTATTTTATAATATAAGAATAGAATTTTAACGCAGAATTATTGTACGAATGGGAAAGTAGAAATCAATATATTTTATTAGGAAGAGAGATTTTTTAGGAATTGGGCGGGAAGTTAAAATTTCAGGATTTTATTTTTATATATAGTATAGATTGTATTAAATTAACGCACAATTATTGTACGAATGGGAAAGTATAAATAAATATATTTTATTAGGAAGAGAGATTTTTTAGGAATTGGGCGGGAAGTTAAAATTTCAGGATTTTGTTTTTATATATAGTATAGATTGTATTACACTATTTTATAATATTAGAATAGAATTTTAACGCAGAATTATTGTACGGATGGGAAAGTAGAAATCAATATATTTTATTAGGAAGAGAGATTTTTTAGGAATTGGGCGGGAAATTAAAATTTCAGGATTTTGTTTTTATATATAGTATAGATTGTATTACACTATTTTATAATATTAGAATAGAATTTTAACATAGAATTATTGTACGAATAGGAAAGTAGAAATCAATATATTTTATTGGGAAGAGAGATTTTTTAGGAATTGGGCAGCAAGTTAAAATTTCAGGATTTTGATTTTATATATAGTATAGATTGTATTACACTATTTTATAATATTAGAATAGAATTTTAACGCAGAATTATTGTACAAATGGGAAAGTAGAAATCAATATATTTTATTGGGAAGAGAGTGTTTTAGGAATTGGGCAGGAAGATAAAATTTCAGGATTTTGATTTTATATATAGTATAGATTGTATTACACTATTTTATAATATTAGAATAGAATTTTAACGCAGAATTATTGTACGAATGGGAAAGTAGAAATCAATATATTTTATCAGGAATAGAGATTTTTTAGGAATTGGACGGGAAGTTAAAATTTCAGGATTTTGTTTTTATATATAGTATAGATTGTATTACACTATTTTATAATGTTAGAATAGAATTTTAACGTAGAATTATTGTACGAAGGGGAAAGTAGAAATAAATATATTTTATTAGGAAGAGAGATTTTTAAGGAATTGGGCGGGAAGTTAAAATTTCAGGATTTTTTTTATATATAGTATAGATTGTATTACACTATTTTATAATATTAGAATATAATTTTAACGCAGAATTATTGTACGAATGGGAAAGTAAAAATCAATTTATTTTATTGGGAAGAGAGATTTTTTAGGAATTGGGTAGGAAGTTAAAATTTCAGGATTTTGATTTTATATATAGTATAGATTGTATTACACTATTTTATAATATTAGAATAGAATTTTAACGCAGAATTATTGTACGAATGAGAAAGTAGAAATCAATATATTTTATTAGGAATAGAGATTTTTTAGGAATTGGACGGGAAGTTAAAATTTCAGGATTTTGTTTTTATATATAGTATAGAGAGATTTTTTAGGAATTGGGCAGGAAGTTAAAATTTCAGGATTTTGATTTTATATATAGTATAGATTGTATTACACTATTTTATAATATTAGAATAGAATTTTAACGCAGAATTATTGTACGAATGAGAAAGTAGAAATCAATATATTTTATTAGGAATAGAGATTTTTTAGGAATTGGACGGGAAGTTAAAATTTCAGGATTTTGTTTTTATATATAGTATAGATTGTATTACACTATTTTATAATATATAAGAATAGAATTTTAACGCAGAATTATTGTACGAATGGGAAAGTAGAAATCAATATATTTTATCAGGAAGAGAGATTTTTTAGGAATTGGGAGGGAAGTTAAAATTTCAGGATTTTGTTTTTATATATAGTATAGATTGTATTAAATTAACGCAGAATTATTGTACGAATGGGAAAGTATAAATAAATATATTTTATTAGGAAGAGAGATTTTTTAGGAATTGGGCGGGAAGTTAAAATTTCAGGATTTTGTTTTTATATATAGTATAGATTTATAAATATGTATGAAATAATAATAAAAAAATATATAAAAATATTAATGAAGAAAAGGTTTACAGAAATTCTAATAAAGTTATGAAAGTTGATAAGTTTTTAAATATTACTCTATAGTATATTTTTAAAAACTTTTTAAAAATATTAATCAAATACAAATAGACTTTTAAAGTCTTTACAAGTCTAAATTGAGTATTACTAAACTTTTAATATTATTAAAATTCTTTCGAAGTCATTAAAGTCTGATTGAATACACCCCAGACATGATTCTTCAGCTGCCGCGATTTTCTTGTGTTTTCTGTCCTAAGCTCCCAATTTGACTCTCCAAACTACTCTCTCAGAACATTCTTCCCAGCTTTTCCATCTCCGCCGCCACACCGCGCGCTCAAAAAGTTTAGTTCCTAAGCCGTGAGGATGGTGAAGGCCATAATCGCACCGTCGATGCTGTCATCGGACTTCGCCAATCTGGCCTCTGAAGCCGAAAAGATGATCCACTGCGGCGCCGATTGGCTCCATATGGACATCATGGTACTTCTCTACTCAGTTCTATTACCTTATTTCAATACTGGATCTTGCGGTGTTTTTCTTTCCTGTTCCCTCAATTGGTTGACTTAACAAAAAAAATTACAATTTAACCTCAATTGCGTAGTTATTTAACTACAAATTTATTACTTCGTACCTTTCATTTCAAGTCTATTGCCTTTTTTTTTTTTTTTAGATAAGTAGAAGAATCTGAGGGGAAATAAAATTGGAGAAAATAAAATAGAGAAATTTGGAACCCGTTAACTAACCGGAGAATTTGAGAATAAAAAACATTTAGCCATGTTTGGAAGCCAATTTTGGCTTATTTGATCACTATTAATTTTTTGATTTGGTTAAAAAATCAATATGGATAGGCCAATTTTGGCCTATTTGACCACTATTAATTGTTTGATTTAGTTAAAATATCAATACAAATGTTTGGTTAATTAGCTTTTTGCAACTCTAAAAGGCTAAAATTCAAAAAGCTACTTCAAGCAACTTTTTCAATTAGCTTTTTGAAAAAAGAAATTATACCAAACAGCTATCAGCTAACAGCTAATTTACCAAACACTTTTCTACAATCAGCTAATGTTATCAACTATTTATACCCTCTAATTAACACAATCAGCTAATAGCTATCAGCTAACAGCCATTTTACCAAACAGGGCCTATAAGTGTTTAGTTAATTAGCTTTTTATAACTCCAAAATGCTAAAATTTAAAAAGCTTCTCAAAGCAACTTTTTCAATTAAATTTTTTAGAAAAGAAATTATACCACATAGCTATCAGCTAACAACTAATTTACAAAACACCTTTTCTACAATCAACTAATGTTATCAACTAGTTATACCCCAACTAACAGCTAACAACTATTTACCAAACAGGGACAAAATATGTTTCTTAACACAATTTTCAAAATAGTCCAGTTCAGTAAACCTTTTTGGTTTTCATGCTAGAGGTACTTAAATATGTAAGTCACGATTTTTTCATTATTTGATCGGATAAAAAAGAAACTTTGGGATTGCTAGAGATTAAAAAAAAAAAAAAAACTATATAAAGCAATAGAGCCATCATAATATTTTTCAACTTTTCCGAAAGAAGGGTGGCAATTTGGTCATTTACCCATCGTTTTGATAGATCCTATCTTTTTTTCTTTCTTCAATGAAACGTTGTGAAAACTAGAAGCACTTATCAGTTTTGAAAAACTGTTTTCTAAATGAAAAACAGAATCATCTATCATCTGTTTGACTATATATCGCTATAATCACATTCTCATCATTATTTATTTACATATTTATTCATTACTATGATTAGATTCATTATTATCTTCTTTAAATTATCACCCGTTACAAATTATTCACATTATCACAATTAAAACTTGAACATTACACCAAGTTTTAGATTTTGATTGAACTCAATATATTATTGGCTTGATGTTATGTTATATCGTAATACAAGTTTGGTATAGATATTGTGTGTGTGTATATATATATATATATATATATATATATATATATATATATATATATATATATATATATATATATATATATATATATATTTCATTCAAATGAATATATCTAAAATTATTTTAAATATTAGCTCGAAAAATATTAATATTATCTAAACTAAATTTTAGGTGAACTTAATAGGTTATTGGTTCGGATATATATGTTATGTTATATACAAATATAAATTTGGTTTGAATATCAAATCTAAAAATCTTACATATATTAGACTTAAAAGTACAAATTATATTTATTCCATTTAAACTAAATATATCCAAAAATATTTTAAATATAAGGTCTAAAAATCACTCAAAATTACACTTGTTAATTTTATAATGTTAGTCTAAAAAAATAAATTTGAAAAAATGAGTATTTAGTAAACAAGTTTTCTAAGTAGAAAACAGAGAACAATTTACAAGTAAACAGACCCTTGGTGTTTTGGGTGGAAAAAAGAGAGACAGATAGAGAGAAGGGTGAGAAGTGGAGATGGTGCATGCAGTGAGAAGAAGGCAGGAGTTCTATGTGTAATGTGTGTTTTCTTTATCATCTTCCCATTCTATGCAGGAAAAAAAAAACTTGTAGGATACAAGATTATTCTCTCTTATTTTCTGTCACAATCTTTCCCTTGCTTTTTTCTTTCCTGTCTAAACAATAGAAACTAAAAAATTTCCATTCCATTTTCTACCCATCCAAACATAGCATGCATGTTGCATGAAAAAGTGAAGCTTGCATTTTCTATTTTTTATTTTACCATGTGTTGGTGTGATTGTGGAGTTATTCACTTTCTCTTGATACATTTTGACACATTTTAGTTGTTGAGCTACTATCTGGTAAACTTTATATTCATACCATGCTGAAATCATGTTTGTTTCATTGCAGGATGGGTAGGTTGGATTTCTGCTCCATCATGAACACATATCAATTATTTCAAGCAAACAAGTTCTTGTGGATGTGCATAATACCTTTTGTTTGTTATTCTCACTATAACTTAAATTGCTTGCATTTGTTTTTTCTTTTGCAGTCACTTTGTACCAAATCTTACAATTGGTGCTCCAGTAATTGAAAGCCTGAGAAAGCACACAAAGTAACACTTTCATAGATGCCCTGATTTCATTTTATTGCTGAGCAGTTAATTGGTTGTTTACTGACATATACTATTGGATTCAAACGTAACACAGGGCATATTTAGATTGCCACCTCATGGTGACAAATCCTCTTGACTATGTGGAACCATTAGGAAAAGCTGGTGCCTCAGGTTTTACTTTCCATGTTGAGGCATCAAGAGGTGGGATTCTTGGCATCTTTTAAATTGTACTCTGACTGTTTTAGTTGCTTTACTTCCTTTCAACTATAGCTACCCATTTCAGATAATTGGCAGGAACTTGTCCAAAGGATAAAGTCCAAGGGCATGAAACCTGGAGTTTCATTGAAGCCTGGTACACCAATTGAAGAAGTCTATCCTCTGGTATTCATTCTTCCATTATTTCTTTAGTGTGCACTTCTACCAAGTTCACCTATTAAAAAATTGTCTGTTAATTTTCCTTGGAATACTTTGCTGCAAATAAATGTGACAAAGTATACTTGTTTCTATTCTCCATAGCTTGAAGGTGAAAACTCTGTTGAATTGGTTCTGGTGATGACTGTTGAACCTGGGTTTGGGGGACAAAAGTTTATGCCTGAAATGATGCAAAAGGTGCAATGCTTTTTTTTTTTTGGAGGACTGTACATTATCCTCCTTGGTGTATTTGGTATGTAACTTGACTATTTTGGTTTCAGGTACGCGAACTAAGAAAGAAATATCCATCCCTGGATATAGAGGTTAGTCCCCTGACCATGGCAAGTTGCTAGTAATCATGCAGTGTGGTTGTCTAAGGAAATGTTGCAGCAGCTCTGATTTATCCTTTTTGTCACGAGGTTAAAGTTGTTAATTGGTATTGCAGGTGGATGGTGGTTTAGGGCCTTCAACCATTGAAATGGCTGCTTCAGCAGGAGCAAACTGCATCGTCGCAGGAAGTTCAGTGTTTGGAGCTCCAGACCCAGCACATGTGATATCAGTATTGCGAAACAGTGTAGACGGAGCTCAGAAAGGCAGCAGTAGTATCTGAGGCAGGCAAGGCCTCCCTGTTGCTATATTGTTTCCTCCGGGTTTTGTCAAGGAATTGAATTCTTGTTGTACCAGGGAATAATAATATTAAAAAAAAACAATCACACAAACAAACTTTTTAGCACACTCTCGTGTCATGCTTGTTACTGAGATTACATCAACAATTAGGTGGGACTTGAAAGTCTGATAATGTATGGATGGATGTAATAAAAGTGAAGCCATTACCTGGGTATTTTTGTTTTATGTTTTCAGTACGCACCATAATTCTTGTATTTTTACTCGAGTTCTTAGTTTTGGATCCCACCGACCGACCTGTATTCGGTGCAAAATTGAATAATGCTCAATACATGTACATTTTTCTAGATGTTTTGTTGGGTCGGAGCATGGGGCTATTGAGGTTGGATTGAGAACAATTATTTTGAATTAATCAAAATTTGATTTGGTGGGATGATAGGTACTTCATACTTGTGTTTTGATTAGGGAGGGAGTATTTATTTACTTAACATTAGCATTTATTTAGCAGTAGTGTGGAATAAACGGCGAGTGACTCGGACCAAACCGATTAACCTACCATTTGGCAACATACGTAGTTTTGGACCACACGCTCTCTAATTTGTTTCCGCTAAAAGTAAAACGTCTTCCTAATCAGCGGGACCCACATTCAGCGGAACCCCACCCAACACCTGGCAGCCACTCCCTCAAAACCTCTCCGTAAATTCCTTCTCATTTCCTGTCTCTAAAACCTCCGCCCCCACACTCCTTGGAAACCCTCTTTAGGCGGCGCCTCTCTCCTCTCTTGCCCGTGCTCCATGGCCATGGCCTTACTCAGCCGCATCAGACTCGCTGCGCGATTGTCGTGCCCAATCAACCGGGCCTATGGATCTGCTGCCGCCGTTCAGCTCGATTACGACTTCGATTATTACGATAACCAAGACAACGACGCCGGAATTTATTCCTCCAACCGGATCATGGAGGATTCTGATGGATTGGTGCCGGGAAGAGGAGTTCAGTGGGTGATCATAGGTGACCCCATGGCAAAGAGAAACGTCTATGCTCAGTGGCTCTCCAAGCTTCTGGATGTTCCCCACATTTCCATGGGCTCTCTCGTCCGTCAAGAACTCCACCCTCATTCTTCTCTTCACAACCAGGTCTATTTACTTTTTACGAAAATCCAACAACTATCCACTCGAGAAGGAATTTTTATTTTCTTTTATTTTTTCTATGCCTCTAGTCATTTTATTCTTTAATTAAATCCTGCTGCAATATAACAGGCTTTTATCTAAAAAAACCAAGGGTTTCTTTTATTGCAGATAGCAGGTGCTGTAAATGAGGGGAAGCTAGTTCCGGCAGAAGTAATTTTTAGGCTGTTGTCAAAGAGACTGGAAGAAGGGTACTGCAGGGGTGAAAATGGTTTCATTTTGGATGGGATCCCTCGAACTAAGGTTCAAGCTGTAAGTATTCTTCCTCTTAATGATATCTATTAGCATTACAGTTGTATTTGAAATGATGTGGTAAAAAAGCTTGTAAATTGTTGTTATTGTGATTGTTTGACTACTCAATCAACCTCCAAAGTTGTTAATGACATAATAATATATTTACCATATATAGAAACACAGAATTTTAATTTTGGTACATTCAGAATATGTTTACAGATGCTCTTTTTAGTCTTTTATAGGAATGATTTGATGTTAATACCATATTAAGTGATGTCCTGGTATTTTTTGTTCCCTGCAGGAAATCCTGGACCAAGTTGTGGCCATAGACCTGGTTCTGAATCTCAAGTGCCAAGATGATTCCATGGTGAAGAAATGTGCAAATAGTGGGATCCATCCATGTCAAGAATTTCTCTGCATGACTGCCTCTAAATTTGATCTTGGTCCACAGCCAGATGATGGTAATTTGAAGTTTACCAATTATTCAGATGGTGTGTGGAGGGAGAAATTGCGTGTATATGCTGAGCAGGTACCTTTCTGATGTTCCTGAATTGGGGATATGCATTTTTTTTTTAATTTAAAAAACCTGTTATTTTGACAATCCATTTGGATTAAACACATCATTTCAGCAATTCAGCATCATTAGTTTTATTAGTGCTTATCATATTCGGAGTAATTATCAATAGGGTGGTGGCTTTATAATGTCCTGTCATAACAGCTGACTGTTTGTTTTGTTCTTGTTTTCCCTGTTTTAGAGCCAACCATTAGAAGAATACTACAGGAAACAGAGGAAGCTCTTGGACTTTCAAGTGTCTGGGGCACCAGGAGAAACATGGCAAGGCCTCCTGGCTGCTTTGCATCTGGAGCACATGAATGTTGTCAGTTCTTCACAGAAGTTGACTGCTTGATGCTGATTGAATTCAACTCAGTAATTAGTATAGGCATACTACCGAGTGTATTATAGCTAAAAAATTTTGCGGGACAATACAATTTTGTTTTCATTTTTGTTTGCCAAGTGTGTACAAGTAGCAAAGAGCCAGAGTAGTAGAGAAACTAGCATTATTGACTATGATGTATGTTCAACACTTCTTTATGCTCCTTTCTCTTGGTGTTGATTTCATATTTTGATAATGATATGTGGAAATGTGAAAGGTGTAACATGAGTTGAGTTCGTTTTCTCTCAGAATTAGAGCTGCTGATCTTTTACCCACAGTCTTGGTATTTTGCATAAAAAGATAGGAGGAACCATTTAGTTAATTTTACAGGACAATATTATATACGTAGAGGACTGTCATAGTTAACTTTACATTATGCCATGCTTCTCACTTTCCACACAACATGCAAATTGCTTTTATTAACTAAAGAAAGAGAAGCCTTACTACATTAAAATCTAACTACATTTGGAGAAAGCCTATGGTTAATTCCTCTACTTATGTAGTGGCACCTTCTACCACTAGAGTGAAAGATGCAAATCAAATGGCTATAATCCATTTGCTTATTACTCAGCACTTGTCCATACCTCCCGAAGGAGTTGATACCTGACAGCATTACGATTCGCACTTCCTCTTGATATCGAACTGGGGTTTGCCAAAGACACTGTTTCGTTCGTGCAACCAGTTAAGATGAAACTCAAAGGTGAGTCCAATTCATCTAATTCATCGTCACTCATACAAGATTTATTGAGCAGTGAAGATTGAATACTTCTCAAACCACTGACACCATCAAAGAAATCAGTAACCGAAGCTGCTGAAGGTGGCACATATTGTATTGGAGCAGCTGGGTAAGGTAAGTTCATCACAGTTTCTTCCTCTACCTCAAAGTGATCCTAAAATCACAGAGAAACACATGAAATAAGACCTGAACGCTGGAAACATATTCACTAAAACTTCATGCACTGATTTTCCAGAAGGAAAAGTAAGTTTAATCTTAAAAAAAGAACCCCCAAAAATCATCACCTCTGAAGTGAGGTCTTCAAGGACAACATCAGGTATTGGGTCTGGGCAGAATTCATCAGGGACAAAAGCATCAAGAACCCTTCTTATCAATGGAGGACCAAACATAGGGCACACCTGCACATTTAAGAGTTTTTGACAGTATATTGTAAGTCAGAATATTGGCATTCCTTGTGCAGAGAAAGCATCAACTTTACAAGTTTCAAGGTTCATGGTCACACCTCTTTTCTGATTGCACTACTTAGTAGCATATCCTTTGGAAGCATCATGAGGTCACTCAATGCATTGAGAAGATGGAAAGGCTTAAAGGATGCACCGTTTTCTCTTCTGTCATTAATATCTTCAACATTATTCTCATCCTCAGGTAAGCAACCATCATCAATATCAAATAGATCAGTCAGCCATCTCAACCAATTCCCAATCTGAATATAAAATAGGACAAAAGATTGTTTCCAAATTGATCTCATTGGTTTAAGAAGATTTTCTTCCTTAAACAAAACCTGGTGGGGGGTGGGGGGGGGGGGGGTAGGGGGGCTGGAACACGGCTCTATATCATGTCTATATTGTGCATAACATTGGTGGAAAAATTCACTCACCACATTTTTCATTTGTGCACCAGCCCCAAAGCTAGCTTTTCCAGTGGAAATTGGCAAAACCCTAGCATCACTAATAGGGTCAGATACAGGATCTGCTGGGATCTCATCAGCAGACTCTCTAAGTATAGCATTGAACATAGCCACATCCAACCTAGCCACACATTGCTCCATGATCTGATTATTAAGAGGAAATTTCCACAAATTAACAGGTTTAACCGTTGTACATGTGGAAAAATGTGCACTAAGGGGTGGAATCATCATTCAAATAGATAATAAAATCAAACTACAAAAATGAGAAGCTTGATTCATGTCATGCAGTAGGGTAAAATTGGTAGGTACAGTAATGACACTATGCAAGCTTTGCTCTTTGTTTAATTGAATTATATATTTCCTCCTATGCATCTCATGTCAGTATGTAGTAGTGCAAGGTTACCCATACAATTACAAACAAAAAGAAGCATGTTGACAAAACTAGAACATGTGCTTTATAGGATGAGAAATCGAGCATATAGATACCAGTTTAGAAAGAAGATGCAGACATCCACACTCATTCCCTCTAGCTCGAACAGGACAAATCTTTTCACAGGCATCCCTGAAGGCCTTTTTCCAAAGCTCCAAAGAAAATTTTCCTTGATCTTCATCACCTGAACTAGAAGTTCTTTGATAGATTTTGCTTATCTCAGACTCCATGCTTCTACTTAATGCCTTGGCAGAACCAGGCTGCATATGTAGAGTGAAAGTCTGGAAGAAGCAATATCATTCAGTTCTAATACTTGGGATTACTTTAGGTTCAAAGAAATGGCACTTTTAGAGTATATATGAATCCTTTGCAAAAACAATCTCAAATAAAGTTGCATTGCTTATCTAAAAACCAATATATCTGTCTGTGTGTGCCATGTGAGTGTTTAAGAGAGAGAAAGACCTGCCACCAAATAGACTCAACTATTCGAGAGAAGATCCAAGCTTCAACTTTTTCAAGCTCTCTGATAAATGTATGAGGGACCTCCCATTCTTCATAACTCCCATGAAGGTTGCTTCCAAGACTCTTGTTGGGAAAGAACAGCCACTTAGGTGGAGATGACTTCTTTTTTATCTCAAACATGGTCTTTTCAATTATAGATTCAGAATAAAGAGGAAATTGCTGCTTCTCAAAGAATTCGCTTAAAGTAGCTCTCAGCATAACACAATTTGACAACCAGAATGTCAATCTGTCCTTAGAAATGAGAAAATCAGATCACTGTGAGGAAAACTTCTTTCCAGTGCATCCAGAATAAATTTCATGATCACAAGGCATAAGATTGACAAGCTGTTTAATTCTAATGGCCTCAAAGGTTGCTGGGTGCTATGAGTATCAGGAATTCTCTATATGATAAAAAGTTTTGAGTGGGCATTCAAAAGAAATCCATCATATTGTTATTTTAGAAGCAAACTCCTCTAATAAAATTATTATTCAATGATTAAGAGAAAAAGTATAAACAATTAGACAGTTTCATAGCACTTACGGGTTAGAGACTAGAGCTTAGTTAGAGAATGGAAAGAATAGTCATCAAAGCAGTACCTGGGAACATCGTTTCCACATGCTTTTGAGACCAAAATCAATCCAGAGATGGCACTTTTAGCTGCACTTCCTCTCCTTAACACGGAATTTTCTTTACAGGCATGAAGATAAAACCTAGATAGACGTCGAGCTGGAGCATGGACCTTATTTAAGGAACTTCCATGCTCTGCAACCACAGAGTACAGACCCACCTCAATAGCAGCAGCTTCTCTCAGCTCTCCTTCAAGCATCTGTACCCTTTCCTTCAACTTTTGGATTTTACTTTCTAGGACGATGTCCGTTGTTTCCATTGAACAAAACTTAGCACCATTCCCCGTGAAACCTCCAGTGCCACTCTGAGTGTTGTGTGAGACAAATTGATTACTTCCAGGAGATCCATTACCTCTATTTGATTTTCCCATAGACCGTACAGACTTCACATACTTAAATCTCTCATTGTTGGGGGCAATACTCTTTGTTCCTAAACTTTCTCTACAATAAGAAATTGCATTATTTTCTTCTAATGCTTGCTTTATGGTATCATCTTGTAAAGAAATATTTACTGGCTCATCATCTGAGCCTTTCCCTTCATCTATTATGACTTCTTCATCATTAACCCAGTTTACTATTACTAGTTCTTGTGCAATTCCTTGATGATCCTCTCTGTTTCTACCCACAGCTAAACCATTACTGTCAACATCAGTTCTTGCAGCCTCCTGTGTAAGTTTTACACAGGGGGTGAGCATGTTCTCATCAATCTCTGCATTGATGTTATTGCCAACAGAGTTCAAGAGGCTTGTATTATAATCTATGTTTACATGTGAAGCTGAATAGGCTTCATCAGCTGGGTAGGTGCTACATGCGCTTATATTAGTACTTTGTTCACTGGGTTTGTGACTCCTATTATCATCATTGATCACTTCAACCTCAAAACCCTTTGCTTGATCTTCGTGGCTGGATTTCAGATCAGTATTCTTCTTATAAGGAGTTGCAGATTGAATAGTGATGTGGGTTTCAACTTTCCTTGAGATCCATGCTAGATCAGATGACAAATCTTTTGACTGGGAGCAAGATGAGCTCATTCTCAAACTCACAAGTGGTTGATCCCTTGCTTTCTTCTCATCTTTATTTTCAATTTTTTGCTCTTCTTCTTTAGCGGGGATATTTTTCACAAGCTCAGATCCATTCTGCAACAATTTGCCAATTATTTTCTATCAGATTATGTTAATGGGGTTTGTGAAATGAGATAATACAACCACATATAGTACGTGATTTACTAATTGCACAATTAGTCCCATGAGCAGAAAAATAATGAAACAAAAAGCAAGCAATGTACCTCCTTCTGGGGTGAACTGCAGTTTGATTCAGCAGCAGAATAAGTAAATGGCAATGATGAGTGTGAGGAGAGATCATCGTCTGTGAAAGAGGCAGTCTCAGCTTCCTCTGCATATTCTTCACTCATCAATGTAGAAACAGATTCAGTAACATTCCTGTCCAATGATGCTTCTTCTCTCATTAAGCCATCACTTAACAATGACCTCATCTGAACCTTCTCAACTGGCTGAATTTTAAGGAAGATGAAAGGTTGTGCAGTGTTCCTATAGCTCCGCTTGCAGTTAATGGGGGCACTTATACTCATTCTTGCTTTTATAATCCCATAAACTGCCAGATCTACAGTGGCAGTTCCTAACAGCTGACCCTTTGCCATCTTATCATGTCGTGGTTCATATAAACTGAAGTGGATGCAATTTTTGTGGAAGGTATCCACATTCCCTCCTCCTCCTCCTTTAACGGAAATTTCCCTTGTTAGTATGACTGGAAGTCTAAAAGACTCGTTGAATTCAATTCTTCCATCAGAGCCAATTCCTAGTGATGGGACAACTTGATTAGTGGAACCTGCATTGTTCCTGTCGCCATGTTCCCATTGAATGAGAACAGCTTTGAGTGTCCTGAGTGACTGAGAGGGAGGCCAAGGCTTAATCTCGTGAATGTGGATTAGATAATGAGCCTGAACTGAGGGGCTCCTATGAGTTTTGGCCCTCAGTCCTAGAACCATGGTTGCAAATTAAATATTCAGCTGAACCAAGCCAAGCCAGATAAAACAGAAAAAATCAATCTCCCTTGTAAGGGCTGGACCTGTTTTCACAATTAAGCAAAGATTAGGCAAATTTATTCTCACTTTCTTAAGTGCAACATCATCAAATCATCATTCATCATCAAGTAAAAAGGACAGTAGCCATTTTAAGCAAGTAGAATTAATTCCAATATTAATTGATTCCACTTGCTTGACATAGAACGAACGTACTCATGTTTTTTGCAATAATTCATGGGGCCTTGCCTTAATTTCCAGCTCCCAGCAATTGCGTATGCTTTTTTAGCCAAAGCTACCAAGAGTGAAGCCACTCACTCCATCTTTCGCAATACATAATCCCAGACATTATTAATAATAATATAATAAAAAAGGAATTTTATTGAATTCACGAAATGGAAAAAGAAATAGAAAGCAAAAAAGTTTAGGAAGGAAATTATGGTAAAATAGAGGAGTTAGAGCAAAAGAGAGAGAGGCAGAGAGCAATGATAAACAGCAGATAGATCCAGAAACCAGCACTGAAACCAACCAACCAACCAGCTACATCACAATCCCAATACATATATATATGCAGGCACAATGTGAAAACTTCAGACAAGACATTAAAGAACGAACATTATACATACTGTCTTAATTAAGATACTTACTGGAGACGTTGAGCGAGCTAGCTACCTTTCAACACAATTTAGTCGTAACTTACGAACACGTATGTATGACTATAAGAAACGCAGTAAGAGAGAGAGAGAGAGAGAGAGGGATGGAGAGGGAGAATCTGAGTGAACCTAACAGATTACAGAATTGGACATTGGACATTGGACATATATAAAAAGAACAAAATTGGTGGGAATTTGGATAAAGTAAATTTTTTTAATTAATGCACAGAAAATAATAAGGCCGAGTCATGATACGGAGTACGTAAGTACATTTTAATAGCGCCAACTGAACTTTTCTTATAAGTTAATAATGTTTAATTAATTAATGCCAAGAACAGTATGAGCATGACAATGGTTGGATTCCGATTCAGTCCAGGCACTAAAATCCAAATATATATTAATTATAATAAACCTTTTTTACGCCCACGAGACCATGTATAGTAGTATAGTACAGTCCTTTATGCTTTTGGTGTGGCCATAAGTTTTTTGAGGTTACAACATGCTTTGTGTACAGTCACTTCCTACAACAAACTAACCTACCTACCTATTCCAAACAAAATTATATCATTGTTAGTTGTTGCTCGTGATGCCTTGCAACAAATCTTAACTATATTATTAGTGTTATTATTCGATTGTAAAATTACGTTGCATTTTACGTTGTTTGTATTTTGAAACTTCAAAATGTCGCATCGATCTCGCAACAGATTAGACAAACGGCCAGTGCATCCATCTAATTTTCCTCTCATCCGCCGGATAGGACCCGCACAACAACCTTAACTCCAAACTCTCAACATACATTTTCTTTTGGGCATGTGGGTGAGATTAATAACGATAGAAGCAATATAACCAAAAAATACATAATTCATCGAATAATATCTTATTTTTACCAAATGAATCCCACTTATAATTAGATAATAACCTTGTTCTAAATCATAAAAAAAAAAACATAACGAATGCATAAAATATTGAATAATCAAGTTTATAATAAAAGAATTGATCAAATAAAATATTTAAAAATAAAATATTACAAGTTGCATACAATAAAAAAAATAAAAATCTAATATATATATATATTAATTATACTTGATATATTACTACGCATCACCGCAAAGAACTATTATTTGCAATAGCAATTTGAGACTGCGAATAACAACAAGGTGTTACTGTTTGCAACCCCAAATTGTTGTTGCGAATAGTAGTTCGCTATTCGTAGTAACTTGTTGTTAAAAAAAAAAAAGGAAAAATATATATTACGAATATAAACATAAAAAGAATAAAAATCAAAAGATATAAGTATTTATATGAATATTATGAAACATATACTAAAATTTGATTTGTTCATGTATTTAGGGAGAATTAGAGAAAGTTAGGGACAAAAATTCATAGAAAAAATAAAAATCAATATAAACAAGCAATAATGAAGTAAAAATGAAGAAAAAAATAATTTTATTAAATTTAGATAGGTTTATAAAGTTTAAATTAGGAGAAAAAATAGAGTTTAAATAGAGAGAGAAAACATTCAAAGTTGTTAGAAAGAAAATTTTGAAATCTCGGGGTTGATGGTTGGATTTCAACTATTTATATTTGAGAAGAAAAAGTCTACAAAAGTCTTAAAATTAAAAGTCTACAAAAGTTCATAACTTTTTAAATACCACGTGACTTTTAAAGACTCTCTAAAAGTCTTAATCGAATACCACACGACTTTTAAAGACTCTTTAAAAATCTTGATTGAATACCGTCCGACTTTTAAAGACTCTCTAAAAGTTTGAATTGAATACTCCCAAACTTTTAAAGTTCATAAAAGTCTTTAAAACTCTATGAAAGTCATGATTGAATACACCCCCCTTAGTCTTGGGATGGTCTTTTTCACTATCTCGTCCAGAGAAACATTTAATATAATATCACCTAATTATGCTTAAATTAAAATGTTTTTTTTTTTGAAAAAAAAAATGTAATATCATCAATTACCTACGAATTAAACTGTTTTCTAACGTTACTCAAAAAAAAAAAAATGCCATATAAATTAAATTTTACAGATATATTCACATAATTCCATGGGAGATGCTTTACATTTTACTGCGGATTTTAGTAAAAATATATTCCCATAATCCATATGCTCAATAAAATTTGTAAATATTGAAAAAAGAAAAAGAAAAGAAAATATTAGAGACTTCCCGGACACACCAAAGCCTCGACCGTTTTCTTGTGAAACAAAATGGGATGAAACGTACCTCGCAATTTTCTCACTGCCAAATTCCGAAACAAAGCAAGAACTCCTAAACACACAGAAATGGTGAGAGTGAAAGAGAGTGAGTGTTCTTCATCTCATCTCTAACCCTTTTGCAAATACAAGGGAGGGATACAGCAGACAGGAAAATGTTCTACTCGCATGTTCTCCTCTCAAAGAAGGGGGCCTTAGGAAACATTTGGGTTGCTGCTCATTGTCATAAACGCCTCAACAAATACCAAGTCAGCCAAACCAACATCTCTTCTTCTGTCGGTCAGTCTTCCATTTCTCTATTTCTTTCTGGTTTAGCTCCCCTTTTCCGTACCAGTTGCAAGGCAGATGATTCTTCTTTATATGCTGCAATTTTTTCTTTTCTCTCCCAATTTCGAGATTTAATCACATTTTCCTAAGTTTTCCGCGAGACAGACTTCCGAATCCTTGCTCGAAATGCTTACTGCAAAGGAAATAGGCAAGTCTAGTGGTCATTTTTGAAAATTGTCTAAAAACTGTGTAATTGCTCTTCAATTGAGGTTTTGTTGTCTTTCTTCGAGGGCATTATTGTCCTCTTTTTTTTTTGAGTGAGTTTTTTTTTTTCTTCCTCTCTCGACTGCTGCGTTTCCTGGATTTCCTTTTGCTTGTTTGTTCCGCTAGTATCAGCACTCTCGAACTTATCTGTGATGTACATTGATCATGAATTTAACTGTTTTTTTTTCAAATTTTATTGCTTAGCATTCATGCTTATTAGATAACAGATTGATTGATGAAAAAAATTAGATGTTGTGTTGTGAAGAAAAGCAGCTTAGTGTTATTCTGAAATTGATTTCTGATACTATAATCTTCACTAGATTTGTGATTTTGCTATGGAAAGGAGGGAGGGAGGCAATCAAGTATGTGCAGACATTTGCATCAATGCAGCTGCATTTATAATAATAACTAATAAGACAATTAGGTGGCTTATACCTTGAGTATTTATAAAACTTTATTTTACACTTTTACTCATTTGTGTTAATGCTTCTTGGTTTTATAAGAACTAAAAGGACTATTAGTCAGTTCATAGCTAATTACTTGTTTTATTTACATGTTTACATATAGCTGATTTATATATATGACCAAATCACACCTTTGTAAATTATGCAAACATATTTTGTGCGTATTGTATGTTTAGTTTGCCCGTGACTCATAAAAATGATTAAATTATATATGTTTTGTGGGAGTGTGTATATATATGTTTGTTGTCCACAGCTATGCTGCTATGCGTATGGAAGTTATGTTAGGTCGGAGTATTGTTGAATGTTTTGTTTCAGATTTGATCTTTCCAATTATACATGCTTGGCTAAATGAACTTTGTCCTTGTTCATGTTGCTTGACAGAACTTGTTTTATGCCCTGCTTTTCATTGCTCATTCAGATAAAATTCTGCTAGACGAAGTCCCTGTTGTCACATATAGAATTTTAGGCCACCTTCTTGTGGGCATTGTCAGAATATACTCGAAGAAAGTTGAATATCTCTTCCATGACTGCCACAAGGTGCTCACTAAGCTTGTTGATTTTGCAAGCGAAAAGAGACCAAACAAAAAGTTCAAAGCTACACATTCATCTTACTGCTTAATCTCTCGCCCAAAGAGATTTGAACTTGATGCTTTTGAGTTGGAAATTCTGGATGATCAAGATGGACTTAGGTGAGCTACAAAATTACCCAATACAAAGCATTGTATTTCTTTCATTTACTATAATTCTTGTCCTTCGGGATTTGAGATTCTTCACCACCTTATGCTTGCATTGATGGGTTTACAGTGCTCATGTGAGACCCAATGAAGAAATTATGCTTTCAGGTAGTGGAAAGTCTTTGCAAATCTTTTATAGAATTGTTTTCCTTGATTAACTTATCAGTTATGTTTACTAGATGCATGGAAGAGTGATGGTTTGCGGATTGGCTTATCTGACCTGGTGTCTGAACAGGTACTGGTTTATGTAGTCACCTTTGCATAAATGTGAATATTTATATTCATCCAACCAAAATATCATGATTCATGCACTAAATCTGAAGTTAAATGTGATAGAACATTCTCCTGAAGCATACCTCCAATAAATTTTCAAAACATCCTCCTTTTAGTATAACCACCTGTTCTTACTCTTTCTTTTACAGTTTTATTGACAGCCTACTGCTGAGATTTCTGACAGACTATCATTTATGATTGTCAAATTGCTGACATAGAATTTGAAATCTCAAAGTGCCATGATAAGAAAAAGCTGCCTGAATACCTAATTTCTATGCTGTTCCTGAATTTGCAGTATCATGATCAGGAAGATATTTCTCATCCTCAATCATATTCCCCAGATCACACTCCACTCAGAGAGTAAGTATCAGAACATTTTATGGCTATATACTTATATTGGCATGTAGGCTTGATATTTATTGTTGGTGCAGTGTTTGTTCACCTCACTTTGTGGAGGATGATGTCACTTGTGGCTCAACAAGTTATAAGACCAACTCAATAGGAATGGGAAGACTTTGTGTAACTAGGTTCTCTTTGGAAGAGTGTTTAGAACCTATGACTTTTGAGGACATTGAGAACCAAATGATCAATGATCAGGAATCTAGTCAAATCTGTCAAACTGATGAAGAGCAGATAAAACAACCTGACTCTGGTAGTTGCAACCTGACAGAAATAGGGAATTTTTGTACTTTTTTGTTAGAAGATCGTTTGGAGCCCATGATTATTGACGATGAGGAAGCTGAAGCTGAAGCTGCCCTTGCTCATGAGCAGATCAAACATCCTGAGACAAAAATGCTTGCGAATGAGGAGGAACTCCTCAATAAATCTTGTAATGGAAAACAGCCTGTGGATGTGGAGTCGATGAACATTCAAGAAATGCCTTCCTCAAACAGTGGGAAACATCAGATTTTAGAAAACCATTCTGTTTCCCTGTCTGTTGATGTGACCCCAAATTCCAAATTCCCAGGTGGTTCTGGTAGGCATCCTGATTTAAAGGGTTTCTTGGCTCATAAGCCATATAAACACCTAACATTTGGATATTGATGTTAAAAATATAGCCTCTATTTGTTCAGGTGCTGCATCACCAGATTTGATGCTTGTCCGTACCCCTGCCACTAAGGAGCGACCCAGGACTTTGAAGAAGCGAAAATGTCTATTTGATGAACCTGTTGTGATCCCTAATCAGTATGAAACCAAAACTTGTTCTCTATGATAGATTTCCTTTAATGTTGAGATAAATAGTACTGTTGCGGCACTTGTTGCAGTGATCTAATGACAGTGCTTGCAATTTTAAAACTCTGTTTAAAATTTCTCCAAAAAAAAAAAGACAATTTAATTTCTGCATATTCTTTTTTGTTAAGCATTTGGTCCGTGGGACTATTTATACAAATTGTATACCCAGTTTTTCGGTCTTATTCATGTTCTAATATTCCATTTGTGAAAAGTTTTTTCCCCCCTAAAAATGTAAATATCTTAATTAAAATTGGGATTTGGCTGACAGTACTTTTGGTTGTGATCTTTTTAGTTTAGCTTTGTTTACGTGTCAATTCTTGAAACTACAGAGTATTTAAGCGTTGGCTTAATAACTATGACGACTTGGTATGCAAAAGAAGGAAAGCTCCTCACATTCCATTGGTTGCCTGGAAAGTTCAGAAGTTCTCCTCTCTTCCCGAAAGTCTTTTGGAGCCTTTGATTCCCTGTAGTAAGTTCTGTGCGTCACTTTATTTCTCTACTGCAACTTTTGAGACATATTAATTGGTTGGCATGGCCCTTATAGGTGCTTTGGTAGACACTAGATTGTTGGTTCACAAGATAGGGAATAGGGCTGAGCCAGTTGATTGTGTGGAAGTTCCTCAGAATAAGGGCATACCAGAATCTCCTGCCAAACATGGATCCCAAGAACATACTCCAATTGCTCCTGGCACACCTGTGACCTTCTCAAACGCATGGAGATTGCATGAAGCGCGAAGATGTGTTGACATATTGGAGCCTGCAAGCTCTATAGATAAAAGCGCACAACAAGCAGAGGTTCATGAGTTGGATATTAGTTTGATGGATGAGGTTAAACATGCTTTCTCTTCACTGGCTTTACTAGTTTTATTCCCACTCATATGAACATCTGCTAGATATTCACTTGCTTAGTAATTGTCAACAAAAGTTCTAAAATTGATGCCATTTGAATTGAGGGATAGAAGTTTATCTTAACAGACTAGTTTCAATATGCACTGTCATTTGATGTTTAAATTTCAATTGACTAATGGATACTATTCAGCTATGAGTTTTTTGAGAAGGCTAAAACTTGTACATTTTTCATTTTGTCAGGAGATAAATTCATTTGATGAGGACATCCAGGAGAAATGTAAGCAAGTAGTCTTCTGTTGTTTCACCTTTTCAAATTTCTATTGCCATTTTCCACAATATCAACCACCATTCTGATGCATGTATATTTTATCTTGTTTGCAGACAAATGTTCTGTGAGAACAAGGTACAATGGATAAGGATCTCTTCCCCTCCCTCAGCTTACCCACAATGGATAAGTCTGTATTTGTTTAATATCTGTGACTCATTTTGATTTCTGGCTTACAGAAAGGTTGCAAGGTATCTGCATAGAAATTTCTTAGCTCAAAATGGTGAAGCTGTGAACTTATCTCAGGCCCTGAAAGTAAAAACCAAAAAAGCAAGTGCAAGGCTGTTCTATGAGATACTGGTATGTTGGTTTGGTCCATTTATTAAATCACCTTAACAAGAACTTTTTAAAGGTTGCAGCCATCAATTATGTATCTAAACCATGAGCTTGGTACTTTCATTTGATCTGAGGGGAAGAGAGTAGTACATACAACAACAGTCAATGCAATATCTATACACAAATACATAAATGTGTTTTGTGAGTGATACAGTAGTGTCTTAGTAGTACTGCTGTGCTGCAGGTCTTGAAAACAGGAGGTTGGATAGATGTGCAGCAGGATAACGCGTATGGTGATATTTGTGTGCTCGAGTCTCCTAACCTGAAGCAGACTTTTGCAGCTGAGGTCGCAAACTAGGGCAATTGAATCGGTCTCATTAGGGAAGCAGATGTAGCATATGGCACAGAAGTAGAACAGGGTTACTTCCTTTAAACCATGAATACACATGTACATGTATATGTAGTAGAGAGCTCAGATAATTTACTTTGGATAAGTAATTAGTGTTTTAATAAACAACCCAAGTAAAGTAGGCTTCATTTGTGGTCGTGGACCGACGAGGGTAGCATGCTTATGTTTATATGTATGGCATCATGAAAAGGTGTAGTGTTGTTAACTTTGCAGGCAGGCTTAGGTTTGATATAAGTGCCTTGCCTTCCATTCAGGAATGAAAGAAAACATGTTAGTTCGGAGTTGATACAATGCGAAAACCAAGCAAGAAGCTTTGTCGTGTCTATATTCCCACAATATATAGAGACGCTTTTATGTTGAGTTGAAAGTTGAAAGGCACCCTCCAAAATCATCACACTAAAAGAAAGGGGAAAACCAAATCAGCTAGCTAATCACTCACTGTCAGAACCATCATCATTTTCATGGTCTGCAACAACCTTCTCAAGAAACCTCTTCCGAACTCCATCAAGAACAGCTTCTCTCGACTGCTTTTCACCATGGCCATCATTGAGTACTGGATCAGATTGGCAGAGAAGCAGGGCAACACCTGAAAAGAAAATAAATAATGAGGAGGATGAATAAGAGATATGGCATTGGGAAATCCAAATATGCTTGCAACATACGGAGTACTTACTTTCAGGTGTGCATCTCCGACCAAAACTATGAATCCCAACAAAATTTGCCTTGACAGCGCTGTTGTTGTAAACCAATAGAGTAGGAAGATTGCGATCTGGATAGTTATGGATACAATCAGTAGATATAATCTTGACAAACTTTGTTGCTGGATATTTAGTAGCCAATTCTTCTAAGCACTGCAACAGCACCCTGCAATCTGCATATCTGTTGAGGAAGAAGTGCAGAGAGAGCTTCAAGTACTGATCAATGCAAAGACTATTATTTATTTAGCATGGAGGAATAACAACACACTAAGAATTAAGAAAGAGACATTACCCATCCTTGTATAAAAGAACAACCACCCAAACATCTGGCGGAGCTTGTGATACCTCACGTACAAAATCTGATCCAGAAATGGGAATCACCCATCCAAACTTTGCAACCTTGGCTGCTGCTTGCATCTCTGCCAACCTCTTCTTCCTTCAAACAATCACCATACAATAAAATCAAATTAAGAAAAGAAGCAGCAGCTAAGATCATCAAGCTCACAATATCCTTTTTAGCATTCCCAAAATCACAAATTGCATTTCCCACTCTCTGGAGCTACCTAATAAACTGTACTCCTAATAAAGAAGTTGATTGATTTGGCGAATTGCAATCAAATCAAATCAAAGCAAACAGACTTTTGCTTTTCTTTCGGCAGATCAAAGGTGAAGAAGTTAGTATGTACCTGTACTCTTCAAGGAAGGGGTCTTCGTCAAGATCATCTTCAATATCTTCGAGCTCTTCGGCGGATTTCTTATCGATCCATGCCTTGTCCTTGGGCTTAGAGGAGTCTTCATCTTCAGCGGGGGTGAAAGGCGGTGGCTTGAAAGGAGGCGGCTTGGGAGGGAGGTTTCCAAGTTTCCTCTGAATGTCATCCCACTGAGTAGAAGCTCCTTCCACGTCCTTGTACACAAAGTGGTAATCCGCCATTTCCGACTGAATCTCTCTCTCTTCTCTTCTCTTCTCTTCCTTTCCTGTCGCCTCGAGGCTCGAGGAGCACTTACTGCTTTTATTAATTAATTAATTTATTATCGAAGCTCAATGTATAGTAATGGGTCCGTACCTTTGTCAGGCCCATTTTAGAAGCCCAATTTCAATTACCATGCTACCCAATTAAAAGCCAGTAATTAAACTAGCTTTCCATTCAATCTAACCGTTCCTGTTGTACTTGAAGTGAATCACCCAGAGAGAAGTGGAGGAAGAAGAAGGGAGGATGAATCTGCTGAGCTTGAACTCTGTGGAATCGGTGTTGGCTCAAATCCAAGGCCTATCTAACAGTGCTCAAGACATCTCTCAACTTCACACCTTTCTGAAACAGTCCGAAGAATTGCTCCTCTCCGAGTCGACTCGCTTGGCTCCGCTACTCGCCCAACTCCACCCTTCTCAGCATTCCTTGGGTTACCTCTATATCCTGTTAGCCCCTTTTTACACTAGCATTTATCCTAGGGCTTCTCTCTCCCTCTTTTAATCGCAATTTACTCCCGAATATATGTGGGTTATGCATTTATGTTGTTAATTTTTATTTTATTGACCAAGTATATATCCATGATTGTTTGCAAAAGTGTGAATGCAAGGTTCGCAGTTTACATAACTTGGACACTGACATTGTTCTGCTACTCATGTTTCTGCAATTCATCAAGTGAATTTCGTGCAAAAATTATGGTGACCTAGCAATATATTCAACTCTCTACATGTCATTGTAACTCATCTGTATTTTGTCATTAACAGGGATGCAGGCATGTATGCTCCAACTTCAAAGGAGCAAGCCTCTGAACTAGTTTCTTGTGCGGCAAGATTTATTAATGAATGTGTTGCAGATCAAATCCGCTTAGCACCTGAGAAGTGTACTTATCAATCCATTCGTAATTTGTTCTATTTTATTCTTCTTATTATTATTGGTTTTCCCCTGTCTAACTAATTTTCATCTGGCATTATTTTGTTGTAACTTGTAACAGTCATATCTGTTTGTAAAAGATTCAAAGAGCAAGTTATGCTGCTTAAAGAACCTTTAAGAGGTGTGGGTCCTATGCTGACTGCCATACAGAAACTACGGCTCTCATCTGAGCAGCTAACGACCTTACATCCCGAATTTCTTCTTTTGTGCTTAATGGCAAAGTGTTATAAGATTGGTTTTTCTATTTTGGAGGATGACATCTTTGAGGTTGATCAGCCAAAGGACTTTTACCTCTATTGCTACTATGGGTAAGTTGAATAGATTATTGAAGCCTGGTGGTGATCTTCTCCCTAGCTCTTGTGCTCCACTCTACTGTTTTGCTGTTAATATAGAACATCCTTTATTTTTTGTCTTAATCTACCGCATCTACTGTGCTGCCTACCAATTTTCAATAAAACCTTTCTGGTAGTTTTGTTTTAATAGGGTTAATAGGGAAATAAAATCTTATTTATGCAGGAAGTTCTATTTATCAAATAAATTATATCACCATCCTTCCTCTCAACAATTGTTCAAGAACAAGTTGGACCATTTAAAGTTTTTGCTTTGTTGAGTCAGTCATGATTTAGTTAACCAATTTTAGCACTGCAGTTCAGTGGATATAACATTTTAAATTTCTCAGGTTCTGCCATTGTGGTTGGTTGTTGTATTACAGAGTATTGGAAGCATTATATGTTTGTGTAGTATGCAATCATCAGAACAAAATAACAATCTCTGTAATGGTTTTCTATGATGATCAAGTCACTGTTCTTCTTGAATTCCAATACCTTCAACTCTTCAAGTATAAGCACTTGATTTTTGTGTAACTGTTTTTAGAGCTTTGAAAATACTGCTGTGTTATACTAGGATTGTATGGGCTATGCCTCTGCAATAGAGATGTGTTGATGCCTTTACTTGTTGGGCATGATTGCAGGGGAATGGTTTGCATTGGACAGAAGCAATTTCCTAAAGCTTTGGAGCTTTTTCTTAATGTATGCCAGTGTTTTGGTAACATTTGACTCAGGAGGGAGGGAGAGGCCCCTGTTTCCTTCTGTCATCTGGTCAATCTCATTACTGCTTCTATTAATTTGTTAAAGCAGTTTATCTTCTTTCATGTTTGATTGTAATGGTTTTAGGTAGTAACGGCACCTATGTCCACTTTAAATGCTATAGCAGTTGAGGCATACAAGAAGTACATACTTGTTTCACTTATTCAGAATGGACAGGTCTGTTTTGCTGTTTCTATCTCAAACCATTCTTTGACTACTAATACTCTGTGGTTTTAAGTACTTAAGTCAATCTTCATTTACTTCTGATGGCAGTTTTCTACCGGTTTCCCAAAATATACATCTTCTGCTGCTCAAAGGAATTTGAAGAATTACTCTCAGGTGTGCTATTGGATTCTACACATGCATCTATTATCAGAAATAGCTTTTGTAGGGTAACTTGATTGTTCCCAACCAAGAATTCCATAGATCTGTAGCATTAAAGGTTTTGTGCCAAACTCCAGATTATGCAAACAGAAGTAATTGATGCTACAGACACTGAACAGATTGCAGTTAAAACATCTACTGAAAATTTAGCTGCTTAGCTACCTCTTCTGATGAGTGTGTATCAACTGATAGCTGATACTGGATTATTCATCTTTTTTTTTTTTTTTTTAAATTTTATTTTTCTTAAGAAAATTGAGTTATTTTGGATTGGATTTTAATAAATAAGGAAATCTGACATATTTCATGACCCAATTGTTTGAATGCTTGAAACCCACTGTCTGTCTTTTCAGGTTTATATGCCTCTTCCACATTATATTAACTTGCTGATGGCAAACAAGCTTTGTTCATATTATTAAAACCCATGACATTACATCCTAACATATTTATTGTTTTTCTTTTAGAGCTTAATGAAATCGTTCTTCTTCCTTTTGTTTGAGCAGCCCTACCTGGAGTTGGCAAATAGTTATAACCTTGGAAAAATCTCTGAGCTTGAGACATGTGTACAGACTAACAAGGACAAGTATGAAATTGTGAGTTTTCTGCTGTTGACCAGTTTCTACTTATTATTATTTTTTCTACTTGTGAGTGACTAAATGAACTTTTTCATTATGCTAGTCATTTGATTAGTGTTACTCTCTGGTTCATTGTGATCTGAACGTGTAAAATTCAATTGTTTGCTCTTATTCACTCTGCAGGACAATAACCTTGGATTGGTGCAGCAAGTAGTGTCGTCTATATATAAACGCAATATTCAGAGATTGACTCAAACTTATCTCACCCTTTCCCTTCAAGATATTGCTAATACTGTCCAACTAAATAGCCCCAAGGAAGCAGAAATGCATGTCCTCCAAATGGTAAGTAAAGTGGGTCATTCCTTCTTGTTTTACATATGGATTTTTTAGTAGTATGCTAACACCTGACCTGTTTTGTCATGTTTCATAGATTGAAGATGGTGAAATATATGCAACCATCAATCAGAAGGATGGGATGGTTAGATTTCTGGAGGATCCTGAGCAATATAAGACTTGTGGAATGATTGAACACATTGATTCATCAATTCAGAGGTCAGGCTTTTGAGTAGTTATTCTGATTGTTCAGGACTTGATAGAAACAGCTATATAATGGTTTTGTTTGTGTTTATTCCAGAATAATGATGCTGTCGAAAAAACTAACATGTATGGATGAACGTATGTCATGCGACCCTTCCTACCTTGCTAAGGTAAAGCCTCAGTGTGTTGAGCATATAGCCATTACTGTACAATCCAACTATCAGTTTAGGCTTTTAGTTGTTTAGGCTTTTAGTTGAGATGGAGCACATGTTTCAATTTGATATCAGAGCCAGACCAAAGGTCATGGGTTCGAATCTCACCGTCACCCATAAGCGACTATGGTCCACGTGGCACATGGCTTAGGCTTTTAGTTGAGATGGAGCATATGTTTCAATTCAATTCAGTGGATAATAGTGTTGGTTTGGGAGAGCTATGAATTAATACATTTTATTGTTTAAAGTGGATACATTTGTTTTGTCAGGTTGGTAGAGAGAGACAAAGATTTGATTTTGATGATATTGAGGGTGTACCTCAGAAGTTCAACTTATGAAGAATTTGAGCAATTATTGTGAAACAAGTTCGTGTTGGGAGGAAATTGTATTTCTATCATCTCCCCACTGTATTAGGAAAGTAGTAGAAATTACATTATACTTAACATCATGTATTTTTGCATGAAATGGGATGAGGGGAATAGCTTGTGTTGATTGAGATGGATGCTGAAGATGATGTTGTGATGATCACATTTTAGAATTTGGTATAACCATCTTCTTTAATTCTTTTCTCAATATTTTGCCAGCAGCACTCCTAGGAATGGTGCTAACAAATGAAACACGCCTGATTTTCTTGTAAGGTGCAACCTGCAGGCAATTGATACTAAGCAAATTATAATGTGTGGTGTTAAGGGGGAGGGGAGGGGAATACCGAATACCTACCTGTCTTGCAATGAAATCTATCACTTGCCGTTCATCTATTATATTGCTTTTAGGATTTCTGACAACAAATGCCATGGGCACTTCACCAGCTTCTTCATCAGGATATCTGTCAAATTTGGCACACATTTCATTTCTCAAGTTTGGAGCGCCAAGCTGATGCCAATTGACAAGTGAAGTGGTATTTATTTTCTACCATTATTTATTTATATTACTCCGTAATATAATACTCCGTATTACATTAGTATAATCATATCATATCAAGAACAGTAGATTAACACAAACAAGGGAACATGTAGAAAAGGCTTTGAGTGAGATTGAGGAAGGTAATTGGGGCTTACGGGATAACAGCAGCATCAATTATATGAGGGTGAGACTGAAGGAGCTGTTCTAGTTCAGCAGGAGCAACCTACAAGCTTAGTAGTAGTAGTTGTTTAGTTTAGATAAAGCAGTGTGGGAAAAGAAGTGAAGTTCAATATAATATAATATAATATAATATAAATATATAATGTAACCTGGTATCCTTTATATTTGATTAATTCCTTGAGCCTGTCCACAACAAATAGGAAACCATTTTCATCAAAGTAGCAAATGTCGCCGGTTCTCAACCACCACCCACCCCCACCTGCTGCTTTTACCAGTGTTTCGGCAGTGGCCTTTGTATCACCCACATACCCTAAAATTAAACAACAATTGAGTTACAATTGATTGATGTAATCTACTCTACCGTACCACTACATAATTAATTACCTACCTCGCATTACTGTTGGTCCTCTAACCCAGAGCTCTCCCTGCTTCCCTGGAGGCAGAGCATTTCCAGTTATAGGGTCTATGATTTTTGCTTCTGTATTGGGTATAAGCCGCCCTGTTGAACCCCAACGAAGGAATTCTTGCTCCGTTACAGCTCGACTTACAGCCCCCGTAGATTCACTCAATCCATAACCCTTTATTAATTTCCAAATTCCAAATATCAATATCCCCACTTTAATTATGCACCTAATCAAAACTCTACTAATTTTCTTACCTGCACACACTGTGTGTTTGGGAACTTCTCTGTAAATGCTTTAATCGCTTCTTTCCCCAGCGGAGCTCCCCCGCATAATACCATCCGCAGTGAACTCAAATCCAACCCATCCTCCTTTTTAGCTCTTTCCTTGATCATTCCCACAATCACTGGAGGCGCCACCGCAATGTCCGACACCCTAAATTCTTCCACTGCCTTCAACATCTTCCTCATTTCAAATCTCTCCATCACAACCACCGTTTCCGCCGTAGCCACAGATTTTAAACAATAACTTAAACCGAACACGTGAAAATATGGCACTGTGTACAGAATTACTGCCGGTGATGACCTCTCTGGCTTCTGAGCATAATAATTGGCAACCATCGATATCAAATTCCGGTGAGTCAGCATTACTCCCTTCACTTGCCCCGTCGTTCCCGACGAATATATAATCGCCGCTACGTCTGATTGGCTCACCTCCACCTCCACGCGTCTCAGCTCGAAATCTGACCTATTCGTCATTGATTCCAACTCTGGCGAGTCAATCACCACTGTTCCGTATCGAAGTTTCGGCAGTTTATGCCGAGTTGCTGATGTAGCAAAGGCAATCACAGGTTTGGAAAGCTCGATTTGGCGGGAAATCTCGGCGTCGGTACTGATTGGATTGGCCGGAGAAATGACGACACCGATGGATAGCAGCGAGAAATAGAGGATCGGAATGAAGGTGGAGTTGGGAGAGAGAACAAAAGCAGTGTCACCTTTGGAAAGACCAAATCGAGTTTGGAGAGAAGCAGCTAAGGTGGTGACACGGAGGGTGAAGTCGGAGTAAGAGATTCGGTGACCAGTGGCTGAGTTGATGAGTGCAGTGGAGGAATTCGGCCATGGCAAGGTGAGTTGAAGAGACAAAGAGTATTGGGCGACAGTGAGGGGGAGGGTTTCGGGTGGAAGGGCAGTCGGTGGCTTGAGGCTTTGGAATATTCCAGTATGGGAGCAGAAACCGCTCATTGCCGACGACGATGAATTTGAGTTTTTGGGCATTTCAGTGGAACGGAGGAGAAAACTAAGTTACGTCGAATGTTGATGGATATATGGGTGATGAGTTTGTGTATTCTGAATGATGATTCACGTACATCAAAAGCCTGAGTAATAATACACCAAAGTCTAAACATACTTAAAGATAGACACTAGAGAAGTAGACATAAACTAAGACACAACCACATAGTCCTAATACACCTCCTCAAGCATAAGGTTGAGAGGCAACAACATTGAGCTTGAAACGTAGATCTCTAAAACGAGTCGCTTGGTAAAGATATCAACAACCTGATCCTTAGTAGAGATAAAATTAACCTGCAAGTCACCGGACTCCACCTTGTCACGAACAAAGTGGTAGTCAACCTCAACATGCTTGGTTGGTCCTTGCATGAAAAACGGGATTAGCATGTAAATAAGTAGCCCCTAAGTTGTCACACCAAAGTTTAGGAGGAATCCCCGAATAAAGACCAAGCTCCCGTAACAATGAGACTATCCAAGTAACCTCAGCAGCCACTTCAGCCAACGCCTTGTACTCCGCTTCAGTAGAAGACCGCGCCATTGTACGTTGCTTACGGCACAACTACGACACCAAATTGCGACCAAGAAATACTGCAAAACCACCCGTGGACTTACGATCAACCGAGCTATCAGCCCAATCCGAATCAGAAAAGGCATGCAAGTTATCCGAACCAGACACACATAACCGCAAACCAAAATCCAAAGTGCCTTTTACGTACTGCAATACACGCTTCAGCAACATCTAATGCAAGACCATAGGTGAGTGCATGTGCTGGCACAACTGATTGACCGCATAAGAGAGGTCCGGACGCGTAACGGTAAGATTCTGCAGAGCACCAGCTAAGCTCCTGTATTGTGTGGGATATCATAAGATTCCTCAGAAGACGACGCAGGCCGAGAAACCAAGACCGGGGTGGCAAGAGGCTTACAGTCAGTCATCCCTGCACGCTTCAGAATATCAGACATGTACCGGCGTTGTGACAAAAGCAGGCCACCCTAAAAAGGCACAGTTTCAATACCAAGAAAGAAACTAAGAGATCCCAAATCACGCAACTTAAGCGCAGAGGCCAACCGCTTCATGAGACTAGCCACAACTGAAGAATCACTGCCCATCAACAATATGTCATCCACATAAACAAGAAGGAAAACCTGAGCACTATTACAAGAATAGTAAAACAGGGAAGCATCGGTTTTGGAAGCCTTAAAACCCATAGACAGCAGAAAATCATGCAGTCGTTTAAACCAGGCCCGGAGAGCCTGCTTCAAACCATACAGAGAACGCTGCAGCAAGCAAACATAACCTGGAAAATCCGGATCAGAAACGCATTGTGAACGTCCAACTATCGTAGAGCCCAGCCACGAGAAAGAGCAATAGATAGCAATAACCGGGCCGTGGTAGGCTTGACCACAGGACTGAATGTGTCAAAGTAGTCCTCCCCAGCAACCTGACTAAAACCCTTGGCCACTAACCTAGCCTTATAGCGCTCCACAGAGCCATCAGCCTTGCGCTTGGTCCGAAACACCCACTTACGACCAACAATGTTCATGCCAGGAGTTTGCGGCACCAACCGCCAAGTGTGATTGTGCATCAAGGCATTAAACTCCTCGTCCATAGCCGTTCGCCACTCAGGATGAAGAACCGCCTGAGAATAACAGGTGGGATCGATAGTCACCGTGGAAAGCAAAGCCTGCAGGGGACCATCAAGAGGCATGTGACGAAGAACCATCTGAGTACGATGTTGCGGCCTACCCGCACCACGACGTCTCGTAACCCGGACCGGAGCATACACAACACCCACCGGACCACCAGAAAGCAACTTGGATTACTAATAAGGTGGAATAGGAACGTCTGGACAAGGCAATGGTGCAGCAACAACCGGCCCAGCACCCCACGGCTCCAACGAACCAACAGTCACGGGTGCCTACAAAGAAGAAGACCTGGCAAAAGGAAACACAGTCTCGTCAAATCGGACATGACGACAGATAAATATCTTTCTCGTATTGAGATCCATGCACCGCTAGCCCCAAAACGACATTTGATACCCCAGAAAACACACAGAAAGGAAAGAAACGCAAGTTTATGCTTATTATACGACCTAAGATAAGGGAAACAAAGACAGCCAAACACCCGTAAGAACGAATAACCAGGAGACGAATTAAACAACACAGAATACAGACTACGCATGCCAATAGCAGAAGAGGGTAACCAGTTAATAAGGAAAGTAGCAGACTCAAAAGCATAGTCCCAATATTTTAACGGTGCAGAACATTGAGTAAGGAGAGCAAGCCCCGTCTTGACAATGTGCCGATGGCGAAGCTCAACTCTCCTGTTCTGCTTGTGCGTATAGGCACACGACTGACGATGCACAATCCCCAGGGACGAGAAAAGAGAACTCAATTTACGATATTCCCCCCTAAATCAGTTTAAATACACTTAATTTTGCAAGAAAACAACCGCTCAATCATTAAACGAAAACGAGTGAATACAGCATAGATATTAGTTTTAAGTCGCAATGGATATAACCAACAAAAACTCAAAAAGTCGTCCACAAACAGGACAAAGTAGCGATAACCATAATGAGACAAAATATGCGCAGGGCCCCAAATATCAGAATAAATTAAGTCTAACACATTTGAACTACTAGTCTCAACACGAGACAAAGGAAAACGAGACGACTTTCCTAACTGACATGATGAACAAATAGAAGCAGAATTAAAATCTAATTTGCTAACCGAACAAGACCGTAAGACATCTCAAAACCCGGTAGTGCGGATGACCCAGACGCCGGTGCCAAACATCAGACGAATCACGGGCGGAAAACAAAGCAACAAGAGACGTAGACGTAGGAAGCCGAAGTGAATAGAGACCCCCCGAGCTAGGACCCTTAAGCAGAATGGCCTTGGTAACCAAGTTCTTCACAACAAAAAAATCATGGAAAAATTCAAATGAGACATTATTATAACGAGAGAAACGTTGAACGGATAATAACGAATTTGACAATCGCGGAACAATAAGAGCGTTAGACAAAACTAAAGATTTAGACGAGGGAATACGGGCATGGCCAATACGAGAAATATTCAAACCTTCGCCACTGCCCACACGAAGAGTTCCGCCCCGTGATACGGCTTAGACTCAGTCACCCCAGCATCCGAAGGCGTAGCGTGATGTGTGGCGTCGGTGTCGGGAAACCAAGACACGGAGGCATAGATGGAACACCAGAACCCGAGGCCGCAAGATGAGCTTGAGCAGCAGCCGGCTGAGGATCATACCGCCTGAAACAATGGAGTGCCACCACCACTGCGACCAGAGCCGCGCGCACTACCAGACTGGCTTTGTGACAACCCAAAAATAATTTTCCTAAATTCTATTTTATAAATTTCAAAAATAATTTTTTTTACTCTTTCATTTTTTTCTCTAAAAGCAGTGTATGAATTAAATATTTTAAATCGAGATTTTAAATCAATTCAACACCAAGAAATAGCTTATTTCGAAAAATCCTAAGTTTCGGGTATATTTATGTACCAAGTTTTGACCCAAAAAGTCAATCTGAGTTAAACCTGAGAGGAACCTGTGAAACCTGAACCAAATGTTCTAATTAGAAACTATTTTATAGAAAATCTATTTTGACCCCAAAGTTGTATAAAAATTAATTTTTTAAAGCCTTAGCCTATGTTAAAGAGATGAAGCCTGATGATTTCTACAAAGCCAAAGAGGATGTCTGATATTTTGAACAAGCCATTTTACCCTTTTGCCCTCTTTGCTAATGATTCTTCCACTCAGGGTTTTGGACCCCTATAAATTCAACACTATTCCATTGCATTTCTCTTGATCCCCGGCCTCCATTTGCCTCTCCACTCCAAACCTTAGGAATCTGCCAAGAGAAAGAAGAAGTCACAGTAAGTTGCATCTGCCTTCATCTTCTCCATTCATTCATCTCATCTCTTAGACTACCCATCTTTACTTTCCGATCTCTGAGTTTTTCCTTAAGCTTTGTGTGTATTTATGTTTGTTTGAAGAAAATAGGTGGTGAAGGTGGTAACCTCTGAGAAAGTAAGGAAGGGGATCCACACAAGAGAAGACAAAGCTCAAGGTATAAACCATGAATTCTCAAAACTAAGATTTTTGGTCTGTTAAATGCTATAAGCTTGAGTTTAGTTGGTGATATCTGCTTATAGCATGTGAATGTGTTTAAGCATGAGTTATGAGTTAAAGCATGTTTATATGAGTTATAGGTTGCAAGCATATAAAAGTGTTTATGTATATCTATTGAGACTTGCTGACTAAGTGTTGTAACTGTTTATATTCATACTTGAGACTGCGTGTGAATGAGAAATGTTTTCTAACCTATATATATATAGTACTTTACTGGGTTGAGTGGTTTTATACTTGACATTGATTTGCTAACGAGTTTATTTTCCTACTTGTTTTATAACGCCTTTCAGGTGGGCCCAGTACTTGAGAGCGCACGATGGTAGTATAGTGCGTAGTTTAGTCGTGGTAGTTACTAGATCGGTACTTTTCCTTTTATAGTAAACTACCTTTTTGATGGTGCATAGTCACCCGGGTTTGTTCCCCACGATTATGATATTTTGTAGAGCTTTTGACTCTAGTTTGGTTAGCTGTTTTGTAGCCTATGCAATTATCGTGAGTGGTGACTGTGGCGATGACACCCTTTTAGTTTATCGTTTGGTTGGTTATTTAGTTATCTAAGTTATATGCTTATTATCTTATATAATAAGCTTGTTTATCGGGATTTAGATTTTAGAAAAAAGGGGTGTTACAGCCTTCCGCCACGACGAGCAATCAACGCCGACAGGTCTGAGGATTCGGTCGCTGGAAAAAATCATCTCCAAAGATGAACTACTGCGCCCTCAAAAAATCAAAAAGTTGCTCAATGGAGACCGGCATTTCAGAAGTAAGCACGTGCCACGTGTCCAGATCTAGGTGCACCTAAGTGAAAGTAGATGCACTTGTAGGTGAAATTAAGTGCACCTGATCAATGAATGTTAACAAGGCAAAATTACATGCACTTGTAGGTGAAAGTAGAGGCAAAATTACATGCACTTGTAGGTGAAAGTAGGTGCACCCGATCAATGAATGTTAACACGTGGCTCGCGCTGATTGATTTGCATTTCGCACCTGGGCGGCCATTTGCACGAGATCGCGCCTATATATATATATATATATATATATATATATATATATATATATATATATATAGTCAAATGAACGTGGAATATGATTAAAGTAATATTTTATCATTATTATAATTAAACTAGCGTCTGTGAAAAATGAAACTACAAAATATAGTTCATACAATAATGTATTGTCAAATAAAACTATAGTAGAATTAAAATGATACTTTAATATTATTATAATAATAAATAAAAATAATTTGTAAAAAATAAAATTAAAAAATAAAAAAATATTATCAAATAAAACTGAAATGTAATTAGAATGATACTTAGTTCATGAACTACATTAATACATGAACCATGGTGAAATTTGCCTCTATCTAAGGTGACAACCAAGGTGAGGTGGATGAGTCTAAGTAAACTAGCTAGCTTTTAGCTTCTTCTATTAGTATTCCGATAGTAAGTACACGTACGTATAGTACCCATTTTAAGCGGGCTTTACAAGCAATCATCTGTGTTCACGTGGAAGTGGGAATGGGAATCCCCTCGATTATATGATTCACTACTTCAAATCACAATCTTCCACGCAACCCACTGCACATCCATCATAATAACGCTTTCACACGTACACTTCATCATCAATTCTAATAAAACTTGAATAACTCCAACAACTTACTAGATATTCTAGCATTCGACACGATATATATAGCTGCGTTAGAGAGAAGATACACACACACACATACTCAAATATCTAGCTGTACTGTTGCCCACCGGCAGACTAACACTATATATATATATATATATGTATGCCCATGCTCCGGCCGCTAGATAGTATCAAACTCCATCCACCTTCAAGGCTTCAATTCCTCCGCTGCCGCCGGCCGCCCCCACTCCTGTAAGTTCAACCATATATCTCTTAGCTTTCTAACACTATTCCATATATAATTGTTGTTATCAATTCAATAACATGACGTATATATATGTGTGCCGGCCTGCATGTATATATACATCTTAACTCAATTCTACTCTACTCCATCTAATTAGTATTGATTATATATTTATCAAGCTTAGCTTGCTGCAGTACCTGTCTTATTAGTAGCTAGGCGGCATGCACCGTACTGTGTACTCCATCTGCATATATGCTAGCTACCAACTTATTATATATCATCCATGCATGCATATATTTTTTTTTCTTAATTTTATATATTAACTAATTTTCACTATTGAGTTGCAACCTCAGCTGTACTGTTCATAGCCAGGTTAGAAATGTAAGACTTAGGATATGGTGTAAATTAAATTAAAATTGAACAACATAACGTAACGTTACTAGCTACTTTATTGTCAATAATATATTACTTGAGAACATGAAATGTAACTGATTAATGTGGTGTCACATATAAAAGATAGATGTCAAATATAATATAAACAAAGGGATGAAGTAGTATGTATTATACTCCGTACTATTTTATAAAAAGAGAAGAAGATAAGATATAGTAATGGGGAAGGATCGGAGCAAGATCGATGTGAGATGTATATATGGGTGCCCCTGAAGAACAGATAGAATATATGTGATGGGACCTTAATTACCTACCATCATTGAATTCAAAATTATTATATACAATACTTATCCATCCATCCAACTAACACATGTCCTCATCCACATCGTACCTGGCCCTCATCAGCTCAGCTCTCACATGTATTCTATACTCCCATGTATATAGTATTCTTCGTTGGCCGCCTTGACCTTGTAGTTTCTAAACCTATATATATATAGAAAGAGTCGTCAAGCATCTTGTGCTCACATAGCACCTATGTGGCTCTCCTTGAGGGAAGGTCACAGGATCGGTCTTTGTGCTACAATAGTTAGAGAAAGTATAGAACAGATACTACCTTGTAATAGAATCAATAATATTCGAATATATATATATATATATATATATATATATATATATAGAGAGAGAGAGAGAGAATCTTTTAGGCCGGGCACCGGGCATATATACAACCTTATGTATCTATTTATCAAAAAACAAATTGTGTATTAACGTGTTGATCCCTCTTACTAACAATATAATAATGATATTATATGAGAACAAGTACAACAAATTATATGCACGTATGTATGTGAGGTGTGGTTTACCGATCGGCATCTGATGATCGATTTGTTTTGTGTTTTGTTTTGCAGAAGATCAGAGAAGATAGAAAAACTTGAGGTGAAGGAGATAAGCCTTACTCAACTACCCCCTCCCATAACATGAGGTGTAGTTAAGTGAAAGAGAATATAGAGCTCATTCTTAATCAAAAAGTCAAGAGTTCGATAGCTTTGAATATAAAACAGCTTTAAATCTTCAGATTTGTTGTCTCACCTAAAGATGTGTCTACAATTTAGCAGAGAATTAATCATGTATCCGAGGGGGTGAAAACCTGGTTACACCCAACAAAAACAACCCACCTCCCATCCCATGGCTGGTGCCTGGAAGCCACTGCACGCATATTAAGATTCTATTGGGGCTTCCTTTCCAACTTTCTTTCTCATCATCCAATAAATTGCATTCGTTTTTCTTTGCACACTGACATCACCTTTTATTTTTATTTTTGTTGGGCCCCAAACATCATCGGACCATCCACGTGGTCTCGCGACACAGCTCCCATGCCCACAGCATGTACCTGTTTTCAACCCCATCCTCACCTACAGCGCGTGACCAAGGTTTCCTAATTATGGACCCTGTGCTTAGAAAAAATCTTCTCCCACCCCAATCAGAGGCAGCTAACCGACAAATTACATTAATATAATGATGTCGGCAGCGGCACCGGAGAATCTGGCGCGTAAGAATATGAATAAGTGAAGAACCCTACTTACTAATACCAAGGCCACGCGTCCAGTTACTGGAACCTGCCAACAAAAGCAAAATTTCCACTTTGTTTGTATCAAAGTACATACGTGTCGTGGGTTTTGAGTGAGTGCAGGATACGTGTCCCGCCTCCCATTGGCCACCACATTCGCACCAATCGGAGCACCCGTTTTCAATTTCGATGGATACGTTGCTTTATCAGGCGGGGCCCACCTGATCTGTGCCCGCCAATCACGTTCCGTCACTGTTTGAGGTTACCATAGACACGTGTTCCTTTTTCACCCGGAGACTGCTTGTAACTATGATTATCGTTCCATCGGCTCCGCCTCCGGGCAAACCTCACTCTTTAGCTCCAACAACGTAACCGCTGAGGGAGAGATCAGAGCTCCGCGCTAGCCATGGACGTCGGAAACGGCAGGGGATTCCCACGCGCCAATCGGGACGCCACGATACTCAATCGGATAATGCTCAAATTCCGTCCGATTGCACCCAAACCGGTCGCCGCCGGCTCTGCACAGGAAGACAACAAGACGGATGATGTTACCAAACGGAGATCCAAGAGAAAGTACGTTAGGGTTAAGAAGACGGCGAGCAGGAGTTACAGTAGGAATAATAATAATAATAATAATAATAGAGAAGAAGAAGAAGAGAGAAGAAACCCTAGCCGGGTGGATACATCCCTGCTGCTCACCCTTCAGTTACTGCCGGAAAGTAGTGGTAGTAGTACTAGTACTGCCGTAGACTCCCCAAAGAAGGGATCTTTTGAGAAGATGTTGAATTTCTCATCATCATCAGCTCAAGAGAGACCTTTGTGGATGAATAATTATTTCGATAATCATCGGAACAACGATATCGCGGCGGCTCTTTGGGCGGATCAGACAGATCGGAGGATGGGGCTGAGGGTGGTGGAGTCGTGGGTGATGGTGGAGGGATTGAGTAAGACGTGGGTAGACGAGGACGGAGGAGGAGGAGGAGGAGGAAGCATAGGTGATACGGACATGGAGAAGATGAAGAATTTGGAAATTGACACGTGTCCGGGACTGATATCGGACGGTCTGGATCGGGTCCAGTGGGTGAATCTAGCTTACCGGAGGATGGTGGATCCGCTGCACGGCGGAGGGGGGCCGCCGGCGGAAGTGGTGGCGCGGCTGGTGGTGAAGGATAAAATACGTACATCTTTGCCAGCGGCTTTTGCATGCACGGTTCGGGTGATTTACACACGGCAGACTGGGAAACACACACAGACAATGCCGTGTGATGTATGGAAGATGGAGTTTGGTGGGTTTGCATGGAGGTTTGATGCCGAAGCTGCTCTTTGTTTGGGTCGTTGAATTCGATCCTATCCTATCATATCCGATCCGCCCTACACTCTCATTATCTCATCTCATCATCCAAACAAAAAAATTATTTACACCCGACCCTAAGCTACCATATCCGTTCTAAGTTATCACCAAGCAGCGCTGCGCAGCAAGCGCAACGCAGCAAAGGTAATTAATATTATTATTATTATATATATATATATTATGGATCTTGGAACCCTAAGCCATCCAAATCCTGAATAATCGATGACTGTGCAATAACTTTTTAAGTGTTGATACACCCTACCCTAGCTTGCTTTCATATATATATATATATATATATCCAATCCCATGCCATCCTTTACTTACATTGCTAATTTCTACATACTAATCTATATATCGAATTGAAAATTGAACAGTATCTAATGCCTGCCTGATAATGATGCCTAGAATGCCACACCAATAATGTAACATATATAGTATAAGATATGGATGCATATATTAATTATTGATCCATTTAATTTGCTTAGCTTGAAAATTGCTCTGTTACGTTACTTTCCACAGCCAGTCAGACAGACAGACACAACGTGTATATATGTTTGAAGCACAGAGATATGATATTATGATGTGCTTGTTTGTACATATTATATATATGCCGCATGCTAAATTAAAACCCACAGCTACAATATATATGATGTGCAAATATTTATATATGTTTTTATATTTATGTGTGTATACAGTATATACTCCATTAGAAACACGTACTAGCCAATTCAAAGCACATGTTTTTATCAGATTTGATCAGATCATTGTCATCGTCTACGTATGCTAGCTAGCTATCACATCATATATCTTTAGCCTCTCAAGTCTCCACACACACACACACACACACACACACACACACACACACACACACACACACACACACACACACACACATATATATATATATATATATATATATATATATACTTGCATTCAAGTGAGAATCACTCCTTAAATTAGAACGTGCAAACTATTACATGAATATAATACTTACAATCTAATATTTCAAACACATAATACACACACTACTATGGAGAAAACTGTGTGCATTTATGTTGGTTCTTACGTTCTCACTTAAAGAATGATTCTCATTGTAACGTAACTCTCTCTATATAAATTCTTATCAAACAAGTAATGAATTGATTAAGCTTATAAGCTAGCTAAGCTATATAGGAGTGTGATTTATATGTGTGTGTGTGTTTATTTATTGGAGAAATAAAATTTTTGTTCCTTGAATTGTTTCATTTTTGAAAATTTGGTCAATGTTAATTGATTTAAACAAATTTAGTTATTTAATTGTTCATTATGGTGTGCTTTTAGTCCTTGGTATTATATAATTATCAAATTCCATTAGCAAATCTTTTTTATGAGGTTATTTTTGTCATTTATAAGCAATATCCATGATTAAAACTTCATTCTCTTCATGCGAACGTTACTTTTAACACTAAATATTGATTCTAAATTATAAAAATAACATTATAAAAAAGAGTTATATTAATTTGTTAACATAGTTTGACAATTTATATAATAATAAAGATTAAAAGTGAAATATTATGAACAATTAAGGAGCTAAATTTGTTTAAATTAACTTATTACATGGACAAAAATTCTAAAAGTGAAACAATTCAAGTGTCATTTTCACTTCTTTATTTACCTTTTTTTTTTTTTTGTTGGTCAAACCACGAGGTTTCCTAAGCATATTCTAACTGTATGAGACACCTTTAAGTCTGTACCACCGACCCAATATGAAAGGGGGTTCGAACTCCCGACCTCTCTTAAGTGACGAAAATGCACGGCCACTCACGCCAATCAAACTTGTTCTTATTTATTTATTTATTTAGACCACCCATTTAGAATGGTAACCGGGATGCCATAATGGTAATGAATAATACTACATTGTATAAATGATATATTATTCACTTATAGATTAATGCATTATGTATTTGACTATTTTATTAAAATGTAATACTTTATAGTTATTATTGTGTTTAACAAATTAAAAATGTATTAATATATATTTAAACTATCCAAGTTATTATTTTACTATACACATTACTTTTTTATATTGATTTTTATTTTATTTAATTTTTTAAAATTTGGTAACCTACGAACCTAAGGCGATGCGACCCTTGTTAGGCTCGTCAAATTGACAAATTTTTTAGCATGTGCCCGCTGATAGTGGGCTTTGGCGACCCATCCACTCCGCCAAATTGCGGGTGTTGGTGGGCCCTACCCTGGCCACCCTCCTTGTATGGTTATACTTATTACATGTCACGACATCATTGGATAAGAGATATTTAGCGAAAAATTAAACTAAACAATTTTTTTTTATAAAGGGCCAAAGTGCTTATAAAATTCATATATGATAAAGATAATATATTTGCTTAATTGATTCATCTTGCTTTAATATTTGTTTAATTGATTCATCTTGCTTTAATTTTTGTTTGGGTTATGGTATTCGAGTGACTCAATGATCCAAGATCAGTAACTTGGTTTTTATTATTATGGAAGAATCTAAAGTCTTAATAGTTCGAGTGCGACCACATAGCACAACAAGATAAGAACTAACATTTTTTACACGTGTCACCCAAAAAAGGATAATAAAAAAAGTGCATTGAGATAACAAATGAAATTGCTCTAGTGCAAAAAATTTACGAATGTTTTTAACTTAAAGAATTGGAATGAAATTATATAGCGTAATCGTAGACCGTAGAGCAATACAGTACAATTATTGGAGGATCGATGGTTATTAGTGAAGTGTATTAGGGAGGAGTTCTATTACATGTATTTTTTATTTTTATTTCATCATTTTTACTCTCTTATGTTATAATTAGTGATTAGTTATTTTTATCTTGTGTGTCCTAATGAAAACATCAATATCAAAAATTTGTGAGAGAGAGTAAAAATTAAGAGTATAATTTAGGAGTATGAATAATATTTTTCTTTTGAGTTTGGAGGGACTAAACTGTAATTCTAGTGAAGCAAATACGTGAGAGTTAGGTCCATATTGATATTCTCTCATGGATCAATTTTCAAGGACCAGAATTTATATTACATTGTGAATCATAATACAAAAATTCTATATTTTCTGTTAACTTAATATGTACGTACAATTAACCGTTTATGTAATGTATAAACAAAATAATAAATAATTTGATAATTACTGACACATAATATGATAATTACAGATATAAAAATTATCAATTGTAGCTATATAATGTGTTAACTATATATATAAAATCTGACTTATAATTGCTAACATCATAACTACAAATACATAAATTTTCAATTACAAATATAAAATGTATTAATTACAAATACAGAATTTAAAAATTATTTTTAAACTCGTCTCCATGGTTCATGGTATAATTTGCCCTCATGGATAGGGTCAACCCATGAGAGTCAAGTCAATAATACAGTGGCGCGGCGCCAATGGTAATCAATTCCGTGATCGTTTTGGGTTGCCTGCCATTTGTCAATTGGCAATGCTAGGCAAAACATCATTTCAGATTTTCCTTCAGTAAATAAAGCGCGTGGATTGCGGGTTCTGGCGGTGCTGTGCTGCTTTCGTCTCGAAATCTACGGGACCGGTCAATATTTTACACAAAGGGCGGTGGAAATACAAACTCTGTTTTCGCCGTGGAAGCTTTCGCCGCCGCATAGCTTGTGATCGCGCTCTTCGCTTCTGCAATTTCTGCTACTCTCTCCCCAGGGTTCGCCATAACCCACTATCTCTCTCGTCTCTGCATCTCATTTTATCTTCTACCGCTCTCCACTTCTGTTCAAGCTTAGGAATTGGATTGAATTTAGCCAATTAGGGTTTCCTTCTCTGCTTCGTGTCTGGGTGCAACCTCTGATTCACCGAGTTGTAAGCTTTATCTGGTTTCGTATTCAGTTTATTACTTTAGTTTGCTGCTCTGCTTCTGCTCTCTCAAGAATCTCCTTGGCTCAATATTTTTTCCTGTGCAGGAGATTCAATCCTAGGTAATTGTGTATTAAGGTGGCTTTTTCTGTCTTATGTTCACTAATCATTCATTACCCTGCCTTTCTCTCTCTCAATATTAGTCTTTAAATTGAACTCAATCCAACATTGAGAAATCAATTTGGAATACTAATTTGTTTATTAGAGTTTTAAACCCAAACTAAAATTTAGGTTTACTTAGGATATAATAATTGTTTCCCAAATACTTGAGATTTGTGGTGTTGTGGTTAATTTCAGAAACTAGGAATATCAGAGTCATGCAAAGACATGGCATTTCTGGCGCTTGTTGGGTATAAGTAGCTGAGTGTATGCTCATGAACGATGATGTTGAAGAAGAAGAATAGGTTTTCAGGAGGAAATTCTATTGCTTTTGCAAATAATTACGAATCAGAAGGTTCAGGTAGTTCTGGGAGAATTGATACAGAAATTGCAGCTTCAGAGTGTTCAATGGCCCCTGGAAGGAAGTGGATAAATTTGAACTCTGCTGCAAGTGATGGCTTTGCTGTGCCCATCCAACTTATACCTTTATTTAAACTCTCTCCATCTGACAGAAAGAACTTAGTATTGCGGTTGAGATATGAACTTGAGCAGATTCAAATGCTCCAGAAGAAAATTGAGATGCACAGGACAAGCGCAGTCACTGTGTCATCATCCAGTGACATCCTTAGCTGTAGTAATGCAACAAAAGGCCCACCTGTTGCTGGGAACATCAAAAGATCTGCAAAGTCAGGAAAAAAATCGAACTCTAACTCTCTTGTTCAGAAATCTCAGGGCAGGATTTCAGGTACCTCAGTGCAACTTGAGCCTGTGAAACAGTCTTCTGAACAACCAAATCTGAATGCATCATTGCTCAAGCAATGCGAGAACTTATTGAAAAAGTTAATGACACATCAGCACGGTTGGGTGTTTAATGAACCTGTTGATGTAGTGAAATTAAAAATCCCTGATTATTTAATAGTTATCAAACAACCTATGGATTTGGGAACGATAAAGAAGAAGCTTTCTTCTGGTCAGTACTCCAGTCCGTTGGATTTCCTTGCTGATGTGAGATTGACTTTCTCCAATGCCATGACCTATAATCCACCTGGGAATGATGTGCACTTCATGGCTGATACCATGAGCAAGTTTTTTGAAATGAGATGGAAATTTATTGAGAAAAAAATCCCTGAAAATATTGCTGAATCTCCAGTAAAAAAAATTGTCTTGTGTGAAGAAACCAAAATAATTAAGCCTATACCTTCTTCACGAAAAAGGAAAGTTTCTCCAGTTCATCACAAAGCAACACCAGAACCTCCCAAGCAGAGGATGTCTGCTGAAGATAAAGATAAATTAAGCAGAGAATTGGAAGCCTCACTTGGAGATTTATCAGATAACATAATTGAGTTTCTTAAGGAACAAACTTCAAATGGAGTAGAAGCTGGAGAGGATGAGATTGAGATTGATATTGATGTTCTCAGTGATGATACATTGTTCAAATTGCGCAAGCTTTTAGATGTCTTTCTGCAAGAGAAAAAGCCAGACAATGCAAAAGCAGAGCCTTGTGAGATAGAGGTATTCTTTTATATTACATGTAATCTTTCTGTGTATTGAAATGCGCTCCTGTGATTGGGGTTGGGCAACTAAGAATGAACATTCCTCTAATGTTTATTTCAGCTGCAAAATGAATCAGGGTTCAGCAATTCATCCATGCAACTTGATCGAGGTTATTATTTCTTGAATGCGGTTTAATGTTCATCTTATATCATGCTACCTTGAAAATAGTCTCTCTTACTGCTCATCTTAAATCTACAGGTAATGACCTTGTCGGGGAGGAGGTTGATATTTGTGGAAATGAGCTTCCTGTCTCAAGTTATCCCCCAGTTGAGATAAAAGAAGAAATTACCCATCAAGTCAATGAATGTACTAATGTAGGGGTTCCTACTGGCAAATCAGGTTGGTCATTCATGTTGTACACAATATCATTGTTTGTGATTGACAGTGACAAAAAAATTCCACTTTGGCTATGGAGATAAGTGTAGTCGCAACTGTTTCCATTCATTGATTAGGTATAATGTGCTGGACAAGATTGCTCAAATTCTGAACTGAAAAATTGGAGTTAGGAATTCTGAATGTGATTTATAATATGTCATCCAAATTTTATTAGGTTTAAGATGAGTGTCTAGGGTCTAAAATTGGACCAACTCATCTTGCTGTGGGTTAGGATCAAATTGGTATTAGAACACAACAATTCTTTTATTTTGGTGGAGTGGGGGAGGGTGGAGGGGTTTTAGCGTCTAGGATCTTCCTACACTTGTACCATGTGAAAGTGTGTTATTGATTGAATTCAAAATATCACTAACAGATCTCCTTTACGTAGGCACCATATGAAAGAGATTAGAGTGCTAGATAAACTAGAGCACATGAAGTCATAACTACTACTCCTTCAATCCTGACTGAAAATGTTTGCCCTATTTACTTTAGGCACAAATTTTAAGCATAGTGGAGAAAGAGCACATATTTTTATTTTGCCCATAGATGATGCTTTTTAATGTACTCCATGCTTTTTTCCCTGTGTTTTTTTGAGAAATATATTAAAGACAACTTTGCTGAAGAATGAAGACATGTCTACTAGATTGGCAAGTGTCAATTAGGGGGAAGTAGTATAGTGAAGTGCAAAGGTATGTAGTTATAGTTGGTGCAGTGTGAAAATGCCCAATCTATAGATGGCAAAGTTCCTACCCCTATTATCCAGTTACATAGAAAGTTGCCAAAATATGCCTATCACATAGATGAAATTGGCCCCTCTATCTGTCCTCTACTCCTCTTCATAACAATTCCTCCGTGCCAATAAAGCAAGAACCCTCAGCAGGATAGCCTTATGTTTTAATTCTTGCCTTGGGTTCCTAGGTAAAACCGTAAAAGGTGACCTTGAGTGGCTGTATAGTAGTGGAAGATATTTCATTATTAATGTGACTCTTTAGTCAGAATACCGTGTTCTATTTGACCCCAGGGCATTGTGGGGTGCACTAATACCTTGACTTTTGTTTTCTGTAGCACAAATATATGATTTCATCCTCTATATATCTTGCTTATTCAGATTCTAGCTGCTCATCTGAAGGTCAAAAAGCCTTTGCTGATGTGAAACAGGTGAACTTATTCCTTTATATCATGAAAGTAGTCTGCTACATTGAAGTCTAATATGTAACATCATGACAGTACGTCATTATGTGAGCTGGTAATAGTCAGGGCGAATTTGGAAACTAAAATAGTGCTATTTTCTCCCAGGATCAAAGTTGTTCTCCAGCAAGCATAGATGGTAAGGAAGGTGGTAATAATGTGGCTGATTGCAATAGTAAGTTCTCCCTATTCTTCCCAACCTCCATCAAAGTGGGCTGTGTATTTCATTTGCTGTTCCTTACTCAGAGTTCATTGCTATCCATAGTTTTCTTTGCATTCATAGGTTAAAGTTTATGTGTGGTTAATTTCAGCATCATGTTCTCTTTCAGAATCTATGAGTGAGTTGGACCAGCTTGAGCATTGTTCAGAGAAAATGAATTCTGTTGAGCTAGATGGACAACAAGGTAGTAAGAAAGAGAAATGAGGGAATCATTTGCTTGTAGTTACAGTTCCATCTCATCATCATCATCATTTAAATTTTAGGGGAGATAACTGAGAATGAGAGGCAGTCATCTCCTGGAAAGCTCTATAGAGTTGCTTTGCTGAAGAACAGATTTGCAGACACAATTTTAAAAGCTCGAGAGAAGGCACTTGGTCAAGTTTGTTGTTTTACTATGACATCTTCTTTAAGGTATTTGTTTATTGATTGGCATGATGCTTTGAGAGTTGATTTGGTTGACAGGTTGAGAAGGGGGATCCAGAAAAACTGCAGCGTGAAAGGGTGGAAATTGAAATGCAGAGAAGGAAAGGTTTGTTGTTGATTGTATTATGGTATGATAAGTGGTGTAGTTCCTTGAAGGATATGATTGTATGCAGTGGTAGTGGTAACGAACATGTATTGGTGATGCGTTGTGAGCAGAAAAAGCTAGGTTAGAGGCTGAAGCCAAGGCTGCTGAAGAGGCTCAAAAACGAGCAGAAGAGAAGGCTGCAGCGGAGGCCAAGAAAAAGAGAGAAGTTGAGAGAGAAGCAGCAAGGCAGGCATTACTGAAAGTGAGTTAAAAACTTAACGGACTAAATATTATGTTAGATGGGTCCGAAAGGTGCTAAGTGTGCATGTGTACATTGTGCAGATGGAACAAACGGTTGAAATCAACGAGAATTCCCGGATTCTTGAAGATTTGGAGATGTTAAGGGTAGGCCCTCCGGCTCCGGAGCTATTATTATTGCCTCCTAGCTCTGCCTCTGCGGAGGAGACCAGCCCAGAACACTCACACTCACAAGATGGGTTAGGCAGTTTCAAATTTGGAAGTGGCAGTAACCCTCTGGAACAACTTGGATTGTTCATGAAAGCAGACTATGAGGAGGAGGAAGAAGAATGTGAGGCGGAGGCACCACAACTCTGCATACTAAACAATGGAGTAAAAGATATTGAGGAAGGAGAAATTAACTAAGCTCCCTCCCATCCTTATGTGTAACACAATAATAATAATATTGTACAATAATATTCCGAATCTAAATGAAGCATTACTTCCTAGTTCCTAGTTCTCCCATTCCCAAGTAAAACTAAAACTACAATTGAGTATTAATTATTAGCGTGCAGTATAGGGTAGGAGTTAATAATTTGTAGTTGGGAAGGAAGGTGAGAGTTAGGCGCAAAATCAAATCGCAATAACGTAGAAGCCCAAAACTGCAGGATCATTAAATTATCGTGGAAAGGAAGTAGGAGACATTATTGGTTAGGTATAGATGTGCAGTTTGATTTGTTAGGAAATAGGAATAGGAAGGAAGGAATCGGATATATTAGAATTAGAATTAGAATTAGAATTAGATTAGACTTGGAGACACACTTGAATTAGAATTAGAATTAGATTAGACTTGCACTAACAATTCCCACAGCTGCTGCAAAATTCACAACACCGCAATATGTATCATTAATTTAAAATTCTCAAAAACTCCGAGTTAAGTTATACACTATATACATTTTATTGGTTTGGTTTGATTTTATAAGTCAAAAACGTATAGTACAGTATAATTGCAATTCTACTCGTATGAGTTTAGTTCACTAGTTAAGTATACAGTATTTAAGAGAAGAGACTAAAGTCTCACACAAACAACTCCCACCGTGCAAAAATTCACAACGCCGCAATATGTATCATTAATCTAAAATTTTCAAAAACTCCAAGTTAAGTCATACACGAAATACATTTTATCGGTTTGGTTTTATCCCACGAGTCAATAACTATAGTATAGTATAATTACAATTCTACTCGTACAAGTTTAGTCCAATAATTAAGTAGACAGTATTTAAGCAAATGCTCTATCGGGCCGGGTTAAGAATTCAAGTTATGGGAGAATATAGTTGCAACCCCCATCCATCGCATCCTCAATATCTATATATACCATATACCCACCTATCTCGTCGCATTCATTCCTGCCTGGGTTTAATCACCAGCAACAGCACCACGACAAGCATAGCGTTGCATTGCAGAGCATATACGAACGGATAGATCGGAATTCGGAGTTGTGGGAAATTAATTTTATGATGGAAGCTCTAAGTTGGATTACTTGTATCCCTAATCTCCCCTTGTTCTTCGCAGCTTTCCTCCTCGTTTACCTCATTGCCTACTTCATCATCTTCCGCAATTGGAAACCTATGCTCCGCCCCGAAGCTGCCAGCTGTGCCATCTCCTTTTCCCACGGTACTCCCGCCGTCTTCTTAGCCGCCGCCGCTATCCTCTCCGACCCCGATCGGAGCTTTCACTCCCGGAACACCCCCTTCCAGGGCTTGGTCCTCGATTTCAGCGTCGCCTACTTCTTAATGGACCTTTGCCACTACCTGATTTTCTACCCCTCCGACCTTCTCTTCATCGGCCACCATTTGGCCACTTTGTTCGTTTTCCTCACCTGCCGATACGTTGTCTGCCACGGCGCATACGCCATTCTAGTGCTCTTAGTCCTCGCCGAGGTCACCAGTTTCTGCCAGAACACCTGGACTCTTGCCGCCGCTCGAAAATCGGATTCCCAATTCGCCGCCAAACTGTATGAATTCCTGTCCCCTCCGTTTTATGCTTTCTATTCTGTTGTTAGAGGTTTCGCCGGGCCCCTGTTTATGTATCAAATGTTCGTGTCTTTTTTGAGCGGAGCAGCCGATACTGTGATCCCCAGATGGATGTGGATTTCATGGATTGTTGTTATTCTAACCGCAATTTCTGTCAGCATCCTCTGGATTTTTAACCTTTGGGTCGACTTGTATAGACAAAAAACTCTAAAGCTTGGGGACAAAAAATCTAGATAGAGTTTTAAGACCGCCACCCCTGAGCTTAATGATTGATTGTATTCTTAGTTTCTTACAGACAGACAAATCAATGCAGGTCTATTTATACTACCTACACTGACTTTTTTTTTTTTTTTTTTTAATAATCTTTCACTGGCTTGAATTTAATGGTCTATATTTATCTGCTGTTGTATTTGTATGCTTCAATTTAATGAATTGCAGGTGCAATTTACACTCACCTCTCTGATTTTGATTTTGGGTATATTTAATCACTGATGCTTTTGATTTTGGGTATATTGATCTTTTGGCGTGAGTAGAAGGTATTGCCCATGCAAATTTTTGTTCTTTCTTTCCTACTTGAAAGGAAATAAGTGTATGGAAGGAAAAAAAAAAAAAAAAAAAAAAAACTGTTTAACATTGCCTTGCCGGCTCCAGACATCTTTGTAGGCTAGAGAAAGGTATTATTATAGCATAGGATAGGATGAGTTTTGCCAAAATGTTTCAGAATTGATGAGTAACCTTTGACATGAAATCATTGCAACATCTCTCTGTGTGTCAAATCTTACCTTGTAGAAAGAAAGAAAGAAAGATATTTATTATGTTTTTAATGTCTGTCTTCCCAGATTCTAGCAATCTAAAGATTCAAATAAGATAACAGGATGGTAACACAGCCAGTTCTAGTGTTCTGACATTTATCTAGTATTGCAATGTAATACTCCGTATATATAATTCCCTGCTTCCTGTCAATCTTAGGAATAGAAATTATAGTTGTTTGCCTTCTTTATTTATGATATTCCTTAGGCCTCCAATAGGTGGTGTTATAAGAGTATGATGCAAATCTGAAATACGTTAAGCAAGAGGAATTGAAGTTCTTTGGATTATAGCCAGCCAGGCAGCCACATAATGCAAGGAAGCTGCAATATAATGATCAGGATTTCAGCAGTTGGTAACACTAATGTTTAACTGAGAAGCGAACTGGCATTTTGTAAGTGACAATGAAATTTGGGTTGCTTACAAAGTGTGTATGTTGTTGGAGAGAGAGCAAATCCAATCCTCCAAAAAATCCAGCGAAGAAAGGGAAAGAGATGGCAGCAAACATTGTAATTTAAGGTGTCACCAAGAAATTAAGATGCATCATCAGACAAATATAATTGGTTTCAACCCTCATGTGCACACTGCACAGCAACAACACATCTATATAGTTGGATGAGATGTACATAGTAACCCCCACATATTACATATATGGTGGGGGGTGGGGGGGGGTGTTATGAACCTGATCTGAGGATACTACAGGGCTTGAAATGCATGCATGCATCTTTTTTGACTAAAAGAGTGAGTGAGTCTCCATCATCATCATCATCATCTCAAAAACTGGCATTGCAAAAATCTGCACTGCCAAAATAGAGAATGAACTCAGGCCTCTAACCCAATGTGAGGTGTTTGTGAATGGATGAAAATTGCAGGCAGGTTTGTTCAACAAACAAGTTGAAGGTTGCTACAATGAGCCAAGGTACATGGTCTTTCTTCATATCATTTTCAGTTTCCTACCATAGCCTAGCCTGTTCTTCATTTCTCAGTTGCAACTTTCCCCAGTTCTACCCATACAGTACAGTAGTAGTAGTAGTAGTATATAGATGGATGCAAACTGCAATGCCTAGCTCCTTTGTTTGCATCTTTCCAAATGCTTGAATATTTATTATATTATGGTGTGTATTTTTTACTTTTTAGGCTACGCTGTTGATGGCGATGATGAATATATAGTAGCAGTCAGCTGACCATACATCTATTTTATAAGTAACTCGATGATGAATATATAGTAGCAGTTAGCTCATAGCTGACCATACATCTATTTTATAAGTAACTCATGCTTTACGCTTACCATAACATTAAGTCATTAACACATCCAAACTCCAATATTACTTCACTCCTGAATTGCATACATTACACGACCAAAAATGATACAAGGAAAACAAAAACAATCCTGTGATTTTAAGGTAGTTCCAAAACTCACTCTTGAGTATATACTATAAAGTATAAACACTGGGCATAACTATATAATTAAGATGTATGCACAGCCGGCCTATAATCAAACCTAGAAAAGCACTAAGCTACTTGAACAGGACGTCTCTGTATGTGTGTAATATTATTATTTTAAAAAAAAAACATAGATTTCCTTGGTGTAAGTTGTTGGTTGAGCAGCTAGCGTAGCTTTTTACAGGATATTCCCGTGAACATTAATGAGCCTGGTATTTGGGGAAGTCCAGCAGGTGAGATGAGATAGATGTATCTTAATTAAATTAAGAGTAGAATTTGTAGGTCTTGGCTTGTACAATGATGGTTCTTAGGCCGCCAATGGGTGCTACAACCATCAAAAGAACCCCCAGAACAATGCAAATCTGTATATATGTATTGGATTTAGCAAAACAAACGGGTAGCTACTGGTGCATATATCATATCAAATCAATTAAATTAAAGCTGCACATACCCAGTTTATGGTCCAAGAAAGACCGAATTTTTTGGGCTTGTAGATGGCCAGCCACATGATACATGGGAGCTGCATTTATGCAAATTAAGAATATGTTATAATCCATCCATCATATACATACTATGAATGGAAAGGGCAGATCAGAGCTGAGAGCAGTGCAGTAGCAACTTACAAAGTAGGTTGTTGGGGCAAAAGCAAATCCTCCAAAGAATCCAAGAAGCCCGTCGAAGAAAGGAAAGGTAATAGCAATAAACATTGTGAGTGCTGCAATGCAATAATATTTTTTTACGTAAAAAGTTAGAATTGATGTGTGTGTATGTAGGTAGATATTGAGACTACTTAATTGAAGCTAAGGTTGTGATGTTGTATGTAATAGTATATATAGAATATATATGGATGGGATGGGAGTTTGTATACTTACCCACATAAATGTTCCTAGTAATGAAACGCAGGTACCAAGTAGGCTTGAACATCAGTTTCTTAACAAGCATTGTCTCTATCATGTCAAAAACCGGCATTGCATAGATCTACATAACATATATATAAATGATTGAGGAGATGAGATGAGATGGATGGATGGATGGATTATGTTATATTATAACTCAAGTATGTATGTATATATGTTAATATTAATACTAGCTAGGTATAGGATAGCTAACTAAGGTATGTAGGTAGGTAGGATACCTGGTAACTTCCAATAACATGAATTACAACAAACATGTTGGCCATAGCAATGAGCCACACAGGCTTTTCCAAGGAGATGAGAATGTTGTCTTCCACAGAATTGCCAAACATCCAGTAGCCGATAAAGGCAACGGGGAAGTAACACAACGCCACCACAATGTAAGCAACAACCACTCCCCTCCACATAGGAACCTTGGAAGGCTTGTCAGGTGTAGAAGGGATAGTAGCTTGAATCTCCAACACAACATTGTGACCCGCATACGCGAATGCCACGCTCCCCAGTGCACTAAAGAAGTTGAAAACTGTCCCTGCCGTGCTCGACGATTTGTACCCATATTCTACGTCTGCTTGAACTCCTTTGTCCACCGAAGCCCCCCAAGCAATGGTGGAGTAACTCAAGGACATGACTGCAGCAGCTAAAGACACGCCGGAAATGGAGTTGAAGTTGGGGAGGTGGGCGAGGACGAAATGGACGGAGGCGAAGATCATAATGAAATAGGAGAGTTTGATCTCTTTGCAGTCTTGGCAGACGACGTCGTGGAACTTCTTGAGGGATTGTCCGCCGGTAACCATGTACACAATATCTACTCCGATCTCAACAATGAGCTGTTGGGGGACGACGATCCAGAGGCCCAGTTTTTGACCAAAGGCTTGCTGCCCCAGCTCGTGATATCTGTCGAAACGTTTGCCTTCAACCATTTCGTGCATCTCAACCATTTGCCACAGAGTGTATAGAGTTATAATCCAAGACACCACCATCACCGCAACACCAGGTCCCCTGCATGCGCGCAGATACATTATTATTATTAACAAAATCTTAGTTCGTTCATTCATTTCATTTCATAACAATATAATTACCAACCATCCAAGCTGTGACATGGCATGAGGGAGACTGAGGACACCGGCGCCAACCATGGCAGTGACGTTGTGGAAAGCGGAATACCACCATTTTGCATTCCTTGCAGAGGTGATGGGAAGCCATTCATCAATTGCTTTCTGCTCTGCTGTTCGTTCATCGCTCTGCACCTGCATATATACATATGCATAAGAAATTATTTTTTATAAAAAAATGCATGCATATATAAGTAGTGTTGAAGAAAGTTACAGTGTTGGAGGTGGTGTTGATAAGGTGGTTAGGAGGAAGAGTCCCCATTATCTGATCTGCCTACTTAATTGTATAGTAGCGTCGTGGTCTGTAGTAGTATATGTAGGTGTGGTGCAAGCCGGCCAATCGAGGAATGAACAACTAACGTAACTTAGTGAAGAAGATGATAGATGGAGAGGAAATCTATCCTATCGGAGCAAGCTAAAGGGCGCGGCGCTGCAGGTAGGTGGGTTTGGTTTTGAAATATATATATATATAAATATAATAATGAACACCAACACCTACCTCTACCTCACACATACAAATTATTATTCAATGTATGTATGGCTTAAATAGATGAGAGGTATGTAGGAAGGTAATTAAGGTCGAGTTGAATTGGTGAGAATCTATATATGCATGTAAGCTGCGCTGTGGAAAGATCAGATATATAGTTAGACAAAATAAAGATGATGATGATGATGAAGATGTTTAATGTTTTTGTTTGACTACGAAACCAAAGTCTAGTCTTCTGAACGGATACCGTACACACACGGATCGGATGAAAGGCGACTCTGAAATCTGAATAGCATGCCATGCATCTATTATAAATATATTAATATATTTGGGAGAAGAATATATTAATATTTTTCAAAATCACATTAATTAAATTTTGACTACATTCACATTACGTACCTACTCAATATAAAATTCAAAAATTGGTAATTTGTATTTATTTACCAATTACTATATAGTGTGATGGTATTCCGATTACCATTTTAAATGGATAGTCATAGTTTTTAAAGAATTAAAAAAAAATTAATTAATTTTTATTTTATTTTTAAAATTTTTAAAAAAACGTGAGATATATTTATTTATTACGTAGCCCATGCAATTGAAGTCGATGGATTGCTGTGGTCGCATCTGGCGGCGCCGCGGCGGGCAAGAATATAGAATGAGTGATGTGTACTTTTTTGGGTGGGTGTTCATACAGTAGGAATAGTAACATTCCTAAATAAAAATAAAACACTTATATAAAAATATGCACCAACTACTGCATATATAGCAATTTAATTAATTATATTGTCCTTAATTACTATATATTTATACAAATTAAAGTCAACTTATTCGTAATCTAATCACGAGTTAGTTTATAAATAAACTGATTTTGAGGGATAATATCCCATATACCCCATACATGAGTGCGTGAAATGGGAGGAAAATTAAGTATGAACATATATATATTAATTATATAAATGAGTCAAAAGTAGTTGTGTTGATGTGCAGGATGTGGAGGAATTGAAATTTGAGCCAAATTGCAGCCGTGCGCAGCTGTTATCACTGACTGACTATTCAGTACGACTTTTATATATATTCAGTGTTAGAATTCCATACGGCAGCCATTCATATATGAGCTGCCTAATCCTTCCTAGCGGAAGAAAAATCAATATAATCGCTCAATACCTTTGACTGGATTGATATACACATATACTATCCATCATTCAAGTCAACTACCATGTTGGAGCTAACGTACGTCATCCGATGACGCCTGCCTCAACGTTTTCAAGCTATAATTTGTCTGTTTATTTAGATATGTTGTATGTACGTAGGGGATGATTGAAACAGCGCAGCTAGCCAACCTAGCAGTATCTTAGCTTAGCTTGTAGTGGTGACAAATTACTTATTCATATATGTAATGGGAGGGATAATATGGCCTTAAATTTTTAGGTCAGCTGTCTCACCCAAAAGAGGTGGGGGATTAGTCACTGTGTTCACTCATAAGGAAAAAAATTTGTAAGTAAATAAAGAAATAATCAAATACTTGAAAATGGATTTAGGCGAAAGTATTTTGCATCTTTGGTAGTATGATGAAATTGAAATGTGATGTTTGGTCATATATGACTCTATAATGAGAATAAAAGTTTTAAAAATACAAAAACAATAAATTAAGCCAATTGATCCTAATATAATGACATCCATAACACCATTATGAGAGGGAAAAAAAAAAACTCAAAACAAAAAATCTAATTGAAGAAGTAATCAAATCCCATTGTTGTGTTTTAAAAAGTTGTCAATCAAACATTAACTATGATTTTGATTCCCTTCTTAGTGTGTAAACCCATGAACCAGAAACGCAGCCAGCTAGCCAAAACAGCTAAGCTAGCTAGCAGATTTGTATTCCCTGCTCGGCAGGGTATGACTGACAGACATTTCATATTGGAGGAACAGCATAGCAGAAGGGCCAGGTGAGTCAGTTGAGAATTGAGATAGGGTAGTTACAAGTGGCAGTTAGTTGTTCTCCCGCCACCTGTTGGTTGCATTGTATAAACCATTCCTAATTCCTCCATGTATTCTTCATAATAGAGTTTTGGCAGTTTTGATAATGAAAATATTTCTTCTCTAAGTCTGGTTTCTTCTACATATGCTTTGCTTTCTTCTAGCTACCAAGCATTTTGGATAGGATGTTTCTGCATATATGCTTTCTCATCAATATAATGCTGTTTCACATTTCATTTCCTAAAGTAATAATTAAGTAGTAACGTAACTCAATCACCAACCTAACATATATGTTTTTTCTTTCTTTGAATAATAAACAAAGAATCGTGGTTGGGTAGATAGAACCGCCATTTAACCCAAAATCTTTATCTTTCTTGCTTCCGCTCCATATCAACATCATCAAACCTTATTAAACCATCTATATCTATATCTATCACCTATCTTACATTACATACAGGCCCAATTCATCTTGCCTGGGCAAGCACCAACTCTACTCAGCTATGCCCTATGCCCAATGCCTGCCTGCCTGCCTTGTCTAATCATCATAACTACTTTTAATTTACCAATGTATCAATGTGGCAAACATGAATTGGATATTTTCATCATGTGAGTCCCAAGAAAAGTGTATCCATCAAGGATTTGTGAGAGAGAGTAGAAGTTGGGAGTAATAAACGGGAGTCCATATAGTATTTTTCAATTTAATATCGCCCAAATGTCACTAAACATCATGTAGTACGAACGTAATAACTGGGGGGGAGCTGAGCTAGCTACAAACATGCATAACCAACATATATATATTTAAGCTAATTAAGGTTCACTGACCTCCAGAAATTAGAAGTAGTGTCTTTGTTCTTACACCCATTTCCGGATTCATCAAGCAGTCGATAAAACGGAGCGTTCATAAATTTCAAATGGCTGCATCAGCCCAGCAGGTGGAGCCTTCAGTCCTTGTCCTCCTCCTCCTCCTGCTCCTGGACCACCAAAGCAAAAGTACTGGTTCACTGACGAAGATGACCTTCTGTTCCCCTGCTGCGGATCTCTCTCAGCTTCATTACAATAAGAACCTCCTCCTGCAATCTCACTCTCAATGTGGACTGCTTTTTGTTTCTCTACTGAACAAGACTCTAGTGATGACAGAGATGATATTGATAACGAACTTGAACGAGATGAGCGACGACGAGGGACATTCATCGCCTGCATTACACCGTTTATCAACCCCGAAGCAAATCTCTTCTTTGCTGTTGGACTTGGGAGGTTACTCCTAACACAAAGTGATCGCTTGTTATTGTTTGGAACACTGGAAGGCTTGGAGAATCTCTGGCGCAGAGAGATTGGTGTGCCGTCTGAATTATTGTCCACTGGACTTTCATCAACTGCTTCTGTTTTCTTCTTATGCCTCTCAGTATCTCGTTTCTTAATCTTAGCCCACTGCAGGAGACGTTTCAGTCGTTGTGTGCCATAATTTCCGGGCTTACTACTTCTGTGACCGAGGCTTTCCACAGTTGAGTCACGTTGACTCACTTCAGTTGTAAAAGTGTTCAAGCCCTCACTTCCATCCGATGCATTCTCAATGCCTGTGTACAAGAATATTTCGGGGTCAGAGATTCTGAAAGAAGTGCCGGGACTAACTCCCATGCTTTGCATCCTTAAATGGGAAGCAAAAACTCTTCTTGCTGCATATTCCTGCTGACTGAAGATCCCTCCAGCAGAAATCAACTGCCTCGTAATTATCTCCGATGATTCTGAGCGTGGACGTTGCCTCAGAATATCAAGCGGTGTCATTCCATCCTTATCCCGAGTATTGACATCCATAGAGCGCACAGTCATAAGCAACTCCACAAGCTCGGAATGAATGTTACCAATGATGGCCAAATGAAGCGCAGTCCTGCCATCGTTATTCTTCGCATTTACAATTTCTTCAATGTCGAAGATCCTTCCGCTTATTAATTGCTTCATGAGCTCAATCTGACGGTCCAATCTCCGAAAGCAAGGAGTTTGGAAACCAGTAATCGCAACATGAAGAAATGTTTCTCCAGCTTTGTTTGTGGAATTGAGTAACGAGGGTGACACAATAGTAAGGGCTTCAACTACACCTAATTGGCCCCTAGCAGCAGCAACATGTAATGCTGTGTTTCCATGATTGTCTGTGGAGCTGATGATATCGTCATAGCATGCTATAAGATCTTTGACTACCTGCATCCGTGAAAGAACAGCTAAAATTATCAAGACAGAAAAATCTTTTACGTGCTTTTTCTAGATGCAGAACCTAACTTTGTAATAAAGCATCATCCTTAGCCTTAGGTGGCATTGCACATTAGTCGACATAATAATAAAATAATAACAACAACAACAATAATAATAATAACACTGAGTAAATGTTAAGTTATCTATAAGGAACTGAAAAGGCTACTAATGTTGTCTGCAGGTAATCATGAAAAGGGAAACATAACAAATAAGAGGTGAAACTTCTAATCTTCAATGTGTATTCTGGAGTCTGGATCTAAACAAGTATCTGAGGATTTTCAATTAGCACATCCACAAGAATTAATGGTCAAGAGCCTAACTCTAGTTAGCAATTAATCATCCAAAAAGCACATACATTAAAAGCTGTAATTTAGTAAAACAAATTGAGATCCACACCTCGACTTGGCCTCGAGCTGCAGCTGCATGTAAGATGGTGGCACCTTGTATATCTCTGTAAGCCAACACATGATCGGTGCAAGAATCAGCTAGAAGCTCCCTCAGAACCCCGAGATTACCTCCTCTAGCAGCAGCATGAAGAGCTCTGTTCTGAATCTCCCACTTGTAAGCCGATGGAATGTCACCAACGTGTTCTTCCAGCTCTTTGCCATTACCTGATAAGAACCTCGGGGAAACAGCATAATCAAAAAGAATCCTAAAGACATGAGAATTCTTACTCCTCGCAGCAGCATAGAATATATCAGTGACACCATATTCTCCTTCGCCAAAGACAAGCAGGGGGTCTCTTTCGAGCAATTCTTGGACAAAACTCGAGTCCCCAGCAGAGGCAGCAGTATACAGCAGCCATCCACCACATCCTCCTCTTATAAGAGAATTTTTGCCTTTCTTGTTCTCGCACTCCACAAGCAGCTTTCTTGCAACCTGAGACCTACACTTAGCAACATCGTGAAACTGTGCTTCATCATCCCATACAGTCTCAAGGCGACGAATTCTGCGCAGTGAGGTGAGCTTGAAAAGGTGATTGCTGTCCAGGCGAAGAAGTTCCCTGACCAGATCATAGTGTCCATTGGCAGCTGCCCAGTCAATCGGGGATGCAAACCACCACTGGTCACCGGTGCTCTCCCACCGGAGAGGAAAGTAGGTTGGGGACATTGAAAACCAAGTATACCAAATTCACCAACAAAGTGTTATCTTTCTCTTGAAAATTGAAATAGCTCTTTGTAAAGTCCACTTGAAAAGAATAAACAAATTAAAGGTTGTAGTTAGAATACTACCCCCATTACCAGTTGCATAAATCTTGAAGAATAATAACTTACAACAGAAAATGCTGCAATCAAATAGAGGCCTGTTACACAAAGACGACTAAGGAACTGTGATTAACAAAAGGTGATTGACCGACAAATGGATATGCAAATACTGAAGCAGAATAATGAGGGAGACCCTACTGGTTTACAAGCAATCAACAATCAATTGATAACTGTGAAGAAAAAGTAAAGGTGAATGAAAATTAAAGCACCGAAATCCAGGGGAAATGCAGAAACAAAGTATTCAGCAAGAAGACGGTGCAGTGATGTGATATTAAACAACACTAGAAGAAAATACTAGTGTATAAAACAAATTTGAGCAGCTAAACTAAGTTCCAAGTCCGAATATATAATAAAAGTTGCCCTTTTTACATATCCGGGACTACCTTCACTAACAATAGTACTAAAACCACTCATAACAGCCACAAAGTGAAAGTGGAACACAAATGAGGGAAGAAACACATGACAAAGTAAACAATTAGTACTACTAATCATTAAACAACGGTGAGTGAAAGCATTAAAGGAGCATACGATAGATAATCAATGATGGTATCAACAATCAACCACTTGATACTTGATAAAACCGTAGAAAACCAGGAAAGGATTAAGCAAAACTAAAAAAATGCAACTTTGAATACTACCTTCAACTTTTGGTAAAGCTTTTTTGCTTTTGTTTTGTTTTGTTGCGAGGAGGGTTGAGGAGGCTGACAGCGTATGAGAAGGTGGTACAAGTAAGTGTATGAAAAGGAGAGATTCCTCTTGAAATGTGAAAGCCGCTTTTAAGTATGGAGATCAGAGAGAGATCCCGCGCCAAAGACAGAATATACGGTGTGGGTTCCGGTCGGCGGTGACTGCTACGCCTACGGTGCAACGAAGATATGAAAGGAAAAATGGCGGACAGCGCGAGAATGGGTCTGTGATTGTGGGATTTCCTCCGTTTTATGTTCGGTTTCTGAATAATCAATCGTAAAGTCATGTTTGGTACTCCATAATTATCAATACTTTTTTTTTTTTTTGTACGGAGTATCATATATGATATTAATGACGTGTAAAACTATTTATAATTTAATAAAATACAATATTATTAGCATTTAATTTTTTTAAGGAAAAATTTGTAATTTATACACATTCATAATATGTCAATTATTAATATCACTGTTATATGATTAGTGGTGTAAATGTTATTGCTTAATTTTTAAAATAATATATATATATATTTTCTTTCTCGTGTACGGGAGGAAATTGAAAGGCAACATTTATAGTATGGTATAGACAATATATGTACTATTTTAAAAATTGATGAGCAACATTTATATCATTAATAGTTTAAGAGTGACATTGATAATTGAAATATTATGAAAGGTAATTTTTTCTTTATTAGTATGTGAATAGTGGAAGACACTTTAGGGAAAAAAATCCAGATTAATGATTTTCCCAAACAAATGGTAATGATTTTTTATTTTTTTTGGGAGTGGGGCACGTAATTATTGAAAATTACAAATGGCTTCCACTAAGCAAAGCATTTTCTCAAGTTGGCATAAAAGGCTAAAAGCTTTTCTTTTCCTTTGTTTTGGTCAAAAACTTGCTTTATATGGTAAACTTTCATTGTGGTTTGGGAGGCGATGATACATAATAATAAATTAATAATATGATGATATTAACGCTTAAGATTCATTGGATGTATTTAATTAATGCATTTGTGTTGCGAAAATGGGATAAACTTGATTTATTATATATGATATTTAAGTACGTACTACTTAATTTTGTTACTGTTTTAGCTTCTATGATGTACCAAAATAATAATAATACTGGAGGGGGTGGGTGGTTCAAAGTGACAGACGGCCTAAAAACATACGAGTACATCTTTTGTCCATCGGGCAAAACATATCCACCCCAAACATCTCCTTCCTTCAAGTACCATTATATATTTATATTTGCACTGAACACAAAAGTACACCTTTGTTTTTATCCATATCTACTTCACATTATGTTATCTTTATGTAATTAAAGTGCACATGGCATGTGAATTTTTGGAGTAGTTAATTGAAATTACAGATGGAATATATATATATATATATATATATATATATATATAGTCTTTTTTTAAGTTAATTCAATGAGAAAGTCATTTTGTATATAATCAGCTAACATTAAAACATTTTTCTACAACTCGTTAATGCTACAGTACAACTAGTTAAACTTATAACACAATCAACTAAGAGCTATCAGTTAACAGTCATTTACCAAACACCTCTTTTGTTCGCATTTGATCTTGTCCCTATGTATATAAGATTATAAGTATAGAGATGGTAGGTAGGGAGGAAGATGAGAGGTGAGCAGATGGGAATGGAGAGAGGAGAGGATGGAGGGTAGGAAGTCGTGTCACGAATGATATATATATTGGAACTGCACTGCAGGCCATGTGATAGATAAAGCAGCAGCAGCAGCAGCTTTATTAATGAAATTAGTTGCCTTTAATTTACTCTTTAGCTTAGCTTTGCTTTTTGGAGGTGATAGCGATGGATATAAAGCCATAAAGGCGATGAAGATTACAGACATTAGCTAGATGTATGCATATGTGCGCGCAGTGGCCGGGTATATTGTATATATATATATATATATATACGCTGCGGGCCTGTACGTACGTGTCATGTTGGATTGATGGATCATATCGGATCATATATATGGGTTTCGATGATCGATCCATCTGCCTGCAATAATAATAACAATAATACCGATGCATGTGAAGCTTATATCGCTGTCTTCCCCCCTAACCTAACCACTCCACTAGTCACTACCCTTAATTAGCTTTTCTCATAGCGATGGGGGGGGCCCGGCCCTCTCATCTCTTTCATATCTATCCACCACTGCACGTTTCATTTCAATATTCATCTCCTCCTCACTCCTCAGCTCAAAACTAAATACCACTGCACGTACATACACTCTCCATTTTTATATATATATTATCATCCCGGCCGCCCATCATCAGCCTCGATCAGCCTTATGATCTCAGTATGTTATGTATTTGTGGGGAATGAGCGATCCGGCCAGGATATATATATATATATATATATATATATATATATATATATATATATATATATATATATATATATGATCCCGTCCCGCCCAGGAAATATATGTATGTAGGAGCTAGAAAGCTAGCTGAGTCGTCGGAGACAATAATATAATTGGCATTATTCCATATCATATATTATTATTATTAATTAATGTTGACCTAGCTAGCTCAGCTCAGCTCTATATATATTATATAATTCCTGCCTGCAGCCTGCATATATATATGCCTCACCTCATTAACATCTCATCTCTACCTATCCAATCACTTAAAATCTTCATTACATTCCTAGCTTTATTATATTAAACAAACCAACAAAACAAAACAATAATTCAGTTACATCTATCTATCAATAACATCCCATGCATCCATCTGAAAAGGTTTGTTATATTAAAACACATAACCATATATATGAAACGTACATATACATGAATCATAGTATGTATAGGTATACCCTACCAGCCAGCTGATCGATATGAGGATTATTATCATATGTATAGTAATCCATTACAATTTTACAGCCCGTGGGGGTATTACTTATTCTGAAACAAACCGCACCCCAAGTTTTGGGTATCTATCTGTATCTGGAACAAACATGCATGCATATATATATGCCGCACATATAGTACTCCATCTTCGCTTCATCACTTTGTTAAGTTGTAATATTATAAGGTCGGAGGGATCCATATATATCCATGTGTTTGAACATACCCCACCCTTTTTAACAAATCATCTGCTTCCCCAGGGCCTCGGCTGCCTGCCTTGTAAGCTATTGACTTAAACTCTCCATCATCTATCCTGTGCAATAGCGGGGTGAATATCTCCCATGCCACCTGCACATCAGATCATCAACTAACATTATATATATTCACACATCCACTAACCAATCATCATATCCTATCCATCTGGCCTGGACAATATATAATATATATATATTCCATATATATATATGATGCTACAATAAGCTAGCAAGCATTGTGTTCATAATTATATATATCACATTCAATACCTACCTTCAGTTCATCCCTACGAACAAAATGCTGCTGATCCCCCCTTATTCTGTGAAAACATACATGTTAGTATTAGCATTATTTATTTAGATGAAAATTGCTAGGGATTTTTAACTAATAATAATGTAAAAGCAGATATATACAGCCATACGTGTCCAGTATTAGACGCTCATAAGCCTCTGGAATGGTAACCCCTTGATAACGTTGCCTATACGACAAGTCTAGTTCGCTCTGAACCGTTGACATTTCCAGTCCAGGTTGCTTCACCTGCAAGCAAGCAAATTAAAGGAGATACACACTAAACATGTCACCACCCCAGGCCAGCCATCAATTCCATCTCAGCAACTTAGAATATATATATGCAACTATAATATATATATAAAATATATATAAAATATATATATATATATATATATATATATATATATATATATATATATATATATATATATATATCCAAGTCTCTCATTTTCATTTTACTGATTTCATGCTAAGAGGTTCATATTCAATAACTTGTGTAAATCTTGGGGAACCTAGCTAGCTATTCCAGCAATTTAGCTTTGCCAGTAACAGACTAGTCCAATCAGTGATATTAACCAATTGGAAAAATATATAAATGCATATACGCTAGCTTTACCGTGAGTTTCATGTACATTGCTTCAGAAGGCTGAAGACGTATAACAAATTCGTTCCTCCCTTGCTTTTGACCTGATAAATATGCATATTTACAAGATGTTTTCAGTCACAGGACTGACTCAAAACTTAAACTCATTGCAACCGCCAGCACCAAATTATGAAAATAGATTGCACAATACTGAAGATCTTAATTAAGAGTATGTAGCTAGGGAATTGAAAATGGAATTTATGTATGTTAATTGGAATACATACATCTGAATATATCACCAGGAACTTCCTTAAATTGGATACGTATTTCTGCCTTTCTAGAATTCAGTGCTTTTCCTGCCTTGAGTATAAAGGGTACACCTGCACCAAATCATTCATGTAATAATTAATATTAATAAGAATAAATTGGGGTACAAACTTTTTTTTTCTCAACTATATATTGAGAGAACCAACCCTACAAATATTTGTATACCTTACATAGCTTAAAATATCCCATAAAGAGTATGTATGCTATTATTCACAATGAAAATACTAACCAAATGGATATCCATCATCTCACCTTCCCATCTTTCATTGTGCACACGCAGAACCACTGTTGCAAATGTTGGAGTATTTGAGTTGTCAGGAACTGTTGGATCATCCCTATAGCCCTCGTATTGTCCAAGCACAACCTCTTCATCTTTAATTGGAACCACCGACTGAAGAACCTGAATTCCAAATTAAATGAATCAAATGAAACTGAAAATCTTAGTAATCATAAGCCAACATCGGCAACAAAGAAAACACATTCAGATACATACTTATGTATAACACAAAAAGTATACATACATATATACATAAGGTCATTATTCAACATGCTTCTGTGGAAAAACAGACATATTACAATACTAAAAGCATATCCAGAGCAAACCTTCACTTTCTCGTCTCGGATGTGCTCAGGCTTTAGAGAAATCGGCTTTTCCATGGCAACAAGGCAAAAAACCTGTTTGCAAAAGGGAAGGACGACATAATGAGAATTCAAAAATAAATAATACAAACATTCAAGAGTTGAACCAAAAAAAGGGAGATCGCAGAAGAGGGAAAGGTAAAGAATAATATGCAGAGAGAGTGACCCAACTCAATGCAAATGCCTTTCACAAAACACTAGAAAGTACTTGATTATTGAAACCATTCACCAATGCATCTAGTGCAACTTCAGATAATGTCATTGATAGATTGTCATGAGATCACAACAGGTTACCTGCAAAAGGTGGTTCTGAATAATGTCCCGTATAATCCTGCCAAACGTTAAGATCAACTTTATGTTACTAGCTACCATGTTCTAAAATTCAGTAAAATACAGGTAGAATGAATGTAAAATTGGGTAGACATGCAAGAAGGTATCCAGAAAGAGTACCCATATTGATCAAAATATCCACCACGGCCTTCAGTACCAAAGTCCTCTCTGAATACAATCTGCATAAAAAACAAGTTACTATAGAAATCAAACACTTAGATAATACTCTTTATGTACTAAGGTGAGTAAAAATAGTGAAACACATGAATAGGGGACAGTTTGACAGAATTAATTTAACAGTTTAACCATAGAGTCCACAAGGTAGGACAAACACAAGCTAATTCTTTTTTGGCAGAACCTGATAAGAAACTACATGGAAGTATGAACTTTTTATTCACCTTACAGCAACCAAAAAAACAAGCATGTGCTATCACAGTTCAGTTGGTCTAAGAATGGCATTAACGCTTTACATATTGAACGAGAAACAGAATCCACGTAGTCCATCCCAACTAGATTGAGTTTAGGACTTTGTTAAGTAGTTAAATCAGTTACATTGAACTAAAGTATTCCTAAAATTTCTCTCCCTTTTCTTATATTTTGACTCAGGCATCTAATAACAAGATAAAAGAACCTCTTTGAACCTCAGTAGTTAAATATACCATCAGCATGTGTGCAAACCCACCTGTACACTGTCAATGTTGTCACGGTTCCACAGGGGCAAAAAGAAGCGATTTGCAAAGCGAAGCACAAGCTGCAGTGTTTTTAAATAGTAAAAGCATAAATATGAGAAACAATTAACTAACTAGATTGGGAAAAGAGACAATTTTCTAGAAACATTACCAAGTTCTGAACCAACTCCTTCCCCAAGTAGTGGTCAATACGATAAATTTGTGGCTCATCAAATAATTCTCCTATCTGGGCACTGAGTTCCTCAGCTGAAGCCAAATCCCTACCAAAGGGCTTCTCAACAACGATGCGTGTCCATCCACCAAGATCAGCTGTAAAAGAAGACATGAAGAAATGGATAAAGCTATATGTGTGGTTATATATCAGAGAGCATCATCAAAAGAACAAAAGTATTTTACTAACAAGTTTGATTCAATGAGAAATATTAATGAAAAAGGAACATATATTTCATACTAAAATGAGCTTGAAGGTTCTCATAAGAAGCCACAAGTATGAAAAGAGATGCATACATTTATTCATGCAATAAAACTTTATCATTCTGCACACAGATGGATATACTGATGGAGGAAGTGCAAGGTAGAAGAGCCTTCTGGAAGATCCTTCAGTGCTATTTTTTGATACTTCATGCTCATATATTGCCTTATCTAATGACCGAAATCCCTCCTCGGAGTCATAACCACCAGATACATATTTTATCTGCAGGAGAGTTGACTCAGAATAAGAAAGAACCACATTACTGAAGGGGAATATAGATTGATCATTGTACTAACCAATTGCAGAAAATTTGGAACAGTTTCTGCATTATCTTTTCCCGGGGAAAGATACCTGTAATGATAGGGTATAAGGCCATTATTGGCCACAGCTTCATGTTTCTTGAAAATAAATGCAAACCATAGAAATTCAGGGGGGGGAAAAAACTTATAGCAACTCAATTGGACAGAAGAGAAACTTATGGAAGTTGGGATTGTGCTAATAAAGAATGCTACAAAATATAAGAATGCCACGTGAATTTGAAAACTCGCCAGCCAGTGCCACACAACAAAATACATGAAAATTAAGAGAATAATTATTACTTGACCAAAGAGTGAAAATTGAGGATAGAGCAAAATTCTCACCCACGAATACGGTCTCTCAAGTCATCATCTGAAATTTTGGTCCTTGCATAGCCAAAAATGTGAACGTCATTAGATTGCAAGAACCCCTGCAAGTATACCATCAGATAATCACATGATCAACACAGCGTGTTTGATGAAAGTCAAGGTTCTAACAATTCATTTGTGAAGTGTTGTGGTTAAAAAAGGAGAGTGTCATGAAAACCAAATTATATTTTATCTCAGCATGCTAGTAAAAGGAAGATCTAAATAGCACCTGGTGGTAGAGGTTGAACAGTGCAGGAAAAGTCTTCTTTTTGGCAAGATCACCAGAAGCACCAAGAACAACAATGGAGAGGCACCCAGTTTCAGTCACACCTTCAATGTCTGCAAAGGAGTCATTGCTAACAAGACCCCTTTTCTCCACACACCATTGTGCAGATTCCATCTTAAAAGCTTCTAGTCTAGTGAGAAGCCCAAATTCAATTACTTGTTCACAGTAGTATCACTTAGCTAGAACCTCCTGATCTGCATACCACACAAGGAGTAACTTAATACTAAGTCATTAATATCCTGATGCAGAGTGATCCTGAAAAAAAAATTACTATGAGTGGTTTAAGAATTTAGTTAAACTTCCGGAGTGATGACAGTCCATAAAGATCAGATCCAGCTAGCCATCATTAACATCACCACATCAATAAAAACAAATCAGGCAGAATCAAACAGGATTATCAGGGGAAAAAACGAGCAAATTCACTACAAAAGAAATGTCCACCTAACGCAAAAATAAACTGAGCAGAAATCAAAAGAACATGACAACGAATTACGAAGACATAGGCAGTAAAAAGAGACAAAAAGGTAGGAGATCGAACCTTAAAGCTCACAGAAGAGAGGTGAAGAGCGAAGAAGCTGGAAGAGTGATACACCGTTCAGTAGGGAAGCCAATAATAATAATAGGCGAATAAAATTAGTAGAATCTCCAGAAGGAAATGAAAACACAATAGGAAACGGACAGTAGAACGAACGAAGTGGGGATTGGAAAGATATTTTTTAATGAGAGTATGAGAGTCACTCCGGGTCCCCCGCCAGGCCTACCGAGGTTTCGGCTCCAATGGAATGGAACTATGGAAGCCGATGCACCGCAAATTATGTCATGGAATCGTGTTCACCGAGAATGGTGAACATAAGGCAAAACGACGTCGTTTTTAGGTTAAAAAAAAAAAAATTTGCGAATGTGGAGTTAACGGCGCGCGTTTAATCAAATTATGAATTTTCTGTTATGAGATTATGAATTTTACGCATAACAGAAAATTCATAATCGCATAACAGAAAATTCATAATCTCACAACAGAAAATTCATAATCTCATGGTTCCAAAGTGAATGTGTAGGCATGGTTCCAGGCATGGATTCATAATTTATGAATGTCCGTGATTTCGGACGGTAATGTGTAGGCATGGTTCCACAGTGAATGTGCAGGCATGAATTCATAATTTATGAATGTTCGAAATCTTTGTTCACCTCAAATTAAAGTGAAACCGCAAAATGTGAAAATAAAGAAGAAAAATCACGCAATTAATTAAGGAAAAAAAAAAAAGATAACAGTGTACTAACACCGTTGGAACCGTGTTCACCATGAATGGTGAACACGGTTCCATGGCATAACGTCCCCCGATGCACACAGTCAGTCCACCCAACGCCGCCGCCTTAATTGGACTTTTGTAATAGATATAATAATGGAAAATACTATTTATACTTTTTAAATTTTAGTTTCTCTCCTAAGATTTTAATGTTGACATTTGTACCGAGTCCTATAGGATGAAATAACTAATCATCAATTGACATGTTAAGAATTAAAAATTAGAGAATAATAAAAAAAAAAAGAATGGACATAATAAAACGATGAGTTAATACCCAAAATAGTCCCTCGACTATGTCGTAATTACCAATTTGGTCCTCGACTATCATTCTTACCCAATTAAGTCCTCAACTATATAATTTTTACCCAATTTAGTCCTTTGTCAATTTGACTGTTTGTTGACTGTCAAAAGTGGAAATAAAGTTGTAATTTTACAAGTTTTCTCCTTCCTCCTCATTTAGCAGCGCCAAACCATGTAGCAATAAGATCCGGTTGGGTTCTAAACCTGTCAGTATCGAAGTAGTGGTTATGCATCGGATAGCCCATGAATTTGATTTTCAACGATTTTTTGACGATCGAAATCTGATCGAAGTGTATTGCTGCATGGTTTGGCTCTGCTAAATGGAGAGGAAGGAGAAATCTTGTAAAATTATAATTTTATCCCGACTTTTGACAGTCAACAAACAGTCAAATTAATACAGAGGACTAAATTGGGTAAGAATTGTATAGTTGATGACTAAATTGGGTAAGAATTGTATAATTGAGGACTTAATTGAGTAAAAGTTACATAGTTGAGGACTTAATTGGGTAAGAATGGTAGTTGAGGACCAAATTGGTAATTATGACATAGTCGAGGGACCATTTTGGGTATTAACTCTAAAACGATAGTTGTTGAGTTTGACATGAATACTCACGTGCCATGATCCCATCAACTACTTTTTATCCCGATAAGTTTATGGTAGTTAGGGAGTAGTAGTTATGATGAGAACTGATTGTATTATATTTTCTGAACTTGATTACAATGAGCTCAGATGATGTGAATATATAGAATAGAGAGTCACAGTGTGACAATGATAAGAAGTAGAGAGTCACAGTGTGACAAGGATAAGAAGTTCTAAACAGACTCATATACATAGAGTCCTAATACTCCCCCTCAAGCACAGTGTATACTAGTAACCTGTAGCTTGTCCCTTAAGGAAGAAAATCTAGGTCCAGGCAGAGCTTTGGTGAAGATATCAACAAGTTGATCCTTTGTGGAGATGAAGTTGACTTGGATATCGCCCGAAGCTACTCGATCACGAACAAAATGATAATCAATCTCCACATGCTTGGTGCGCGCATGAAAGATTGGATTGGTACTCATATATGTAGCTCCTAGATTATCACACCATAATTTTGGAATGGAAATACCCGGAATCTGTATCTCACGCAATAATGACATAATCCATAGAACCTCAGCACAAACATCTGCAAGAGCTTTGTATTCAGCCTCAGTGGATGACCTGGCAACAGTTCTCTGTTTCTTGCAAACCCATGATATAAGATTACTCCCCAAGAAAACAGCAAAACCACTCGTGGATTTTCGATCGTCAGGACAACCAGCCCAATCAGAATCAGAGAAAGCATGAATGTCTCTAGATGAGCACCGTCGTATGCGTAAACCATGATCAACTGTTCCCTTAACATACCTGAGTACCCGTTTGAGCTGCTCTCAGTGTGATATGGTGGGGGCATGCATATGCTGGCATAACTGATTAACTGCAAAGGATAGGTCAGGTCGTGTGACAGTGAGATATTGCAGTGCTCCAGCTAGACTCCTGTACTGTGTGGGATCATCATATAGATCTGAATTGAAGGGGACAGTTTTCGAGACAGAGATAGGTGTAGAAAGGGGTTTGCATTCAGACATTCCAGCCCGTTTTAAAATATCATTCATATACCGTTGTTGAGATAAAATAATCCCATTGTCACTCTTAACTGTTTCAATACCCAGAAAAAAATTTGGTTCACCAAGATCTCTGATTTTGAATGTAGCAGACAGTTTGGACAAGAGCTGAGACATAATACCTTGATCACTTCCCATTACAATAATGCCATCCACGTACACCAATAGATAAACCAAAGCAGAGTCTTTAGAGTAATAGAACAGAGAGACATCTGTCTTGGATGCTTGAAAGCCAACCGATAGTAAGAACGTATGTAGTCGATTAAACCAAGCTCTGGGAGCTTGTTTTAACCCATACAGAGATCTTTTTAACAAACAAACATGATTCGGGAAGTTAGCATCAATATAACCAGGGGGTTGCTTCATATAAACTGTTTCAGCCAGATTACCATTCAGAAAAGCATTATGAACATCTAGCTGTTTGATAGACCACCCAGATGATAAAGCTAGAGATAGAAGGAGTCTTACAGTCGTAGGCTTTACCACTGGACTAAAAGTGTCGAAGAAGTCCTGACCTGGAACCTGATTAAAACCTTTCGCAACCAGCCTGGCTTTATGCCTTTCAATAGCACCATCAGCCTTTCTCTTCGTACGAAACACCCATTTACAGCCAATAATATTCATACCTGCAGTGGGTGGAACTAGAGACCATGTGTGGTTATGCAGGAGAGCATTGAATTCTTGGTCCATGGCTTCACGCCACTCAGGATATTTGACAGCTTGAGAGTAACATGTGGGTTCCGTGGGATGCACTTGAGCTGCTAGAGCAAAAAGAGGAGCATCTGCGTTGCTGCGAGTGGCCATAGAGTGAGTACGGACATTGGGCCTGATGGACCGCCCACGTGGACGGCCTCGCCGGCGAGCAACAGGCTCCACAGGATCACCCGACGAGGCAGCCTGTCCAGGATCCACAGCTGGTTCGAATGAAGCAGGTAGCGGCGGTTCTGGCAGCTCATCATTGGACACGGCAGGAATAGGTGTGATGTGACTAAGAACATATTCCACCCAAGGTCCAGAAAACGGAGTAGATAGATCCTGCAAAGAAGTTTTAGTAGCAAAGGGGAAAACTTCTTCATCAAATCTGACATGCCTGCATGTGTAAATCTTATTAATATGTAAGTCCATGCATCTGTACCCCCTAAAGGACTCAGGATAACCTAGGAAGACACATGGAGAAGACCTGTATGACATCTTATGACGATTATATGGTCGAAGATGAGGGTAGCATAAACACCCAAAGACACGAAGAAAAAGATAGGAAGGAGGGGATTTATATAACAGGAGATGAGGACTCGAGTTATTTAATACAGAAGATGGCATTCTGTTAATTAAATAGACAACAGTCTCAAAGGCAAAATCCCAAAATTTCAAAGGAACAGAGGCATGAGCTAGAAGAGCCAGACCAGTTTCAACAATGTGACGATGTTTTCGTTCAACACGACCATTCTGTTCATGTGTATAGGCACAGGATTGTCTATGTTGAATTCCTAATTGAACAAACAAAGAATGCAACTTTTTGTACTCAGCACCTAAATCAGACTGAATGGCCTTTATTTTGCAATTAAAGGACCGTTCAACAAGAGTACGAAATTTATCAAAGATGACATAAAGATCAGACTTTAATTTCATAGGAAAGAACCATGTATAACGGGAATAGTCATCCACAAAGATCACAAAATAACGGAAGCCAGAAGTAGATAAAGTGGGCGCAGGACCCCAAATGTCTGTGTAAATAAGATCTAGGACTTGAGAACTAGAGGAAGCAACACGGGGGAGGGGAAAACGGGCAGATTTGCCTAATTGACACGCATTGCATAAAGAATTATGACAACGAATATTATCACGAGACCCACTAACCAAACAAGAACGAAGTATATGGCTAAGAACACGGTTATGAGGATGACCTAGACGATTGTGCCAAGTGGAAGCCGAGGCACGAGCGGAAATAAACGCTGACGGAGACGAACTAGGTAATGAAAGTGTGTATAGTCCCCCCGAACTATTGCCCCGAAGAAGTATTTCCTTGGTATTGATATCTTTTACAACAAAAAATGAGGGGTGAAACTCAAAAAAGACTTTATTATCGGATGCAAACTTCTGAACAGATAATAAAGAATTAGACAAACGCGGAACGTGAAGTATATCAGACAATGTAAATGATCTAGAAGGGGTATTAAAAGAGGCATGGCCAACATGACTAATAGATAAACCCATACCGTCACCGACACGTAAAGTGTCATTACCAGTGTACTTCTCCGATGTAGAAAGAGCAGCGACGTTCGGAGTTGCATGATTTGTGGCTCCAGTGTCCGGAACCCAAGTATGAGAATTTGACGAGGTTTTAGCAACTAAACCATTCTGAAACACCAAATTAGCCTGAGAACCCGGAGCCCCTGAATATCGCCGAAAACAGTTGACTCCCGTGTGACCGAAACTTTTGCAGATTTGACACGGATCATTATAGCGCCAAAAACAATTGGCTCCCGTGTGACCAAAACGTTTACAAATTTGACACGGATCATCATAGCGCCAAAAACAATTGGCTCCCGTGTGACCAAAACGTTTACAAATTTGACACGGATCATCATAGCGCCAAAAACAATTGACTCCTGTGTGGCCGAAACCTTTACAGATTTGACACGGATCATCGAAGCCACGTTGCTGACCTCCACGGTAATTAAGGTTGCCATCACAGCGCTGCATCTTCTTAATTTTATGAATCACAAAACCCTAGCTAACTGATACCAGATGAGAACTGATTGTATTATATTTTCTGAACTTGATTACAATGAGATCAGATGATGTGAATATATAAAATAGAGAGTCACAGTGTAACAATGATAAGAAGTAGAGAGTCACAGTGTGACAAGGATAAGAAGTTCTAAACAGACTCATATACATAGAGTCCTAATAGTTATAATAGTCTCCCCTACCCCCAAGAAAACATCTTATTTCATTCCAGGATTCACATTAAAATTATATAAAATTTTCTTCAATTTGATTGTACGTCTTAATTCTAATTGGTAAATATTAATTACAAAATCGTTAGTCTGTGAAATGGCAGAAGATGATAGACTATCTTTCAAGTAACTCATCATTTTAAACATCTGATAAGTATTTTTTTATTGTGTAATATTAAATAGATTTAAATTAATTTAGTTTTTATACATCTGCTTTCTGCTCCAGTTTAGCATTGTATTTACTTGACCAATAATTTATTGAAATTGTTGTGTAAATCGTTTGTTTAGCTATCTAGTTGTATCCATCAGCCTAAGTAAAAAGGGAAATATAGTTTGGTGATAATAGGAATTAGCACAGATGACACAAACTGCAGAATCAATAACCTAAAATAAAAGATTACAAGGTAGAAACCATATATAGTACATTCAAATTCACATTTACTAAGGTTTTAAAAAAAAACAAAAAATAAATTTGTTTGAACATGCGAATGCTGCAGGCTGTAATGGAACACTTTTCTTCTTTTCCTCCGTCGTCTGCTTCGGGGAGATGAATGGTCTTCAATTGCAGAGATGACCACCTGCACATCCTCATCACAACTGCAAAAGAACAATCATATCATAAGGAAAACACTACTTATGTGTCCTTTACTAATGGGAATGCCGAATACATGTACAACTTATACAATAATCAACCAAGGTATTAGGGATCAAAGCATACCTAGAATGGAAGTTGAGATCAACTGAAATCCATATCACATTTTTAACCACTTGGGCTTAATGTTCTTTTTCTCTGCAGGCGGTTTTTGCTCTTGAGCAGGAGTGGGCTTGGCTTCTAAAGCTGGCTCAGCTACAGATTGAACAGGTTCAGCCTGCACGGTTTTAAATTCTAAGCCTTGCAAAGACAACACCTCCTCTTTTAGGTAGTTCCCGGGGGCAACATCATCACCTGTAGAAATTTTTTTTCAAGTACCAAGAAATTTAGCACAAGTATTCCAGCACACACTTGTATAACTGAGTACCTAAGTCATGCAATTGCAAGGTCAATGCCATTCAGAAAGCAACATAAACACCCTGTCATGTCCTAAGCTTACCAACCCGAAATACAAACTTTTGGCATTCATACAGTCAAACAGCTACACAGAAGAGAAGTATGATACACACTTAAAGATCTTGACAGTGAAAATGCAAATGTGAGGCCTCTTGAAAAGCAAGAACTTGGATCTTGACAGTGCAAAGTTAGGGGGTGCTGAATGTGGACTATGAAAGATGACAATTGGTTCAAAAAGGGGGGCCAGCTCAAGCCAATGCTGTTAAACCCAGATTACAAATTCAGCTTATCACCAAGTGTGCAGTCTAAGTATATGTTTCCTACCCTCCATACACTATAGTATACTTTACTTTACATTCACTATTATGAGTCACTTAAAATTATAGCTGAAATTCACAAAACTTAGATAAATTGCAATTGAAACACAGTTCAAAGTGTTGATTAATTGAAATTTTACTGACCTTTTGGTACATCATAGGAGAAATATACGATTGCACCTGGAACAAAACCAGCAGAATAAAAATCCTGGGACATGTCTTTTATCTGCTTCTTGGGAGGAGTAGTATCTGGCAAAATGGTGAACCGATGCTTTTAATTTTCAATGTATCATCATTTAAACAGGATATACAAGTAATCAGATTAAGACACTTGATTTTAGTTACACTTACATAAGTAGAAAGGCAAATCTGGCCGCACAACCACTTTTATGAGAAGGTCAACTAAGCTCTGGATAGTCTCTGAAGGATGAAATGTTGCTTCTAATGTGAAATTATCAGGAAATCGCACTCTGATTACGGCCTGCAAAAAAAAAAAAAAAAAAAAAAAAAAAAAAAGACAAGTGAAAACATAATAAATTGAAAATTGAAATTATACAAACAGTATTTCAAATAAGAACCTAATGACCACCTTAGTTATCTTTGATCTACGTGCAGCTTCTTCTGCTTCTCTGATTTTCTTTGTCTTCAAATACTTATCTGTTCAGAATTTCATAAATGCCAGTATTAAAGGCCAAGTAATATAAGTACCTTATAAAGGAAAGCACACAAGAAAACCACAAGGATGTGTAGACATGTATCTACTACAGCAAGGGTGCTCTCTAAACTTGAAAGTAGCACAGCAGAAATAGCACCACATATATAGTAAATGGTTACAGATTCTAGACTTAGTTAAATCACAAGATACACATTGCTACGGTGACTGTATGTATGTATTACCTTCCTTCTTGGTTGATAATACACGGTAATAATCCTCAGCTGTAAACTCATAGAAGTCATCTGATTCTTCTAAATATCACCCCAAAAAAACAAACATGAGAAAAAGATAAAGAAACTTTAGGCAGCAAACACATATAAGCCAAACAGGAAATACCATTGTTAGAAACATCACTTGAGGCTGGAGTGTTGGTTATTGTTGAAAAGACACAAATTTCTCGTCCAAATTTTTCCTTTGCAGCTGCAAGCTGTGCCTGAATCCAGGAATATCAAAATCAGCAGCTATATTTGGGATGTCTTTATGTGATTATAGTATTTGAAATTGAAACAAACTATTAACTCGGTAAGGCTTATTGAGGAAGAGTATCAATAGCCCAAAAGAAGATTAAGGGACTAGACACCTAATTTATCAACTTGGTGAGGCTCACGGCATGACCCATAATCCCAAAAAATATATACTTGTCTACTTGAAAAATAAAAATAAAAAATAAAAAATCCCCCATTTTCTTGCAACCTCCACCAAGATCCTCTTTCTATTCTTGGACTATACCCCATAGTAGCATAATGGATAGAATTCCAATGCCCGACTTGTAATTAGGGAAAAGATTACTTCTTTCAGTTGTCATCTAGACGCGATAGGCATAGCAGTGGCAATGATCAAGAAATTTGTGAACATCGAAAGTTGAGGAATTTTTTTAAAAAAATCATGAATCAAATATTAGCTTATTGTGAAAGCAATAACAAGAAACTGGAGTGGAGATCGAAGGACATGAAGTCGCAGAAAAGCAATCGAATTGAATGAAAAGAGTTGAGTATAAGACGAAGACCTTAGCTGATTCGGCTTCCATGGGATCGGCAGTAGTTAACCTCCTTCGCTTTAGGGCAGCTGGGGAATCAACTATCATCACCGGATACAAGCAATCGTCCGAATTTCAAATTTTCCTTTTTTCTATATTTATAAGTATATATATATAATATATCTGGCGTCCCAAATCCCAATGGTAATCTTACTTGCCTATTTCTCTTCCTGAATTTATAGACTCCCAGCCCCGGTTCTAGTAGTTGGGCTTTGTGAAGCCGTGGCCCACAGGCTTTAGTTTTAGCCCAACCCAAATTCTCATATGCTCCAAAATCTAAATACTCTGTCTGTCATCCACGCAGGTGGATTTGGCAAATTATTATGTGGATCCGAATCTATCTTATAAGGTGACTTGAATCTAAAAATATACAATTTATATATTAAATGTTTATAATTTACATACAAAATGTTTACAATTTTTATATATTACATGTTTATTATTTGAATTGTGAACATTCAATATATAAATCGAGTCTGTGGCTAAGTATTGGGTGGACGTGGTCCTTGTTTGGTTCCTTTCTCCCTCCCTTCATTTTGTTTATTGACACCGATATGGTTCCGGTAGTAGAGGGGAACTTTTACATAATGACATTTTCTTTATGTTCTGCCATATCTGAAACCTTTGTCGCGCACATATACAAGAAGTTACATTATCAATTTATCAGTCCACATATTAATAAATTTTTGACATTACATTATATAGTTTGAAGCGGTGTAAATTTACTGCCTGCCAGAAATAAAGCTTTTATAAAAGCATGAAATGTGTTACTGCGACCCTCGCAATCTGGGCTGACAATCCAAATCTTGAATAGTAGCTAGCTGCGTTGCATTTGTATTCATTCTGCAGGTTGCATTGCTGCTTGGTTTAGTTTGTCAGTGAAATTATATATATGTATTCACTTTTGCAGCAAGCTAAGCTAAGGGACCACCTAGCTAAAAGCGTGCAATATAAATATAAAATATAATGGTATTTGAATTCAGATAATTGTCCTCCGATCCGACAGTAACTTCCACCGACCTCCTCCGACTGTGGGTCCTTCCATTCCGGCCCCGATCACCCCAAATGCGTACGTGTCTCTTTTGTCTCGATCTGTATCTATATCTCCCAATTAATTCACTTTACACTCATTGCTTATCACCATTCTCTCACTACTTAGTCGATCTTAAGTACGTACAGTCAATTGTTTGATATATGATACGATGCCATCAACATTATATATTTATATTCCTGGATAAATATATAGTACAGTTGTGCCCGCTTCACCTGTATTTACACTGCTTGCTACAGTAACAAATCTTTGATTTTTACAACTCCAAAATTGACGTGTGTTGTATGTGCTTTTATAATAATATAATAATAATAATTATTATTAATTAATTTTAAAATAATATCCTTGCAAGTTGCAACAAGTGTCAAGCTACTTACTTCTGGACTAAGGTTAACCATTTTTTTGTTTTGTATCCAACTTGTGGGTGTGATGGCCATCATTAAGTTTTAATATTTTCTATTTTTTCACATATTTATTTGTGTTTTTTTTTTTTTTTGAAAAGTTAGTTGGAATAATTTTTTTTTTTTTTGAATGTTAGTTGGAATAATTTAATTAAGAGAAAATATCATTTTTAGTTCATCGACTATAATACATGTATCATTTTTAGTCCTTAACTATTAAAATTTTCAAATTAGGTGCACAACTATTCAATTTGTATCACATTTGGTCATTGAATATTAACATTTTCAAATTAGGTGGATGATTATTAATTTGTATCACATTTGGTCCTACCGAAACATTTTCTAACTAAATTTCTGGCCAAGTCACCGTTGACCGGCTAATTTATAATTTTTATTTTAATAATTTTTAAATTTAAAAAAAAAAAAAAAAAAACACCCCAAGACGGAGACGAAGGAGGAGGAAGGGGGTGGGGCTCCATTCCTCCTTCGACTCCGCCGGAGACGAAGGATGAATGGGGGGGGGGGTGGGAAGACAACGTTGTCCACCCCACCCCTCTCTTGAGGAGGGTGGGGGTGGCCGGCATTTTTTTATTTTTATTTTTTATAATTTTAAAAATAAAAATTAAATAAATTAGCCAATCACCAGTTACTTGACCAGAAAATTTAACGGCAGGACTAAATGTGATACAACTTGAATAGTCATTTCACCTTTGAAAATGTTAATAGTCAATGACCAAATGTGATACAAATTGAATAGTCATGCACCTAATTTGAAAATTTTAATAGTTAATGACTAAAATTGATACATGTATTATAGTTAATGAACTAAAAAATAATATTTTATCTTTAGTTAATTTATATTTTAATATCGAATGTTTATTAATATCCAGTAGCATAATTAGACTTTAAAAATACGGAGTAATTATACTTTAACTAGTTTGTAAAAGTCGAGTGATAAAGTAATAAGTTTGAGTTTTATTTTTATTTTCAAGAGAAATGTCTAAATGTGTTACGTGAATTCATTGTTTGATTGAGATAGAAACTATGCCATTCAAAAATTTGTCTCGATTTTGAAATGGAATTTTGTTGAGTATACTAATTTGTTTAGTAGTGAAATTGATGGATTTTGTGTGATCACCATTTGTGAATTCCAGGTGATAGTGAACTTCTGATCCATAGTCGTTGCATACGAAGAAGGTAATGCGACGTCTGGCTAGCGATGGAGCTACCATACATATCCCACTGCCCACATTTATGAGGCAGTTAAAAAGATTTCTTTATGAATATAATATAATAGCTTTTTGCCCCTTATGACTCTATTTGACACACCTAGTTTAAAATATAGATGAAAATTGAAAGTTAAAAAATTATGAGTAAATACCCAAAATGGTCCCTCTACTATAGCTAAATTCACAAATTGGTCCTTGACTTTCAATTTTAACCAATTAAGTCCTTAACTTTGCAATTTTAACATTATTTGGTCCTCCGTCTATTTGACCGTTTGTTGACTGTGATTTTTGAGGATATATATGTAATTTCATGGTCCATTGTCGATTTTTTAAGGTTCCGGTTGCATTTTCAGACCGCACTGTTACATTTGAATCCACCGTCGAAAGCAATCTGCCAAATCATGTCGCCTTTCTTCATCCTCCCTTTGGATTCAATGTAGTTGAGTTCGTACCAGAGTGAAGAAGACAACGTCTTTCCGAACCGGTGCAGCGTCATCCTGGAGGCCTTCATGTGCTCCGGTGAGAGCTGCGGGTTCTTATGGAAATCGTCGATGACGGCGCGGGCGCCGACGTTAATGTAGAAGTGTTCGAAGGACCAAATCGTGTTAAAGTTGCAAAGTTAAGGACATAATTGGTTAAAATTGAAAGTCGAGGACCAATTTGTGAACTTTGCTATAGTTGAGGGACCATTTTGGGTATTTACTCAAAAATTATTAACTAATAAGATACCTAATTGAAATATTTGGTAAAATTAATTATTTTTTTCCCACACTCTAGCCCGTCAAAGTATATTGTTGAGAGGTTGCTCCCACAGTACTGCTGGTGAGACTATATCCCTGATCATTCTTTCCAAAGTTCACCTCTATGACCAGTTGAGCTGCCCATGTGGGCGGTAAAATTAATTATTGAATTAGCTAATAAGGGTAAAAAAAATATAAAATAATAAATTAAGATATTAGGATTTTGATTAATGAATGGTAGATGATGTCATTTTTGTAAATTAATAAATATACAAAAGGAAAAAAGTTAAAAAATCATAAGCTTATTTTTTAAACGTTACTTGGAGTAACGTTTCAAAATAAAATATTACAGGCCGTTTGGTTGGTGGGGGAATTACGTGGGAAAGAAATTGCAATTCTATGGGAGATGAATTACTGGGAATAAAGTGGAAATTTAAATTCCAGTGTTTGGTTTACAAGAATAGAATTACTGATAATTTCAATTTCAATGTTTGATATACTTGGGAATTGAAAGTGAATAAGTAGTATAAAGTCCAAAATGCCCATTGTTGTTGTGGTATTAATTTTAGATTCAAAAAAAGGATGGGTGATTTTGTCTTATCGCTAGCTTTTTTTCTTTTGGGGAGGGGGCAGGGGGGGAGGGGGGTACATAGGATTTTAATTCCATGAAAATAGAGGAATTGCAATTCCTTCCAACCAAACTAATAAATTTTATGGCATTTGGAATTATATAGGAATTAAGTGGGAAGAAAATTTAAATTCCCTCCAACCAAACGCCCTATTAGTTTAAACTCCTCATGTTTTACCTTATAGCATATTGATATCTTAAAATAATCTATAAATTCCACCAAACAAAACCTATATATACCTTTCATATTTAAAATCTAAGTCACCCCTACAAAAATCCCAATATCACTTACATACAAAACTACTTATAAGTTATAATGACAATTACTTCATATATTCATTGAAATAATCATTGTTTATGTTGGGTATGACTATACAAGATTAGGTTCGATATTGCAATAAGAGGCTTGTCATGTTATCATTAGACGAGTATTCGACACTTAGAGGGCATTTGGTAACTAGAAAAATTTAAACTTTCCTGTAAATTTAAAAAGTGAGAAAATTATTTTCATATTTGGTGTAATATTTGACTTAGAAAAGTTTATGACAATTGGGATCTCATTTAATAATATGAAGGAAAGTAAATCATACAAGTAATTTATTAAACTCTCAATTATTTGTTATGTTTTGAATGTTAATATATAGCAAAGATATATTAGATGTTTTAAAGAGTTTAATTTTAAACGAACCAAACATGTTAATTAAATTTTCAGGTAATTTAGTTGTTATGTTTTCAAACATGTTACATAATTTTTATCATAAAATTATTCTCAATAAACATTTTTCAAAAACATGTTATTGATGGAAAAATACCAAACAGCGTCATAAGGTCATTGACTAGCTGCTTAGTACCCAAGGCCCTTGTTCCTTGGCTAGGAATTAGATATTAGTTTATCTATGCATGGCTTGATCATGTGTCATGTATGCAACAAGTTGTGTACATTGTATTTGGTAAGGTTTCTATTCCTAGAATTGAGCTTTAACATGGTAAATTGCATAGCAGGTGACAAGATAATTGGATAAGGTACTGGGTCCGATTCGGTACGCTTGATCTAAGTGTCTAACCAATCAAAGCATTAATGACAATCAAACATTAACGGTCAAGAGCACAGAACATGTGAAGAGTTACGAGAAGCCACACATTAAGAGCGCTGCCTCATCAAAGAGAGGAGTTATGAACGGCCATCGCACTTATGGAGGAGGGCGCCTCAATTAACTAAGTAGCTAGCCGTTGCACTTAGCAGGAGGCCGTTGTGTAATTATAGTAACCGTTACATGTATAGTATAAAGAATGAGCCCATGCTACATGGTCAGCACTAGAATATTGAGCAATACAAATCACTTAATACAATTATTATTCTGGTTACATATTTACCGTCAGCATATTTTCAAAAAGTCTTGGTCAACACCGTTAGATTACCAAAAGTCATATTCTTAAAAGTGTCATGAAAATCTTAAGCTACATTAATTATAACTTTATCCAGTAATATAATAATTATAACTTTATCCAGTAATATATTTATCTAGAATTAATTTCACTTTTGGTCCCACGACTTTTGAGTTCTTATCACTTTTGGTGCACAACTTTAAATTTTTTCAATTTTGGTGCCTAACTTTGTTATTTTTATCAGTTTAGGTCCTTCTAGCCAAATTGATGGTAAAATATTTCTAGATTTTATATTTTAGGGGCAAAATCGTCATCCCATGGAAAGATCTTCAATATTTAAACAAAAGAAAAATCATATTAAGAGGAAAAGAAGAGTTTGCCAATGGTCGAAACTATAAATCTCATAGATCTGTCTGGTTTCTGCCCATCTTCCCCATTATTCTCATCATCAAACACCTATAGATATGATTTTACGGTGATTTTGTTTAGATATTGAAGACGTTTCCTTGGGATGACGATTTTACCCCTAACAATATAAAATCCAACAACATTTAACTGTCAATTTGGCCGAAAGGACCAAAATTGATAAAAATAACAAAGTTAGGCACCAAAATTAAAAAATTTTAAAGTTGTGCACCAAAAGTGATAGAACATCAAAAGTCGTGGGACCAAAAGTGAAATTAATTCTATTTATCTATATTGTACGATTATTTTTAAATTTAGTAATTAGTAATACTCATCTTAAAATTTGTTATTGTTTATTTTGTTTAAACTCTGGGAGCAGATAACGCAGGAACGTTTCTCATCTTCTCCAACAGTAGGTCAGTAGTAGCAAATATGTTCGCCCCACGCGTATGACTGAACGCGTCTGCCACAATCCGCTTCGTGCTGAATGTTCAAATCCCGTTCTTACCCATCCCTCTCAAGCCTTCTTTAGCTCGGTCGAAGGACAGAAAATGTCAATTTATAGGGGCGTCCTTCTGTCTGCCTGGAGATGCCCAAAAGTGAGAATAAAGAGAAAAGGCTTTAATAATATTTAAAAATAGAAAAAGGAAAAAGAAAAAGAAAAAACAGTTTAAGAGAAATTTTCAGAATAACAATAATTCTAGCGAACCAAACACATCATCAAGAACAACAACAACCAGAGATTGCTTTTCTACTCTCTTGGCCGGTTTTCGGATTTCGATCACTGACCCAACTCGGAGGCCTCCATCCTTAACTTTTCTTTTCTTATCATTACCGTCTTTTAGCTCCTTGTAAGCCTAAAACTCATATATTTTTTCTTCATTCCTGGTAAATGGTGCTCTTATTGTTGTTCATTTTATGTTGTCTGCTTGATTGCTTTTTTTGCAGGTGGTTTTCTGATGAAGAATGTTTGCTGGGTTTCATAGATCATGCCTCAGATCTTGTAATCCTTTGATCTAGCTGAAGAGAACTGAGGTTAGTGTATATCTTGCCTGTCTTTCTAAGGTGAGGTGAGGAGAGCTTAATGGGTCAGCAGATTTGATTGTTATAGTGGGTGTTTGGGGCTTAAACCTATACTTGCACTGCACAGTTGGGGAAAAAAAGAAAACTTTCACCAACTTGGTACAAAAATTTTCATAAAAAATGGGGAATTTGACTTTTGGATGCTGGATTAGTAGCGAGATTTGACTTTTATACAATCGGTTAACCTTGATGTTCTTCATTTTGGTTTTCTTATGTTAACTGTTTTAACTGGCCAGATAAGGAAGGGATTTTTTCACTTAGAGTAGAAGAACAAGAACTTGAATTCATAGACTGTGGATGTTGGATTCTGTTGGTCAGGAACACAGAGAGCCTATGAGGTGATTAGATCCTCACTGGGTTGCTGTTAGCAGGTTTGATTGGGTTGATTTCCTGATTGTTGCTGCAAATGTTATTATCATTTGTGGTTTGCACTCTGTTGTAAGCTATTCAATCAACATACCTGTTAGGATTACTTGAAGTGAACTTAATCCTGTAGTTCCCAGTGATGATCAAACAGATACTCAACAGACTCCCACGGAAGCCCTCAAAGTCAGCTGACAATCGTGATGGGGGAACCTCTACTTTTCCTCCTAATGCTTCTTCTAGTTCAAGAAGCAGTGACTTGTCAGGTTTGCGGTCAGGGAGTTTGAATGCTACGTCTCTTGCAGGGGTCAATTCCAATTCTACCGCGGGGTTAAATCATGGAAATAAACTTCTCCATTCTGCAGTTGCAAAGGAGAATGGGAATTCAGCAGTTTTCCAGTATGAAGCCTTGCCTAATTTTAGAGATGTTCCCACTTCTGAGAAGCAAACCTTGTTCATAAAGAAGTTGAACATGTGTTGTGTAGTGTTTGATTTTACTGATCCAACAAAAAACTTGAAAGAGAAAGACATAAAGCGACAAACCTTGATGGATCTTGTTGATTATGTTGCCTCGGTGAGTGGGAAATTCACAGAAATTACCATGCAAGAAATTGTAAAAATGGTATCCATAAATTTGTTCAGATCACTTACTCCTCAGCCTCGTGAAAATAAAATTTTGGAAGCTTTTGACTTGGAAGAAGAGGAACCCATGATGGACCCTTCATGGCCCCATCTGCAAATTGTGTATGAATTCCTTCTCAGGTTTGTGGCATCACCGGAGACAGATGCAAAATTAGCAAAGCGATACATTAATCATTCGTTTATCATAAAGCTACTAGATCTTTTTGATTCAGAAGATCCAAGAGAAAGGGAGTACTTGAAAACAGTTCTCCACCGCATATATGGAAAGTTCATGGTACACCGCCCATTCATTAGGAAAGCAATCAATAATATATTTTATCGCTTCATTTTTGAAACTGAGAAACATAACGGAATAGCAGAGCTGTTAGAAATATTGGGCAGTATAATTAATGGGTTTGCCTTACCACTGAAGGAAGAGCACAAACTTTTCCTTGTTCGAGCTCTCATTCCGCTTCACAAACCAAAGTGCATACAGATGTACCATCAACAGTTATCATACTGCATCACTCAGTTTGTGGAGAAGGATTGCAAGCTTGCTGATACTGTTATTAGGGGTTTATTGAAGTATTGGCCAGTTACAAACAGCTCAAAGGAGGTTATGTTCTTAGGTGAGCTGGAGGAGGTCCTGGAAGCTACACAGCCTCCAGAATTCCAGCGCTGTATGGTTCCCTTGTTTCGACAAATTGGTCGTTGCTTGAGCAGCTCACATTTTCAGGTTGGTGGTTAACGCAATTCTTATTTTCTATTCTCTCTCTCCTTTTCCCTAGGCCTGCAACTATCTTCATGTGATGCCAAAACTAGTCTTGCTACTCTTGTTTGATTGAGGAATAGATATGGATATAAATATATTAATATGATAGGGATATTATAGAACAAGAACATAAAATAGGTATTTGAATGGCATATAATCTGTTTTGTTGTTGTTGTTGTTGTTGTGGAATTGAGAGGGAAATTGATATAAGGTAAACTGTTACACTGTACTTCTTTCCTTGTTGCAAAAAGGCTAAATTGTTTTCTTTTGAAAAGATGTGCTTGCAATTTTCAGTAAGGGGCCAATTGTACTTTATTTTGAAATCAACCTTTTATGGGAGTGGCCCATATTTTGGACGTTTCCAACATATTTATCTTTGAATTCTCATCTTAACTACTAACCTACTTATCATCTTTTGGACGTTTTGTTTCTTTATTATTGAGTACTCATGGCCATAAATAATAGCAGTTTTGGCCATTGATAATTTTTACTTTTCAACTTCATATGACTTTTACACATAAATCTTGGCCTGTTGGCCATACTTATCTACTTCCACTCAGCCTTCATTCTATGATTAGTTCATCTTCTTTCCTTGTGAAGAACAGAAACTAGGTGTTAAATGTGTGTACTCCAAGGTACATTTATGCTCTTAACAACACCTTTTCTCTAGTGTTATTGATTTTGAAACAGTTCTTTTACTCCTCTTTAGTTCTATTTAGTTCAAACTCCTTGTCTAAACTAGATCTCCAGAATTCCACTTTTTGATTTACCCCTTCTCTAGGCCATGAACTGATGGAAACTATGTTATAGTACTATAATTGAATGAGCATTCCATTTTTTTTAATTTTTTTTAAAAGCATCACTGCTACTCTTTTTGGAACTAGCTGATATCTCTTTTTCATTGCATGCCATTTCAGTGAATATTTAACTAAAAAGTGATAGAATTAATCCTCCGTTGTGTACTTTAACCACTTAGCTGGGCTATATATCTTCCTAATTGTGGTGGAGAGAATTGGCCTGTACTCTCTAGGTCAGTGTGAACATGAATGCATGGATAAAACAATTTCTGAACTACAACATGTGAAGGAGCATCTCTCTTGCTGGGATGTCCATTAACATATTAATAAGAAACAAAAAGGAAAATACCATTTATTCTCAATTGTTCTTGGTTCTCTTGGAGAAACAATTAGGGGATGGGGAATTCTCAAGTTAAGTTGATTAGAATGAACCCAAAAGATTAATGGCTGAGTGTATGGAGTGGTATAAACTAGAATGAATTACACTTGTTTGCCATCTTAGCCTCTTCTGTTCCTTCCACTATTTAATTTTGTTTTTGCAGGTGGCTGAGAGGGCGTTGTTTTTATGGAACAATGATCACATTGAGAACTTAATCAAACAAAATCGCAAAGTTATACTGCCAATTATCTTCCCCGCATTGGAGAAAAATTCGAGAACCCACTGGAATCAAGCAGTGCAAAGTTTGACACTAAATGTTCGCAAACTCTTCTCTGATATTGACGCTGAACTTTTTGAGGAGTGCTTGCACAAATTTCAGGAAGATGAATCCCGCGAGCAAGAGATAAAAATGAAACGTGAAGCAACTTGGAAGCGTCTAGAAGAAATTGCTGGGATAAAAGCTGCAAGTAATGAACCAGTTCTTGTCTCACACAGGGTGGCCCCTCGTGCAACATCTGGCTAAAGACTTGGGAATCCTATTTTGTCACTAGCTCTTCATTGTACTGACTGGCATGATGACTGAGGATGTGAATCATGAACAAGGGACGTCGATTTATCATTAACAAGAATCACACTCTCTTCGTTCATGGTATCGTAATGCCTGCCATTCTTCCAGGTGAATGGAACACTATGTTGGATATGAACTACCCTCTCCCCGATTTGGACACGAGGGCTGTACATATGGAATTGGGTGGAAATAGTTTCTCAAGATTTTATAGTCTGAACACCTAGCTTGAATTAATTTGGATAGTAAACTAAATGTGGCATTCTCTTTGTTTGTCTAGAAAAGAAAGGGCTTCATTTTGCAGGTCCCCCTCTCTAGATAATTTTGCATGTAGTTTCATTTGTGTACTCTTAATCTGCAGTTCTATATCTGTACCGTCATAATAAGTTTAGAAAATGCTGCCTGCCACCTACTGCTGCTTCAGATGAATCTGAAAAAAATCTAATTCTAGAGAAGAGATAAAATGCCAGGAAGTCCCTTTAACCCATCTATTCTGGGTAATTGAGAAAATTGTTCAAAGTTTCAAACTTTATAGCCTGGGAATCAGCTAAACATGCTGTGTTGTGTAGGGTCATACATAATAATTCCAGGATTTCCAGGCTGTGTTTCATCCTGATATCCTATGCAACTGATACAGTAGCAATTATTGAGAATGAAGAGTGGACATTAGTTGGCATGATACAAATGATTATGTCCATTAATGTGTTTGGAGTATCATTATAGGAATGATTCTAAGAGTTGATGTTTCTTTTTTGCATTCATTATACGTTATCAGTTGATGATGATGCAAAACATAGTACTTCTCCAAGTTATTAGGCAAGTCAATAGTGTTATATTAATATTCTATATCAAGATTTTGAGTGCAAATAATATTATTCTCGATAGGATCTAAATTCAAATTAAATACAATACTCTGTAATTTTAATATCACAAATTCTTTATAAGATTAAATTTTCGATGTTTAGGTGCTCTAACTTTATGATTTTTGTAATTCTAATATGGTGCACTTTTTCCTAGAATCAGAATTCCTATAACAAAATTAATCCAAAAAAAGGAGTTAATACCAAATGTATTATGTACTCATCGTTTTAGTGATTTTTATTGATTTAGTCATAAACGACTTTTTGTGCTTAATTAGATTTTTAATTTTGATGGTTCTATCTAATTCAGTCATCAGTTGTTAGAATTAATGATTAAATTGAAAAAAAATACTATAATTAAGAATTAAATTGGATAAAATCACTATAGTTGAAGATTAACTTGGATAAAATTATTATAGTCGAATACTAAATTATGTATTAATAGAGGTGAAATTACCGGATTATCTTAACAGATGATTCAATTGAGTAAAACAACTTAATTAAATACAAAAAGTCATTTAGAAGTTAGAACTAAATTGAAAAAATCTACTATATTAGATGACTAAATTAAGTATTCACTCCCAAAAATAAAAGTATTTAATCAAGTACAGTAAAATTTAGCTTAACCCGGCCGGCTTACTTTTCTTTGGTCTCTTCCAGTAAACTTTTCAATCCGATCTGCTTCTTCTTCGGCACCACCGGAGCACCACTGCGAATTGTGATCTGATTATGCCTCACTACCTTGTTAAGAAAGTCTCAGTGTTTCTATCGGATTAGGCGTCTTTTAGATCTCAAGACGCATCATATTTTTGCACTCCCGCTTTTATTTTTTCCAGCTTCGTCATTTTCTGGAAAGGCACTCTTTTAGCTCACTCTTTCCTTTTGCTGGATCTCCCCGGTCAGGTACATTTTTAGATCTATTTTAGTTCTATTTTAGTTCCAACGTTTTGAGTAGACAGTGATGTTTTGCCCGAGTTTAAAGTTAAAGAGGATTTATATTTTTGCTATCAGGAATGAAGTAATTTGATTAATTCGAGTATGACAAGTCTAAGAATGCCAGGCTTAAGAGCGAAGCTGAAAGTTGCTGGTTTGGTAATCTTTGTTTTGTGGATATGTTTTGCTGCACTGTACAGTCTGACAAAGCCGATATCCAATGGCTGTATTATGACTTACATGTATCCTACTTATATCCCCGTTTCCGCGCCGGAGAATGTGTCGTCGACCAAGTATGGATTGTACCTGTACCATGAAGGATGGAAAAAGATTGATTTTGATGAGCACCTCAAGCAGCTTTCCGGGATTCCTGTTCTTTTTATCCCTGGCAATGGTGGAAGCTACAAACAGGCAACTTACCCCTTCTTACCTGGTTACAACTTTCAGTGGCATTTTTTGCAATCTCATTGCTATTTGTGTGGTTGAATTTTTTGATGCCTGCCCAAGTTTTCAATTAAATTGATTGTTAAACCTTATTTGCCTTCTGAATGAAAACTGAGTGTTTATATATCTGCACCCCTAATGATTATTATTATTATTTTTTTTTGGAAGCCCATCTTTTTATGTTCTCCTCAGTTTAATGTTCATGTAAAATAATTTTCTGTTGCATTAGTAGTTTATTAGCAGACTCTGAATGTCGAGGTTAGTTCTAAATTATTGGCTCCCCCTTTCCTTCCAAATGTATGGACTTACAGGTGAGATCCCTAGCTGCAGAATCTGACAGGGCTTATCAAGGGGGCCCTCTCGAGCAGTCATTTTACCAAGAAGCCTTTCAGAGCCTGGGAGGTGGTGTGCAACTTGACGCTGGGAGTGTTCTGTTGCCTAGCCAGTATGCAAGTATGCTTGACTGGTTTGCTGTGGACCTTGAAGGTGAACACTCTGCCATGGATGGTCGGATACTTGAAGAGCACACAGAATATGTTGTATATTCCATTCACAGGGTATTGCTTTCTTCATATTCTAATCCCTGGATGTCATGTTAACAATGGTGCATAATATTCCTGTCCTCTTTCTCTTTATCAGAACAGATGCTGGGTCCCAAAATATGTGTTGAATACTTCTCATGCTAGTGTTATATGCAGTAATTTTCTGTTCCACCCCACTCCACCTTGGCTAAAGTTTTTATCCTTTTGATATTAATTACTGCTTATGGCTTGAAGTTCTATTTTACTCAAAGGGGAAATTTTGAATTTTTAGTAGAAAAGAGAAGTCATCACTCATCAGCAATCTTTAGAAGAGATACACTTCTCTTTTCACTTAAAATACTTTGCATGTCATTCTAACCAATGCTTCCCTGCCCCCAAAGTATGCAAGCCATCATTATTGAATACTCCTTGTTCTCCCCTTCCAGAACTATCAATGTGTTCCTGTGCATGGATTCAATTTTCAGGCTATTATATCTCCTCTCCCAGCTTCTGTATTTCTCTATTATTAGTTTAAACTGTTATATTGTTCTTTTATTTTTAAGATTTTGGACCATTATAAAGACATTCGCGATGCTCGAGTTAAGGAAGGTGCCACTGTATCTAGGAGTCTTCCAAGAAGTGTTATATTAGTTGGTCATTCCATGGGTGGTTTTGTTGCTAGAGCTGCAATTGTCCATCCACATTTGAGGAAATCTGCTGTTGAAACTGTCCTGACACTTTCAACTCCACACCAGTAAATTGCTGCTTCTTGAAAGATTTATCTTGATTGCAAACCATCCATGCTATGTAAAATAAATATATGGTTTCTCTATCCAGGTCACCTCCTGTTGCATTGCAACCATCCCTTGGTCACTATTATGCACATGTTAATAATGAATGGAAGAAAGGGTATGAGATCCAAACTTCTAGGTCTGGACATTATCTGTCTGATCCATTGCTGTCTCATGTTGTTGTCATCTCCATTTCTGGCGGTTATCATGATTACCAGGTATTCACATCAATAGGTCTTGCATTAAGTTTCAGAGTGATTTTATTTTCCTTTATTTGTTTGTTTGCCTATAATTCTATAAATTCTTTCACAAACAAACTGAAATATTTTCTTTAATCCCCTTTTGAATAGTATATTAGCCTTAATATTAGATGGATAAAGAACATTCCAATTTGAGCATTGAATATGGGGCTTTCATGCTCCTGAGTTATTTGTTTATTTATTTATTTTGAGGCAATTTTTTGGGATGCAAACACAAGAAGGGAGTTATGCATAAATTATGCTATCCTGTTCTTGCACTATCATCATATAATTTGACACAATAATTTTGTAAACCTTTTCTTTTTGATGGACTCTCTATTAATGTCTAGCACTTGTCCAAGTTGCTTCACTTTATGGTTGCTATTGACTTCCATGATTCTTAATTGTAGGTGCGGGCAAAATTAGAGTCCCTTGATGGCATTGTCCCTCCCACCCATGGCTTTATGATTAGTAGTACAAGCATGAAGAATGTCTGGTTGTCAATGGAGCACCAAGTTATACTGTGGTGTAATCAGCTTGTTGTGCAAGTTAGTAATGTTTCTCATGTGAATCCATATTGCTTTCCTCACACAGATTCTGAATGCTCCATCAACTTTTCAGGTGTCACACACTCTACTTAGTTTGATTGATGAGGAGACCAGTCAACCCTTCCCCGATGTACAAAGAAGACTTGCAATTTTCACAAAGATGCTTCAAAGTGCAATACCTCCAAATTTTAACTGGGTGCAGCAACCACCATTACCCCGACAATTAGCTCATGGCTCTTCTGGTAATGGAAAAACTAATTATGGTATTTGTATTCTAAGTCCTCTTAACTATTGAAAAATCATATGGGATGCTAACTTAATTTTTGCTGAGTATGTGCTGTTATACTTTTATCCATGATAGCGTTGGTTGGAGGTGCCCCACTGATGCTTTAAATTGAAAACTAATGGATCTTTCCACACTCCATTTTTTGGACTTGCAATAATAGTTTCTAAAATGATGGGGAAACTTTTTGAAAATGCTGTGAACTTAACTTTTGATGCAACCATCTTGAAGAAGGCTTTTATGGAATTTATCCTCCCTCACAAATTCCAATTGATTTGTATTTGATGGTTTTGTGGTGAAAGAAATTACTAATTAGTGATACTCTGCTTCTGGATTCCCATTATTCTCTAATTCTAATAAAAAGTTGGATCATATTATTAATTGATCTTTTGGGATGTAGGATCTGAAGGTAGTAATTATACTTGTCCTAGTAATACCCATTGGAGTGATGATGGACTGGAAAGGGATCTATACATTGAAACAACCACTGTGACCATTTTAGCAATGGATGGAAGGAGGCGCTGGCTGGATATTCAGAAATTGGTTAGCTCAATTTATAGTTTAACTGCAACTTATTTGGCTCATCTTTAACATGAACTTACTGCATAGTCCTTTTCTTTTTTTACTATAAAAAATTGCATATATACTTGTGGTCAAGGTTACTTTAATGTTTGTTCCAGTTTTTCCTCTGAGAGCTTTCACACATGAACCTGTATCATAAACTTTAGTTGTTGATTTATTATAATCCCTATGACCAATCTCTTTGAATACTCAGGGAGCAAATGGAAAAACCCACTTTGTTTTTGTCACTAACCTGTCTCCTTGTTCTGGGGTAAGACTACACCTTTGGCCTGAGAAAGGAACTTCAACTTCTGATTTATCTGTTAATAAACGGATCTTAGAAGTCACATCTAAGATGGTAAATATTCCATCAGGACCTGCTCCAAGGCAGGTATTTACTCTTGCAAACTCTTCTTTTTGCCTAAAGTGCAAAGTGCTGCATAAATGGTAGCTAATTTTTCCTGAAACATTTATTTAATAGATTGAACCGGGCAGTCAAACTGAGCAAGCACCTCCTTCTGCCATTTTATGGTTGCATCCAACTGATATGCATGGCTTCCGATTTCTGACAATATCAGTGGCACCTCGCCAGGTATTCATCTTCTGTGACTTTGAGAATTTGCTTTAACCTTTGGTAGTCTCTGAGTGCTTGTTCTTCTTTGATTCAATTGTTTAGAAAATATCAATAAATCATTACAATATGAAGTTTTTTCTTTCCTTTTGAATATTATTATTGTTTGATTCTGTATGTTCATACAGTAACTTTCTGATGCTCAGACTGTTTCAGGAAGACCACCACCAGCCGCTTCCATGGGTGTTGGGCAATTCTTTAATCCTGATGAAGGGAAAATAGAAGTGTCTCCCCAATCAGTGATTCCTATGATATACACTCAAAAGGTTAGTAACTTAGTATTTCTAAGGTTCATTTCATGAACTGGAAATTAACTGGATAATCCAGCAGTCATGGATTATGGATATTTTCTAAGTTTATTTGGATCTGTTGCGGAATGACTTCAATTCTGCAGGACATTCAATTGAAGGAAGATCATCCTCTTGCAATCAATATGTTGTTCTCCATTAGCTTAGGCCTTTTGCCTGTTACATTGTCTGTCAAAACCACTGGCTGTGGGATACAAAAGTCAGCATTCTCAGTTGATGAGCCAGGAGACATGGAAATTAGCAGTAAGGACCCCTCTCCCCCCCTGCCCCACCATTTTCTCCTTTGCAATGAAAAAAGAAACCTTTCTATGTCTTCTTCCAATTTTATATTTATTTGCAATTAGAAAGTCGGTATGCTTTTTTCGGGTGATGGTGAATAATTGATCAATAAGCAAGTTATATTGTCCAATGTACCTTTTTTAAATTATACAGAGAAAGTCAATAAAATCTTTCAGATGCATGCTGTATGCATTCATTTTACGTCAAACTTACTGTGAAGATGACTGATACCTAAAATGAAATAAGTTTTCAGTTCAAGTTTTGAGTTCACTTTTGTGCTTTTTGTATTAAATGTCCTTCTCATGCAAACTCTCATTCTCTGAAAATGCAGAGCTTTGTAAGCTCCGGTGCTTCCCACCTGTAGCTATGGCATGGGATGCCACATCTGGACTTCATGTTTTTCCTAATTTGTACTCCGAAACTATTATGGTGGATTCCTCTCCAGGGACCTGGAGTTCGAACTCAGAGTCAGAGAAGACAAATGTATTGTTGTTGGTAAGATAACTGAACCAGTGGTCATTTTGTGGCTCTATTTTTATACCTTCAAGGCTTTAATCATAAGATTTGTTGCACACATGTCTTGCAGATTGACCCACACTGTTCATATAGAACAAGTATTGATGTCCCTGTCACTGTTGCTGCTGGAAGATTTTTACTTTTATATTTTTCTCAGGTGATATCACCTTCCTTATTGTTTGATGTCATTTAGAACTTTCTTCAAATGATTGTGAGTTTGTGATATGACTATTATTGATTGTCACTGTGGGGAAAAAATCAAATTGATGCTAAAGCAAACTAAACATAACTAGTTGACAATAATTTAAAGATTATAATTTTCCCCCATCCTACTCCTGGATGCCTTTTATGCACTCCATTGCTTTGGCTTTTAAATTTGGATTTTTGAGGTTGCTGCATGAAACTTCCACTGTGCTTTGACTTATAAGTGTTTGGTGTTATTGGCTGCAGATCATTGGTTTTACAATTGCTGTTATCTTTTTCGCTTTGATGAGGCAAGCATATGCCTGGGAGCTTGACCTGCCCATTCCTTCGCTTCTTTCAGCCATAGAGTCAAATATGAGACTGCCATTGCCATTTATCTCTCTAGCCCTAGTTCCCATTTTACTTGCTTTGTTACTTTCTTACCTATACTCTCAACCACTTCCTTCAGTTATAAGTTTCATTATCACCTCAACAGTTTGTTATTTATTTGCAAATGGGTTGATGGTGGTGCTGATAACAATCTCCCTGTCAGTGTTCTATATAGCTGCAACAATACATGCTTTTGTCAAGAAACGGTTAGTGACTTTATGTATATGAATGTGCTCAAAACTTCTCAATCTTTAACACATTCTCTAATAATTTTTACTTGTATATTGCTCTTTTCTTGATAAGCATTTATATTACTTGCTGTTGATTATTTATTTTTATTTTTTAAAAAAACATTACAACTTGCAATAAGAACATTCAGCTAAAATAATGGGCTAATGATTTACAGGTGGCAAACATTGGAAAGCAATTGGTGTTTTCACTTTGTTCATTGGTTTCTGAATCTTTCCTATGCTGTTTTGTCATTTAAGGTAATATTTCATTTTCATTTCAATAAGTATAAAACAGGATTCAATTTGTTTGCGTACAGATTAATATGAAACAAGACTGGTTTTCCAATTTGGTTTCTTGTTCAGAAATGAAATTGATTAGTCAAAAGTTTCAAGTTCTTGTAATCTTAGCAGCTGAAGTTTCTAGGCTCCATCAAGCACACTTGTTTTTTTTAAATTACTTAATGATTAAAATTCATGATTCAAAATCATATTAATTGATGATTTGATATGATCTTTTATGCATTAAGCAGGTGGTGAGGATAGTAGCATCCAATCCTTCACTTGTTATTGCACTGGTTGCTTCTACACTTGTGTGCTTTGTTCATCCTGCATTGGGTCTCTTTTTGTTGCTGTTGTCTCATGCTGTCTGTTGTCACAATGCTCTGTCGAGGTACATTCCAAGCCAAGGCTTCTCTTTCCTGATACTAGAGGCTTGGCTTGAATACATTAAACCTAATCTTCACTAAAAACACTTGTTCTTTTTGTAAACAGTTTTTTAATGGCCTCATTTCGCAGCCATATACAAACTAAGGAGTTGAGAGGGTCTGGAAATGAACAGTTGAATAAATCGAGGCAGCCTATACCCAAGTATAACGGTGAAACAAGCAAGCATGTTCCTCTGAAGGAAAATAGTCCCACTGGCCTGGAGAATGCGAAAAGCTATGCTGACACACAGCTAGAAATATTCCACCACCGACATGGCCTGCTTATCTTGCATCTGCTTGCAACACTAATGTTTATTCCCTCACTTGTGGCTTGGCTTCAGGTATGTAGTGATTTTTATTTTATTTGCAATCGACATGGAACCAAGAACCATGCTTTGTGCTTATTCATATATTGGCTTCTTCACTTATGCAGAGGATTGGTGTTGGTCAGAGCTTTCCATGGTTTTTGGACTCCATACTCTGTATTGGTGTTCTGCTGCATGGCATTTGTGACTCAAGGCCCGAGTTTAACTTCTTCTTTCCTTTTCCGGGCTTTCAAGGGTGGGAGATTAAACTAAGCTTGGCATATCTTCTCGCTGGATTTGCATCGTGTCTTTGTGGTCTGGCCTTGGCTCCTTATGGCACATTTTATGCCATGGCCAGCATTGGGGTTATTTCGTTTGCTTTCAGGATCATACAGAGGAGGAACAGGGAGAGGGGAGAGACATACTACCGCAGCAGTAGCCGAAAGCATTCTCATAGACACTGACAGGTTCTTTTAAAGTGTGATTTCTTGAATATTTGGAGTTCCACAGCTGTATGTATACCCATTGTTCAATATAATTCATGTATGTTGTATTAGGATTTCATAGTTTCATGCCAAAATTTTGCCATGATAAATGAGTTGAACTAGCGGATTACTTGTTTTTTTGTTTTTTTTTTTTCTCACTAATCCATGTAATCAATCAGTTTGCATGTTAGGACAATATAATTGTGCTGTACTGACTTATATCTTTCACATATAAATGCAGAATCTACCTGGTATCTTTACTAATGGCTTATTACAGAACAGATTTGTGATTGCAAAAGCTCTATCTAGTCTTGTTGCTCATCTTCTTGCCATGGCAACCTGCGGTTGATTGGGTCGGTGAATGTCCGCAGGACCTGATCCCTTAGGCCGTTGTCTGTAACCTCACAAAACCGGGTGTGCCAGTCTGCCGGCTCAACCGCTCTGGTTCCTAACCCCGGCGCACGGTCTTTAGACCCTGCATTTCGATCTTGTTGCCAGTCCGACACATATGTAGCCACCCTCCTATGAAACTTCTCCTTGAACACTTGCCAAACCTGGTACTTGTAGTGGTTCACCACCATCACATTTCTATCTATGTTGCCAGATTTGTATCCTTGGCTCAGCCGAAAATGGTGCACCACGTTCATCAATGTCGGATCCAATGCCTCCGGTCTCACTATGCTCTTATGCCTCTCCGGGTAAGCCAGTCGACACGTGTACCCGACCGTGACACCTTTTATAGGGACCTCTTTGAGCCCCGACGGACCAAAGCTATGACACGGTACACGTAACTCAGCAATGCCGCTACCTTGCCGTCTCAAAACCTCTTGTATTGACGTGTTTTTAGACAAATAAAAGAACTCATCCACGTCTATAAACCCGACCCACTCGCACAAGTCTCTTGCCCGAAGCGCACAATGTGCGAACCCGGCCTCTTGACTTTTGATCCAAGGCCACACATGTCGTGAAATGTTATAATTATGAGCAGTAGCAGTGTGTTCCCCTAGTATGTCTTCAATGTTGTCGTCGCTATTGTTGTCGTAGATGAACCATCGTTGCACCCCTATCTCAGCATGGTACATTATCCATTCTCGTAAGAATCGAGCTTGATTCTTTAACATGGTACACACGCACATTTGGTGCTCTTTCCTATCCTTCGGGCTGGGTTTTAGCCTAACTTGGGGCCGGGCTATGGAGTCCAATGGTCCCTTCCCAACCTTTCTAACTGAAACCTTAATTCCGAATCTGTGCGGGCTGTTCAGTACGCTCAAAGGTGTTTTACACCGTACGATTTCCTGGGCAACGGATACGACGTATGAATGTAGCATGAATTTTGGGTTCTTGAAATCCCAACCGTACACGCATCTAAATTTGGTGGGGTCAGAAACCTTCCCACCCCTTAGATTAAAGCCCTTCACAAACACAACTGTGGTATTGTCCCAGTCGATCATTGCCTCGTACGCCAGTGAGTCCCACCTGTATGTGGGCCCTGCTAGTGATAGTGCTGGAAGCTGGTTATCTCTCCTCGTCTTTTTCACGGCGAGGGAGACCTGAGAGCTGCCACGTGGAGGAGGCTGGCACCTTACGATCTGGCGGCCCGAGTACTCATCGTCAACTGACTTTGGAGGAGCCGGCGAAGAATATGAATCTGGAGACGTGTAAACGCAGTCAAGCTCATCTTTTGTAAATAACCGGGTTGAAGAAGGGTATTTTAGGAAAAAGAGCGCCTCGTCCGGCGAAATGACGGCTTCTGGAATTGACACCACTGAATTCTCCGGTGTATCGCCGGGGATCACTCCCATCGCAGATGCACTCCACGTCGTCACCAGCCGTGGACAAAACCCTGTTGTTCAATGATTTAATATTCAATTATTAACTCACCCTAGTCCCTAGCTACCTTCACGCAACAAAATTCAATCTTTACAACCAAAAAAAAAAAAAAAAAAAGAAGAAAACTATATATACTCTAAGACGTAAAACTTAATAATTAAACCTTAATCACAGAGATGAGATGAGAAAGCTGCGCTGAGGAAAGTACCTAGGAAGAAGAGGCGACTAGTGGAGAAAGCAAAGCCGGAGAAGAAGAGAAAAATAAGAAGAAGAGTGGAACAGATGAAAAAGTTGCATGGCTTTACTGGTATAGACGACGACAACGACGATCCTTTTTTACAATCTTTCATGTCGCAACTTACTAATCAAGGTCCAGGCTGCCGCCGATGAATCCACCAACTGATCTTTCCGATAATCTCAGCTGCTCTTACGTTAATGGATATATACATACAAATTGTACGTAGTTGTGGTTATTATAATCTATTATTATAATTTATAAGATAGTTGTGGTGGCTTAATTTGTGTTTTTAATGAAGTGGTTACTGTTATATTGTATGAATATCACTATCATCATAATAGATAGGCCACCATTTAGTAGCACGCAGCTAGCTAGCAGTTTTTGAAGTGGTCTCTCCTATATAAATATTCTTCCCTATCTCCATCTAAAAGTCTCCTCCGGTCCGGTCGGTTTATTATTTTAACAATTTTTTTTTTTAAATAATAATTTGGAGTTTCATATATATTACTGTGTACCCGAAGACCTGCAAGTCTTTCTTGTATGTACAAGGAAAGGAAGTTAGCAGAAATTGAGGGAGAGGGCGAGATAGATGAGGTTGTTGACATGTTACTTTCCTTTCAAATTTGCATAATCAATACCTAATAAGGCTTGCAAGTATATAATTTGATCTTACATATATAAATTAAACCAATTAGTGGCAAATATAATATAGCATAGTCCACATCCTTAATTGTAGAACTTTACAAAATGTTGTTTTAATGTTTTCCAACTTCCAAACAGGAAATAGAAAAAGGTTAAGTTGTGATTATTGGATGATACGAATTAACTCAACATTAAGAAGGACAAAAGGAATTGATCGAGAAAATTAATGAACAAGAATTATTGTAATTTACTTTTATTAGTGACTAGAGAGGTATCATTGTAATTTACTTTTATTAGTTTATTATAACTGTCTTTACCGCATTCTATATATGTTGGTGGATGGCCTCCTTCATTGTAAGATGATTTTTCCAGATAATGAATACATTGCTTTCCAGAACCTTGTCTCATTCTCCATCAGGGACCTCAACTCCTTGATATGATATTAATTAGCATCACCCCACCTTTCTCTCATATCATTTTGATACGCATTAATTAATGTTAATGAATAAGATATTAATTAAGAACGGATACCTTTTAGATCAAGTACTATATATTATATTAGGTCAATGTATTGTAAATATTATTACTTTATTAGTTATAGTTCTTGGAGCCTAGCTTCGTGTGCTTGCCAGGTTTACGCAGCTCTCTTAATTAGCCTATTCTTTATGTCCATTGCCGTTAGTTGATAAACATATAAACCTCATGGTTGCTTGTGTTTAATTATATTATATTATATAAACAGGTACAAAATTATACCATATTGGATGCTGTCATGCTGTACATCAACCATTTCATTAAACCAGATTGTGTTCAATTACCAAAAAAGAAAAAAAAAAAATCAATTTCCTCGTCAGATTAATAATAATGTAAGTGTTTGTTTTGTGAAGATAAGTCTAAAAAACCATAGTTATCCATTGACTACCATCACTCACTGTTCACTTAAATTCACCAATATAATGCTCTCATTCACCGCATTCTTTGACTATTCTTACTGTGAAGAATACTAATAAGTTGTCCACTTTTGAATTGCTTTGATTAGAGATTAGAATTGAATGCATTATACATTGCCCATTGGACGGGTCACGGGTTAGTGGTGGACCCAAAAACATTAGCCCACAACCGTTGCTTTTTATCCTAACTACCAATATACCATTATTTCATGTTCTCTTTCCATATATATTAATACAATTGGTTAAACATTTAATTTGATAATTATAAAATTTTAAGTATAATTATTCATATAAAATATTTATTAACTTGAATTTAAGCAAATTAGTTATGGAGAAACACACTTTCAAATAATAATATAAATTTTTTAGTAAATGAAGATACACGAAAAACTAGGCCTAATAGACCGTGATGGAGTTGGTATGGTAATTAAGCTTGCAAGCTTACCTTACTATTTTGACTTGTACAAAACGGAAAACGTTGGCTGAACTTGGACTGCATCTTAAAACTACACTCCCAAAACTTATGCCCACAATCTTGAATCTTCCCTTTTATATATATATATATATATATATATATATATAGGGTCGCGATCTCGTGCGAATGACCGCCTAGGAGCGAAATGCGAACCAACCAGCGCGCGCCATGTGTTTTTTGGTGCATGTCAATGTGTTATATGTGCAAGTAGTTGGTGCACCTATGCAAGTAAAATCATTTACAAGTGCACATACTTTCGCCTATAAATGCATGTAATTTTGTCCAGGAGCGAAATGCGAACCAACTAGGCCAATTTTGACCGATTTCGCCACCTAGCCGACCGTCTAGGCGCCCGGAAGCGGAACAACCTAGGGGCGCCTAACAATTTTTACAACAGTGAAATTAATAAGTAAAAGTGGACATAATTACAAAGCGGGTGAATGTGTGATAAGGAGGAGAGAATTAGGGAAAAAAGAATTGTAATTTTGTGAGAAAAAGTAAAAATTTAAATTGTATTATTTGGTTTGGTAGTGAGAAATATAATATAATTATTAGGAACGGAATGAATGGCGCAGTGGATGAATTGGTTGGCTGCTGCTAAATTAAAGAAGCCTTAACTTTAATTTTAAAGTTGGCTGAAATTTTAGGCATATGAATTGAAGCATAGAAAGCAGGCTTAACGTACAGGACACACAATCATTTCTACGCTTTCCCTACTTATTAACCCATTTCAATTCAAACCAAATAACAGCATATAAATAAATAATAAATAATATAATATAACACTTGCCCTAAAATATAAGCAGTTTGGAACATGATTCTCCTATCGTAAAATTACAAGTTTGATACTTAACATTTGCAACATATTGGCCCTGTTTGGTAAAAAATTGGCTTATAGGCCAATTTTGGCTTATTTGACCACTATTAATTGCTTGATTTAGTTAAAATATCAATATAAATGTTTGGTTAATTAGTTTTTTGCAACTCTAAAAGGCTAAAATTAAAAAAAGCTACTCCTAGCAACTTTTTCAATTAGCTTTTTGAGAAAAGAAATTATACCAAACAGCTATCAGGTAACAGCTAATTTATCAAACACTTTTCTACAATCAGCTAATGTTATCAACTATTTATACCCTCTAATTAACACAATCAGCTAACAGCAAACAGCTATCATCTAACAGCCATTTTACCAAACAGGGCCATTCTCGTTTGAGAGCAAGATTACCCTGCTGCTGGTGTCATGGCCTTCTCAGTGGGTGTGTATATATATAACTTGTTGTATTTACTCCGTCAAGCTAAGCAATTTTTTATTTGGGGTTTGCAATGAATGTGAAATGATGCAATAACGTTAAGCAACTGTATTTTGAGCAGCAGAAGTGATAGAGCAACAACTGGCCGTTGAAGCTGCTTCTTACCTATCACTATACTTACCAATTAAAGCATGCATGCATCTTTACTTTAAACTATAAAAATTATTAACTGCCATTCCCATAATCTATTTTCTTCATTTCTTCATATAACTAATAAAAAATAAGGTCCGGTCTAAAATTTTCAGATTTCAAATTATATTATTCTGATTAAGGTACAATATATATATTTAACTAATAAGAATTATTCCTTCATAATTTCACTATATATGTTTTTTCTTTCAAAATTATGAAGACACAAGTCTAATTATATATTCTGAAAAAAACAGGCTAAGATTTTTATTGCCTGGGAAAAAAAATATAGTGGAAGAGAAAGGGGCGGGTCCCAGGCTTCCAGGTGGACCCACGGCCCAATGTGTGGCCTACTGTTTACAACGTATAACTCTTCCGACTTCCAATCAACCTTTATCATTTGAATTTCAAATTTAAATTTTGGCATTGTTTATTATGTACCATAAAAATGCTAAAAAGGAAGAATTTTTAGTCCAGTCCTGTCTTGTGTTGGATTTTTAATATAAGATTTCCAGATTACGTGTTGCTCATCTACAGTTCCAGTTTCTTGAGGAGGCTACATTATATCACTCTCTAGTCTCTGCCTGCCTGGGGACAACACAACAACAATGGCAGATTCGGCTTGTCTTATGCACGCTTTCTCTTATGCATCTGCGGTGCCCAATGAAGCCAAACAGGTAATTATCTTTTCCACTTTACATTCTTCAATTCCTTGAATAATTTTGCTGGAAATGAAATTTGTGAACAAGTAATTAGTCTGGGATGGGTTGTTGAATGCAGGGGAATCCTATGCACGCCTTAGGGGAATCCATTTCTTTTGGGAGGTTTATGTCTGAGTCTTTAGCTTGGGAGAAATGGTCGACCTTCTCTCACAACAAGTATGTTGAAGAGGCTGAGAGGTATGCTCGCCCTGGCTCTGTTGCCCAGAAGAAAGCTTTCTTTGAAGCTCATTACAAGAGAATTGCTGCCAAGAAAGCTGCTGCTTTGCTTCAACAACCAAATGATTCCGGCCAAAACCAAAACGACCATGCCGGAGACGAAGCCGTTGAAAACATTCACAATGAAGACCCCCCTAATAATGATGAACACAGTTCTGTTACAGTTGGTGGTGATGAAGACTGTAAACCTGAAACTGAACAGGTGAATCTCAAGGCAGAAGAAGCTAAAGCTCTTCCTCGTGTGGAGATTCCGGCGCCGCCGGCGGTGGTTGATTTGTCAAAACGGAATCGGCATGAGGCGGCTCAAGAAACAGCTTCTGGGTCAGAGCTAAGTGAAACGCCTCAAATGGAGAGACCTTTGTTAAAGGTAGTGATGTGAATATGTGATGTCTTTTTGTTGTCTCAAAACATTATTATATATTTTTGTGAACAATTTCTACACGACAGAATTCTTGTTCCACCAAGGAAGATGATGAGGATGAAGTTTCATCAGCTCCTCCTCCTCCTATCAAGAAAAGATCAGCTCTTTCTTCACTCAAGACATCAATTCATGGCAAAACATCCAGAATTCCATCAACTCCTGCTATGCCCTATACCTACCCTCACCTCAACAAAGAAAATATGATCACTCCAATAGCTCCAATCATGAAAAGTTATGGAGCAGTCTCCATTGGTGTAACAAAACCAACTTCAAAATCTCTTAGCTCCTTGTTAAATCTCACTCCTGCAGCTAAAGAACCCGATATCGCGCCTCCACTTGCCAAGGAGACTTCTCAGGTTGCTCCTATTTCTACCAAGAATTGTCCAACACCTCTCATGACTCCTATGGTACTTAATTGGTTTCTTTCTCAGTTCTCACATCCCAATTGCTTGTTTGCTTGCCTAATTCTAGCTAGGAATTAACTAACATCATAGCATATATATGGTTTTGTTTAGGCAACTTCAAATGGTTTATCAAAGCTTTATTCAGCTACCCCAGCTACAGAAAATGGAAGGTACAGTGAACATGGGCTAGCTGCAGAACTTAAAGATATAATATTGTTGATATGAGATGAGACTAATGCCTTCTCCTTGCCTTATTCCCACAGGACAAAAACACCGGTTAATCCCCTACCTTCAGGAAGTAAAACATCTGCCCCAAAATGGCACCTCTTAACATCAGTGTAAGTTTCTGTGCTGAATGAAGTCTCCACTAGTTTTAATCAAACTTATTAGTTGCTTTATTTGTTCACCAAATATTCTCTTTCTTATAATAAATGATTATTTCTGATCTGATCTCCATGCATGGCATTGGCAGTTGCTCCAAGTCTTTAACTGCATGCCGGAATAAACTGCAATCCCCTAATTTATCAACAACCCCTTTTCGCCTGAGAACTGAAGAAAGAGCTGCAAGAAGGAAACAAGTAACTGTTTTCCTTTCCTTGACTCAATATCTCTTAATTTGCTTGCTGCTGCATACTTTTGGAATATCTCTTATAGCTCCCTCTTTTGCATTTTAGAAACTGGAAGAGAAATTCAATGCCAAGGAGGAGGAGGAGGAGGTACACAAGGTTCATCTGCAAACCAAATTAAAGGTCCAATCTCTTTCTATTAATTATATTGAGTGTAATCTTCTGGTAATTCCTATAAATGCATGAACAATATAATTCGGCAAGTGTTGTGTTGTTGTTGTATGGTTTGGATGCAGGAGAAAGCAGGAACAGAGCTCAGAAAACTTGGACGAAGCCTTTGTTTCAAAGCCCGCCCTCTTCCTGACTTCTATAAGGAAAGAGAAACAACAAAGAATCAAAGCGCAAAGGAGGTAGTTATTTATTATATTGTTCTTGAAATTTTCAGCCATATATATAGTTTTCTTTAGCCCGCCCCCCAGAAATTCTTCAACCTTAATTATTTGCAGAATCCAGTGATACATCCTCAGCCACTGAAACTCGGAAAAAAGACCTCTTCCACCAGATTGCCAGCCACAAAGAGTAGTAGTGGAGCTTTCAAGAATGCCGCTAAGACAAACGACAAAAGACCAACTGTTTCTGTTACTTCACCACGGTCACTAGCGTAGCGTCGACAATACCTACATCTCCAAGCTGAGCTCTTATAATATATACTGCAATGCTGACTTGTTGCAGAACTGTATCTCTTATTTAATTCTTAAAATACAAGTAGCCAGGAACCTTAATTAATTAATATTGTGTCCACTCTGAATGCTTGTTTGCCATGGATTCTTGTCTTGTATATCACTTAGCATTGTATTAGAAGAGGGAGGAGAGATATGTACAAACTGAAAAGAACTTAGTTTTATTCTTGGATGAATTCTGAAATACGTTGTTTAATTTGTAGTAATACACACAAATGAATGTTCCCCCACGCCAGCCACTCATATATATGAAGAAGAATACAAGAATCCAATCCACCTAGCTTAGCTTTATTTTCAAGTTTAATAAAATCTTCTTTCTGCAAACATAAATCTTCAAGTTTATGAATCCAGCAAACATAAATCACATTTCTGCCCCGACTAAGCACCACCCATCTTCTTCTACTTGCTCCCACACAAATCCTGCATCACAAAAGCTCATCCTGTCGCCGTCATCATCCTCGTCATGACCAATGCTTTCTTTACAGATGTAATCATCGATGTAGTCATCGTCAGCGCCGGCCAAGTGGTCCAAAATCCCGGTAGCTGAGGACCCGGAGAAGTTGAGGAGACCTGCAGGTCTAGCATCCACAACCCGCCATGTAATCAATCTAGTATCCACACTCGTCCTCCGTTTCAGGGTGCCCTTAGCCTTGTCCTTGGCTTTGCCGGCGGGGTGTGCATGGCAGTCGGAGCATCTCACACGGCTGCACTTTCCGGTGAACTTGGAGTGGTTAGTGGGCTTAGCGGAGACCTTGGTGAAGAGGCCGGCGGTGGGTGGTGGTGAGTTGAAGGCGTTTGTGTGGTGTGGAGTTGGGTTCCACGGTGAAGGGATAATCGGGTAGGTTCGAACCAGCCCGTGTTGCCGACCCTCTCTCTTCATTGTTGGCAAAAGAAGCTGTGAGCTCAGTTGAGAATTGATGTGACCTGGGAAGAATGAGCATATACATATATATACACGACACACAACAAAACAAAACTTGGGAAGCAAGGACATGGATCATGGATATGATGGTCAACGAGGTAGGTGTCGGGTGCGTGTACGTGTTGCCCAAGTTCGTATAGAGAACAACTAATTTAGCAGGAATACAAATATACAATCATGGATAGTGGAAGCCATTGACCATATTAAGGAATATTAAAACACTATTTCAATGAACTGTTGGGTGACAGGCAAATTATGCCCTGGACCCGTGTCCACATTGAATTGTGGACACGGGCCCAAAACGCGTCATTTAGTTAAAAAAAAAAAAAAATCGCGCGCGTTTTGCCGTTAACGGCGTTAACGGCGTTATTTTTTTTTTTTTTGAATTATGAATGTACAGTTATGCCGTTATGAATATACAGTTATGCAATTATGAAATTATGAACACAGAGCTCAACATTATGAATTTACAATTATGAACATATATAGTGATAAAATTATGACCATGGAGCTTTAAAATTGTGAATATAGAGCTTCGAAGATTATGAATGTACAGTTATGAAGTTATGAATGTACAGTTATAGAGTTATGAATCTACAGTTATGGAGTTATGAATCTACAGTTATGAGATTATGAATCTACAGTATGGAATTATGAATGTACAGTTATTGATCAAATTATGAACAAAAAGCTCTAACATTATGAACTTACAATTATGAACATATAGTGATAAAATTATGAATATAGAGCTCTAAAATTGTGAACATAGAGCTTCGAAAATTATGAATGTACAATTATGGAGTTATGAATGTACAGTTATGGAGTTATGAATGTACAGTTATAGAGTTATGAACGTACAGTTATGGAGTTATGAATGTATAGTTATTAACATATAGTAATAAAATTATGAACATATACTCTTACAATGAAGCGGTCTGAAATTTAAAAACAAAAAAAAAAAGGAGATAACAGTGCCTAACGGCACTGTTACCCGTGTCCAGCAAGCATGCTGGACACGGGTCCAACGTATAACGATTGTGGGTGACATACTTGGGCCTAAATATTTGGACCTGGTTAATCGGTCCAAAGTGATTTATCAGTCTAATTTGACTAGAGGCTCGGTGAAGGCCCAAAGTAAATACACTAGTCTAGTCTATATAAGCAACCCAATTAAGGTTACAAAGATATAATTCAATAGTTATGCTGTGCAACCGAATGTACCATGCGCATGGTGCATACGATGCAAAATGACGTCGTTTTGACTAAAAATTTGCGTTTCATTTTAAAAAAAAAAATTCAGGTTTGATTCTCGGCAATAACATTATTGTGGATATATAGTTATGAATTTCTGGATATATAGTTATAAATTTGTGGATATATAGTTATGAATTTATGGATATTTAATTCATTCATTGTGGATATTTAGTTCATTCATTGTAGATATTTACTTCATTCATTCACTGTGGATATATAGTTATGAATTTATGGATATATAGTTATGAATTTATGGATATTTAATTCACTCATTGTGAATTTTTACTTCATTCATTCATTCATTGTGGATTTTTACTTCATTCATTCAATGTGGATATATAGTTATGAATTTGTGGATATATAGTTATGAATTTCTGGATATATAAAAATGTTATTGTCGGGAATTGAACCTGATTTCTTCTTTAAGTGGGACGCGCGTTTTTTCAACCAAAACGGCGCCGTTTTGCAACCGTATGCACCTTGCAAGGTGCATTCGGTTGCACAGCATAATTTGCGGATATAATTATGGAAGGATGAATCGAAGCAAGTTGTATTTACCTTCCATTTTGGCGACAGTTCATATTTTGATCATATTTCGTTGTAAGAATATCTAAATTGAGAGATTCTTGAACGGGTGGAAAGATAATTCAAAGGGCTATGATCTTCATGAAGACTAGAGAACCATATTACGGATGTCACGATAGTCAAAAGTGACATGGAAGGTAATAATATCTCATTTTTTCCAATAATATGTTATAATATATTGTATATCAACTTGAAGGCAAATTATTATACACGTGGATGGCAAGTGAAAGGCAAATTAAACAAAGTGATGGCAAATTAGGAAAGAGATATTATATTTTATATTCAAATTATTAGGGAGAAATTTAACATTCTCATCACCCAAAAATCACTCAAATCTCCCCTCTTATAGTAGTTCTACTCCTTTCTAGGCAAGAGAGAAATCCTCTATTGTCTTTCATTTGCTATATAGAAAGAGGCGGTAATACTTACTTGATAGAATGATAGTGAAATACTTTTGTCATTGCCATGGTTTTTATCCTATTGTGGTGCATTATATATCTAATTATTTTCCTGGTGTACTCTTTACGAAGTCAGTATTGTTCTACATACGATAATGCTTAAATATTCCGTACATTATTCGTCAAAGTTACTGTAGTGTCAGCCTACCATTGACTAGCCCAATAGTCATAAAACAATAATTGTAGTTGTGGTAATAACAATGACTTTCTGTCCGGAACAGGAAAGGTGATCAAGTAGTGTTGACAACCAAATTTCATCAAGATTTAGTTCTCAAGTTATTTTCAAATAATAAACAAACTAAAGTGTGTACATATAAACATAATATAAGAACCAAACCATCCTAATATTCCCATCAAATTAAAACATCGTGTTTTGGCAATTGGACAGGTAGAGTGTAGGTGTAGGTGAAGGTGGGCATGGTGTTCACTCTGATCTGTCTGCATACTCATCAGTTCCTCTCTTTGCAGCATTGCACGCAAAGCGGCGGCTGCTGTCTGATTTCACAGTAGCAGCAGGCAATGTCGCAGTTATTGCTGCAACCTAAATACAATACAATTCAAACATAGTTGTTACCTATGAAAATGAATCTAATCTTGTTTTGCCATGTTTTCTACACAAGATCACACTGTAATGTAACTCACCTGTTATGCTAATGTACTCTGCAGATTGCTCCAAGCTTCGAGGATTTATATGAAATGGAAGGCCTCGATTGCTTGATTTGCTTCCAACAACAATATTAGTAGTCATAATAACCTCAAAACAACACACAATAAAAGCTACAATGCTAACTACTGCTACTAACTTCATTCTTTTGTAAACCCAACTTCCCTTCCTTCCTTCCAGTTGTTTTACAGCTTAGCTTAGCTTAGCTGCTTGGTTCAACTTTGCTCATCACAAATCAGTTTATATACATACAGGATTACTTGGGGATTTTTCAACTAATCCTTGTGACAGCAATATCTTACATATCATCCATTGCATGTGAAAACACATAATTGGGATCTTCCCATTTGTGTCATACTTAATCATACACCCACAAAATTTACCTAAAATAACAACAAGATAGCATCCAACAACTACTTAATAACAGAGCAAACAAAAAGCTCATCTATCTACCACTGCTTGCTTATGAATGCTAGTGAAGGGTGGGTTTGTGCAGAATTTCAGGTAAACCAAGCAAAACAGCATTATCACACTTAACAAATTCACGCACACCAGAAACTACCAAATAGTCTCATACGATGTGCAAAATGTTATGAAAAAGTAATGAGAGATTGGATTCCAATCCTAAATTTGTTAATTAGAACAGCACACATAAACATACTGAAGCATATATAAACACATACACAGTGAGGTACATCTGTGCAGTACCCCAGAACGTCACACTTTCCATTAAGGATAGGAGAATAATGCTCAAGACATAGTTTAAAGATGGCACAAGCTGACTTACAAAAGTTTTAAGAGAAACAAGGACCTCGGACACAAGGTCAAAAAATTGGTAAACCAGAAGGTTTGCATATCAGCATATTATTTTGTCTAAGGTGTACTAACTTCATAAACAGAAAATCTGAATTCATACAAATCGTCTGTTAACCTCTAGTGCCTTGATATTCTGGATTTGTTTTCCAGGATTCAGTCCCTTTGGGCAAGCTTTGGCACAATTCAAAATAGTATGGCAGCGATAAAGCTTGAATTCATGATCAACTGCTTCAAGGCGCTCCTTGGTATATTCATCACGGCTGTCCATTATCCATCTGGATTCCATTTCATACATAAACAAACACATAGTATTAAGTCAAAGGCACTGCCTTTCCACATTTCAAAAAATGGGATAAAGCAATTCAATTATATTCAATCATCCATAAAGAATGAATCTTTACTATATTCAATCAATTATGAATGAGAAAATAAGGTATTTTGCAATAAATAAGGAAGAGAAAGAAGCATTGCATATTACCTGTTGGCATGGAGGAGGGCGGCGGGGCCAAGATAAGACTCTGGGTTCCACCAGTAACTAGGGCAGGATGTGCTACAGCAGGCGCAGAGAATGCACTCGTACATCCCATCCAGCTTAGCTCTATCGGCCTTGCTCTGAGGAATCTCTTTGCCGGGCGTCTGGGGAGGAGTCTTCCTCTTGAGCCAGGGTTCAATTGACTTATACTGGTTGTAGAAGTTGGTCATATCAACCACCAGATCCTTTATCACGAACATGTGGGGGAGCGGAGTGATCATGGAGTCAGAGCCGGAAGAAATCTTGGTGAGGCAAGCTAGTCCGTTCTTGCCGTCGATATTCATGGCGCAAGAGCCGCAGATGCCCTCCCGGCACGACCGCCGGAAGGTGAGTGAGGAGTCGATCTCGTTCTTAATCTTGATCAGAGCGTCTAGAACCATGGGCCCGCACTCCTTCAGATCGACTTGGTACTCCTGAAGCTCCGGTTTTTGCGGGTTCTCCGGACTCCACCGGTAGATTTGGAACTTTTTTATGTTGGCGGCGGCGGCCTTGGACTCCACCTGCTGCGCTTGAGCTTCGGACGCATGGGCACGACCAAATATCTGCTTCGCCGCAGGAGAAGACTCAAACCTCGATATCGCTCGTCGGACCAAACCAGTCGCCATTACCTCACCTCGTAAAAGCAAAAAGGAAAACGATTTAGTATTCGAGAATGGATTTGGGTATGGGCATATATATATATATATATACATGAATTATTGGAAGGAAAAATGAGATACTCCGTATTATTAAGGGCAATTTTGAAGACATGGCGAATTTAGAGCCAATAGCTATGTAGGGTGCTTGTTTTGTAGCGTGGTGGCCACGTAGACCATTTTTTTTAAATTTTTTTTTTCTATAGAGTCATTGTGGAGTAAAATTACGAGTCCCGTAATCACTTTACAAGTTAAATTCTGCACAAAGAATCCAATATATACCTTCTAACATCTTTAGATCTTTTTTTTTTTGTTTCCTTTTTTTTTTTTCCGATATATATATTTAGTGAGATTATTGTTGCCTCCCGTTGTGACTTTAAGTCAATTATAATTACTTGCCCAAAAAGGAAAATTCTTGCATGACCCGTGCCTGGTGGCTGGTGCTAAGCTGCACAATTACAATCACAAATTGATACCATAATATTAAACAGACTTGGAAGAGGTAAAGACCATTTTTACACAACAATGGCTGTACATTTATTGTATCAGTATATCAGCTACATTTCCTTTGAACATCCAATTCTGAGTGGCAATGGAAAGTGGAAACTAAAGACAAAAACTTGTTACTGAATCTCAACTTCTCTCTCTGCACCAACTGGTTGAGCTTCTTGATCATATCCATGGTAGCTTGTTTTTCCTCTCAAAGATTTCTGGCTAAATATCCTAGCAAACATGCTTCTTGACCTGGGGATAGTTAAAGGTTCTGCACATCTTCTGCTGTCCTCATTCTTCTTCCCCAATTCTTCTAAGATGATCTTCATGCTGCTGTCAAACCGGCGCCTAAATGTTGGGTATCGCGATACAGATTTGGTAATCCCATGAAGTCTTCACGACACAACACAAAAGAAAATCCGGGTATCAGAATGGTAATAGAAAATATTTTATGCACATAAGTTTGTTCTGGCATTACCTTCGAGCTAATGCATCAAGCTCAGCCCGCCTTAGCTCAGAGTCAGGTGGGAGGCCAATGTTCGAATTCTTCAACCTCTCAGGATCACCGTACAACAAGACCAATTTACAAAGGTATTCCTCTTCGAGATCAGAAAGGTTGTCGGCCTTGATCTGGTCTTTCATGATCAAGAGTGGGTTTAGAAACCAGTCATAGAAGGCATCTTTTGGCCTGTTTGTGCTTGTTATTTCAGTAGTATTTTCTGCATATGGGATGGGGAGGATTGGAGGAAGCTCACATAACACATTCATTTGTCACAGAATCAATGATTAAATATTAAGCAGAGATACATATATTACTTACTCAACAATAAACCAGTGGAGTCGGCTTTGGCAGAGCGTAGAAGTACCTGAAGAAAGCCATAAGCAGGCAGGCCTATGCTTATGATCCGCCCACTCTCCCTATTAGACTTGGCATCTTCAATGTCCTTTCGTGTTACAACGCCTTCAGACACCAAAATTTCCCCATAATGTTGACACTCGTCGAAAAAACCCTTAGCAAGCTACAAGAGTGCATCAAAACGCAGATCATTACTTAAGGAAAATGACTCAGATTACGCGGGGGTGGGGAGAATGGCTCTGTTCCTTGAAGCTTATCAGTAAATATAATTAAGTGTACGTTATACCTCAAGGGCTTTCAGCTCAACCATAGGAGCATTCATGGAATTTGCACGAGAAAGTGGATTTTTAGAAGAGGCACCCCTCGAGAAGGAACCTGCACGGGAGTTGGTTCTTGACACAGTCCTCTTTCTGTACTGTGGCCTGCATGGATAGCATTGTTTCAAAATCAAGAACACGAAATCTCAAGTTTAAGAGGATGTTATTGTTAGAGATTCGAAACCTAGGGAAGCATGATCCTTCTGGCAAGTCAAGAACATCATTGCTATATTCATCATATATGGATAAAGACGCAACAATGTAGCAAAGCCCCAACCACAAAGAGCACTCCTGTATGTAGTTCAAAGGAAACTGTTTTAACTTTTCATGGTTCTGAAACTGCAGTTTTTAGTACCATATGTCAAACCAAACCGACCTGGTAGACAACCACTCCTGCATATGCACCGAGGAAGATACTCGATACCATAGAGCCTAAAAGTGCGCCAGCCACAGCCAATGGCCAAAGCAGGATGGCAAGACCAGCAAAAGGCACACAGATCGTCTCCAAGAAAGGGCCCTCCCTTCCAATACAGTCGTGGAACAAGCGATGCCATCCTTTGAAAAGCATGTAAGGGGTTTTGCAAGCAGCTAGTACAGTGATCACAGGCATATCAACCATAATTCCTAGCAAGCCAGCAATTAACATTCCAGGAAGATAAAGCAGCCTGCAACAAGGAGCAGACATTCAAAAACGAATAAGGAGCAACCCACGAGTGAAACCATGGACTTGTAATTGCAGATTTCCAATTCATGAAGATGGTAGTTAAATCTATATTCAAAGCAGAAGTTTCCACTGTACAAATGAAAAGGAAAGAAATCTCCCCAAAACGACACCAGAAAGAGCGAGAGAGAGAGGGGAAAGGAAACCTGATCTCATAGTATTTTCCAGCGACTGGCCCTTGAAGGCGTAGATCATCCATAATAGAAAAGTAGGAATGGTAACAAACATCCCCTACATCCCTAACAATAGTAAAGCTCCGTTTGACTGTATCCCAAGTTCCATCCTATAAACACAATAGAAGATAAATCTTTGAAACTAGAAAAAGCAAAGATGATATATGCAGCAAACATGTTTCAGAAGCATACATATATGCAATGAAAAAATTTGTCGGTCTTTCCATGTTCAACAGCTTGAGAAGTGGCAAGTATCGGTGAAAGAAAACCATATGCTGCACCCCCAAGAATGCTGCTGATAATTGCAATCAGCGGCCACAGTAATAAAACAACTGGAAGACATATGCAGATAACAATTTTCAAAACTGGCCCTAGTTGTTTTGCGCTGTAAATGACACAACAAAATGAATCAGTAGAAGTATAACCAAGACATATTGAGGCAATCTGGAAGCGAAATTGTTAACGAACACACCTTAAGGTGGAGTAATATGTGTAGAACAGGTGGACTGGCCAAAGGCCCAAAATTACAGCAGAGTTTCCAACTGTAATTATAAGAAGTACAAATGGACACAAAATGACACCTGAAATAACAAAAGAGTAGTACAAACTTGTCACCTTCATCAAAAGTTTTATTTTATTTTTTTGAAAAGAAGTGCAATAAATCTATAGGTGTGAACTACTGAGAGACTTCCTAACATGACTACAGTTCTAGTTTTGGTCACTTGAAGTTTAAGAGTTAAATGGTTTGATCAGAGGAAATACATTACAAGAAGCAGCAACATTATAGATAAAGGACTCGACGCACCAAATCAATTAGGAAACAGAGAAAATGAGAGCGGAAAACAAAAAAAAAAAAAAAAAAAAAAAAAAAAAGAGGGTTGATAGTGATGGAGGAGAGAGACCTTAAAAACTTTCTCCTTTTAACAATTATTCCCAAATTTGCAAGATTGCTCCCTAAATACTACTCTGAACTACATTATTGTATTTATTTCTAATGAAAGCATCACATATGAACTGGTATTTTGCCAAAATGCTTTTCTTCATAGCATTATAGGTAAAGGCTGGCGTTTTGGATATGTGCATATCTATATATCACAAACATTATTAGCAAATAAGTTCTCCGTTCATACCACCTGAAGGCAAACACTGCTTGGAAGCTTACAGAACACGTTATGGAGTAAACCATTAACATATAAAATACTAAAATAGCACAGAGACATCTAATTTAGTTCACATCTGATGCATTATGAGCTGTGCATAATCCTTTGTTCATCAATACTAAGTTAGCAATTTACCCAAAACAATACCATAAAAAGGAATAAACAAGAGGAGAACAAATTATGTAACAAAACAAAGAAATAGTAAGACACTTCCAAAACGGGAAAGGAAACTCACAAAACGGTGAACAACAGACCTTTTATAGTACCGAGGATGAGAAGGCCAATGAAGTAAGGTAAGAAACAGATGAAGTTCCAGAGAGATGCCAGAAACCCCCTTGGGGGTTCCATAGTTTTAACACAGAAATCAACCACTTAGCCAGCCGGATCTTCCACCTAAGGATTCAGACTCTGCAGCCAAGAAAGTTGAGCCTTTTTTCAATCTCAATCCCCCTTTCTGGTGTGAACCCACTTCCCGACTTCTTCCCTTTCTTGATTACTCAAAGTTGCTCTTAAAGATTGAATCTTTCGAAAAGTTGGAGCTAGATAGTTTTTCCCCACGGATATATGTGGACTTTAGGGAGAAAGAACACGCGCATAAACTACTACCGAATAATTAACCGAACAGTGAAAGCTCGGGGGGTCAGTGTAATGGACAAGTAGATTCAGTTACCCGTCAGTCCGTCACTGTAGATCTTACACTTTACTTATTGTAATTATTTCTAATAATGATATTGTTATGCTTGAGTTATTAGACACTGAATGATTAGAATATATGATATCAATGTCTCAAACACATGCCAGCTTAGAATGCAGCATTGAGGTAGGTGGTCTTGCCATTCTGGCAGCCAGGCTGCCACCTAACACCTGCAGTAGGGCTCCCTGCTTACCTGTCTTGGAATACTATTTTATGTAAAAATATATACTCCGTATTTGTTATTCACTGTATATTACTTCACATTAAAGCATTCCCAAGACAAGTTATTTGGGAAATTTTTTAAATTTTTGTTGTCTGAATTTGTTTTCAAATCTGTTACAATGCAGTATCTGTTCATAGCTACTTTCTCAACCTACTAAGCGCCCCTCTTTTCTACTTTATGCAAAAAACTTGTAAAATTTTGAACGGTTAATGTTGCTCTTATACTCTTTACTTTTATGGATTAATTTATACTGGTATTATACGAAATAATATGCATATAAATAACATGTACTCCGTATAATAAGTAGATCCAACCCCTAATTATTAACATATTAGGGAGTACCGGAGTATTATGCAATGTCTAATTTTAAGGCTCTAATTTACATCCATCCATCAGGTATTCACAGACTGCGATAATAAGAACTGATTCAAGGCTTTTTCCAAGAGAAGTGATGTAAATTAGAAAGACAACAGTAATTTCCAAAAAAAAAAAAAAAAAAAAAAAGACAACAGTAGTATGCAGATTTTAAATTCCAATTGCAACTGGAAATGGTATCCATCCAAGCACAAGTGCCGTGGCAGCAATGACCATGAAGAAGAGTTAGTGCAGAGCCAAAATTAAAGCTCCCTGATACAACATTGATTATTACTGGCAATATACACATTCTTGAAAATATAGAGCTATTCTCACTTCTCTATGAATGAAGGAGGTGTGAGGTTGTACACAATACACTGGCAGCAGCTGATGCCAAAGAAAAATCACAGCTTTTAACTGCATTTCTGAGGAAACCAAATAAATGTTTCTTCTTCATAAATCATACCAGGACAAATGAAAACATTATTCATTCACATTGATTGTGCTCTAGAGTTTGGTTATTCTATTTCTTGTATTTTCCTCCTCCTCCTTCTCTACCCAACGCCATTATTGGCCAACATGGGACCTATCCACCATCCAGAGCCTCATCCTCAGCATGTGTCAAAATAAGCATTGCAACTCTTCTAGCCTATATATATAATATGGATTAGAAAAAAGAGCACCCAAAAATTTAGCCCACCAACACGTGTCGGGAAAGCATAAGAAATAGGGGTTATAGGGCAAAAGGAATAAAATCAGTATGAGAAGAAGCTCACTCCAGAGTCCTGCATATTAAGCAGCACCATAGGTGTGGTGTGGCTGATAACAAAACACCTAATAAATATGTTCAAGCAGCTCACTCCAGTGAAACAAAGGAGAGTCATTCAAAGATTAACATAAAAAGCAAGTCTTTTCCTTTCGAGTTTTGACAAAGAATGTAATACACAACATATTAGTAAGTATAAAATTTCAGTGATTAGCACACATTGCAAAGAAAGGAAGTGACTCCCATACAACCCTAATCCCCAGTAGTGACGAAGCTCTGGTGACCAAATTCATATTCACAGACTGTGAAACGTGTTGAACACGACTGAAAACCAGAACAATGGCCACGTAATAAATAATAAAAACCTCAAAGCCAGATGTTCCTATATACATCAGTGCATTTTCACTACACTGCTATATACCTTGTTGCTTTGAAAAGATTAAAGTTTTGGGCAAGCCTCAAGGCTAATCTAGTAAGGGTTTATATCATTGCCACCTGATCTATACTTTTGTTAGTCATTCACTAAAAGCACAGAACCAGTAAGAGCCACTGTGTCCAAAATTATGAACCTCACTGGACCTCCTTATACAAAGAGTTTCACCAACCCAACCCATGTCCTTTTTTGTTGAATACAGAGACATTTTTAACACCCAACTAACCCAAACACAGGTCACAGGCTTAAGCAAAGAGTTCCAACTAATATCTGAACTACCAACACCATTGTGTATACTTCTTTTCTACACCCAAAAAGGAGGGCATCAGAGAATAATTGATAACTTCTTGTCTGATTTAATACAGATTAATGCAATTCTTGCCTAAGAAATCCAGTAAATTTGTAGACGTACAATCCAAAGTGAAGATAAAGCATGTCAATTATTATGTAACTATGTAGGATGAAAGAAGGAAGATAATTCCTCAAAACTATTCTTAAAAGTCATGGAGTTCATATGTTGAGCAATGTCATCCTCCACAAAAATCAATTCTTTAGCTAATACAATCTAAAACATGGGAAAGGTATGGAAAAGAAGAAATTTTTCATGGTAATTAGACATAGACAAATGAAAGGCAGGCTCAGAAAGCAATGCTTCTCACTAGATCAACGGGTAGGATAACTATGTCTTCCTTCTGAGGCGCTTCCTCAGCTTCTGCAGTTTGTGCTTGTTCATCTTCCTCTTCCTCTTCTTCTTCACACTGTCGGCCCACATTTTGGGAGATTCTGGGGACGTAACGCCAGCATCCTCGGACGGAATGATGAACCCAGGCTGAGAAATTGGGTTTAAGAAATACTCAAAAGAAAAGGTTGGGTAGAACCGCGAGCAAGCGTTCGGATTTGAATCTTCTCTTTTGGGTTCGAGAAAGATCGGGTGTTGGACTAGTCTACCGTCGAAGAGAGGCGGAAGGAGGGGCGGTGGTGGTGGCGGAGTTGCGGCGAGGATCTGTGTCTGGGATTTGCTGAACTGAGTGATGAGTGTTGAGGCAGATTGAGATCGGTTTCTCAGAACCTTTCCCAGAAAAGAAGCCATTTTGATTCGGCGGAGTGCACAATTGCGATTTGCAAAGCTCAGCCAAAAAAAAGAAAGAAAGATGAACTGCTTACTTGATTAGGGCTCGTTGAGGGTTTAGATTCTACGGGCTACCGAATTGCAATTCAATGGGGAAAAGGAAACGCAAAAAAGTTTTTACCTTTATACCACTCCTCCCTACCAAACAATACGAAATGCTAGAGTTGCATCAAATCAGCAGTGGTGCAAAAAAAGAAGCTTGCCCCCATGCAGGATCGAACTACAGACCTTCAGTTTACAAGACTGACGCTCTACCACTGAGCTATAGGGGCCTGCACATCCCTACAGCTTGATATTTTTATAACAGTATTTGATATTTCAACTTTGATGTGTGTTGGTCTAAGTTTGAGTTAATGCCCAAAATTGTCTTCGACTATAGTGATTTTTCTCAATTTTGTCCTAAACGATTTTGGTGTCATAAAGTAGTCTCAGACTTTTGTATTTTCACTCAATACTGTCATTCGTTAGGTAATTTGTTAAAAGGGTGTTAAGTATATGGATAATTTAGTAATTTCATATGAGTTAATATCTAAAAAAAAATGTCATCAACTATAGTGGTTTTTCTCAATTTTTTTCTAAACGACTTTGGTGTCATAAACTACTCCCAGACTTTTGTGTTATTACTCAATATTGTCCTCCGTTGGGTAATTTGTCAAAAGAGGTTAAATACATGGATAAATTAGTAATTTCAAATTTAGGTCTTCCATGCCCTTATCGAAGGAGGATTCGAAAAACTACTGGGCTCGCCGACCACAAAAAGCTGGAAGGCATGGGCGTGCCGAATGCGGTTTGGCCCACCAATTTTCTCAGAAAAAAAATGCTTCTTTTGCTCTTAATTTTAGTTTTTTATGTATTTATATGATTTTAACAATATTTTGAACAATTTTACAACCACTTACGTAAATAGTTTGTAAAAAATAACTATGGAAACCTTATATTTTATTAATGAATTTTTATAATTTTTAGTTTAAAAAAAAAAATCAACGATAAAAAAATAAAGTAATAAATCAAGCTGTTGAAACGGCTTAATTCAAACAAAGCATAAAATAAATTATAATATAACAATGGCCGGGGGACACAGGCATGTTTGCGTGACACATGAGCACCATGCGTTCATCCACCTTTTCTTCAGAAAATTCTCTTCAACTAATAATTTTATCTTCTTTTCATTCGTTTTCTTCTCGTTTCTTCCCCTTTCTCTCTTCTAATCTTCACCATCGGAGATGCATAATTGTTCAAGTCTTGATAAGCACAATTAGATCATTGCGGTTAATTGGTATAAAATCTTAGTAAGCCAGAGCATATGAAAGATCAACAAAGGCATGTGATAGCCAGTTGGGATATGACCAATTGAGTAGATTAGTTAGAATTGTGTTAACAACGTGGGCTATCATTACATTTGTGTATGTATACGATGTCGCATATTGGGGACATGCTCCTATTCATTTTAAGATAACATAACATAGGCTTTGTTAAGCTACATAAAGTCTCAACAGTCCAAACTAATGCATATTTGGTAGATATTAAAGTTGTATTAAGTCACACGTCATTTACTGTTTAGACACAAACATTAAATTCATCAACAATGCATTATTTTGTTATTCATAAACATTATTTTAATCTGTTATGTTTATACTCTAAAATTATATTTGATGCCTTGAACTAGGATAAAATAATTTGATTAAGTAGTAATAATCTACCTTAACTAATTTTGATTCATTATTTCATTACAATTTATATTCTCATAACAAAAAAAGTTGAATGATTTGCTTCAATTAAAAGTACTCATCCTTTCCTTTTTTTTTTTTTTTTTTTTTTAAAGAAAAGTACTTATCCTTTTCTATTATCCAAGTGCACAATAGAAATTGTTTATAATTTGTAGAGCCGACTTTGTGCATATTGGACGGTGGGCTGGATAGAAAACATTAGCCGCTAATTTGGTAGCTAAACGTATCACGTTTAAATGTCGTTTTGGCAAAATCGTTGAATGACGGAATGAAAAATTTATTCAATTTTTATATTTAGCTCAGCTGAGGAGTATATGGTAGATGGTTTCCCTCCCTCACTCCTTTTCTTTTCTTGCACGTCCTTTCATTCTGTAGCTGCGATATAGTTCCTTTGCTTTCCTTTCTTCTTCATCGCCTCCTGAATCGTTGCCGTCGCCGCCGTGGGAGATGTCGTACGATTACTTGTTCAAATACATAATCATCGGAGACACCGGTGAAGCTTCCTCTTTACGTTCAACTTTTTTTTTTTTTTTTTTTGAGACCTTAATGCTGTAGTGAACTTTAAACCCTAATTTATTTTTTCCGATTTGGCTGTTTGGATGTGAACAGGGGTTGGGAAATCATGCCTGCTACTGCAATTCACTGACAAGAGGTTCCAGCCGGTGCATGATCTCACTATCGGAGTTGAGTTTGGGGCTCGCATGGTCACCATTGATGGCCGCCCCATTAAGCTTCAAATTTGGGACACTGTGAGTTAACTTTTGCTTCGTACTGGCTTCATCTCAGATCAGTTTAGCTTTCTTGCTCTCTTATGTTAACTTGGAGATGAAGCTTTCAAGTATGACGACCGAGATGTTCCTATAATTGATTTGTTTGAATTATTGTCTGCACACAAACTAGATACATGAACCAATCTTTTGTTAATCATAATTTTTACAGTTTTATGAGCTAAAATGGCTTGTTCCTCTGGTCTGGAAATAGAAGATACTGCTGTTGAAATATCAGGTCCAAAGAAATTGGTAACTGGAAAAGAAGTTCTAGGTCCATATAGCCAGCATATATGTATTCTACTATTATCAGAATCCTTTAAAATTTTGACCACATTGCAACCAGCATAAATGCATAATTAACTGCAAACTAAACAAAGAAACCTGCTTAGCTACAGTTATTTTGTGTTTTGGATGGTATTATCATAATTTTTTTAAGGCTTCTGAGTGTGTACATGCTCCATGTTTTGTGTAATTTATATCATTTTCTCAATTATTTTATTACATTTTATGTTTGTGAAAGTTTGATGTAGTGAATGGCATTTTTAACGAAGAACTATCTTCTCTCTAGGCTGGACAAGAAGCCTTCAGATCTATCACCAGATCATACTACAGAGGAGCTGCTGGTGCTCTACTGGTGTATGACATAACCAGGTGATTATATACTCTAATTGTTTTTTTTTTTAAAGGATTCTAATTGTTCCTTTATTTATTCATTTATAATATTTCTAATACGAGATAATGTGTGCTTTTAATGGATAAACACTGACTGGCCAGCATGTTTCTTTCTTATCAAATTCAAGGATTTCATTTTACTTTGATTTCTATTTGGTATAATTGTATGTTCTTGATCTCTCTCTATTTCCTTCTTCTAAGCTGGTTAAATTTCCATCTAAAGGAGAGAGACTTTCAATCATCTTGCAAGCTGGCTGGAAGATGCTCGGCAGCATGCAAATGCAAATATGACTATCATCCTTGTAGGAAACAAGAGTGATCTTGCTCACCGAAGAGCTGTAAGTAAAGAGGAGGGTGAGCAATTTGCAAAAGAAAATGGGCTTTTGTTTTTGGAGGCATCAGCTAGAACTGCCCAAAATGTTGAGGAGGTGATACACTTCAGCCAAATTCAGAGACATTTTGTAATTTTTGTTCTTGAAACTCCTTTGTTTTATAAACTGATACACTTTGTATGCAGGCCTTCATAAAGACTGCTTCAAAGGTACTTCAGAAAATTCAGGAAGGTGTTTTTGATGTGTCCAATGAGGTAAGTTTTTGCTTGTATTAACCTTAAACCCTATTAATGTCAAAGTATATCTTGCTTGTATAGTTGTATTGGGCCTTCCAGTAAATATTCTTCTTATTATCTTATGTTTCACATCTAACCATAAGTCTTTAATTAATCGAGGGGGAAGTTCTTTTGTGTGCTATCAGGGTCTATAAGTCTCCAGCCTCCTAAATTTTGATGCTTATTTAGGTTGCTTCCATGTTAGAGTTACCATTGATGTACTCATATTGAATCTAGAGATGGATTGAGATGAGTTTGTATTGCAAATATGAGTTAATACCAATTGGGGTCCCTCAACTATTGCGATTTACTTAAAAAGGTCCTCTATTTAATTTTTTGTTCGATTTATTCCCCTAACTACTGAAAGGTTACCTTGTTAGGTTTGCTGTTAGTTGTCCGTCAAATCCAGTGGCAAAATTGTCTTTTCAAGCAAAATCATCTAGTTACAACACATTGTTCTGTTTATAAATCCATCAATCATTTGAAAATAGATAGTAAAGAGAACATTGATCTTGTTTACAAGACATTGTTCTCTTTACAAATCCATCAATCTTGTTTTTTTCGTTATGGAACTTTCATCAACTTCACTGAGGTATTTGAGTTGCCTTTTCCATAAGCCTTCTTGGGTCCTTCTAACTTTAGAATTCAACAAGAAGATCAATGTTCTCTTTACTATCTATTTTCAAATGATTGATGGATTTGTAAAGAGAACAATGTCTTGTAACTAGACTATTTTGCTTGAAAAGACAATTTTGCCCCTGAATTTGACCGACAACTAATGGCAAACCTAACAAGGTAACATTTTAGTAGTTAGGGGACTAAATCGAGCAAAAAATTAAACATAGGATCTTTTTAAATAAAGCGCAATAGTCAAGGGCCCCAACTGGTATTAATGTATTGCATCTTCTTGTATCTCTGACTGGTATTATGTGAACTAATGATAGACTATCATACTTCTCTGTAGTTTGAAAAGTAAACCTTGATCCTCACTGGAGTAGTCATTGATGCTAGAATGCACCTTTATTGAGATAGTTTTATTTTTGTAATTATCCTCACTGGAGTAGTCATTGATGCTAGAATGCACCTTTATTGAGATAGTTTTATTTTTGTAATTATTGCAGTCATCTGGCATCAAGGTTGGGTATGGCCGGCCTCAAGGTGGTAGTGGTGCAAGGGATGGAGCAGTTGCACAGAGAGGTGGATGTTGCAGCTGATGTGCTAGTCTTATCAATTGTGTTGCAGCATCTTTTGTGAAGTGTTATTCAGACTGATCATAAGCTTCACAGTTCTGGTCTTTGACTGTCGAACAAGAAATGTACAGCTCAATTTAAGTTCTTTCAAGTTATACTGTATACAGTACCAGATTGTTCGACATGTCATTGTTTGTTATTACAGAGACCTATACTTGTATTGTATAGTCCCATTAGATTGTGTGTGTTCTCTATATCTTCACCTATTTGGATCTGATTTGTTCTCTGCATATATTGTGTTTATTATTGAACTGCCTTCAACCAATATGTATTCTACAGTTATACAAGAATCACAATGTAAAAAATACTTTTGAGATCTTAATACCTCAAACTGTATCATGAAAATTGAAAACCTCATCATCGAGAAAGAGAAAGTGCGATAATTAATCCCTGAGAACTTTCACCTCTACAATCCTACCTATCTTAGAAGTAGAGTCATGTTACATGGTGGTGCTCGATAGGAAGCACAAAGAAAATACAACCTCAAAAAAATAGAAAGCTGCACATGAACCGGTAAGCCCACCTTCCAATGATGCAATCATGACGAGCCACCAAACACCTGAAGCATGCAAGTGAGTGTTCATTCAAATAACAGTTATATACGACAGAGGGAGGGCAGAAGAAAGGGCCAGTTGACCAAAGAAAAGGGTTGGGGAAATTACTGCAGCTAGTGTATCCTTAGACAGTTTTGTTTTGTTTTCTCCAGTTCCTGCTGCCACTGCCTTCTTCTGCGGAACTTGCCTAATCAACTTTGGCATAAACTGGTTATCCACAGAAGAAGTTTCAATCGACTCTTGTTGAACTTTCTGCTTCTGTAGGAACAAGATAACAATAAAGATGTATATGAATAAAGGATGACATAGTTGAAGGGTAAGGTAAAAGTTATGAATCAAAAGGCTAAGGTTGAAATTAGAATAGAAAGAGGCGAAGCACAAAGCATCCAATTATTATGTTTTTCTTAAACTTGTGAGCTCAGGAATACTTCATATACATAGTTGAAGAAGGGTAAGGTAACATTCACGAATCAAGAGTACAGTAACATGGAAGACTGTGCACCTTCTTTAACCGTTCCTCAATAGCACTTAAGGCACGTGATTTATCAACTTGTGTGAGGAAGAAATCTCTTTCCTTCTTAGCAACTGAAACTTCCAGTGCTAACTTCTGTTCCCGAACAGCATTATTGTATGCTGCAAGCATTTATTGTGTCAGGTAATTAAGTTTGGACATCAAAGCATGCAATAAAAGATTAGTCCTAGGAAATGTTCTCCCTACCAATCTCTTCAGTAAGATCATCCCACTTGAATTTACTCAAGTACTTGATATTCCAAATGTCATAATAGAATGAGGACCTTTTCCTGCCGCCTAAAAACAAAGAGAACTTTGAGAATTATAGATATTTCCATTCCGCATAACTCACGAAAAGCAAGCACAGAAAGCCAAGATACCTATTTGTTGACCGTTTAACATCTTAGCAACCCTTTTAGCAATGCTCTTTTTCGCGAACTCAACCCACCTACAAATATGGGTTATCATAATTGTCTCCCAGGCATATCCGCATAAACACACACACACACACATAGAATATTAAAAGCAATTGATACCTTAATCATTTTTAGCCATTTCATATCCAACAATGCCATACAAAACTAGGGATGTAAAGTACATCTATATATGGTTCTATCTTGCTATCAACATAGTGTTTTAATTTATGATAAAATTTTCAAGTTGCAATTGCATACCCTTCTGAAAATTCTTGTCCACGAAAACCACCTGCCCGTTTACGGTTCATTTGTGCCGCAGGATCTGTAAGATAAACACGTATGAGTTGCAGGAACAATGTGCTATCATACAAAAAAGAGTTATTGAAAAGGTTGTGCTAAACTAGCTATGTATTATAATGTTAGACAAAAAGACTAGAAACAAGTAAATAACTGAAGACTAAATATTCATTTTACATGGTAGACAGGATTAGATTAACCTTCAGGTACAAGATAAATTCTCTGAATTTCTCCATACTGAGAAAGAAGTTGACGGAGCTTCACAGGATTCATGTGTGGAGGTACACGGCTCAAGTAACAAATCCCACGCTTTCCAGCCTTTGCAGCTTCATCCATTAACCGTTGCTTCCTTTTATTTTTTCGATTTTCAACCTTAACATCATTTTCTATCCCATCTTCACCAGCAGAATCTTTTACCTCCAAATCTTCCTCAGTCATCTTAACTAATGCAGAACCCAAAACACAAAGTGATAATGAATATTAGTCTTGCAAACTACCACTAAAATGCAACAAGGGGCACTGGCTATGAATTTATAATGCTAATATGCAACAATAGATCAATAAAACTAGGCCTCAGCCCAATCTCATACCACAGTCCTTTTCAAATTTCAATAGTCTTCCCTCTGCAATTTTATGTCTAAGCAACTACTGTTCTTGTTTTCTTTTTCTTATCCCAGAAACTAGATACAATTAATAAAGTTAAGTTTACCTCTAAAAATTCTTAGAGGTTCAGAATACAAATTTAGGGAATTCATGATGTACCTAACTTCAAGAATGCAGAGCTATAGAATAATTTACATACAGCTACCAGCGCCCCCTACTCGCCGAGGTGCTGTTTGCCGGCGTGAGTAGGGTTTAGGGCTTCCGGACGCTCTGTAACATATATGGAGTACTATATTATGGAGTATATTATTGTTATATATAGCTTGTGGCGGCTGGACAATCCATCAACAAAAATATTTAAACTCTAGCTCAGTTCAAGTTCGAGTTTAACCGAACTTGAATCAGATTTAACTCGATTGCATACCCTACTGTCAATTCATCCCCTGCTTTCAGGCTACTGATTTCATAAAACCAAAAAACGACGGCAAAACCCATTACGCCTCTCTCACTCTCTCTCTCTCTCAATGCTAAAACCAAAGTTTATCGTGAAAACTCAATTAAGTTACAATCAAACAACGAAATAATTGATTAGAGAAAGATAGCCAACCTTCAACAGCGGTATTTGAATCTTAGCACAATATTCAACCGTAAAAGCTCAGCGGAGCTGACAATCGAGAGGGAAAAACCTGCGTCAAATAAAAGAACGTCCACAGCAGCTACGCCGCTGTCTAAACTGCAGAGTTCCGGCGAACGGGCGAAGAGGTATCGTTAAGGGGAAAGCTCCTCTCCTACTCCGACGGCTATCGCATTCGCATACATCTATCAATTTCCATTGTAAAATTAAAGCAGTAGCTCGCATTCTAATACAAAGCAATAATACTGGGCCGGGCCTAAAGCTTTGCAGTTATAGTCTTATAGATAGATTTCCATGAAGCTGGCCCAATTGAAATTTATTAGACTGTTATGTTGTGCAAATGTGTGCACCATACAGGTTTAGCTTCATAATTTCTATACTGTAGATTCATAATTTTTAAATTGTAGATTCATAATTTAAATACAGCAGATTCATAATTTCTATAAAGTAGATTCATGATTTTTATACTGCAAATTTATAATATATGTACTGTAGATTCATAATTTTTGTAGTAGATTTATAATTTCTAAACTGTATAGGTATTAAATTATGAATATATAATTATGTGATTTGTGAATACAGAGTTCAACAATTGAGAATATGAACATCGAAAATTATGAATATATAGCTCTATAATTATGAACATATATTTATAAAGAGTTACTACCCAAAATGGTCCTCCAACAATTAGCTAATACTCGATTTTGTCCCAAAGTATTAAACGCAATCAATTCCATCTTCTCCTCACCTCGTGAACGGGCTCTCCCGGGTACTCAACGACTTCAGAAGTCCACACCATGATATCGAGGCGGCCCTCAGTCCATTCCACTCCCAAATATCTGTTAATGTGGTTGAACAAGTACTCAAGTGGTGCAGGAATCTGGGGTTTTCCGCTCATATATTCTTTCGCTGGACTCAAAGGCTACGGGGCTTTCGACGTAGTGAAGAAGCAGTGTTATTATTCGGAGACTCGGAGAGGACCAGAGACGTAGGGAGGATTTTTGCCGTGGTTTTGTTGTTTGGCGTGTATGATATATCAGTTAGAAATTTATATGGAGTAAAAAAAAAAAAAAAAAACAGTCTAACAGTCAGCTGGTGCTACAGTGAAGTTTCAATAATATCCCTCAAAATATGCTGTCTAAGTCACTAGAGAACTAAAATGGTTAAAATTTTAATAGTCGAACGATGAAATTAGTTAAATCAAAATGAGTAGAATGAAATTAGTGAAATCCACATAATTGAAGGACCATTTTGATAATTTACCGCGTAATAAAATACTCCGTAGTTACTACTGTAGTTAATTACTTAAAGAATAGAAGAAATATCCATTTATTAATTAGTACACCACCATCGTTATTGTATGCCTTTCAACAAACAAATTTCACCAGAGGCAAAAACATAATAATGAACTAATGAAGAGAGATGGCAAGGTCTAAATTAAGAATAGGTATTTTGTTTTTGGATTACTGAAGTGACAGCGTATGAGCGCTGTAAAAGCTGGAGAGATTTGTTAGGATTCTGGGATTTGAAGGCAGTAGGGGTGACCTGCAGGAACAAGTAATTGCCGGCGAAAAGATCCCCAAAATGGGACTTACTCTCCTTCAATCTCTTGGCAGTTCTAGCACACGCAGCTACAACCACCCTCGCCTTCTTCCTCAACAATCTTCTCATCACCGTCAACCGTGGAATCTTAATCCTCAATCGCTTCCTCAGCCGGAAACTGCCGGAGCTGCTTCTTAGCCTCCACGCCGCCTTTTTCTCTCGCGGCGCATCACCGCCCTCGTGTTCCAACCACCCACCTTCTTGTTTCAGCCTGCGGTACGAGAATCTGAAAGACGCCATGATAATGATACGATCTCAAATACCGAATTGAAAGAAATTGAGTTGTTTAATTTGTTCTGCGATGTATCAGCTCATCAATGGAAGTGTATTATTATTCTTTTGCGAAACAGATTGGGTTTGGTGTTTGTTGGGCATTCAATGCTACCCGCCCACCTGATGGCATGGCTAGTGGTTACCAATATCTGCACGTACATGGACATCATTGTTGTTTATATTTCTATATATATATCTGTATATAATATACTCTCTTTTTTTTTTAACGTCACGAGATAAAGTTTCAAAAAAGTAATTTAACTAAAAAAATGTTAATTTTTGGTTTCCAGCCACTCGATATTCCTTTCAGGACAATACACACTATATATCTTCTAAGTTAAGAAACGTGGCTGCAGTGCCGCAATATACAACCACTTTCACAGCATTGAATGCAAATGTTTCACTCATGCAGACCATGGGTTCCCATCGTCACAATATATAGTCAACATCAGTACTTACCAATTAATGCTTCACACCAAAACTTTAATTATACTTTAAACGAGTGATTTTCGCTAAATTATTCTTAAACTAGTTGAAATGATCCTCGAATTAAATTTCACCTTCAAGTGGCGATATACATATGACATCCGAACTGGACGGAACAAGATTAATATAATAATTTAATGCACAGCAATGTTAACCTAAGGTGGTCTAAACAAGGATAGACATTAGTACATTACGCTTATTTATCGAGACATCCCCTTTCAATCATTCAGAAAACAAATCAAAAAATGCCAATCAACAAATGTTTACAACGCACAAACCACTGCAAATACTATTCTGTCAGAAAGGGTTGAAAAATATTGGACGAAAACTACATGGCTTAATACAGCTTTATCCTAGTTTGAATTGAGCTTCGACAGATTGGGCAGAGGTCGAGCTCTTTCCCGCAATCACAACACGTCTGCATCAACAAAAATATGAAACTGTTACAAATCTCTCAATCAACTTTCTTGAAGACCAACAAAGAAAGGAAAGGAAATGAAATGCTAACCTGATGCCCACAACCAAAGGCCATATCTTTGGGATTACTGAGGCAAATGGGGCAAAGCTGTATAACAAGAGGAAAATGTATATTCGTAAGTCATAATCACCATAAGCAAGGATTGGAACATGTGCCATAAGCAAGAAACCATAAGCAAGGATTGGAACATGTGCCATAAGCAAGAAACGTGTGTGTTACCTGATTGTCGTACGTAGAGACAGGTGCAGAAGGAGTAGGTTCACCTCTGGGATCATAGTAAGAACTCGAGGTGTGTGGAAAACTAGAAGCTGTGCTAGCAGGGTCCTTGTAGTCGTAGTAAGAACTTGAGGTGTGTGGAAAACTAGACGCTGTGCTAGCAGGGTCCTTGTAGTCGTAGTAAGAACTTGGAGTATGCTGAAAACTTGTTCCCCTCGAGGCCTTTGAACCACTCAAAGAAGCCGGACCATAAAGGGGAGGGGGAAGGGCAACCCTTCCAGGAGATTTACCTTTATGTCCACTGAAACAAGCAAACATTTCAGTTATAGCCCATACAAGCAACGGTCAGATGTGGGGAATGGGAGGGGAAGAAGGGTGGGCAGAAAGAGAGAAGAAGGCATACCCCAAGAGACCAAGCTCCATTGTGGCTTTATATTGTGAAGGAATTTCCATCAATGCTGAAAGGGCGAATTCTGTTTCTTTCCGGGACTGAGGTACAGATTTTGACATTATCTCGGTAAAATTGACAAACTGGATTTGAAGGCCATAAACGATCAGCAAGACATATTCAAGGAATAGGTTGATGGTAAAATGGGGAACTAAATATTCCTGATAAGAAATCATAACTAACCTGAAAATTATCAAACTCCCTTGCTGGGATATTATCATCAAACTCCTTCATCATGTCCCAAGGTCCATCTCCAACCCCAACCAAAATAATAGACAGGGGAAACTTGCTGCAGAAACAAGGAAGCAGCACCAGCATGTCATTATAATGAAACTAAAGTATTGACAATACACATATATTGGAGAAAAATTTACATCTAGAAGGTTCACACATAAGAAAATCATACAAGATACCTTGCTTCTACAATTGCATCCACTGTTTTTTGTTCCTGTGGACTCAATTGACCACGCCCAGTATCAACACTACGGGTTACCTGTTTAGAAAACAGCAAACAAGATGAATGTAGTCACTACTGACCCAGAATTCAAACAAGGGGAGCAACAGATGGATCTGTGCACATCTAGTCTAGTTAATAACCAAAAAAATACCTGTCCATCAGCAATGATTAATAGAACATGATACTGTCCTCCACTCTGCTCAACAATAGTCATAGCCATTTCAATGACTGGTGCAAAAGATGTTGGTCCTGAAAGCAAGAGGCTTAAGATAATTAACGAAACAGTTTGCTTCTCTATTAAAGCAAGAATACAACAGGTGAAGTAGAATTCTGACCTGCAAGTTTTAGTCGGGGGGCAATTTCCCTATATTGAGATAAAACTTCCTCAAAACCATTGCAAAATCTTTCATCAGGATAGAAACTGAATACATCTTGATCATGAGTTGATGCTGCAAATTAAAAGAAAGACATGATAACAAATAAATCTCACAGCCGATGCAATTAAAACAGAAACACAATAACATTTACAGTATAAAACAAAAGAGCACAAAGACTCTTGTAAATACCATCTCCAAATCCAAAACAAGGGATTAAGTTATCATCATCAAAGGCAGCCAAAGTTTTCCCAATAATGGAGATTGCTTGCTCATAGGGATTAAGACCATGTCCAATGTTATGTAAGCTTCGCCCATTGAATGACTTCTTACCTAAAAGTTGACAGGTGTCAGGGAACTCAGAATCACTTATTCTACATAATTAGGAATCTGATTAGATAAAATGTTTTACCCGTCCATTCATTGCTCTTTGTGAAATCAATACCAACAATTAGATTGGATGACTCGAGTCCAGCACGTGCAAGAGCTTCAGTTACCTACAAAGAACAGTGTTTCATTGGTTGGCATCATAGACATTCTAAAGATGTATACTATAGTGGTGTATAAGTGATTCAGAGAGAGAGAAAATTGCAATGTGATGGTGAGGAAAAAAACATCCTTAGGAAAAAAAAACCCTGAAATCCTACATACTAATATAAAATAGAGAGACTGAGGGAGAGATGTAGAATTGCACAATGGATAAGTGGATAACTAAAAATAATCTTTAATACGAGACATGAATGCCGGTCCTTTCGAAGTGAGGAAATGCAACAGATTTTCATTCTTTGTAAATATGTATAACTTCAAGTAAAGCCAAAGCAATTCAGTAAGTGAACACTCATCTGTAATCAATTCTTCTTTCAGTGCCTAAAACTCAAACATTTTCAGCTTCAAGGAATTGTTCTATGCATATCATCTCATTCCCGCATGTAAAATGATATTAAGATGCCACACGCCCACACTTCTGATCTCCTTCACATTCTATTGGCATTACAGTCTTTATTTCCCAAATTATAAACAAATTTTCCTTTTAATTTTGTTTGCATAGGCAAGGGCATAAGATGTCATGAGACAGTATTACTATATAAGATTGACTATCCTTACATGGCACAAAAGAGGGATCCCTTTATCAAATTGTCAGAAACTTTGACTTTATAAACAGAGTCTTTTCCTCAAGAGTAAAGCTTTCACACCATGTTAGTATATAACAGATTAATTAGTAGAGATAAATGTAAACAGGCAACAAGATCCAGCATTTAAGGCTGCTTATATTCATACCTCCTCCAATGAATTGTAATTATCTGCTATCCTTGAATATCTCCGGTCAAGCCTCCTCTGCGGCGGCGCATGATTCCGAGAGGCAAAATCTTGAGAAGGCGGGGGATACTGCTGCTCTTGGGGAGGAGGAGGGGCATATGAAGGATAAGCATGCTGAACAGGGTAATTGTAGCTCTCTTGTGGTTGAGGCGGATAAGCTGTTTGAGGATATTCGTAATTCCACGAAGACGAAGTTGACCTCGAAGCTTGCCTCCAACTATCGTCCCTAGAACTCTTCCCTCCCATCAATTCAATTACCGCTCCTACAACTCTACGAAGATCCTTAATTTCTCAGATAAAAACTCTCAGCCGTCCAGAAACAAAAACCACAACGAATCCGAAACACCTGTCGAAATCAATCGCCCAACGGATAAGATTGACTAGGAATCGGAGAAACACAATCAACAACACACCGCAAAAATTAGGGGAAAAAAAAAATCCCTTTCGCGAGATCACGGGTTCTTATAAGTCTACTTTAGAGATTCGGATATACCGGAGACCTTATATATAGTTGTATACTTACGTGGCAGACAATCCAGAAGAGTTCGGCGGCTATACAGCAAAAAGAAAAAGACTTTTCTTATACTGTAGTTTCCGGAAAGACCCCCTCAACGACCGAGACGAATTTATATTACTTTTCCGGCCAAATGATGAAATCAAACATTGTCGTGCACAGCATGCCTATGAACCAATTCAACACACGCAATTAGGTTTATTGCGTTGCAATTTTCACCGAAAAAAAAAATGAATTAAACAGAAGAAGAAACGTAGGTAGACCCACAACTTCCTATGCAAGTAAGGCAAAAAAAAAAAAAGTGTATATATAATCCCAGTCAAATTTTGAGGTCGACTGTACGCAATGGTAATCTGACATTCACACTTACCAAATTCAAGACTTAACCAGAACGAACACAACTGAGATCTGAGCAGTTAGTTCATCTGCATTCTTTAAATATATGATGGAATGGCGAAGGAAGCCAGCGAGAACACACCTGGGCAATAGACAACGGAATCTCTACTGCATTTTCGTCGTGGTGTTAGCACTCGATTTTTCAAAATTATTTGCGGGGAAATTGGTAGATCGAATTTCGAATCGTTTGAAAATTTTCAGCCTCGTTGGAAAAGATTGAGGGGAAAAGGTGGTGAGAATCAAAAATGGAGAAAATTGAACCATATTTCTGTTTATTTTATGGGCTAATTGCTCTCAACCCCCTTTGAGCTTAGATGATTTCATCTGTCCCCCAATATTTTTAAATGATTTTATCAAGAGTAAACTCAAGTTAATAGTTAGGTATTTAGGTTGTCCTCATCCCATAAATTTTATCATTTAAAAAATGATGTGGCATACTTGTTTGTAATCTTTTTTTTTTTTTATTACTTCCATGTCTTGCAAGCTTTCATTTTGTTTTCTAAAAATGAAAACTTATAAAGGACATTGCTAAAGACAAAGAACAAGAGACTCCTGAATTATGATATGCACTTCCGCCAAGATGAAATTTACATACGCTATAACTAGTTTTATTGTTTCACGCTTTATGAAAAAGAACTCGCCAAATAAACAAGAGGAAGAAACTCGTCAAAACAACCGAGAGGAAAAACACAGAAACTGCATACAAAATTAAACCCAGTAAAACAAATTAAAGAGAAACAACAATGCAAAAATAATGGAGTAATAACCGGTAACAGTGGAGATGGAGGGATGGGGCAATGCGTAATCGGTGGCGAAGGCAGAGAATAGAAGAGAAGATGATAAAGGCATAAAAGATAATGAAGATGGACATTGTCTACAGTTGAGATGGCGACAGAGAAAGATGATCGGACGTCGCCTCCGATTCGCTTGCTTCACGGGCGACAACTGTGTAGATGAATTAATCTTACATATTTTATTTGTACTTAAATAATAATAAAACTAATCATATTTATCTCAACTATTCATATTTCTACCTAATGAAAACAAATACCGTACCCTACCTTTGATATGATTTTTGATACAAGGGGCTAAAGGTCATCATGTAAAATAAAAAGGTAAAGTTGAAGCCATTGACCATCTCACGGGTCTAACAGAAATGATTGTTTTTATAATTACATATTTGTTTATTATACAATTTTTGAAGATTTAAAAGGTGCGCAGGCACGACGAAGTGTCTGGCCCGACCTCGGGCCTCCTCTCTCTCAATGATTTGGGTATATTATACTCCGTATAAATCTAATTAAAGAATGGCTCCTAAGTCCTAAAACTCCTCGCTCCTTTTAGTGGATTGTACTCCAAAGAGAGATTATTCTAAATCTGTTCTGCAATTTACACATGTCAACTCTTCATCGGTGCTCACTCCACATCATAGTTTATTTTCTGGGTTTAACAATCATTTTTTGGAAAAATATTTTCCTTAGTTTGTTTGAGCATCTACGTTAAGAAAGTTGATAAGCTTTGAATGCCATTTTGATTCCTTTTGTCGAAATTAAAGGTTGGCGGAACTCACGGATAAGAACCATTATATTATCCAAACTTCCTCGTCTCTTCCATTTACTTTTTTTTTTTTTTTAATATATAAGAGTTTTCACATCCAGACAATGGTTGAATTGTAAACACCTCTTTTGAGTGAGACAACTGATCTGAAGATTTAAGAATGTCTCATAACTAAAGTCAATAGTCGAACCATAAACCTTTGATTAAAGATGAATGAGTTCATTTCATTCTTCATCTTTCTTAACATCATTTATTTTAAATCCAAGTTAAATCACAACAGATGTTAATATTACATGAGTAGTAATAATTTGTGATTATTAATCAGCAGTGTAAGAATTTATATTTATTTAACGCGCTTTTGGAGATGCACGCAGATTAATTAGTTACGTTAAATTCAAACTCTTTTTTGGTTGCTGTCTAATCATCATCATATTCTATATTCTATGAGATCAAATAAAATTGATGAAAAATAAAAGTGAAAACATTGCGTCTAAGCTGGAATGTATGTATACAAACATTACACGTGCAGTTAGGCATTTGCATGTTGCTCAAACATGGCCATGAGAATGGTAGCTCAACGACGTCAACGTTATACGCAAAAATGTGTGTATGACCATCTCACAAATTATTATCCGTGAGACAAATTGAGTTGTAAATAATTGAGTGAGATGTTTAATAAATGTATATACTTTGTACGTATCACAATTTCAATTATAAATACTAGTATTTGCGCCCGTGCGATGCACGGAATGGATTTGTTGTAATATATTAAGAATATTTGGATCGATATATAATTATTTAAATTAGAACATCAAATATTATATAGTGCAATTGAAGGTATGGTTTGGATCATTTATGTGTTTTTATGTTATTAATTGCTCAAATTAATAGCTAATATGTAGATGTACGCATGTGGTGCTGTAACTTTGAAGATTTTATTTATCATTGTTCAGTACTTTTATAAATTAGTCAAATGTGCTTGTTCTCTAGCAACTCAGTTATAAAAATGAATTGATATCCTAATTTATTTGTATGGAAAATATATTTTTTGTCTAGATATATAGCAATTTTGCCATTTAAAAAAACATAATATCACATATTGTATTTACATACTATTGAAACCTCTTTGTAGACAACATTGGTAGTAACAACACAATCTTGTCTATCTTCGTCTAGAGCTAACACCTTTAGTCCAAAAGGATGAGTGACTCGGGTGGAAATATATAATGGTAGAATTTCAGTCAATTAGTGATCCTTTTATATTTTCAGTCAATTAGTAATATCAGATTTATTTTTAGCCAATTATTCTTTTTTATTTTAGTCAGCTAGTCAATTAGAATATTAGATGCATTGATATTTTTACCTATCCGAACCATTTTTAATTGATGATGTAGAATATTTTTATTGAAATATTTCCGTTCCATTTTTAGTTTATCTTTACTATTGTTTAAAATATGTCTTTACTATTGATGATGTAGAATATTATTATTAGAAATATTTCCTTTCTATTTTTTATTTACTTTTACTTAATGATGTAGAATATTATTATTGAAATATTTTCGTTTCATTTTTAATTTTTGTTCCATTGCTTAAAATTGTGAAAGATTTATGATATAATTGTGATTTGATTTATTCTACTATGTAATATTATTGTGAAAAATTAAAATTCAATAATCTGACAATTTTCTTTTCCATTTTAGTCAATTATAGATCATTTTTTATTTTTAGTCAATTATTAATATTCATTTCCTTTTCCAATTAATCTAATTTCTGTTTCTTTTTTCATTTTTAATTTTCAGTCAATTATTAATATTTATTTATTTTTCTATTTACCTAATTTTTGTTCCATTTTTAATTGATGATGATGTAGAGAATTATTGTGAAATATTTATGTTCCTTTTTAAATTTACCTTTACTATTTACTATTGTTTGAGCGGGAAATCAAGTAAATAGAATTTTGTTTTTAATTATATTATAAATTTTTCAGCAATCCAAACACTCCTTAGTATCCCATCAAAAAATGGATAAAGAAAAGTCATTTCATTAAGGAAATTAAAACTAATTAAATTAAATATAATCATGCTATATTTATTTGTAACGGTATATTAATTTCATTTTGAAATCATTGGTTCACATATTTGAATTATTTATTTTTTCTTTAATTACTATAAACAGAAATGATACTGTACTAATTAATTTATGATATTTATCAAATTATATTTTTAAAAAATATAAGATTTACACATGTTATGAGGGATTAAAAAATATTTTAAAATTATTTTTTATTAGTAAGTATTTTTATTTTTAAAATAGTTTCCGGCGGCCCACACACTCCCTTAGTCTCCCATAAAAAATTGATAAAGAAAATTCACTTCATTAAGAAAGTAAAACTAATTTAAGTACATCTAATAATGCTATATTTATTTGTAACTGTATATTAATTTTATTTTGAAATCATTGGTTTACATATTTGAATTATTTATTTTTCTTTAATTATTATAAACAGAAATGATATTGTACTAATTAATTTATGATATTTATAAAATTGTATTTTTTAAAAACATAATATTTTACCGGCAATTTATATCGTGCACCAGGACGCGCATTGCATTTTGCGCCCTGATGCAATACATAATTGTATAAAAAAAATACACATAATTGTATAAACATATACACATAATTGTATAAATAAATACACATAACTGTATAAAAAATACACATAATTATATAAATAAATACACATAATGATATAAACAAATACACATATGCGCAGGACGCACAGTGCTGCGCGCGCCATGGTATAACGATTGTGTTTTACCGGTGCGTTGCACGGAATTTTTTTTTTTTATATATAAAAATAGAAAACAATTTAATACATTATAATGTACAATATAATAATATAGTTGGACTTTTATATATTTGGTCAAGTATCTATTTTCATAACATACAAAATTTATTTAAAAAATTCACATAAATTTAAATTTTATATGGTTAATATAATCTCTAATTATGTACATATTTAGATAAATTTATTGAAAAAATTCACATAATTAAGTTGATTTATTCCTAATTGTATTTAATATATATTATAATTCTAAAAATATGAATACTAACTAAGAGAATTATATTTAGAAATTAATAAAAAAAAAATATAAATTCTAAATTTTGTATGAATAAATTTAAACTCTAATCGGACGCATTTTCTTATATGATTGTATAATACATTGTATATACACATAATATTTATTAATATGTATATAGAAAAATTTTATAATATAATTTCATTAATTATAATTTATATTGATAGATTTATAATTAAAAAATTACATTTAAAAATTTAAAATGTAGCATTTAAATATTGTATGATTATTATAGTGTATAATTGTATGTATATATTTTTTAAAAATTATAAATATTCATGTTTTGTTAATTTTATACTTTCATTTCTTTAATTATATTTCATATTTTATTAATTATAATTTAATGAAATTGACACAAATATTTCTAGGGAAGAAATCTTATATTTCTCAATTTCAATAATTATATTAATTATAATTAATAAATATTGTGACAATTACCATAATAATTTTATTAATTATATTAATTCTAATATTTGTTCTCTTTCAATATTTAAACACATTTCCATAAAATTATCATAATAATTACACG